CCTCGAAACAAGGACCACCGGGACGTCGGGGCGACGTCCAACATAGAGGGGGGGATGATGTCACAGGGCGTGACCGAACGGCAGCATGGGATCGACGCGCATCTAGGTCATCGGCCCGGATCGGGCGACACCCAGCGGATCCGCACGAAGTCAACAAAAGGAAACCGCGACTTCGTGTGTTCGACCGTCTATTGTTCGCCTAAAAGAGTGACCGACGGACGATAGCCTTTTGTTCTCGAACAAAGAAGACAAGCACGAAGTCGGGCGAACTCGGTAAACAATAGCGGATTCGGTGCGAGCAACGCGAGTACGTAGTTAGCATATAACGGAGCGCGAATCGTAGAGAAGTCGTGCGAGTCTGTTGTACTTCTATACGATTCAAGCGCAGTTATTACATTCGACATACGCCTATACCTTAGTTATACTACGGAGACGTACTAGGAGAGGTTACACTATCACCGACGAACTCACTATCGTTAGTACAGTGTCGCGACTTCACACGAACTCGAGAAAGACCGTGAGACATCGTAGTCACGTGATCCGACTTCGCTTGCATCTAGAAACCTGTGACTCGCCACGTAGTCGCGACGGAAGTAAATACGCGGAAGCAACCCCTTAGACGATTTTCGAGGACGCCCGTAACATATATACCTTCCTCACTGGCTGAGCAGACGCGACGTGTTTTTTTCTTTGTTTTGATGGAGTCATACGCGTCGACGTGGCTGTTGTTGTTGTTTGATGAACAGGAACAATCCAAAGGACCCTCTTCTCGAAGTCTCTGCGTTTTCTGCGTTGGAACTGAAGAGGTCCTTTGGTGATATTGATGGCAACAGCGTCGTCAAGCAGCGACGATCAAGGGATGAAACGGTCGCTCAAACGCGCGTCGGGTGCAAATACGGAGGCAAATAGGTCCTTGACGTCATCTCAATTTCCATCTGCGATTTGACGACAAGCATATCGTTGTTGTCGTCGATACATGCGTTGTTGTGCTCAGCCGAATTCTGCAGACTTCGGCACAAGGTCACCCTGCAACATGTCAGATAACTCGAGTAGAGATAGGGACTTTGTTGTCCAATTTATCAGCCTCGTGTTGCTGTGCAATCGACAGCAACGAAACCAGAAACAAAAACCTTCACGAACACGGCTGGCCTACTCCACATCCAGGTTCTCTGGACAAATGAGATTGATGGAGGCTCTTAATAACCGAGCACGATGCATGAATGCGTTTGGCATGAGTCCTTCTGCCATGCGACTGCTCGCGAGCAAACTTGGAACAGCTGGGAGGTCGTTGGCGACACAACGCGTGGGCTCGCAAGAAACGTTGGCCATCGCTCTGCATGCATTGAGGCATGGCACAGGTCACCGGCAGACAGGCTTAGAGTTCAACAGAAGCTTGGCAGCGGTGTCCAGGTGAGTGAGTAAATTTGTACGAATTCGGTCGAGTTCGGCTGAATGTGCATCATGTGTTCTCAATCTTTCAGGTGAGCCGAGATGAGGGTCGTAACCGAATTCGGCCGAATTCGGCTGATCATTTCATTAATAGAGCTGTTGATGTCACGGTGACTGCCCTCGCCACCGACCCATTCTACAGCGAGATGGTGCGCTTTCCTCGTCCAAACCAATTGCCTCATCATAAATTCGCCCGGAGCAGGAAGCTCGGGGCATTTCAACAGGCTTGCGGCGCTATCGATGGCACCCTCATCACTGCGCATCCTCCAAGCCATAGAGAGGGTAATTTCCGAGATCGCAAAGGTGGTCTCTCATGGAACGTCCTCGGTATATGCGATTTAGATCGTCGGCTTTGTTACGTGAACGCTGGCTGGGAAGGTCCTGAGCCGGATATCAGCATCTGGTACGATTGTCTTCGCCACGAAGACATTCCAATTCCGCAAGGGTATTATCTACTCGGAGATGCAGGATTCACTCTTCGATGCCAGGTACTCACGCCCTACAATGGGACAGCATACCACCTTGCCGCATGGAAGCGATCCAGACGACAGCCAGCGACTAGGGAGGAGGTGTACAATCACCAACATTCCAGTCTCCGCATGCCCATTGAACAGGTTTGGGGTATCATGAAAGCGAGGTTCAAGGCATTGCGAGCCGGAACGTACTATGCCCCGGCTAAGCAAGTGCAAGTCATCTATGCACTTTGCGCACTGCAGAACTTCATGTCTGACAACAAAGACGACTGCGAGCCAGTACCAGACGATCAGGATCTTCTCTCTGGGGTAGGGTTGGATCCAGACGAACCCGTTGCCCGGAGGGAAAGGAACGATCCAGATGCTCGCAGTGATCCTATGGTTGCACTGCGAGAAAAGATTGCGGATGACAACTTCGCTCGATGGGAGGTCATTCCTGCCACCCAACCGGAATGAGTGCAAGAGGGCTGCCGAATTGGGCAGAATTCGTAGGTGAGCACATTCGCAAGTGTCTAGCTCCTAGCTCTCATTTGACAGACGTTTCATTGATACACCGAATTCGGCAGAATTCGGGAGCACTGTGATTAACTACAAACACAAAAACTCAGCCCTGTAGATCTTCCAAGACTGCTTGTAGCAACTCCCGGCGGTCTTCTTCGGATTGATGGGCATAAGACTCGGCCAGCGTACGGTCTTTGGCGAGACGGAGGCGAAGTTTCCGAGCGTCGACCACGCTGATTTCCATGGCTGCGATATCCTCCTTGAGCAAAGCGGAACCACGAGTCAAGATCTGCGAAGTTGCTTGCTGAGTGACTGATGCCAGCTGTTCAACAAACGTCTTGCCAAGGGAAGCAAAGTCGGGCTGATCCTCATCGCGTCGGCGATTGCTCATCGAAGCAATTGATCCAGCGGAAGACGATCCACCCCTGCCCCGGCTCTTGCTGCTGTGGGGACGTTGGGGAGTACCCTGCGGCTGACTGTTTGCTTCACCTTCGCTGGCCGACTCTTCCGCCTCTCCGGCAGGAGGTTCGGGTTGGGAAGGGATCGGAGCTCCACCCTGGAAGGCAAAATCACCCGTAGCTCCATGACCTTCACGGATGATCTTCCACTTGGGGTAGAGCCGCCATCCATTGTCTCGCAGACGTCTGATTTGAGACACGGTTGGGGTCCCGACCTGTGTGACGATGTTTGAACGGGATCAGCTTGTGTTGCCGAATTCTGCAGAATTCGGCTGCGATCTTCAGCTCACCCAGTGCTTGACGTAGTCTTCGAACGCCTCGTCATCAACAAGGGGACGATGCAGCTGGTGATCCCAACCCCAGCCCGACCTCTTCCTCATCCGCTCGAGAGGCTTGTAGAATTCTGCCGTCAAGATTCCTGTCTTGTTCTTAACTTTGATACCATCCAATCTCCCATTGGGCGTGGGGTCGGTTCGAGCGTCCATCGCTTCATTGATCAGGTTGGCAATCTTGGAGAATACGGGCATGCCCATGGTGACCTTGTTGCGTGTGACCTTCACCTCCGCAACAAGGAGGTCGGCAAGGAGATCCTCCATCCACTCATACCAGCGAACGTTCTGGTTGGCAGGAGGGTTGCCAGGAGCAGAGGTAGGAGTTGCAGCCTGGGCCGGAGGGATAGCAGGAGCGGCGGGCAGGCTAGGTAAAGCGTTGATCGAAGTCAAGAGGGGAGAGTCCAATGGACTCATGTCCCGAGTTCCGCCGAATTCGGCAGTCTGCGGGTGTCCTTGGGTGCTTGGAGCCACCAAGGTGCCTGCAGGGCCTGCGAGGTAACCTCGAGGACCTTCGCCGATTGGTGAAGGGTACGGATACTGGCCGTGGTGATGATTCGGATGAGGGAGAGGTTGCTGAAACGTCCTCAGATCAGACAGAGAGGCGTAGTACTCCCTCTCGTGCTGACTCCAATCCCGTTGCACATGTTGTTGCTGTTGCTGCTGCTGCTGCTGATGGGGATGGTGATGGTATTCAGACATGGTTGATGATCCGCTCAACGATTCAAATTCGGCATAGCGATCATAGACAGTAGTACAACATAGTATCTGGAGTTGATCAGGTCGGTGCCAAATTCTGCAGAATTCGGCAGTCTGCAGTCGACCGTCGACCGCTCTCCGCCACGTGCGTCAAAAAAGCGGCTCGATAGGGGCTAGAATGTTTGCTAGCACAGATTGTTGCAGATAGTTTTACGGCATAGTAGCAGGATAGAACTCGAGATCACCCCAGATTGTCGGGGATTTCGGTGAATTCCGGCAGATTTTATGAGATGGCTGGTCCGATGGGCTATACCATTGCAAATTCGCTTCCGCAACCATCTATCTTTTAGCTAGCTAGAACTGACGATCGGGCCCTCAAGCTTGAAGACGACTGGAAGATTTTCAGCAGGTTGCGTCCGAGAGGACCGACCCGAAGCGACTTTGACGAGACTTGCCGTAAACCAGACTCGGGAAGTATTGTCGAGACGAAGGGATTGGCTGAGCAGGAATCACACAGTCGCGATCGTTGTGTGCGCGATAACTGCGCGATAGCTTTGGGATTCAGTCTGCAGCTCGAAGCAGGCTGGAGTTCAGCAATGTTACCGCCTGTGATTGACGGCATGATTAATTGACTAGGCCACCCATCTACTACCATCGATACTGGCCATGTCAACGTTCGACCTATTCCGACCGCGGCATGCTTTTCCTTGCAACTCACACGACCTCGACTGGACGAACAAAATCTGGACGCTGGACGAGGTGATCGCGCATGAAACGTTGGTCGTCCGACCTCCCATCGTGTTTGAGCGCTAAAATTACTTCCGAGCCGAAGACCGAGTAGGGGTTGCAGGAGCGGAAGAGGGAGCGATGCCGAACACGGGGGCGCGGCTGATCGGAAGCAAATATGAATGGTTGGCGTTTCTGATCGACGAACGTTCGTGTCGCACGAGCAAGGCAATTCAAGTAGAGCACGAGCTCGAATTGTTCGTTCAGGATAATATCATGCATTTAGTGGGCTGATCAATTAATGTCATCTCCTCAACCTTGAACCCTTCAAAGTACCCAGGTCAAATCCACATCACCCTGTAAACATGGACCGCAAACGCTCCTCGGCGCACTCGAGCGGCAACGGCTCGTCCAAACCCTTGTCCCGCGAAGCACTACGCAAGGCCAATCACTCCTTGATCGAACGACGTCGGCGCGAAAAGATCAACCACGCCTTTTCAGAGTTGAGGGGGATGGTACCTGGACTGGGAGGGGGTGGGGAGGGGATGAAGGGAGAATTCAAGCTGGAGGTGAGTGGCAGCGAACTCGCAGGCGATGAGATTCAGACGAGATACGGATCTGACCGCTAGTTGCGCTTTGCAGGTATTGGAGAAGACGGTGGAGCATATGAGGGCTCTGATGAACAGGCTAGACTTCTTGGAATCCCAGACCTCACGAAAGACCTCACACCAAGTGGAAGAAGCGAAACCGGGGAGGAAACGTAAACGTTTGGCCTCTAGCCCGACCACTACGACGACTTCTTCTAGTTCCAACCCGGTGGTTGTGTCCGGTAGATCCCGCCAAGCGATGTCCAAGACGAATGGCCACTCTACCCGACAAATCCTGAAGGAAGAGAAGCTTAATGAGGAAACTTCCGAGTCGTCCGATGAAGAACCACTCGTCGGTCGGTTTCTACCCAAGAACGACGAAACAAAAACGGAACTACGGGCTGCCGCGCTGCCTCTTCCTATCTCAACCCGATCGAACATAACTACCACCTCGCCTATTCCTCCCAACATCATCAACACCCAAAGCCACACCCACGATCATAACCACAACCCTACTCATACCCGAACCCATCACACCCCGGTCTCCTTTCACCTCCCCTTATCCCGGATCCTGAACCCCTCTTCCCCTAAACGACAACCCAAACCCCTTTCGCTGAGTACATTCAACTCGCCCACGCCGAGCAGGACCGACTCGGAAGCGACCGTCCTTGAAGAAGGGTTACCTAGTCCGGGAAGCGATAGTGGATTGGGGCTGGGGATGGTTGATGGGATTGCGGTGCGAATGGGTATGTGCCGCCGAGAGGTATCCTGCGCAAGAGCGAAAGCGAGTATAGCTGCTTGACAGATACTGATATCAGTGTGATATTTTGTTTTCTTAATAGATACTATACACGACGATCGGATGATCGTGGACGCGGCTAGAGGTGATGGTGATCAACCCACCCCGATCTCTTCCCTCGCTCTCGGACACCACCAGCAAACTTTCCAATACAATCAGAACCAGTTCCAATCGAGCACCTCCCGCTACCCATTTCCCGCCTCTGCCACCCTCTCCACGTCGTCCACTACCGATCGCAACAAAAAAGACCTCTTCCTCTCCACTTCGACGGAGATGTCCCCCCTCTCTCCATTCATCATCGGCACTTCTTCCTCCTACTCGTCTTCATTGTCACGATCGAAATCCAACGACAACCCAAACCGAAGGTCCCCTCCCTCGCATACTGGGCATATTTTCCTACCCGAACCCAGCCCATTATTGACCCCGATGATCCAAAGACAATCCCTCACCGGGTTGTTCGAGCTGGATCCCCTCTCTCTCCCACTCGCACTCGATAGGGGGTCTTCGGCGGAGGACGAGGGCGACAACGATATCAACGCCAACGTCCTGCCTGACCACGCTCACCACGCAGCTACCGGTCGTCCGTCTACCCAAGTCGACGAACAAGAAGCAGCCAACATCTTGCTAGCCCTCTCTTCGCCTGAGAGTATGGCTCCTACGCCCTGGCATTCGGCCAGCAAGGGGGCTAGTCCGCCTAGCGGGTTCAACCTGGACGTCGTTGAAGAGCAAGGCTCTATTGAAGCGGAGGAGGGGATGACGATGAAGGTGGACACGGACAAGAATATGGATATGGACGGCAATATGGATGTAGAAAGGAAAGAGGGAGACGTCCATCTGGTAAATGTGCCGAGGACGAGCAGCGTAACGAGCAGTGCTAGGGGCGGGAGGTTGGCCAAGAGCGCCCGGGATTTCTTGAACTTGCGGGACGATGCTTTCGGGTTCGCCTTGACGCACGTCGGATGCGCTAGCAAAAAGCGTCATCCCTGAACGGCGGAAAGCGAAATGCGGGATATTATAGATGTGGGTTGTAACAATATGAACGGAACAGACGTACAAAAGCGACCGATATCGTCGCCAACGAAATGAACATGATCATTCCCCGATTTCGCAATGCGCTACGCAGCTGCCGTCTCCTCGGCCTCTTCCTGTTCCCTGATTTGCCTTTCCAGCTTCTCCCTCTCCTGTTGACGCATCCGGAACAAGATCCCGCTCTCAAAATCGTCTGCTGCACGACGTTCTCGTTGCTCTTCTTGTTGTTTTCGTTTCGATTCAGGTGTTGGGAAAGAGGACGGGACGCTAGGGAAGGACGAGGTGGTAGTCGATGGGAAGGAGGAGGTGAACGTGCTGGATATCTTGGGTGGTGCGGCTGTTGGCGGTTTAGTATCACTTGCTGCAGGCTTCTTGCCGGTTGATCCCAAACTGTCGACCCAGGCTGGCGCCTCGCCGTCCTTTTTCCCGGCAAACTTGACTTTGGTGCCGGGAACCAATGGCCTCGACTTTTCCGCTCCCTCGACCTCCAGATGATCCTTCCAGCAAGCCCAACATCCGTCCATATTCGTCCTCCTGAACTCGACGGCGTATCGAGGCCCTTTGGCCTTTTTGCTCTTTTTCGGTTTAGCTTCGGAAGGTCCGGCTTGCGGCAAGAGGTCGATGTTCTCCAACGGACCATACCTCGCCGACAAGGCTGACCGGAGCGAGTCGGTGGTGCTTGTCAATCCGGTAGAATCGGCCAGGGGGAATTGCATCATCAGGGTCAACTCGAGCGAGTTCTCGGGCATGACCACAGCGCCCTTGTTGTTCCCTCCGTTCATAGATCCAGTCGCCCGTTCGAGCTCTCGTATCCGCTGTTTTTCTTCCTCCACAGCCTGTAATCTCGCCGCCTCGGCGGCCCTAGCGGCGTCTTCACGCATCTTTCGTCCGATCTCTTGAACCGATTGTTCAGCCGAAGCGTCGGCGTGAGCTCGAGCGAGATCTAGTTTAGCTCGTTTTGCTTCTTCTTCGCGGGCTTGCAAAGCCTAGATTGTCGACATAATCAATCAGCCGTGGCACAACAGATCAAGATCCGCAGACGATTATGACTTACCTCCACCATCGTCCGTCGTTTCTTCTCCATCCCAGCCGTCTTTTCCTTCTTCCGCTTTTCCTCCTCTATCCGGCCGTTCAGAAACGACCTCTTGGAGGGGTCCGTCAAAAGATTCACAGCGAGGGAGATGGAGAAGAATTGTTTCGCTGCAAGACCGACGAGGTGGATTCGGACAGGTCAGCTCGCTAGTCCCCCCAAAACGATATTTGCAGGCTAGAGACTCGCCTGCTTTCTCATCGTTAGGAAACTGCTCGACCAGGAACGACGTCAGATTCAGGAGATCAGCTAAGCTATCAAAATCTCTCCGAGCTTCTCTCGCACCAACTCATGACTGACCCTATCCGGATGACATCTCAAACTGAGACTACGATAAGCCGACCTGATCTGCTTTTCGGTTGCGTCTACGGGAACGCCCAGAACCTCATACGGGTCGCCCAAAGCGAGCTCTTCTTCGGAGAGTAAGGGTGCCATTTTGAATCGAGCCCAAGGTTGATCCTGTCGGGTGACCGCTCGTGGGGGATGTACTACGTACTGACGAATCCAATGGCAAGACAGTTGTATTATTGTTGAAGATGTTTTATCGTTACCTTTACAGGGGTAGCCCTGATTACGAGGCGATCGCGACCAATCACGTGACCTCGATTCAATGGGACTTGTTGCATCACCGTAGGTAGGATCGTGCTCATCATTACGAGATCAAGCATTTCGGGAAAACGATAGGAGAAGAGAGATGTTGTTGTTTGGAGCCACCTCGAAGGCTCAGCATCGCGCACCGCTCTTCAAGTACCCAAGCGATCTCAATGCGATGCAAAATGCTTAAAGCCCTATATATCGTTCGAGTGATACAGTAAATGTCGTTGTCATCGTCTTCGTCATCTTCCCGCCTCCTGCTCTCTCAACTCGCCCATCAGACGTTTCCTAGTTCGCGCAAAACGTGAGCAATAGATATATTCCCACCGTTCTGAACTTCAGACTTACATCCACCGCGGTGCCTTGATCGGACCCTCAACGTTTCCCTTTTCCACCTTGCTCGCGCCCGGGTACCACATTTCGCGAGGCCAAACATCCATCAGAAAGTAATATATGTGACCTGCGACTGCCCCAACCTTTGGATTCGATGTATGCTCATGTAAGTGTCAGCGCGCGATGAAGGTAAGCTGATGGCGATTACTTACCGCATCCCCCATGCACGCGTCCCAACCTCCGTACATAAAGTACGAGAATCCCATCAAGAAGTAAGGAAGGTGCGGGGCGGTGATACTACGTAGACACATTTGGTCGTAAGAAACCCTCCAGACCACAAAGGGACTCGTCCGTACCCAAAAGACTCACTTGACCAACCCCAAGATATTCAGCCTCTGCGACGGATTCCTCCTCGACCAGATGTATACCAAAGAAAAGGCTAATGAAGCCGACAAGAACGGTAATGTCAAAAGTGGAGATATCACCTAGTCTCCAAAACGAGGGTTAGCCAGTCAGTGCCGAAAGCCGGACCTAACTTGACTTACGAGCAGGATGCTAGCGTTAAAGATCAGCAGACAAAGGTAATCCGCTTTTTTGCCGGCAAAGTTGTTTTCCTCTAATAGTCTCGAATACCTCATGCTGTTATACCAAAATGGTCAATAAAGCCGCGAGACCAGGAGAAACCAGCTGTGAGCTCACATAAAGAACAGATGAAAGGCTAGATCCAGGGTGACCGGTCCGAAGTATAGGAAAGCCGTCACCAGTCGCCAGGGCTGTTAAGACCAGCGATTCCATCAAGTATTCAGTCGAAGAGTAGCGGGAAAATAGCGTATGTAAACACCCACTTGATGGTTCTGGAAAGCCGACTTGTACGAAAAGTAGAGCTGCAGCGGTGCGACGTATTTACATTGCTACATTCACTCAAGCACCTCATCTGATCAGCCTCCACCATGCAACTTTCGTCTACGAAACTCCTATGACCCGAACTCACTACCGCCATACTGATAGCCACGCTACCGATGATCCAAGCTCGGGTGACAGGAGGAATCTCCATGATCCACTGTTGCAGACCGGGAATATTGGCATTCCCGCGAACGCCTCCGGCAGCTGCAGCTCCCGGCTGTATCGCCGCCATGATCCCAGAAAGTCAAAGAAATGGCTAGATCCGACACTGTCACGAAGAGTCCAATTTGATTCTAGCTTTATTGACCTATGGCGAAGGGTGATCGATGATAAATAGGTACAATCGACTTGAAAGGGTCACGAGCAGCGAGCAGCGAGCAGCTAATGACCATCAACGATGATGTGGAGGTTCGCAGGGTGACGTGATCGGAAGCAAATGCGTCGATCACTTCCCAGTCCAAAGTATCATTCACTGCTTAAAATGCAGCCCGCAACCATCACTGCACCACGACATGTAACGCAAGACCGCAAATGCTAGAGCCAGAATCGATTCATCGTTCGAATCCCGACATGATGGACTAGGCGTAAAGTAGACAACCAATCCAACCCGATCCCACACCAACCCCATCGTATCGACCTCCTTTCCCGTCTGCCCTCCCGGTGATCCTCGTGACAGCCAGCGAGAGACGGTTCCAGAAACCCATCGACAGAGCCAGACCGTGCGATACGTTTATCGGTATCGTCGGAGGGAGAGGGTGTTGTGCCTCTTCCAGGTGGCGTAGTTGTGGTTGTGCTTGTGGCCCTTTCCGAGACCCCTGTTCCTCTTTCCCTCGGCGGTGAGACCACGAGCCTCCCTGTGCTTGTGAACGGGGTTGGCGATCCAGTTGATTCGGGCATCTCGTCGGATGGCCTTGTGCTGGGGGCTATAGACACAAGTAGAATGACTTAGCACTTCGACCTCGATTTCAAGTCGACAGTCCACGCAGAACTCACTCGACGAGGATGACCTCGTAGTACTTGTAGACTCCGTCCTGGTTGATCCAGTAAGAGTTCAAGACCCTCAAGTTGGCGCATCGTCGACCGACTCGCTCCTCGGCGGTGGCCTGGAGACCTCGCTGGAACTTGAGGTGGTTGATACCCTGCCTAACGGGCTTACCGTAGGTAGCACCTGCGATCGATCATCAGAATCCCGTGAGCAGCCGGACTTCGGAACGCCATATCACCGAAATCGTGACTCACCCTTGGGAGCGGGCCTCTTCCTGTTTCCCCTCCTGACCCTGATTCGGTAGATGACGAATCCCTGCTTGGCCTTGTATCCCAACCTCCTGGCCTTGTCGGGCCTCGAGGGCCTAGAAGCCCTGTGGATAACAGGCAGCTGCCTGTACTCCCAGCATCTGTGATGCGACGAAGGACCGGGTTGGGTCAGCCGAAGAGTCCGCGTATACCTTGTTGGACCTAATAGACAACGTACCGGACACGTTGCAAGAACAACATGACGTCGCTCTGCTTCTTGTGGTACAACTCGGCAATGTACTTGTAGGCACCCCTGTTGAAGATAAAAGTTGAACAATCGATCAGATTCGGTTGCAGCTCATCTTGAGGCCAGAAGAGCGGATCACTGGAACGCAGGGGTGGCGTCGGTAGTAGCGTGGTCAAGGTTCGATTTTGGTTGAGTCGTAGGTGATAGTTCGCGCAACGTTTGATATGCGCTGAAGCATCGGAATCTAGCGTGTAGGAAATGACGGATGTTGCGTATACCGCTTCCCGGGTCCCTTGTCGGCAATGCATATCCAAACGATACGAGCAACGGGAGATTGGGGGAGATACTTCAACCGAGCTGGCTTTGCAACTCCAACCCCGTCGAGTTTCCCCCAACCTCCTCGCGCAATTGTTCATGCGTCTTTCTCGTTCCATCTTTCAGTAATTCAGTCTCCCAGCTCCTTCACGCGATCCGGATAGCCAGTATCGCCATATCCTATATGGCCTAGCTGCCGTAGCATCCATCGATTGTCGGTGCTGATCCTGATCCATGTGCCCTTCCGAACCTTTGACCCGCTACTACCAGCCGTTTCCCCTGCGTTTGACGATCCGCTCCTGATCCTGCACAACGATACGCACATCTTGAATGATCTCTACCGTCCTATCTTTTTTGGGTGGGTTGTCGAGGGTGGTGGATAACAGCCAGAACGAGATCAGCCTTCACGCTAACACCAAGGTTGTCGACCTCTTTCGGGACATCAACAGGAGGGTTTGCGAACACGAGCCTGCGCAGAGTCCACGGACAATTGCGGGGTGAGGCTCAATCGAGACCTCGGACTCGAAGTTCACCGAGAGGGGATTGATGCTCACTCGCGCGCGAGGGGTTGCGCCTTGCAGAAGCGCGACTTCGGCGATTAAGAGAGCAAGCGCGACGGTGTTCAGGAGGGTTTCGATGGAATCGAGACGTTCTACTCGATCACAATCGAGCTGTTCGACTGCCTGATATTATGGACCGGGAGATCACTCGAAGTATGCTGGCTATTTATTGACATCGAGGTTGTCGAGTCGCTTTCTCGCGTCTACTGCCGAATCGACTGACACGGCTAGGATGAGCTGTCCTGCCGCTCACGAAACAGACAGACATCGAGCCGAATATCCTAGGGGTATTCGACGATGCTCATCGTGGGCATACCGTATTACCTTCTTCTTGTTATCGTTCATACATTTGTTCTCTAGCTCGTTCCGCCAATCACTCCGCAACTCCCGTTCCCTACAGACACCGCCCCAATGATGTCGGGCATTCAGTTCCTTCCATAAGAACACATAGAGGTCGGATGTCTGAGCTGCGAATTTCAGAGCTGATTAGAGCCATCTTTAAGCCACATTATTGGCGGCCCACCGCTTATCAAGAGAAAGAATTGGGGAACCGGGTGATTCATTTACCCAACGATTTGCCCGATCGCGTTAAGGACGCTTGGCGCGACGTCGCTAGGCAGGTGGAACACTTGATATCCCCTACTACAAACCCGCCTGATCTATACGAGAGGTGAGACAAGCAAGTTTGCCGTTATGGACATCGAAGGTGAGCTCTTGCTTCCCACTGATCATGAATGATCAACCTGCGTCGACACTTAGATCCGGCACTGAGCCTGATGGAACGCTTTCTGAAACACGCGCGCGGCTCGCCGGAACAGCATGCACATGCCACGACGACAACTCGAGCTCTTACGACGTGAGCCAGATACTCGAACAGTGCAACCGGGTGATAACTTATCACCCTATAAGTATCTTTCCATCTTGAGCAATGCATATGCGACGATATGGCTGCCGAGAGTATGCATAAAATCGAGGCGGTCATCCTTTCTCAGACTAACGTTCCTACACGCTTCGTACACGCTGGGAGCTGTTTCGCTTCGGCAAAGTTACTAATGCATCGCCTTTCGCAGGTATCGCGATACCAGACAGCTACATCCACAAGAAAAGAATGATAGCCCTGTCGAGGTCGTCTTGTCGAAATCCTAGCAAAGCTTTACATATCAAATGCGAACGGCGGTTACTGATCCTTGAGGGATGAGAAGCGTTTAGTATTCACCGACGTCCCACAAGATCTTGCATGTCGACGGAAGGTCAACCGTACATCAACAACGGGTTTCGAGAACGTTTCAAGCATTGATCGTCCTTCGTGGCGGTCTTTGCATCCAAACACGAGTTGTCATGACTAAAAGTCCCGGAAGATTGCCTAGCACCTGTTCCCATGAGCGCGTTGAAGCAGGGACGTAGTCCTTCCAGGCCATAAACTCTCGCACTTGTGGCGCATCCAGCAGATACTCCGATCATGAGCAAGACCAGGAGACGAATCGAATATGCTATCTTTCGCATTTGCTATGCAGTGATGGATAGTATTAATATGGTGGCAGCACGCAAAAGTGGCTGATCCTGCCAATCACCGCTACCAGCCACAAATTCTCAGTCTCTTCCTACTCGGTACGTAAGGCGTACCAGACGCATCTTTCCATCATTCGATAGAAAATGAAACGATCCTGCACTCTTCCGACCTATCCAAAACTAGCTCTATATCCACACAGTGTACCTTTGGCACCATATCCGCCTTACTCATATGTACATTCCTCTTGGGCATATCGAGGCATGTAAGGATCGATGGGCCTGCGTCCTTACATCTCGCTATCTTCGGCGCAGAATTTTCCGCAACGTCTTTCTGTGCACCCTCGCCTGTCAACATCAACATATGAATGACGTCGTAAGACCACGTGGATGGATCGTCAGTCATAACTTACTCCATCAGCCCAGTAATTATCTCCTTCGCTTTGACGCTTTCCTTTGCCTCGACACTGTTCTTTGCCTTGACGCTTCCCTTGGCTTTGACGCTTCTCTCCGCTTTGATGCTTTCCTTCGTTTTGATCCCTTCCTCCGCTGCCGTTCGTATGAACGTGGTAATCAGCTGAGAGAGGCGTGGCTGTGATGGGCGATGGAAATGAAGCGTGTTTACCTTTTTGTAAAATCGAGACGATTTCAATGAGACTAGGATGGTTACAACAAGATCGATGCGTGACGGAAGGGACCGATCGCGGGGTACCGATCGTGGCCCCGAAAATGGCGGCGATCGTGATCGATGTTGAGCCCATTCCTCACAAATTAGTCCATTCAAGTAAGTATCCTTTTTTTTGGCTATGAGAATTGGTGATAGCGTTCAACCTTTGTTGAGACGATGTCGGCGGCACTCTCGGCCTGAACAGGTCCGGTCATTTGCGATGAATTTCGAGCGGCAAGGATAACGACTTTTGCGTTCTGTTCGATCAAATCAGAGGTGAACCATGACCTATCTGCTCCTTATCGGGTGTACCAGGGTATTTGAGCGCATCACCTGGAAATTGCGTAAGGACATCCCAGAGGAAGAACGGTCTCCCTAAACAGATACTGACGAGTAGAGACAGAAGCTTGGTTGCGAGTCTCCATGAGTTGTTCTATCCTGATCGCCTTGATCACAATTCATGTATACAAATGGAAATATCGTCCGTTGCGACTCGTCGACACAACTGAAACCATCCACGTCCGGCGCTGGTTGTAAGATCCGCGGGCGCGACACGCGCGATAGTCACCACCGGCCGAGATCCCGAGAGCGAAGGTGATGACGACTTGCGATATGGGACAACATCTCGACTTGAACAGCCGATAACCTCACAATCTAAACATTCTCGCGCATATAGACGATACGCATAGGGATAGCAGAAAGCAAAGGTCATCAGATCATCAGTCGTTTCGTGCATCTATCTGATCTTGCTCAATCGTCCTAGTCTGTCAGGCGGCTCGGGAAGCGGGTCAACCGTAACAAACAAAACAACAGGTCAACTCGTAGCCCACACCCGGCAAATCGTGCTTGAGATAAGCCGATAGCTTTTGTGGGATCGAGAAACCCAATCGTCTGGAGGGAATCTACAGATATTTCTCTGCCAAGATGGACGCGCTCAAAGCTGTACAGACGTATATTATCAAGATGCTGGACGAAGTCAGCGGGATGAAGGTGCTGCTCATGGATGCTCATACGGTAGGAATCGCTGGTCTCATTCCCTCCGACTTAAGCCAGTGCTAATATATTTGGTACAAGGATAGACTCCAATCGTATCACTGGCCATGACGCAGACCGACCTGTTGCAGCACGAAGTCTACCTGATCGACCGGATAGACAAGCAAGTTCACGTCGAGATGCTATTACCTTCGCTACGCAGTTCTGACCTGCCGCCCTTAATAGCCCGAACCGCCAAGCTCTACCGCATCTTTCTTGCATCTCCTTCCTTCGGCCATGTAGAGAGAGCATTGAAGCTGTCAAGCGGGAGCTGGCCGGGAACGATGTTGCACCGGGCGGACCGCCGCATGATGGGCCGAGATACGGGGGATACTGGTTATGTGAGTCGATGTTAAGTTCCGCTCTAGAGCGCCCTTGACTAACGCAAGATGCCATTACAGACTTCTCCAGCGTTCTAACAAAAGGCCAGATCGAGGATATGGCAACAGCGGACGAGTTCGAGGTGGTCAAGGAGGTTCAGGTAAGGACTATTCTCCAGCAATGAACCGCGGGGACGAGCTGATATCCTGTAATCCGGGACGAATAGGAATACTTTGCGGACTATCTTCCACATTACCCGAGTCTCGTAACAATGAGTGCGGCATTGCTTGCGGACGGGATCGACGATCCACCAAATGTACGTCTGACAGTGCGATTCAGGTCCGCTCGTATTCTGGCTGACTTCCGCTTCGACTCGCTAGCCTCCTATCTATCTACCTCAACCCCTATCAATACCTCCACCGACTCTCACACACCACACTCAGACTGTCCTCTCCCTCCTCCTGAGCCTGAAGAAAAAGCCGGTGATACGGTGGGAGAAGATGAGTTCAGGGGGAAAGAAGCTGGCTCAGGAGGTGAATGTAAGTAGGCTTCCTTTCCGGTCCCCATATCGGTGGATCACTGACGATCGGCAATGATGTTAGGCTGCCATGAACCAACCGCCATATCGAGAACTCTTTGGATTCCGACCTACCACCGGCTCTTCGCCTTTGTTGCTGATATTAGGTAACTCAACTCGCCTGGTCCCCCTAGTATCACGCTTACTCATACCGAACTGGTTGCAGATCGAAGGAACGATCCCGTCACCCCTCTTCTGACACAATGGACTTATCAAGCGATGGTTCATGAGCTAGTCGGCATTCACAACGGTCGGGTGACCATCGATTCCGAATCCCGGACGGATCTGAAGGTACGTCGTTGCTATACGAGAGCGAAAAGGTAAATCGGAGGCTGATATCTCGTCTCATTGCACACAGGACCTGGTGCTTTCATCAGCATCAGATCCCTTTTACGCCGATCAGCTCTTCTCCAACTTTGGTGATCTTGGTGCAGCTCTTTCTTCCTACGTCCAGTCATACCAATCGAAAACGCAAGCGATAACGAATCCGCAGTCGATCGAGACGCTGGCAGATATGCGACGCTTTGTCGAAGAGTACCCCGAGTTTAAGAAGCTGGGCGGCAACGTGTCCAAGCACGTCGCTTTGGTCGGCGAGTTGAGCAAGATTACCGAGAGGGACGATTTGTTGGCCATCAGCGAAGTGGAACAAAGCTTGGCGAGTAATGAGAGTCACGCGGCGGATCTCAAGGTGAGTTCATCAATGTAATAAGAAGTTTTTTGCGGCTTAACCTAAGCAAAAATTGGGCTATAGAGCGTCTTGGAACTCCTATCTTCACCCAAAACGCCTAACAGCAATAAGCTGCGGCTGGCTATCCTTTATGCGTTGAGATACCAAAAGTTTTCAGGCAATTCAATCGCGGGAGTGGTGGACTCCTTGATCCAGAATGGAGTCTCGGCGGACAGAGCACGAGTGAGTCCGCGATTGTTCTCGATCAATCGCGCTGGAGCCTGACTGTACCCTTCACAAACAGCTTGTCTACGTCATGCTCAATATGGCAGGGGCGGATCAACGGCAAGACGACCTTTTCATGAACGAGAACATCTTTTCCAGAGGGAAAAGCGCGCTCAAGGGGTTAAAGGTATGCTGGCACCGGATATGCATGTCTGACAGACTCTGCCCCAGCTAATACCATCGACTCTATAGGGAGTCGAAAATGTATACACCCAACATACTCCACACCTTTGTCAGACCTTAGATCTTTTGCTAAAGGGACGGCTAAGGGAGACGAGTTACCCGTTTGTTGAAGGCGACGAGCACGCCAGGACCCAGCGCCCGCAGGACATCATCATCTTCATGCTCGGAGGGACGACGTACGAGGAGTCACGAGCGGTCGCCCTGCTCAATCAGCAACTGGCGGGACAGGCCAGGATACTACTCGCTGGTACGAGTGTACACAACTCGAAATCGTTCTTGGACATGATGGGCGACTCTGCTCTACACCACTCTCCCAGTGTCTATGCAGCACCTAGCGGTGTCGCAAACGCGACGTCACTCGCCAGTAATCCTGGTTCAACACCTCAGGAAGCCGCAGCTAGCTCGAGCGTAGCACCACCGAATAACACTTCGGGCATCAACTTGCGTGCGGGAGGGTACGAGATCTCGGTTGGCGGTGCGGCTGGTTCAGGCCTGTATCGAGCGAGTGGAACCAATTCGAACGAAATCGGAGCGAGTTTCCAGATAGACGGCTTGCGAGATGGAGCGAGGAACTTCTTTGGTAATCTCAGGGAGAGGGTGGGCGAGACGGTGCAGCGAGTAGGATCGCCGAGAGCGGAGTGAGCCGGGAGAGTGGCCTGGTATCCCTGTAGTCTTGCCCTTTCGACTTTCGAGATTCTTCTTGTATACCCGCTTTTTCGTTCGGTTGTACTGCATACCCACTTTGAGCCGCATCTGATCGATATAAAAGCGCCGTCCCGCCTCGTCTCCCGTCTGATACAAGACTTCCTCTCCTTCGTCTGAATACACCATACATCCAACTCGACACCGTTTAGTGAGAAGAAGAGGAAGCAGTCTTCCTGAACGAGTTGGGGAGCATTCGGAGCTGTATAGAATAGCGGGGGGAATGTTAGTATTTGGCCGTACCAGATACCTTTAATAGAGCAGCTTACATCGGAACCGTCCTTGTAGACTGTGACGGATAGGTATATACCGACCGGTCGAGCACGATAGCAAGCGGATACAATGTAGCCGAACAGCATGGATTGTTGTGTATGCATTAGCAGATCGTCCCGAATATACAATCTTGGTGACCTTGAGCTGAAGCTGACTTACGTTGACGGGCAAGAGCGTAACCTCCACCGACACAAGCGGCAACGACACAAACCAGCATGGGGTAGAGTTCGACGGGGATGTCTATAGATCGTCCATACAATACATCAGCTTGGGGATTGTTACGAATCCGCTAGGTATCAACTCACCCTTCAAACCGAATCGGAAAGCCTGAGGAATATCATCCAAAACAAACACCAATGCCGCACATTCCCGATTAGCTCATTTTCGATCGCCAGCACCATCAAAATAGGACCAGACGAAGAGTTCGACGCACCAACTTGGCCTTGTCGTCGGTCCTGTTACCGGCGTTGTCGTTCAACCATCGCCTAGCGACCATCTGGTTGGCAGAGACCTGGACCCGGGCGGCACGGGGGGTGGCACGGAGACCGACTCGGGCGACGTTGATAGCAGGGAACATTGTGCTTTTTGTTCGGACTAGGAATGAATTAGGAGAGTAGCGAGTGTGATTCGTGTAGAGTGAGCTGTACGTGTTTGAGATGGCAGGCGGAGTCGATATATCTCTGGAAGCTTGGAGGTCAGCAGTACTCGAACCGACTTGCCTGTTGGCTCGGCCCCCCCCCCCCTGATTCCCCGGAACCGAGCGCTACACGATTCCACCAAAGTCGCGCTTCTGCTTGTCCCCGCGGGGTTGGAGCGTTCCGATCAAGTGTTTCACCCCGTCTCGAAGAGCGTCGCTAGACTACTGACATCGGCACCTAGCCTCATGGTCGTTACTAGGATCTCGTAGGTTTATACTTAACGAGTACTTCAAATCAGCTGCATCTCGCGTCCGGGCTTGTGCCGCTCGTTCCTCATCAAGATCAGATGCAGATGATGGTTCCCCTTGGGATGCATATTGTCGTGTTACAAATCGGCCGCTGACCGTACTGCTTACAACCTACTAGTTCACTAACATTCCATATCTATTCCCTCTCATCGCACAACCCAGATTGTGCACGCTATACCGTATCTTCTCCGGGCAAGACCGCCATCTGGACCGTCGTCAACGCTTTCAGGCAGGTCGCCAGAATCAGAACAGAAGTCGCTCCACCTGTATACCTGTGCATATACGCTCCACTGTATGGTACGAGAAACGGGTTGAAGAAGAGGAAACGCGATGTCAGAATTTGGGTCGGATGGGATTGGGCGGAGCCAAGTATGGTTCAAATCGAGACCAGGACTCACATCAAACTCCCACCCATCAGACACGTGATATAGATCGCCCTCCTGTTCCTACTCTTCACGCACCCTCCCGCCGTCCACTTCTTGTACAAAGCCTTGTCGGTAGCGAACTCGATGAACGGGCTGGTAAGCATAGCCGTGGGCACCTCTTGAACCCCGCTCGTCTTTGCCATGGCCACCTGAAACCCGGCCGAAGAGGCTAAGAGGAGGAGTGTGATCCATTGACTTGCGCGGTGGGTGGATTCGAGGATATGGATGGAAGGGGAAGAGAGGATGGTCACCAGGAGGAGGATGACGAGTTGTACGAGATTGCTCATCAACAACCACCCTCTGTTCCGGTTGCCCATCCAGTTTCCCAGTTTGCCAGCTACGAGCCCGCAAAATAGAAAGCCTCCCAGAGAAGCTGCGGTATTGTGGAGTTCCACCGGAGCGGCATTGGCAGCGGCGAGCGTGAGGAGGATGGCATTCCCCGTCTGGTTCGAAGCAAAGACGTTGAACGAGGAAAACGTGGATGCGTCCAGAAGTCCCGTAGTGAGCGTGACGATGAGTAGTGGGATGAGGAGGTTGTCCGAGGGAATAGTTTGGCGGAAGAATGGGATATGGGGCCGGTGGGAGACTGAATCGTCGGGATGGCAGGTTCCCTTTGGTTCTTCGTCCGGCTGGCAAGTGGGGTTTGTTGACGTCCGCGTGCCCACGTCTGAATGAGAGACGACATGGATATCAAATCAGTCAGAGAACCAGCTCTATACTTTTGAGTAGCGTATACTGACCATCAATTCTGTGGCTGGAAGCCGATGACTCTGCGTCCCGTTCGACATCTTGTACGTAGACCATCGTTGTCGAAAGATCGATCTCGGATGACTGCTTGATCGCGCGAGAGTTGTTCATTTCCCTTCGAGTATTGAGGTATTTCGAGATTTATGGAGATGTGGTCCGCTGGCCGCTGGTGATATCTTTCAAACTCCTGATAATGGCAGAACGACATCCTTACATCTCCACGACGTAGTACCCTCGAGTCTTCCCCCATGATTGATTGCTCTCGGCGCTGTCGGCTTGTCCTCGAGGCGACATTTCCTAATAACGATCGATCTTGCTCTTGATCCCATGATCAACCCGAGTAGCTCCACCTGTTATTCCTGTTTTGACTGACTGTGCCGAGACTATCGGTCTGCGCGGAAAGAGGGGAGGAGGGAGGGTGAGGGTGTGTCCATCGTTCCGAATATCGAGAAGATTACGAATTGAAACCCTTCCCCCCCCCTTTCGGATGAAGCCGTGTATCCCGAACCCACGTTGATCGAATTTTGCTTCCGCGCAGTTCAACCATCTACGAATCATTCCCTCGCTTGTCTCGCGTAAATCTCCTCGCAGCATAATCATGAAACGCCGAAGGGGGAAGCAGAGTCTTTGAGGCACAGATACAGGCCTCGGGCGGCATGGGACACTCGAAACATACACACTCGATCCTTTCTTGTCTACCCTTCTTTCATCATGGCTCTACTTGGGTCGCTCAAGCAGAATGGCTTGACCTATACATCGCTACCAATGATCGCAAGACCGAAGTTGATGAACACTTTGCTCGAGGTCTGCAGGTGTGCTCGAGCTCAGACGGGACAACGAGTCTGGCACATCACTGAGGAGGTGCTCCCCCTTGACCGATAACTTTACTGTTCATGAGTGGACCAGGCTTTGATGGGATACTCTGGAATGGCATGTGCTTCTTCACGATTGTCACATAAAGCTCTCACCCGAATATATGCTGAGACTCTGATCATGCATAAAGTATATCGTATCGTACAAAGTGCTTGTCTCCCGTTCAAGCAACCGGTCGGTTCTCGATACCAGCAGCCTCGGTCTGAACCTCTGACCCAGCCAGACCCGCGCCCTCCGTCTCGCCACTCTCAAGCTCGACCTCCCCTTCCTCCCCGATCCACCCCTCGCCCGCCCGTTCTCCCAACCACTCGACCGCTCTGACGTCCAGCACGACCCACTTTCTCCTCAAGACCTCGTACGCCTCGACCTCTTCCACAGGGATGACCTCGACCTTGGGCACATTGTTCACACACCGGGCCATATTGATCAAGTCACTGTATTCCTTTTCCGTCGTTGGAGGTCCAGCGATGAAGAGGATGGACAGCTCGTCCGGATGTCCGAATCGGACCTGTCGACTCGTATCGGCGTTCACGGCCTGCTCGTCGGCTTCTCCGACCTGTTCCTCCTCTTCAGCTTCGTACATCGAATCCTTTACGCCAGCCTTGTCATCGGCCAGAGCCGCGACGGCGTTTCTCGTCCTCTTCCACTGAGCCTCGCCTAGATCGTTGACGATCCTCAACAGTCCGCTGGAGAGCTTGGATGAGAGGGCGACGTGTAGTCCAAGTTGGCGGACTTTTCGGGGCAACAGCTGGGTGAAATCTCGAGGATGAGGACCGTGGATCGTTCCTCCTCCTCGACCTGCATGCGATACGAAGCTCACAAGGTCAGCGTCGAAGTGTTGTGATATCGAGGATGGAATCGTCTTCAGATCGTGTCAATCGAACTTACGGGTTCCACTCCCAGCGCTACCCGCACGAGCCTTTCCGGTACCCTTTTGCCTGTACAGTTTTCGTCCAGAGTACGCTACCTCTGCTCGAGTCTTGCTCGATCCCGCGCCCTATCGAAAAATCGACGTCACGTCCTCATGTCAGTGTACTGCAAGATCTGGCGAGCTTTACCGGAGCGAATGAGGGCGCGAAGGACTCACCTGTCGAAGGTTGGCGAGGTAGTAAACGGAACATCTGTGCAGGATATCTCGCCTCAACGGTTGCGCGAAGACGGTCGGAGGGAGGGGAACGGCGAGTTCCTTTTTAACAGGCGAACCCAGATAGTTTCATCTGGTCAGCACGAAATACGTCTCCGTCCATCGAAACTACCTCTGGCTCACCTCCGGGCTGGGGAGGGTCGGGTTGGGCGAGGCGAGCGAGGAGATAGGGAGGTAGCTGATAGGTTTGGACAACAGCGAGTTTGTTTCTCCTGAAAGACCTGCGAGAGGGTCAATCGGCATAGATGAGAAGTCGTCAGCTTTGATTCCTTGCTAATGAAAACAGCGCAACATGAGAAACCCACCATCCTCGCTCTCCAACATTTTCAATACGCTATCCGTCACGTCCACATCCCCACCAGGAAAGACCGGCTGCGCAGTGAGACCTTCAACTCCTCCTACAACGCCTTCTGAGAGCGGCTCGGGCGTTGAAGTTGACGTCGAGGTGGATGCGGCAGGATAGGGTGCTTGGGTAGCCAGAGTCCTGGAGATGAATCTAGGTGTTCGAGAGAGCTGTTCCGATGGCAACAAGGTAACAGTGTACGTGTTAGCCCACAGCATAGGATCTCTCGGATAAGGAGATGGTATGGAGGAAGGTGAAAGATGGGAAAGACTTACCCTGACGGCCGGAGCGAATACGGATCGGACAAAGCTCATTTTTCCCTCCCTTTTGGTCTAGTCTTCGGGCTTGTGAAAAGTTGTACCGATCGGGCTTCCTGATTGAGTTTCGGGAAAGCAACGAGACCGAACCGATAGTGATTGGTATGAATTCTAAGACAAGCGGTGAAGCGGACAGCTAGCAGACTGAAGAAGGATCAAGTCAACGTGATGATCGTGATATCTAGAAGACTAGATGGTCGTCGACTTTGTGTGGTCAAAGTTCAGGGGAAACCCATGGAACGCGCAAAGTCTTAGCTCAAGTCTCTCCCTCTTCCTCGTACGGTGACGACTGCAGCAGCGAGCAAGTGCAGTTCCTCGATCATCATCGCAGTGTCCACCCGTCATGTCCATGGCTGACGATTGAGAGAGAAGAGATCTCCTTAGCATTTCTATCCACGGGCAGGTTTCACTTGGTGAGCAGGGCCAACAATCCCTGTCTTCGATATACCTTGTCGCTGAAATTCCTCGTTACAAATTTCGTTCCGCAGAAAACCTGGGATGATCTCCTGTTCGAGACATTCTCTTTCCTGAATAATATCCAAGACTCTAGCTTTTTCGATACTTCGATATCTTTTCGGTTCACGTTCAGCTGGACAATCACCACACGTGCACACCTTTCCGCTCCAGCTAGATTTCAGTTAGCGGACCGCGAAACGACGGAACGCCTACTTGACAATCTCTGCCTCCTTTTTCGCCAAAATCCATGTCCGACGCTGGAAACCATTCTGAACATAGACAAGATAGAATTGTAGGCTCAACAGTAATAGGCGACGGCGACAAACCCGACGCAGCCAGACCTCGACACGCTCTCCCCCTGCCTCCTCATTCCGTGCGCTCGACATTATCGAACAAGACCCTCCCTACACCCCCTAGCCTTCCAGCTCGACCGTCAGCTGCTCTCAGGCTTGATCCTGCCGCTCTCCGGTTACCCACCTCGTCTTCTGCCGGTTCTCGACGATCAGGAACCTCGAACTTCCGACCAAGATCACGATCGAGGACGCCTGAACGGTATCGGGACAGGTCTTACCTACCCCCACCTCCGGCTCGCCGATACACCGGTCGACGTTCCCCTTCCCCTCCACCACCATCTTCAGCTACCTCGAATCGACGAGCAGTAGAGCCGAGAGAAAGAGATAGAGACAGGGAGAGCCGTCTGAGGGAACTTGATCAGGAGCTCGATAGCTATAGACAAGGCGACGGGTCGAAATCTTCACCCCAACCCCAGTCTAGGTCGGACAGTCGATACAGCAGAGCCGAACAGGAAGAGTCGAGATATAAAAGAGGTCGAGATACATATCCTCGATCGGAAAGATACCCCGAATCTAGCCGCCGAGAATCTCCTCTTCGTTCGGGATCACGCGGACCTAGAACATATCGCGCATACTCTCCTAGCCCAGTAAGAAGAAGAAGGTCTCCTTCACCTGCACCTAGGAGAGGTCAAGAGGATCGCATCTATCAGAAAAGGAGAGCGATATCAAGATCGAAATCTAGATCAAGGTCAAGATCCCCGCTCACCCCGCCTCTGCCTTCATTGACATCTGCATCGACGTCTGGGAACACCACTGCGACTCTTAGTCTTCACGAGAGAATTTTTGGTACCGCTACCAACAGCAACAACAACAAAAACGGAGTATCCGAGGATAGAGCCTCTGGCATCAAACGGGAACCTGAACAGCGAAGGGAACAATCTTCAGCAAAGCGGGTGAAAGAAGAAGAAAGAGAATCAGTCGAAGTCGATAGGTACTCCCGCGATCGACACGCAGAACCGATCCTCAATTCTCCACCTGCCAAGCGACGCAAGCTAGAATTAGAACCAGAGCGCGAAGATACCCGAGCGCGTCAACCCGAATCTAAACCTCTTATACCTACTGGTCCGAGAGCGTCTCGACCTGCCGCATCTACACCTGGATCCATACCTACTGGACCTCGATCGTCGATCGTTCAACCGCCCAGGAACAACTTCAACAACCCTCGGTTCGGCAACAGCAGTAACGCAGCTGCCGCGCAAGCTTCACAACCTTCAGCTTACGCTAGGAACGGATCTTCTGCTCTCGATACGGACGATATGAGCGGACGTGGACGAGGCGCAAAGAACGGCGCGGGAGGTGGGAAGAAGAGCAGGAATTCCAGTCGAGGTAGTTCTAGCGGGGGTCGCGCTGCAAAAGGATTAGGGATGACGAAACAAAAGGAACTGTTGCCCTTATTGAGCGGTCCTAAGAGGACGAGGGCGCAGATCACGGAAGAATTTGGGCAGGGAGGAAGGCTGGATGTGAAGCAAGCTTGGGTGGACAACCCGAAATCGCCGGTAGCGAACTGGTTCGGGGCTGGGAAGGGGAACGGCTCGGTACCGTATGAGATGGAAAAGGGGATATTGGGTACCGAGGTGATCTACAGGGTCAGTATCGTGCTAGACGCCTATGGCGGATACGTAGGTGTCGGAGACAGCGCCGACAAAGCAGAAGCAGAAAAGCTCGCGGCTCTGAGCGCATTATATCAGCTGGTATCGCATAGAATGGTGAGCACAGCTTATTCCCTTGGGCACGGTCCCTTGCGCTTGATTAACTGTCTTTTTTGGGTGATCAGATAAACAGACCGCTGATGGGCGGTTCGGGAGGCGGAACTGCCAATGCGTCGGGTGCGACGACCCCGAAGGAATCCTCGGAGACCGTCAAATTGTCAGACGGGACCCTCGTGACATACGAAAAAGCCCGACTGTTCATGGAATGGTACTGTCAGAACTTCAATTTCGGTAAACCCGATTTGTCGTACGATACGGTGGCTAAGGGTCGCAGCAAGCACAAGATCACCGAGTGGGAGGCTGTCATGACGGTTGGCGGGCGCAAGATCGGGGTGGCTACCGCTGCCAACAAAAAGCTCGCATTGAAGCTTTGCTATCTCGATGTCGCCCAATATCTCGAGAGCTGCGATCCTCAGCTTTGGAACACCTTTAAGATGCAGGACGGAGGAAGTGTCAGAGAGGACGTGAGGAAAGCGCCACACCTGACTTTCATGTGTTCCGACAACTTGGTCGAGCTCGTGCGCGAGCTGTGTAGTGAAGCCAGGAATTCCAACCTTTTCAAAAAGGCACCTACGCCCAACACCGTAGCCCCGCCTTTGGTCGTCGCCCACCAGCCGTTCTCGATGCCTCCTAGAGCAGCTCTGAAGGGCAGGTCTGACAAATTATCAGATCAACTGAAGGATTATGAGGCGGACCAGACCTCTAGCGTCAAAAAGATGCGAGAGCTTCGAGCTTCCCTTCCCATCTATCCTTACAAGAGGGAGATTCTGAGGGTCATCGACGAGAACGAAGTCACAGTGTGAGTCGCGGTGGCCTGAGCATGGCGAAGCATGTGACCTAACGCTTTCTTGCAGCTTGACGGCGAATACTGGATCCGGAAAGAGTACACAGACGCCGCAATACATTCTGGATGACTACATCCAAGCTGGAAAAGGGGCAAATTGTCGAATCTTGGTAACACAACCCAGACGAGTAAGTTTGCTTCTGCCCGGAACGATACCTGCAGTCGATCACTGACCATGTGCAATATTGATAGCTCGCTGCCCTGGCTCTGGCTGATCGTGTTTCGGACGAGCGAAACTCGAAGATTGGGCGGGAGGTCGGATACCATGTCAGGTTTGACGCCAAGCTTCCAGAGGACAACGGTAGCATCAGTAAGTGGCCGCTTTATTATATCTTCCCATATAGCGGAGAGCTGACCACTCGATCTGCTCGTAGCCTTCATGACAATCGGTATCCTTCTCAAACGGTTGCAGTCGGCGCTCTCACATCAAGACGAGATCACATGGTTCGACTCAGTTTCCCACATCGTCCTGGATGAGGTCCACGAGAGAGATCTTGATACAGACCTTCTGCTGGTCATTCTCAAGCGAATGCTCAAGACGAGAAAGGCAGCCGGACTCCACGTTCCCAAGATTCTGCTGATGAGCGCGACCATCAACGCGGACCTGTTCAGAAACTACTTCAAGAACGATCGAGGCCAGAAGGCTCCCCTTATCGATGTTCCAGGAAAGACATATCCTGTTACGAGAAACTATTTGGATGGGTTCATTGGAGATTTGCAGCATCGTTCGAATGCTGCTGGTAGTTGGGTCTTCCAGGTCCGTGTTGGCGGCCAAGCGCGCTTGTTGCTGTACACTAAGACTGCTCATGGCGAAAACAGGATAAGCTGGTTAGGCAATACCTCGATGCGGACAATGCCATGGGAGGCTACCAGAACCCGAACGAGAAGGAGATCGATTTACCATTCCCTCTTATCGCTTTGACCATTTCTCACGTCGTACAACAGCATCAATCCGGTCGTGAGTGATGTTACCTTGATGTCGACATAGCAGGCCCATTTATTGATATCAAATCATGACTACCCACAGACGTGCTTGTTTTGTAGGTCGATGCTACGACAATGCAATATGTTCCTAAGCGCTAACCAAACCAAATCCATCAGCTTACCGGGTCTGGAGGAAATGAAGCGGGTCTCAAAGGTGCTTCTAAACGAAGATCGCCGATCACCGCTTCCAGTCAACTTTTCCAATAGCGCCAAATATCGCGTACATACCTTGCATTCCACTACACCCGTAGCAGAGCAACGCGAGGTCTTTGTTGCCGCCCCGGACGGTGTGCAGAGGATCATTCTAGCCACCAACATTGCCGAAACGTCGGTAACTATTCCTGGCACTACTGTCGTTGTAGACAGTGGTCGGTCCAAAATCAAAATTTACGATCCGAGTCGACATGTCTCTTCCCTAGTCACTTCATGGGCTGGCAGCGCCAACCTCGACCAACGAGCAGGACGAGCAGGTCGTGAAAGACCCGGCGATTACTATGCCGTCTTTGGCTCGAATCGACTAAGGTCTCTCCGCCCGCATCAAGAGGTGGAGATGCTTCGACTCGACCTATCTGAGGTAGTCATGCATGTGAAAGGTTAGTTCGCCTCGTGACTGATATATTTGAAGTATACCACGCTGACATGATCGTGTGTCCAGCGCTGAACATCGGAATGGTTGAGGACGTGCTGGAGCAAGCAATCGAGCCCCCAGCTGCAGAGCGTGTCGAAGCCGCTCTCTCAATGTTGCGACTTCTCGGAGCCTTGGATAGTCGGCAGAACGTCCTGCCTCTGGGTAAAATCCTCCTGCAGGTACCTTGCGATGCTCGTCTCGGCAAACTGCTCCTGTTTGGAACTGTGTTCAAGTGTCTTTCCCCGTGAGTTGTCCCGAAGCCCGGTCGACAATCGATTTCTGACTGATTCATGGCCTCTCTAGAGCTCTTACCATTGCGGCGATTCTCGGTAGCCGGGATCCCTTCCTAGCCCCTCCTCATCTGCGAGAGCAATCTAACGAGATCAAGAACTCGTGGTCACCCAAACATTTCCGTTCCGACGCTCTGTGTGTAGAAGCCGCGTTCAACGCTTGGTGGGAGATGCAATCTCGAGGAGACTATTCCGAAGCCAACAGATTCCTCAACGACAACTTGTTGAGCAAACCTACAATGCTGGGCATTCAGCAGATCAGAGAGCAGTTATACGACGCTCTAGTGCACGCGAATGCCTTGACACTGATCACCGGCAAGCGATACGTGCGCCGACGAAGGTTGCTAGTCATACCGGCGGACTTTGACGTCAATGCCGACAGCTTACCACTGAAAGCGGCCTTGATCTCGATCGGTTCCATACCCAACTTCGCCATCCGCACAAACCCCAAGATGTGCCGAACCGCGCAGGACAACGTAAGCATTACAATGGATATTGAAGCTTGTCAGCCTGCTTACCGCGTGACCGATTGCACCCATCTCCAGAATTGCTTGATTCACGTTAGCAGTGTCAATACCAAAAAGCGTGAAGATGCGACTCCGATCATTGCAGATGGCGTCTTTGCCGGGGAGAAACGGCTGTATACCTTCCAAGAAAAGGTGGCAAGCGCGCAAGGCTCGATGTCTGCCCCAAAACAGCTTCGAAATGTGACGAGAATCGATCCTCTGACCTATCTTCTCTTCGGAGCTTCCCACATGAGGGTCTTGGAGAATGGTTTGGGTAAGTTGCGGGATTCACAAACGGTACTGGGGACACACGTTGACTATTTGGCTTGCGTTTACAGAGGCGGATGATTGGCTCCCCATCACTGGCAACTTGGACGCTCTCGACGATATCCAGAGGTTGCGGATCGTGATGGATAGCTGTTTCCTCCGAGTCTGGGAAGGTCTCGACTACCTGAACAGGGTCAGAGCGCCTGCACGCAAGAAGGCGCCTACCGAGTCGCGTGCTGCATCTCCGACGCAAGATGATGACGCTGAGGAGGAGGAAGAGCAGGCCGAGTTCGGATTGTACGACGAGGAGCTTGACAAGATGGGACGAGGCTCCGCGAGGCAGACGGACAGGGACAGTGAGGGAGCGCTTTCGTCGGACGAACTGATCGAGCTTGGATACCTGTCATCCGACGTAGTGCGTATCCTCGACGCCTTTGCACAAGAGAGAGCCCCCGATCTGTCTAGGGCAACGACGAGACCGTCTACACCCTTCTGAATGGGGGGTTGTCGTTTGAGACGGCTGCACGTTGACGATTGGTATGTCTATCTCATGATCTTGTGTACAACTAGGCGTTCATTATGGACAGGTCATCAAACCATACAATGCTGTGCCCGAACTTTCTCGTTTGAACTTCCGTCATCCTTGTCTTTGCTACTATATTTAATGTCATGCGGCCATGATGCTTCGTCGTCGCCAAAGCTAACTTGCTTTTGATGCTCGCGTTTGTTCTCAAACGCCCCGTGGTGAACATCATCGTATCTTTCCCTGTTGGCAGGAGCTCGAAGAGGTCCCTGTGCGGTAGGCGAAGGGGGTGTGATACTGAATACTGGCCGGCTGCCTTTGTCGTTGTAAGCAGGCGGAGGCCCATCCAGATCAGGAATGTGGAAACTCTCTCTCGCAGGCGTCCTCACTCTCATGCTGTTGAGCATCTTGAAGATCCCACCAATCCCTGCAACACGACGTTCGATCTCGGTGTCATCCAAAGTGGCAGCGAAAGCGGCGGTATTTTCGCGCCTGAGTCGCCTCGATCGCCGGATCCACCAAAATATCGTCAGGCCGATGGCCAGGAGCAGCAATACTACGAGTAGATAAGGCCACCAGAGTGTCTCCTTGGAGAGATCGCTCCGCAAACATATGCCTAGACTGTCGACGAACGTGCATGATGTAGGCATGCATGTCCCGTCCTTCATGATCGCTCCGTTCGCGCACGACACGCATTGATTGACCTCGGGTCCGATGCATGATGTGCAGTTGCTAGCACAGGTGGTGCACAATGCCGTCGATGTTTCCCAGTAGGAGGAGATGGGACAGACGGCGGAGCATCTCCCCTTGGCGAGAATGGGGGCCGAGGCTGGGCACGACAGGCACAAGCCGTCTTCCGAACAGCTCGCACAGTCCGAGGGACAGGGTATACAACGCCCTAGTCTGTCATTCTTGGTGGTTCCGGACGGGCAGGATGTCACGCAATCTCCAGTGACAGTGGCGTATTCACCCGGTTTGATACACGAAGAACACTGCGTCGCGCTCGTATGGCAGGACGCGCATTTTGTCTGGTCGCAGGCTGCTCGCAGATCAGCAGAGACAAGAAACACTTCAGCATGGGGGAGACTTGTATTCGTAAGTGAAAATGATCGGCACCCACCTTCACACGTCCCGTTAATATTAGGGGAACCCTCAGGCAGAAAGTACCCCGTCTGGCATTCCTCGACGCATTTGCCACTTTGCAAGACCCATCCCTCTTGACAAGCGGTACAGACCGTGTCATTCCATACCGAAGTGATCGAGAATGAAGGTACTGCGCAGGCAAGACAACCGCTTGGACATGCTGGTAATATGTGTGAAGCCGAGTCAGAAGCGTCGCAACGAACGGTACCAAAGAGTGTTGAAACACACCTTCACAGCGCCCCTTGGCGTTATTGGCAACGTAGACTCCTTTCAGATCGGTCGAAGAAGAATCGCAGATCCCGTTCAATCCATCGTATCCCACGCAAGTCCCGTTCAAGTTGAATCTGTGAAGCGAGACCAAGTGGATTAACATGAGCGACCGCAAAGTCAATCTCAATCAGTCTGCGGCTTACCTCGGACTGGCGCATTCGAGGCATTGGTCGGCGCCCGATCCTGTGCATGTAGTGCATGCCGGGGAACATCTAACGGAATATGCCAAACACGTTCAATTCAAGCGAACCGTTTCTTGCGGGCTCAATCGATACCCAAACTCACCTAGTGCAAGCAGACCCATCCCAGAACTGACCGTCCGTGCAACTAGCTTGTCCGCCGGAAGGTACACAACTCCCGGTTGCTGCGTTGATAGAGTATCCACGAGAACAAGTTAAGGCCCGGGTCGAAGATTGGCAAGTTAATGTACCCAAAGGACATGCTATACAAAAAGCAGATTCGGTAACGACAGATGAGTATGACGCTTGACGTAGTATTCCGCCTTAAAACGCGACTAGGCCGACTCACCTTGACAATCCCCCTCTTCGCTTAGGAAGAACCCAGCGGCGCAGGCTGAACACCTCTTCCCGTCCGCGTCCGCCCATCCAGCCGAACATTCACAAGTATCCCCTGAAGTACACGTCCCATGTAGACATCCACAAGCTGCGATCGTATCAAGCAAGAATCAGGTATTTCGTCAGCTCGCTCTCCGAAGGACTCGACATTTGCAACAAGGACCGGTCGAGGGCTTACCTTGCGTACTATTCCCCAAAACCCCTAAACACCCGCCAGTCCCCGTGAATCCATCATTACATCTCCCCGTACTCTCCACTCCTGCAGCTCCGCTATAACACTGAGCCGGACAAGTTTGACACTCCGGCCCGTAATGCCCGGGAAGACACTCTTCGCAAGTCGGGCCTGTGAATCCGGGGAGGCAGGTGCAGGTGAATGAGATTGAAAATGGGAGTTGTGTGGACGAAGTTGTCGAGTTTGTTAAAGGAGAGGCGGAGGAGTTGGAGGAGGCAGACGTCTGACTGGGGGTTGTTGAAGGGAGACAAGACCCTCCCGGCCCACAAGCCGGGAAACAAGCGTCTACGCACGATCGAAACGACATCAGTATCATCATCCCATGTCCCCCATCTGACCTTGTGTATTGTTGCGCTACCACGCAGGGGGACTCACCGCTCTCGAACCTCCCTTTCCCTGCGCCCATGCTCAGATCCAAGCTCCTGACCTCTCTTCCTAATCCTTGTCGCATGGGAACACTTCCCCGGAACACGACGTTCCTATACCTCTCATCCCCTCCTGGGAAAGAAAGGTACACCCCGGGTGGGAGGTAAAGCGATTCCCATTCCACATTCGTGTCTGTGTTCGCGGTCGTAGAGGTAGTGTTCGGAAGGATGGGATGCGGAACCGAGTTGTATCCCGAAGAGGTAAAGGTCGTCGGTCCCGCTGGTCCTGTGACGATCAATGGCCATCCTCCATTTCCTTCCTCTTCACCTTTGTCAGAAGTTGTGTTCCCACTCTTCGAACCCGAGTCCAGAGGGAAATAGAAAGAAGAACCTTCAGAAGGCTCGACCCCTGCGGACCAAGAGGGGAAATCGGCCAAGAACGATTCCGACGTGGGTAAGAGTTTCGCAGCGGGAGAGTCCGATGTGTAGGTCCCGGGGAGGAGGTTGAGGGTGGTGCGTGAAGAGATCTTTATCCCGACTATCATGGCATCGCATCGTTCGTTAAGCAATGGTATCCTCGGATAGTCAGCTGAGATTGAAAGGAGAAGAGAGGGACCTGATAGGGGCTCACCCTGTACGATAGTATCCGACTTGACGCATTCATCCGGCGTGCAGAGATACTGCTCTCGTATCCGTTCCGCATCTACGAGGTTTACCACCAGGGTCCACAATACAACTTGAAGGAGATTTGAGAACATTTCGACGAGGTGAGCGTGTGATGGAGTTGAAAGTGAAAGTGGAGTTGGAAGGAGGTGCGGTTGGTAGAATTCGAGGTTGTGGGGGTGTCGTGTCAAGGTTCTCGAGATCAGCGACGCGGGAGGTCACCGGCACACATATAACGACGACTCACCTTTCAACGTATATCTCAACTGCTCCTCCCATTTCCCATCTCCCTAGCTCCTTGTTTCATGATTGACATTCGTTTGTTGTGTTGTCACTGTTCTCACTTTGTCTATTGGTCCGACCTGCGCGACCTGAACGGTTCGTCTCTTTTGTTCGACCAAAGACGAGAATCGCGCGCGCGCCAACAAGACAAAAGAGGGAAAGACACCCGCGTCTGGAAACATGAAACGCGTACAAGAATCGTCATATAGGATCCAGGAACAGTTCCCCTTCTGCATCCGTTTGATTAAGACTATGCTAGTCTGTTATATGAGGTACAACGAATTAAATAACTTTCAATCTAGCGCGCTCGACCCCCTCGAAACCCGCGCTAATCGAGGCGAATCAACTCCACCCCTCGATCTTGTCTTCCTCCTGCTGTTCCGCACTCGGTTGTTCCATCCCAGTGCCATCGTACGCTTCCATCTCCTCTCCACCTTCCACCGTTCGATCTCCACCCTCATTGTCATCGCCTGCACCGGTGGCGCCTTCTTGCTCCTGGTCATCGCCCATGTACCCCATATCCATACCCATGCCGATGTCCATCATCTCCCCCTCCACACCCACGCCCATCCCTACGACCGCCGCCGCAGCCGCCGCAGCATCCATAGCCCCATTCAGACTCATCTCCAGCTGCTCGCTCCCTTCTTCCCCGACTTCCTCCGGCTGATGATGTCCAACCTCGGCACGGTCGTCCGGGTCGTCATGCTCGTGCGCGTGTGGATCCCGATGTTCTGGGTCTTGATGTTCGTCATACGAATGCGGATCATGATGACGCGTCTGATCGTCTCCCTCGACCCCACGTCTTGTTCTCAAATCGCTGACGTTTTCCGTCCCGCCATTACCCCGATGTACTCCGAAACCCGTCCCTGCCACTGAGGCAGACGACAGTGACGGGGCCGACGTCTGGAACACCGGATCGAGGTTATTCGGATCCGTTTCTAATGTATCTGGATAGGCTGGGTGCTGATGTGAATGTGGATGTGACGAGTACTGCTGCTGATCGTGCGAAGAAGGCGTCTGACGTCCGTCTTGCTGATGCTGATGCTGATGCTGCTGTAGGTGGTGTTGAGGATAATGGTTGTACCCCTCCTGCTCATCCTCTTGCTCATCGAGCCGATCTCTCTCATCGCCATTCCCATGCCCATGCAACGCTTCTTGCATCCCCCGACCCATCTCTGCCAAGGTCGTCGAATCCAGCGCTCCAAAAGCATCCTCGTCATTCACTCCGCCTACGCCCATCATCCCTCCCAGCCCGCTCGGATCGTGATCGTGACCGTGATCGTGAACGTTCGGATCCAGCTCCATTCCGTGCCCATGTGCGGAAGATCCAGCCTCCTGCATCTGCAATCCCGCGAGCAGAGCTGCATCCTCGTCCATCATCTTGGCTTTCCCCTTCCCTTTGCCCTTCCCCGTTGTCTTTTTCCGAGATACAGCCTCCCCACCAATCTCGACGTCAACCCCACCCCCGCTCCCTGCCGCACCCGCCGTCCCCCCCTGCCTGACCACCGCCACAGCCGGCCCGCTCCTGATCTTCTTCCTGATCGGTTTCCCACTCTTGCTATAATCCGGCAAGTGGTTATGTACGCCCGAACGGAGCGAAAAGGTAAACTTGTTCGAGATCGGGTCGGTACGGTGGGCGTAGAGGTTGAACGGGCAGTCGGTCTTTGACGTATGAGCTTTCCGGCGTCGGGTCTCGCTCGTCCGCGTTTCTCGGTGTTTACCCGATTTCGAACATCTGTCACGGTCGAACCGATTCCGTACGCAGATGTCAGTCTATCGATATCTCACGATACGCGAGTCCCGCCAGATGACGTGAACATGAAACTGACCTCAAATTGGCCGCTCGCAAAACCCCCTTTTTGCTCCTCGTCGGGTTATAGATAGAAACGCTGAACCCATTCTCCCTCGCCTTGGCAGCGACAAACTCGTACAGCTCATCAAACGTCTCAAACTCCATCGGCTCAAACTCTCCCAACGCCTGCAATCCCATAGGAGCTGGCATGAATATGGGCGTATGATGATTGTGGTTGTTCGTTGCCTGACCCTGACCATGGCTCGAGCTCGGACCCGCTTGTGGGTGCTGATCCTCGACGTTCATGGTCATCGAATCAGCCTCGGGATCCAGTTGAAGCGGGAGTGGAAGCGGAATGTCTTCGGGAAGTCCGACGATCCGTTGCGGATCGCGTAGGTTGAGTTGATACGCGTCCGACATGGCATTAGGATCGGTCCCTAGCATCTCTAGGGAAGCTTCGAGGTCGGGATGGTGATGATGATGATGATTGTGGGTCTGGTGTTGATGAACATGTCCATGGGCTTGTTGGGAATGCGGATCCAACTCGTGGTGAGAACTCAGAGCGATCTCAGCCAACGTCCGCTCATCCCTCGAGACCCCTTGCTCATCCACCTCGGCATGTTCCTCATGATGCCCGTTATTCGTATGATGATGATGAAGGTGCTCCTGCTGGTCTTCGGAAACGTCCACGCCGTCATGTAACGGATACCCCGACTGATCGTGCTGCTCGAGCTGTTGAGCGTGCAACTGGTTCTGTTGCTGCAACATGTGCTCTTCTTGTAATATCCTGTCGTGAACCTGAGGATGATTCAACAGGTCCTCCACCCCATCCCCACCATCACCGGCTTCCAACATCCGGTGATACCGCTCCTGATCGTGTTCGTGTGTGTGGTAATGCTGAGAATGCAGGTGTTGTTGCTGATGCTCGGGATGCTCCCCACTACCATCGTCCACCACCTCGTGATGTTCCCGCGTCTGATGTTGACGTTCCTGTTCTTGCAACAGCGGGATCGCGTTGCTTATCAGCTCGAGCGCCGTCATCGAGGACGGATGTACGTCCGACTCTTGCATTGTCGTCATCCTGTACGACCTGGGCGGAGAAGTGAGCTATCGATGTTGCCTGATCGCACGTAGACCATATCCATCTGCCTGAAGTGTGTTCGATTGTACCGGTCACGACCCCAGCTTGCTAGCTTCGGTGTTCAAGCGCGACCGAGAGAGCGACGCGCTTTTAACAACAGGCAGGCACGTCATGTCATGCTACTGGTAAGATCGATCGTATGATCGATACGACATACGATACCCACGCCACCGTTGTTGCGAAATACAATGCAAAGCTTGATACAACATCCCAACCCACCCCGCACATACCAGCGCCGATCCGACCATTTCCGCCTTTGGACAAGGCTCAGAGCGGGGGATCGCCTTCTTGCCACTTTCGTCTTCGGTTCAAGCCACCTCGATCTCCAGGTTTGGCCTGAGTACGATTGACAGATACAGCCACAGAGGCATATCATAAGCAATGGGGAACGGGCAGAGTCTGGTATGACAGGGATAGGGAGACTTACCGGGTTCGGACAGACCGTCGCGTAATGACCTTTCTCTCCGCATCGCTATCGAAAATACATCACACAAATCAGTCCCTGTCCCATCGAGAGCGCGACGATCCATGTGACATCGCTCCTCGCGCCTACTCACATAACATGTGACCGTCCTTAACTCGTCGGCCGATTTCCACCCCTTCCCTCCCTCGCTCGGAGGTTTGATGAGCCCCTTTTCCACCATGGCCGTATACCTCCACAGGTTCCCCCCTTGTGCCCTTCCTCCGTCATCGGGAATATCCCGTAGACCCATCCGATGTGCCAGATTGACAGCCGCAGACCTCGCCGCCTCGTCGATATTACTCGGGATCGCTTGAGGTGCGTTATTGTACCCCCCACCGCCATTGTTGTTATAGCCACCGAACCTTCCTCCGGAACTACCGCCGACGCCGGCCCAGACTTGCCAATGTGCCGGGTTGAAGGGATCGTACAAATCATATCTTCCGTACCCTGGAGGTGGGGGACCGACGTCTTTTTGGAGAGGAGGGGTGGGAGGGTCGTAGGCTTGCGCCGAAGGGAGATTGGGGGATGGGCTAAAAGGGAGATATCCAGAGTGATGAAGCGATCAGCATAGAATAGCAGGATGTTTATGGAATAGATTGGAACTCACTGGCCCATTGTACATTGAGGTCCGTCGGGACAGAAGCCGGCCATGTAGAAAGGACACATTGTCCGTCGAATATGTTTTCTCGGACACTCCGGACCTATCCGAACATCAACGAGGATTCGATATCAGCTTCTCCCAAACCCCAACAATCCCGCCTGACATGATATCACTCACCTAATCGACAAAACCCCCGATTATAATCCTCACACTCCCTCTTCCTCACTTTCGGATGATAATAAAGACACTCATCCCCGGCCGAACAGAACCCATACGTGCCCCACCACCAACATTCCGGAAACCTCCTCAGGTCGTATTCGTGCAAGAACTCGCAATTCTTGCCCATAATACAAAGTCCTCTCAGGTAATGCTTGCAGACCGTCAAGACTTTTTCTCTATCACGTGGGTGTGAAGGGATAGGGGGAGGGGGTTGAAAGTTGGCCCGGCTGGGTGTTGTATGGCGGAGAGGACAGTTGGCGCCGAGGGGACATCCTTCGGGTTCGAGGTTGTCCTTACATATCTGGTCGTCTACAAAAAATGCGGAAGTCTGATTCAGTATGATGGTGGAGAAGCTCCGGAGTGTGATTCGAACTCACCGGCATCCAACTTGTAACCCCGTTCGTTCTTTAGATGAGCTTCGATGTCGAGGTTGACCTGATGGAAGTCCGGCTCGACCCATTCCTCCAGCGATGCCATTTTCGATCAGAACGGGTACGTAATACTGTTCCGAGCCGGTGTCTTGTGAGGTGGGAATTGTCTGTGAGCTGTGAGCTTATGAGTCCAATACAAGATGCAACAACCCAGAATACACTTTGGCAAGGTCGGTGATGGTCAAGGTGACGGACGCCTCGGGATCTGATTAGTCTGAGTGGACATCAGAATCACCTCGACGTCCGGTCGCCGGTCCAATTGCTTCCGAATAACTCCCCTCGTCATCCTCCCGCTCGCATTCCCCAACCGCAATGCGATCCGGGTATCAAACGACACTCGCATCCATCAATTCCTATTCAACAACATACATCATCAGTATCAGTCGATTCCCCACAAGTTCGTCACTCAGCTACATACATTTACAATCATCATGGTCGAGTGAGCCCTTCTCCTGCTCTCCAGGACCTACCGAGACCCGCAACCTAAACAGCCGACCTCCGTACCCTTGCAGCGCCCGAACCCAAGCCGAATTCGATCAAGCCGTCAAGGAGGTCCGAGTGACGGACGGGCCCATCAAGCCTACCTTGGAGGACCAGAAGTTGGTCAGTCAACCGAGCTAATATGCTGAGGATGGACCAGCGAACGGCGAGCTGATCGATTGTTTGTGATTCTGTGACCTTGATCGTTGCATGGCCGTTCTGGGATGATGAATCGACTTCTGCACTGCGTTTCAACTCTCGCAACCCATATCATATCGTCTTGACTACTTGCCGAACCGATCATCTTATGATCCAATTCCCAACCACAACCGATAACACCCCCACCTACCCTCCTCTCGCCCACCCCGTAGTTCTACGGCCTCTTCAAACAAGCCAACGAAGGAGACGTCAACACCCCCAAGCCCGGTATGATGCAATTCACCGAACGTGGCAAATGGACCGCTTGGGAGTCGCAAAAGGGCAAGTCGGAGGAGGCCGCCAAGAAGGAATACGTCCAGGCCTTGTTTGCCGTGAGTCGCATGGTCTTCCAGACGAGGGGATTAAGGATAGGGGAGGATGACAATGGGGTTGGCTGATCATCTTCGGTCGTTCTGTGATTATGGTCTCTTCGAATCGTGGTCGTTGTAACTTCGCGGTGTAGATCTTGGACAGGATCCCAGGTCCCGATGCCGACGCTATCAAGAAGAGGGTCACCGGTACGTCTCGTTTCCTCTTCTCCCTATATCCTCGTCTCTTCCCGCCTTGATCATCCATCCAATCTCGCTGACCTGCGACATTTACATCCATTTCGGATCCTGTGTTTTCGCTCTATTCGGTCATCATCGTGATAGACGCCGGGGATGCCGCTTCCGCCTAAAGGGATTGGGAGGTCGATAGTAGCCGATTGTTTGACATCATAAGACTCGATTCGAGTTGAACACGATATACAAATACCATAACGAATGTCGATGTCTCGTAGGAGCAACGGGCGCTATGGAGACAAGTGCTCATTCTCGCTTACTGCTGACGATGGGAAAGATAACCTGCCGCACAGGACTTTTTACACTCGTGTCGAGCAAGACTGAATCCCCGCAGAGTGTAAGTCGGTTCGGTCGAGGGTACAGTACCTTCAATGGTCTTCTATTCGAAATCGGGAAGCACTTGTGAGGGGAGGAGACGAGGAGTCAAATGGCTAATCGAGAGGGAGGGAACCCCATCGGCCCCTTGACTAGATTTAGCATCGAGTTATTGAAATACATTTAGTATCGGACCTTAGTTAGTATTGACCTCAGGAGCCTTGCAAGATCGTAGACTCGGTATCACTCAAAGACATCAAGATGACGGACAGCATGAGAAAGTATGAACCCGCGCTTGGCCTGCGGTTCCAGTTTGGCTGGCTCCCTCTTTCGCTCCTTGGCCCGCTGGCTTGCTCGCAGGAATCACGGTCGTCCACGGAAATAAAGATATAAAGCTAGCTTTCGTCCTCGCAGCCTTCTCGCAACTCTCTCGCAACCTCTTCTCTTGCAACCTCTTCAACTCCAACTCGAACTCGCAAGAATGGGTAAATACACCACAAAGTCGTGGGAGGAGTGGTACCGCGAATGGTTGGAGAGAATGGGTGGGGTTTATGGTGAGACGCATGCCATGTTCTTGCGTTGCTGGGTGAGGTTTGGGGGTATCGGGAGAGTGGACCTGAGTCAAGCTCGTCAAGCCAACTTTGATCGGGTAATCCGTGCTATCCTTGCCGTTGCCGACGGAAACGAGGATAGTGGCATGTATTACTGAGACCGTCATGTATGACTCCGGTTCAGACATAAGGAAAGAGTTGAGGCGACCGCGGTTGAAGGTAGGGAAAATCCTAAGTACATGGTCTTCTGCAGAAGTATCAGCTCGTTACACCCCTTGAACCTCCAGGACATCCTTTCGGGATTAGCTCCGCGTTCGTTTCAGGTTCGCGTGTCAGATCCGCGCGCAATGAGACACGGCAATGATAAAGATGGGGAAGCAAGCTCGTCAGCGATCGTTGTCCGTTGTCATAATCTCCACCTTCGATATCCTACTAAAACAAGATACTAATCGGACAACATGTCCTCGTCGAGATCTGCCTCCAAGCCCTCTAGCAGCAGTCGATCGGGCTCCTCTTCTTCTGCCAAACCATCGAGCCGCTCACGTGAAGGCGGTTCTTCGTCAAAGGGCTCTTCATCCAGAGATGCTGAGCCATCTTCCTCCCGTTCCCGTGGAACTTCGGATCGTCGAGAAGCTGTTCCGTTTCCCAGCACGGTCGCCATCGTCAACAACGATACTGCCTTTGGGACTGATCAGACGGTACCCTTCTGGCCCGAGCCCGAATTTGGAGACAAGACGGAGATCAAGAACGTCAATGCCAAGACTTGCAAGGGAACGTGGGTAGCTGCGGGTACCATGTTTCCGTTAGGAATGGCAATCCCCTCCAATACGGTAGGCCCCTTTCGCTTGTACCTGAGTTTACGAGGTTGGAGCTGACATCCGTGCAAGATTATAGGTACTGCATTACGGAATGTATCTACCTCCTGGGTGAGTGACAAGTTCGATTTCGGACTCGATGTGATACGTATCTTACAATTGCTTCTCAACAGAACCATGCTGCCTGATGGCTGCTTGGTACCTATACACGCGCGGATGGTCAGTGTCGTACCACTACCCACTGCAAAGGAGGAGAAGGAGCAAAACACTCCAGGTTTGTGGTGCAGTATCATGTAACAAGCAAGGGAGATGGCCGGCACTCTATCGCTGTCCAAGACCATGTACGCATTCAACTATCGGTAGCAGAAAGCATGTCTTGGTTTGACCAACGTTATTATTTACCTTCAGGCTGGGCTGACTATAAGCTGGCGAAGCGGGCATCTATGCAGAGAAGAACGAAGATTTCTAACTCGAATCGTCATATAGTATCGTTTACAGATCCAAGAAAAATTTACACCCGAATCTTAATCGGTATCCAGACTCCGGCTGATGCGACTCATATCGAAAAGTCTTCCGGTACGAAACTGAGCAGTTCCAGAACTGTCTTCCCGGCTCGCTTGCACAGTACCGCACACTTGTCATTCTTGAAGTTCACCCTCCAAACGGCTTCGGACGGCTTGGAAAGCTCCCGGATAAAGTTCCCAGTTTTGATGTCCCAGAGCTTGACCCTCCCATCGTTTCCGCCGGTAAGAATGAAACGATCGTCAAACTGAAGCGAGGTGACCGAGTTGTCGTGGGCACAAATCCTCTGCAAACAGGTGTAGGTCGATAGATCGAAGATGATGACTCTGCCGTCTGATCCACCGGTAACGAGAATGTCTCCAGACAATTGAAGTTGTCCGACGAGCGAAGTATGCCCTTGCAACAAGGCGACACATTCACTAAAATGGGAAACCATCAGCATCCGTCTGTTCTGTTCGTCAGGAGTAATCTTTCAGCGACACTCACCCTGTCACAGCAGACCAAATTCGGACAGTCGAGTCGAGACTTCCGGTGGCAACCTTTTCTCCGTCAAAGGCAACAGAGTAAATCTGGTGATAGTGGCCCCGAAGCACGTGAAGGCATTCTCCAGTCTCGAGATTCCACAGCTGTGCCAGGTAGAAGGACCAAGTCAGCTTGACGAGCCCGGAACCTGACGGAACGGCCTCATCAAAGCACTCACCCTGGCGGTACAGTCGTAACTTCCGCTAACACAGTAATGCCCAGCGATCTCGATACACCTGACCGAATGCGAATGACCTGCCAGATGGTGCAGGCTGACTCCCCTCTCGATGTCCCAGACCCGAATACTAGCGTCACGCGCTCCCGTCACCGCGACCGGGCGACCATCCAGAACTTTGAGGCATCGAATTGTAGACGTGTGCCCACGCAAAGTGTGAAGACATTCTCTGTTCGGCAACCGAGATCAACACATGTGCTGATGGACAACAGGGCGCAATCGCGCATGTTACTTACCCAGTGTCGAGATCCCACACCTTGACTTCGCGATCGCAACCACCGCTGATGACGAATTGCTGTTTCTGGCCCCACCCATAGGCAGCATTGGAAACGTCGCTCGTCGGCCATTTGTTGCCAGAAATCTGAACTCCGGGATATCGAGGCCCGAACGGGCCGCTAGGATCGTACGAGCCGGGCTGAGTTCGATGAGTGGATCGACTGGATTGGCTCGTGCTGCCATTCCTAGTATGCGATGATTGAGATCCCCTGAAGCTGTTTTCGCCGAGAGAGGCTCGGCGAGTATCGGCTCGAGATCTCTTTCTCGCCTTGCCTCGTCCGGCCGGTTCTAGGTCAGAGCGATAAGATCCCATGTTGAAATTGTTGTCTCCGTCCATGTCGACTTCGTCGCCGTTGACCCCGTCATTGGGAGGTGAACCGCTGCTAACCAGATATAGAGCCCAAACACCAAGTTCGTGTCCGGAAAAGGTCCGGAGGAACTGCCCAGTTTCGGCTTCGAACAGGTGGATCTTGGTGTTGGCCATGCCAATGATTATGTGTTTCGAGTTCATGGCGAGGGTGGTCACGACTCCTTCATCTGTGGAGGTATGAGTGGAAAGCAATCTTCCACCTCGAAGCCAGTTCGATTCTGCAAGGACAGACCGACGAACAAGTTTAGCTCGAATCGATTTTTGTACCACATCGCGAGGTATCAATCGGCCTCACCTGTCAGATAAGCCTTCTTGAAGTGGTTCTTGTACGAGAATCCAGGTGCGTCCGTGTCGATCTCTTCCGGCTTCTTGGTACCGTAACTCGGAATCCTCTTGTTCTGCATGAGGATAGGCTCCGGCACACTCGCGCTCCGTCCGAGTCCGCTCTGGCTAGACGAACTCGCGATCATGCCACCAGGCTCGTATCCAGCTCCACTATCACCATGATCAGATTCTCTCTGTTCGATCGACAGAGGTCGGTTGCTGTACGACAACGAATCAAAGGGGGACGCCGTATTCGAGCTCGGCGCGTTCCTGCGTTCTGCCTGGTTCAGTCCAAGACCGAGGTGGAATTGCTGAACTTGAAGCGAAGAGCCAGTCACAGCCGACGGCGAGACGATGCTGGGCATAGGTGGGAGTTGGCCGTTGGTCCGACCGGTGTAAGCAGCTGGGTCATAGCTGTTCGATGCGAAAGTGGATGGTGTCGAGCTTGTCTGATAGGCACCGGGCATGGCCTGCTCTTGACCCGAAATCAGTCGATTGCTTCTCCTTGACATTGACGAAGACCCCAAGACTTGATTCGAAGTGTTCTGGTAACCATAGCTTGTATGCGAGGCGTGGCCCGTAGCCTGACCGTAATCTAGACCGGTATGAGCGTGACTAGCAGTGGAGTGCTGCTCCTGCTCTTCCTGCTCCCCGTCTTCGTTATCGTCCTGATCCTCATGATCGCCCACGTGAGGGATCCCCGTGTTCCTCGTCACCCGGGTCGCATAGTACTGGCTCGGTGTCGACACCCCAAATCGCGGTGGTAGCGTATTGACACTGCCCGGAATCGCCGCGACCGCCGGACCCGAACCCGATCGATCGGATGCGACGATGGCCGCATTGGGTACGTTCCGTGTGGGGACGAGGACGGGAATCGCAGGGAGGACTTGAGCAGACTGGAAACGAACACGTTCACACATGATCTTCCACGTCTTTTCGTCCTGTAACAGCCTGTACCAATGTTTCGAAACGAGGGACGCTCTTGCCAAGGTCATAGGATCGTCAATCTGTCTCCCATAAATGCATCAGCACTCTCAAGATGTTCCAGTCCTGAAACACTCCCAAACGACTTTCACTCACAAAGCTCAGAACGTGCAATCCCAATTCGACCGGCAACTCTTTCAAGAAATCCTTCTTCAGCCTCGGCCCGATATTGACGTTGAGCATCAACAGCTCGTTCCTAGTCAATAACGGTAAGAGGTCTTCCAATATGCGGAGTCGGGTCGGTGGCGGGAGTGATGGGAACGCCACCAATAGCTGCGATGGGTCTGTCGCATTGATGATCGAGGGGATGTAGTATCATCAGCTTGGTTGGTCTAGCTCGACCACATAAAGAGCAGAGCATCGCAGAGCTCAAAGTCGCACTCGGACTCACCGAACGCGCCGTCTTCCCTCTGTCCCGAATTCCCTCCATTCACACCACCCTCACTTCCGTCCCTCGCTACGGTACCCCACCACCCGTTCCTCCCCGGTGTCGGCGAAGGCGCAGGCGTGGGCGGACTCATCAACGTCTTGAGATCTAATCCTGGACCAGTTCCCGATCCCCCACCCTCGTGATCGAACGACTTGTCCGAAGTCGGGGTAAGGGGTCCTTTGGCCATATTCGCATGCGCATGCGAGGTCATCGTCATGTGCATCGAATTCGTAGACGAAGACGAAGTGGGGGAAGATGGTTGTTTGAATGAGCGACCTTGGCCATAACCCTGATCACGTTGCCGTTCCGAGGTGGACCTGGTCAACGTGACGGTCCCGTTCGGGTTGATTGTCGTATTGAAAGTGGTTCCTGTAGCAGCGGGAAGAGGAACGGCCGCTCTTCCTGCTGCAGGATCGTTATTCTGTACAGGGTTGGGAGGGATGTGGGTTCGGGAAGGTCCTCGATGATGCGTCTGTGCCTGTGACGACCGGGTCCTCGAGGCAGACGGGGTGATGGTCGCTTGAGACAGACCCATTTGACTTTGACTTTGAGTCTGACTTGACATCCTCGCTGTGGATGATCTTCCCTTGCCCTTCCCCTTTACCGTACCCATGCTGGTACACATGTCGAGCCCGCCATGTCCATCACCCAAGATCCCATCCTTGTAATCCTCGTCCCCGTCGATGTCCATCATGTCCTCATTCCTCCTCGTCTGCCTCAACGATGAAGACCCCGCTCCCGATCCAGTGGATCTTCTCTCTGGTACTTTCCATGGCACAGAGTTGCTTCCAAACGAGTTTGGTACGGAGGACTTGGAGTTCGAGCTCGAGTTGTGGCCGGATGGGGTGGGCGAGGAATCTCGTTGCATGTAGTTGATGTTCATGGTTCGTGATCGTAAGACCAGGACTGGTTGATAATAGATTCGGTGAGCAATGCAATATCAGTGGATGAGGTGAGTGCAAAATGACAAGGCGAACATGGAACAATTGACATACCCGCTGAAATCTACTCTCGTGGCTAATTCTCCGACTCCCAGCGGTTCCTACACTTTGCGTTTCACCAACGTAGCTCCGCCAATAACGAGAAGAGTCGTATCTGTTCGTATTCGTAGCATACGTGTTAGCACTTCGTAAGCTGCTTCTGTGCTCCTCTGTCGACAGGGACCATCATATCGCTCTGCTGCTCACCTCGACCCCTTAGACGATCTGATATTCCGCGAGCCTCTTTTTGTCCTCGACGTCAGAGGCGATCCGAGCTCGATCAGGCTGTAGCTTCGGACCAAGCGGGACCTTTGCAAGAAGGCAGAATTTTGAGATCGATAGATCGCTCGTCCTCTGTGTTATTTGATATGATATCCAAAGCTGAAGAGGTGGAATGATGTCAAGAAGAATGGCTGCCTCGACTGCTTACGCCCTCGGAACGTCGATGATCAAGCAGTTGCTCCGGAACCGGCGAAGGCGCGCTAAACATCATCAGTCACACACAGGCAGGGGGGGATGACGGCATTTCATAGTCACGTGATACATCCCTCTGAACGTTCGCGGGTGTTGTAGAGCGAACATCTATCGCAAATATCGAAAGTTGCTAATTGTAAGTTACTGACCTGTACCCAACCTCCCACGATTCACAAGCAAGTACTACTAGCAACACTGAAGCAATATAACCAGGATGACCACCTTGCCAGACTTTAAGAAGGGAATCGACTATTGGACGGCGGTGGACGCAACGGTAGACGGCGTGCTGGGGGGCTTTGGAAACGGTGTGAGTACTAGCAACTATCGCCATGCCTTACTCGAGTACTTCTGTCTAACCGCATCAAATGATCGCAGTCTCTACCCCGGGTCGAACAACTCTCTTCCCGCCTGTTCCTCCTCTCCCTCTTACCACAGCTCCAGTCTTTCCCCTCCCCACTCTCTTCCCCAGCTCATCAACGTCCGCCGACAAAGAACAAACGTTACCTCGGCCTGGACGTCGGCGCCGGCGTAGGTAGAGTCACCAAGAACACCTTGCTTCCACTGTTGGACGATGTGATCACCATGGAACCGGTCGAACACTTCATCGGGGCTGCAAAGAGGGAAGCCAGCGAAGGAGGTTGGCCCTTCTTAGAGGATCGGAGTGGGAATGCCGTCTCCACTACCAATCGCCAAAAACCTTCTTCCTCCAAGAACCGCGATTCTGATGAAGAAGACGAAAGCGATCAGGACGAGAACACCCCGCTGGATAAAATGGGTAACCGGATCCCTCGAGCTCGTTCTTCCCCCAAACCGATCAAGGGCAAACGGGTCTGGTTCATCCAGGCTCCCTTGAACGACCTGGACCCGGTCAACCCTCTGAATGGGAAAGAGGCCAAGAGTTTAGGGGTGGTAGGGATGGAGGGGAAGGGGTTGGGCGGCGGAGACGAATCATTTGGGGAGAAGATGGGCGAGGTCGGATACGACGTGTGAGTACGGTTGTTCAGCTATTAGCACCCTGTCGAGTGAAAAACAACAATCAAGCTAAATCCGTCTTGTTCGGACATTACGAATAATGCTGCTACCAATAGAATCTGGTGTCAATGGTGCCTCGGCCACTTGTCAAACCCGGAACTCGTCTCCTTCCTCAAACGCTGTCAGGCAGCCCTCCTTCCTCCCAGCTCGTCCTCAAATAGCAAAGATACTTCGGTCTACAACGATCCTGGAGCGGTGATCGTCGTGAAAGAAAACGTATGCGAGAATGGACCGGATGGGACGGCAGTGAGCGTTTTGGACGAGGAGGATAGTAGTCTGACTAGGTAAGTCGCTTTTCAAGATGGAGAACACCGTAGCTGATCGATGTTACCTCTGATCCCTCGACTACTGTTCTGCCATCAACGTCATTCCCGACCTTCACACCTTGCTCTGACTCGGGCTTCGCTCATGACCTTGCGGCTTTTGAACCCCTCAGGTCGAACAAGATGTGGGAAGAAATCTTTCAACAAGCCGGACTCAAGATCGTCAAGGAGGAGGTACAATTGGGATTACCTCAGGGGTTGTTCATGGTCAAGAGCTGGGCTTTGCGATGAGGCGCGAAGGCGGGACGGGCGACGAGGATGTAGTATCGATCATATATTTTGGCGGACACGATGCTGGAGATGATATGCGTCCCGAGATGCAATAGCTGTGGGGGTTTTCAGTCTCCTTCTGTGCTTTGAGTTGCCTCGAAAGAAGCTAGCGACATGCCACATCACAACGCGGACATCGCCGCGCTCGGTCGCCAGCCAATTCAACTAGTTACGACTTCGCCGTAAAGAAATCTGTCACCTTTTCCCCATTCAACCCCATCAACAAAGACAAGGGCAAAGTACAGTGATATACCACAGTATTAAGGATCTTGTCTAACCCTTGAGGATCATGCCAACCTTGATCAGCAGCAAGGATTGGTCCAGGATATGAAAGAAGACTTGAAATAAATGCGTCAGACATGCTAGTATACCGAAGCAATCAAAATCCACAATTCAGTCTTGCAAATCTTACTTTTTGGTCAACTCACAACAAGGTCACCTTCAATACAACTTACAGTATAGCAAATCGCCTGTCTTCTGCTGAAGAGTAAAAAAACAGAGTGTGCTAAAGATCAAGAAGATGTACCCGAATTGCTATTCCTGAAACTGCATCCGGATCTCTCATTCTGCTTCCGGATGCGATCGAGGGCTAGGTGGACGTTAACCACTCGGGGTTTTAGCACGGCTCGACGATTTATCAGTTGTTCGGATTCCAACTGCTGAACGTTTTAATCGCTGCAGAACTGTAGTGGGTACCTATTGGAGGCATACTGTCGAAACTCCGAGGGAAAAAGACCGGTTTAGGGTTCAGCAGCTGGATTTAACAGTCAGTCTGAGGTTCGTCATACCGCGAAGTCGACAGCCTTCTGAATCTAGGTCAAATATCGCAGCCGATCTACCAGAACAAGCTGGACGATAGGCAGAAGTCATAGACGTTCTGACAGATGTTCAAAGCTTTCGCCAGGGTGGCCGCTCGGTCGATTGCGATCCAGCTTGAAGAGGCAGCGGCCGCAGCGAAAGCCAAGCAGCCGTACGTGGACCCTACGCCGAAGATCCATCAGTACAGTGCCGCAAGCAAAGGCAAGCGCACAGTTGATGAGGATAGATCTGAAGAGCCACCATCGCAGCAATTAGAAAGTGGCGTGCCGCAAGCTTCCGGGACACAACAGGCCGAGGCAGTGAGAGAGGAGGATGTGACCAAGGTCATCCCTATTCCAGGCTCTCGGGAGGCTCGACAGGAGAACCCGTATATACGCAAATGGCCGGAGGGCCCTCCAGCTACCAGCTCAGCCAGGCCGGTTGTGCCATCTCAAAGCTCGAGCTCAGCATTTACACCTCAAGCCGAACCTATAGTCACGAGCGGTTCCGCCATCGAGGAACCGGTTGTCGAGCAAAAGGATCAGGCTTCCATAACGCTAGAGCCAACGCGAGCCGAGCCAGATGAGGCGCCGATAGAGCCCTCTCAATTGATAGACGATGTGGATACCGAGACAGTGAGTGATACTGTATTATGGCTGCTTGGAACTTCAGCTGATTTGCGACTTGTCAGGCACCTGTTACGCTACGGCCGAGCAAAGTTCCCTCTTCTCGTCTCGGTAGGCTCTTCCATTACGGATGTAAGTCTGGTTGTAATCACTCAACAACTACGCCCATGAGGGCTGAATGAGCACATTGGTGCACGAATAGCCCTGGTCGCTGGTCTATCCGTTGGAGCTGCAAGTGAAGCCGTTCGACGAACAACCGGGGGAGGCAGCGAAGGCAGTCTGATGATGTCAGAGGCCAATGTCAGGAGGCTCGTAGGGAAGCTGAGCCAGATGCGAGGTGCTGCCTTGAAGCTGGGGCAATTTATGAGCATCCAAGGTCAGAGGCATTCCAGATGCGCGGGCGTTGAAGCAGAGCTGACCGGAGATCGCGGATCAGACACCAACATGTTACCGGAACAGCTCGAAAGAGTTCTGCAGCAGGTGCAAGCGAATGCTGATTATATGCCTGATTGGCAACTCGAGGTTTGTCCAATTACTCCGCATCCTCCCCGGATCGCCGCTGAAGACTTCGCTGTTGCCTCAGCGAGTAATGCGGGCAGAGTTGGGAGACGACTGGGAATCGCATTTCACAACATTTCCCCGAGTACCAATGGCTGCTGCATCGATCGGACAAGTACATCGAGCGGTACTCAAATCGACAGGGCAGGAGGTCGCGGTCAAAGTACAATTCCCCGGTATCCACAACTCGATTACGTCCGACTTGAACAATATCTCGCTACTATTACGGACGTCTGCGATCCTACCACGAGGCCTCTACCTGAACAATACTATATCGGTATTCCGAAAAGAACTGGCAGACGAATGCGACTACATCCTAGAAGCGGATAACCAACGAAAGATGAAGCGATTCTTGGAGGACCAGAACGAACAGTTCTTCGAGGTCCCGGCGGTGATCGATGAGCTTAGTACGCAGAGAGTCTTGACTACCGAGATCCAACCGGGCAAGCCGTTGTCCCAGATCAAGCAGTTCGACCAGGCGTTGCGAGATAAGGTACGCCTCATTGCTATGATTGTGTCCGCGTTTTCTGGCTGATCACGCCATCTTGTATGTGTAGATCGGAACGGCGGTGCTACGGCTTTGCATCACCGAGCTCTTCCAATTCCGCCTGATGCAGACCGACCCCAACTGGGCTAACTTTTTATACGACAGGAAGCGAGATAAGGTCGGTAGTACGGAAAAGTATTTGCGTAGAGCAGAAACCTAACGTCTGGTATCCCTGATTCTCAGCTGGGATTGATCGATTTCGGAGCGACGAGATCTTACTCGGTCGAATTTATGGACAACTGGTACCGACTATTATCATCCGTCATCGCCGGAGACCGAGCGGCCATGCAAAAATACTCCTTGGAGGTTGGTTACCTAACCGGGGAGGAACATCAGGTTCGTTCACAATCTTGAACATTTGCGAGTCGCGCCACCAGCTCTGACGATCTAATGCGTAATTGCAGGACATGGTCGATGCGCATCTGCGATCCATGGAACTTCTGGCCGAACCTTTCACCAAGGACAGCTACGACTTTGCTCATCAATCCGTCACCGACGAGGTCCGAAAGCTCATCCCGGTCATGCTCAAACATCGGCTCACCCCGCCCCCGAACGAGACGTATAGCCTGAACAGGAAGTTGAGCGGGAGTTTCTTGTTATGTGCCAAGTTGGGCAGCAAGGTGAATTGCCGCAAAATTTGGGAAGATGTGGTGGGGAACTACAAGCCTACGACCGGGGCTTGAGTGGTCAAGTAGTAGATGCGCGACCACCATGCAGCATGTTCATGATGATGGATGAATATAGATGTCGTCGAGGAGTGACGTTGATATACAACGGCAAAAACGGAGCCTTGAGGTAATATGCGGCTTGGTCGGCATGATCGGGTCGTGAAAGGATTCGCTGTTATGCGAGGTGACTATTCGTCGTCAGAAGGTTTCGGTGGGGGACTGCAGATCATTAATACGTCAGTGAACCGGTCATTTTTTAAGAACGCTTATCAAGTGAGAGGAATTTACCCGCATGGTTGTAGCATCCTCTATTCAGAGTCATACAGACGACAAGGTCAGCGGTAGGTCCAATGCGCACGATATCCGGCAATAGAAGGCTAACCTCGACCATCTCGAACTTTGTCCTGGCGATGCATTCGTTCTCGGCGATCGCTACGTACGCGGCAAGACCGGGATGACCGACGATAGAGCTATAGATTTGGTTGCAGAAGATGTCATATTAGCGTTTTCTAATAAGCGATAATGAAAGAGAAAGATTGAGGACGGGTCGAAGCTGGCTACTCACGCATATGTATCTCGGTGTTGATGAACCAACCACTCGTGCTTCGTTACATCGGCGTGACCTAACAACAATGACAATAGTTGTTCCATGAGCGTCCGGTTGACCCTTGTATATATGCTTTATTCGCGCTCACCAGTACCGGTATATCTGGAATGCAGCGATTCAAGTTGCGAGTTTGCGGTATAACGAAGATCCGACTGTCAAACAAAGTATCGATTGATCAGTACAGTCTCGCTGGACAAATAGATTGCGCAAATATCGCGCACCATGATTGAAGATTCTACGATCCAGTGTACTGAGACGATGCGTCACTCTGCTTTGGGGACTAGCCAGCTGCCAGATGAGCTAGTCCGTCGAGTCGCTGAACATCATCGCCGGTGCTGATAGCTAGGGATCGAAGGTCGATGTGGTGTGTGCGACGCGTGTGAACGTGTTTGTCTGTTTGTTAGGGCGATCGCCTTAAAACGAGTACCGACCTCGAGAACGCGAGGAACCCAGTTGCGGCCATCTATCGCTGGACAGTAACAAGAGGGAATATCGACATCAGTCAAGTGTCATCGAGTGGACATTTCAGATCATCAGGTCACCTGGATCATTCAGCTGAGTTAGCGGTAACCTCTAGGACAAACCCTGGAACGTCCTCCGCTGAAACCGAAGCCAGCGGACCTTGGTGAGAACGAGGCATATCTACACAAAGATAGCCCATCGGTATGCTCATACCACACGTTATGTCTCGCTGTCGATATGAATATGGATTCCTTTCGACTTCTTCGATCGATGGATTCGACAGCTAGACAGAGAGAGATCGCTGGAAGTCAAGCGAAAGCGGTAGCTAGGTGAAGAGCTCGTAAGTCTTCCACCATCAGGGACACAAGTCATCATCTGTCCATACAGTGTTTAGTTTTGCTTACCGACATCCTTTCGCGTTCCTTACTTGCATCTTTTCGTCGGCTTTCGCTCGAATCGGAATCCCTAGGATCATGCAGATGCAACAGCCACAGCCGCCATCACAGGGCCAGTCTACTCAGCAACAACAAGCTCAGAGAGGTTACTACATGGCTGCTGCCGCAGGAGCAAGTCTGCGACCAACGCCGCCGGGAATACCTGGAGCGCAAAGCTATGCTGCAGGGTTGCAGGGTAGACGGACAAACGGTATGTCGGTCCGCTGCTGCTGCGTCGAACAAAGGCTCATAATCCACGACGTGTTATTGCTTTCCATTAGCTATGCCGGACGCCAGTGACTTTCCAGCTCTGACACCCACATCGCAACACCCACCAAATCTCCCTCATCCTTCCTCTCAGACTTCATACGCATCTCAAGCACAGCAATCGGCGGCTGCGGCAGCAGCAGCAGCAGCAGCTTCTTCGGACGGCCAGCAAATGCAGAGTCCAGCTCAGGGATCGGCTCAGACGCAAAATCAAACTCCGGGTCAGACGTCGACATTACCACAACCTCCTCCACATCTCGCACATCTGCAACAGCAGCATCATCAGTCGCAAAGCACGATGCCGGTGCCACCTCCCGGTCTCGGGGGAACGCCGATGGCTCAGAATCAGCAGGTGCATATGGGGCAGATGACGAACGGGGAAACACATAAGGAAGAGTTTCCAGCACTAGGCGGGCAAGGCAAGGATGTGAGTTATATTACTTACCCGCGATCAAAAATATCTTCTTCTGAAGCTGACCAAGTCACGAACTTGCATCACCTGTTTTGCAGCCAAATCAATCGATCAAATCCGCAACCTCTCCACCTGCCAACCTGATCAACCCTTCACAAGCCTCGACATCTACCCAACACTTCCCCAACTCTGATCTATCTCAACCGCATCCATCGCTACAACTTCCACCGGGGATGAGCCACTTTGCCGCATCACACGATCCGTCAATACCCTTGACGAAACCGTCACAACAGCTCGTTGCTAGCCCGGTGGACAAGTGGGGTCTGAGCGCGCTTCTGAGGCTGATACGAACCGGCGGAAGGGACGATCAGTTGACATTGAGCTTGGGAGAAGATCTTGCCAATATCGGATTGGATATGAACAGTGCAGGGTGAGTCAGAGTGGCATCGGAACGGAGCTTTGATCGGTAACAACTGACGTCGCTCCGAATATGCATTTCGATAGACCGCTTTATTCGACGTTTATCGCACCGTTCGCTGAGCCAGACGCGCTAAGAGGCGTATATCTGGAAGAGGAATGGAGGACACCGCAATGTTACAACGTCAACACGCCGTCAGCATCGAGCAAGATTAGCATGTTTTCGGATGAGACCCTGTTCTACGCATTCTACGCGTTTCCTCGGGACTTGTTGCAGATGGAGGTCTCGGCCGAATTGTGAGTTCAGTAGGCGCTGTGGCAGGCTGCGGTCAGACGGCTCACGGGTGCGTGTTGTTTCCCAATCTCTAGGTACGCAAGACAATGGCGGTATCACAAGGAACTCTCCGTCTGGCTCACAAAAGACCCAGGCGTCGAGCCCATCGAAAAGGGACCCAACTATGAACGTGGAACGTACATCATCTTCGACCCGGCCGTCTTCAGTCGTGTGGAGACTCCCAAGGACTTTACGCTACAGTACGACTTGTTGGAGGATCGACCGGTCATCGTCCCGCCACCAGCGTTGTTGCAGCAAGTGCAACAAGGGCAGAACCAACCTCAAGGTCAACAACAGGCGCAGCAGACACCTCAACCGCCGAATCAGCAGCAGCAGGCGCAGGGGCAGGCCCAAACGGGAGGGCAACAAGCGCAGGAAGCGAAGCGGTGATCTGCGCGGATGAAGGGAGCTGGGAGTCGATAGTAGTAGCTTGAGAGTCTGTCTGTACGCTTTGGGACTTTTGTTCGGAGATGATTATGCGGTTTCTTCCTTTCACTTGAAAGCTTTCGAAGGTGGCTGAGAGTGAGGCCGAAGCGCAGTGATAAGAAGCATTCGTATGGCATAATCGGAGGTCAAGTGTTACAAAATGAAGACGGACTACAGTAGAGGGGTCACACGGCGGAAGAAGGCAAGCGAAGCAGGATGGGGTTCCGAATGGCGAAAGAGACCTCGGGTTCGAAGCATCCGTCGGGTGAGGAGGACAAGAAGGCAGTCAGTACCTTGCGAGGACAAGGGCGGAGATGGCGAGCGTGGCTTACGGATCGTATCAACGAGTACCGATGATCATAGCGAGGGAGTGTCGGCCAGATCGATGTCGCGTTTGAGAGAACGAGAGTTGCACGAAAGAGAGCAAGGCAATTGAACATATGCCGATACGCGGGTAGTGTTTTTTAGCTGAACTTACAAAGGGCGGTGGCGGGTATCGATGATCGCGGGTTTGATTTGGCGGATCTGGGTACCGGCGTCGGTATAAAAGACAAGAGAAGAATGTTATCAGTACCGATTGGTACAAGGTAGGTTTAAAGACTGCGAAACTTACAGGCAGTCGGGCTCACCGAGGCCGGTTCGTAATGGCGATATCGAGTATCAGTATAGAAGGGGAGAAGCGATAGTAGTAGTCAGTTCTGAATGACAGGAAAGGAGAGGTGTGTTGAACACTCACGGCCAAGACGGGAGGCCCCCGCCGGTCCGGCCATAGAGGAAAGGCATGAAAAGTCGGACTCGTTAGTTTCCTGTCGTGTAGGGGAGACGAGATGAAGGCGAAGACTTACGGGGCAGGGGAGAGCCCCGGACGATACTCCCCTTCTTGTCGTAGTCCAAGTCGGGTCTTGAGGGCCGGCGCTCGCTAAGCAAACTAGAGAGGTAAGCGCCGGTGATCGAACGAGGCGAACACGACCAGAAGCGAAACACGACGAAACCCGTACAACTATGAAACCCGCGACACCCTCCCAGCCCGGACCGTAGACGGACGCGATTAACGACCCCGACCCACCAGTCGCCCCCGACGAACCGGTCAACCACTCCGCTACTTCGAATCCCCCGCAAACGATTTCTGCCGGCTTAGTACAGCATCGAAGGACGAATACCGACAGGGATGCTTTTCGCTCGGCTTCAGCCCAACGCGCCAGTGTTGTCCGATAGGCGGTGCCGTTTCGTTTTCGTTTCCGATCCAGACCGAAAGAGTGTGCGAGCCAAAACCGAAACCCAGAACCGAGAACCCAAAACCCAAAACCCGAAACCCGAACCTCGAAGCTACTTATCGTTCACTTCCACCAAACACCCGAGGCCATCCTTCGCGCCTTCGCCTCACCCTCCTGCGCCTCCCAACCCCTGATGAGGGTCTGTACCGGTGAATGCCTGACCACCTCCTTGTACTTGATCGTGACCGTTTCCTCTTCTTCGACGAGCTCCTCCGAGTCTTCCTCCTCCTCCTCGTCCTCGGTAAGGGCAAAGAGAGAGAAGGTGAGGACCGGGGCCGACTTCTTGACCGGGGTCAGAGCGGCGGTGAACTCGGTCTTGATCGAAGGGAAAGCGATGTCGGTCCTCGAGGTCGAGACCGGGACCGACTTCTTGAGGTACTTGGCGGGGATAGCGGGAACCGGGGGAGCGTTGGCATCTACTTTGAAGTAGGTCGTCATCCCCTTGAACTTCTCGGGAACGACAGGGACCTCAGGCGCATCCGCTGCCGCCTGGAAGTAGGTCGTGTCCTTTCGGTGTCGTCGTCGGGTCTTGTCGGAGTTCCCGGGCCTGATGGCGACCTTGGCTACCACGGGCGCTTCAGAGACCTCTTCCTCGACCGCGACCTCAACCACCTCGACCTTTTCGGTATGCAGCTTCTCGTCCGCCGCCATGAATCGCAACATCATCGACATCTCGTCCAACCTCGCAAGCATCTCCTGGCCCGTCAGCCCGCTCTTCGATACCACCTCCTCTACGATCTCGACCTTCTCCTCCTCGATTTCGATCTTCTCCTCCTCCATGCCGGTCTTCTTGTCGTCGACGACCGACCTTGCGGTGCGGACATCGGACCCCCTCTCCTCCTTCGCGACGCGTCCCAAGTTCAAAGTCTTCTTAATAAGAGCGGAGAACATTTTCGATATAATTCTTTGTGATTGTTTGGTTGTGTGTGGGAGGTTTTGTTAACTTGTAAAAGTTATGCGTGCGCGAGTAGGTAGGAAGAGGAAGTGAAGAGAAAAGGAGAAGTAGTGGGGGTTTGGAAAGAGGGGGGAAAGACCAAATCGACCTGATCTATATGCGATTCTGGACGGGGAGGCCTCGACGATTCGCCACCAAACAGTGAAAAAAGAAGGACGTACGCAAGCGTCCTGCCATCTCTGTCGGATGTCATGATTGCACATCAGACGTCATGATTGAACCTTGCTTGTCACTGCTTCGCCACCTCTGAGAGTCGTCCGAGGCATGTCAGGGAGAGGATGTATGCGTCCGTCCGATCTTGATCGACTCTGTTGACGATCTCGCACTGCAATTGACAATTCGAGAAGGGTAGATGTTGGATGAACTTCTCTGCTTGACGATCTCCAGGCATGTCGAGGAGGGATGGTATACGCCCGTTCGATCGTTGTCGGCGGAGTCGAGGATCTTGAAGCTTGTTCTTCGGTTGGACGAGGGTTGATTGGTATACGGGGACAGAATGGGTGATCTATGGTCTTGGCAACTAACTCGAAGGTATGTCGAGGACAAGGAAGCAACCGGTTTCCGATTCCCGGATGTCGACGTCGAGGGTATGGGAATGTCATTTATGGCTTGAGGCCGACTGGATTTAGCATCAGAGCGCAGAAGGAGAGGATCAGCGGAGGCTGCTTGGATTGGCGAGAGTGTGGCGGTGTTCTGGCGCAGCCAGCTCCGGTAATCTAAGGTGGTTGAGCCGAAGCCCGACACGGCAGGTTGTTGTGAAGTAGAAGCTGAGTCGATCTGGACTGGAGAGCGCAAGTTGAAGCAGGGGTCGCGCCGTGGTTCTGTGTGGAGCTCAAAAATAGGCGCAGCGAGTCCATTGGCATTGCATTCGAAAGGCAAGTCTCTAGGCTATTATTCGAGCCATCGAAAACCTCTAAAATCCCTCAGGACGATGCGTAACGTCGACTTGAATCTAGCCCAACTTTGTTCAGAATATGCCCTTGTCGACATTCCGGTTGAGCGTCGGATGTAATTCGCTTCCGAAACCACCGGCATGGCGTTCCGAGCGTGAAAGCCTATGATTCCCGCGGCTATTGGAGTCGTCGAAGTCCGAGCTGAAGTGGAGATGCGATACATGGTCATGTCCGCTCTATGGCTCTCTCGTAATCACCTCAGATTCGCCTCCGTTGTGCCCCGCGTACGTCCGAGCCAAGAACGGCTTGGCATTGCCATTGGCCAGAACAGGTCGACCTCGTTACATATAGCGATTGAGGTCGACCAGGTCGTACTAGCTTCAACCACCTGTAGGTCCTTGCTTCCTGAATCTACTCAATCCGTATAATAATCCAACTCGCTCATCTCCACGTCTCGTCGTTGTGTGACTTTGCCCGTCCCATCGACTTCTCCCCAGAAACGCGGAAGCGAATTACTCTCAATTGCATCCACCCCGTCACAACGGCCACCACCACCGGCCACCCCTCTTATAGCTCCTGCCACTCTCGTCGTGACCATCCCCTTCGTCGCCTGCTCCTCCATTTCTTGCAGCTACCTCACAATCATCTTGTAGAGCACACACCTTGCTGATCTACCAACTGGTCTCTCCTTGTCAAATCGTGAGTGTTGGTCTCCTTTCATACCGCCTGCCCTTGTCTCCGCCGAAGGGTGCTACAGCTACAAAGTCACTAACGATATCCCTATATCAATCGATTTCCTCAGACCTTACCTACCAGTCAACCGAACACCTACGCGTAAAAATGGGTAAAAGCCAATCCAAGTTGGCCTCGGACGAGCTCGCCGATCTGCAGAAGAACACCTACTGTGAGTATTCCCCCCTTTCCCCCTTCTCATCCCGCTCCATCGCGGATACCCCTAACGTCGCCTACAAAACCCCAGTACGCTGACTCTTCCTGCCTCTTCGTCCTCTGGCCCGCACAGTTGACAAGAAGGAGCTGCAACAATGGTACAAGGGCTTCATCAAGGACTGCCCTTCGGGTCAACTGAACAAGCAGGAGTTTATCAAGATCTACAAGCAATTCTTCCCCTTTGGCGATCCTAGCCAGTTTGCGGATTACGTATTCAATGTGTTCGATGAGGATCGATCGGGGACCATCGAGTTCAAGGTGAGTCTCCCGACAAAAGGGCTCGTTAGTGAAGGGGGGTTGCAGGACGGGTTAGCTGATCTAGGAGAGTTCGGGTGGAATAGGAGTTCATCTGCGCGCTTAGTGTGACGTCGCGAGGTCGACTGGACGAAAAGTTGCAGTGTGAGCGATCTCAAGTGTTTGACATTCGAGACAGAGTGTATTGGTAGCTAATTCCGTACTTTTTGCAACGACGATAGGGGCTTTCCAGCTGTACGACATCAACCAGGATGGGTACATCACCTATGACGAGATGTTGGCCATCGTCAGGAGTATCTACAAGATGACCGGTCAGATGGTCAAGCTTCCCGAGGACGAGGATACGCCCGAGAAGGTGAGCCGGGCTCTTTGCTGTTCTATTTCTCTCCGCTCAGCTGGAACCGACACTGATCGGTGGCGTATGATGTCGTTGTAGCGAGTCGACAAGTTGTTCCGAAAGATGGACTTGAACAAGGACGCCAAGCTGAACTATGAAGAGTTCAAGGAGGGTTCGAAGCAGGATCCTACCATCGTTCAGGTCAGTCGCGCGTCGTCGCCATGTCGTCCCGTGATGTAATAGCGCTGGCGAGCTGACTGTCTGATGCTTTTCATGCTGCAGGCTTTGAGTCTTTACGACGGACTTGTATAAGCCTTGGTTCTGATAACACTCTCGTCAGGAAAGGTCAACGTCCACTCACACGTCCCACAACGTTAGAACAAACATCAAAGGAAATCCCAAATCTCGTGCTCGGAGTCTGCTCGCTCTTCAGTCTATACCTTTTTGTCATTCGGAAGATCATCCGCCCTTGTTCATCGTCTTTTCGCTTGTACTGCCTAGACCACCGGTACTCCTCTTCAGCGGAGAGTGATCGGTGCCTTAGGTAGTCGGCTGTATACCCTGTCTTTTACGATGAACATCATGCATTGCCATTCCCGGAAGTTCCGTTCCACGAGGTATTACTGGATTTCGAGGCTGAGATGCGATCAAGTAGTCACGTGACACTTTTACCCCGCCAGCGAATTCTAGATCATTCCACCAGGCCACCTCCACTCGCAACTTGTCCCCTTTTGCATCCGCGCTCGTAACCTTCGGGAAGGTCCAGCGACTGTTTGTATATCGAGAACTTTCCAAACGAGGTCGACCTGTTGTTCCTCCTTTCAACCTTCCTGCCTTTCTCTCTCTCTCCATACACAAAAGGATATCGTTTATCCATATATAGTGAGCTTCAATCCCATACCTCCTCGCCTTCGCCACGTTGTTGATAACTGATCAACTATAATCGCTCTGCTTCCCCGCTTCCTTCCGTGCTACTCCACCACCACATCGATCTTATAACGAACTTACGACTTCGCTAGCTACCTTTAACGTCTTTACGAACCCAAAACAGAACAAATACAATCAAAATGTCTGGACAAACCGAGACCTTTGGGTGAGTTTACAACTAGCCTCAAGCAGGCAGACGAGTCGCCATCAATCGGATTACTGATGTTGATTCTTGGAATGCCTTTTCATCGTGGTGGCGATCATACAGCTTCCAGGCCGAGATCAGCCAGTTGATGGACTTGATCATCAACACCTTCTACTCGAACAAGGAGATCTTCTTGCGAGAGTTGATTGTGAGTTTGGGCACCATGCCATTCGGTCATGGTTCGCGAACATTCCGGCTAACCCAAACGTCCGCCTTCCTTTCCCTCCTGCCAGTCCAACTCGTCTGATGCCCTCGACAAGGTCCGATACCAGTCGCTCACCGACGTCTCGGTGCTCGACAGCGAGAAGGAGCTCTACATCCGAATCACCCCCGACAAGGAGAACAAGTGCTTGACCATCCGAGACACTGGTATCGGTATGACCAAGGCCGACTTGGTCAACAACTTGGGAACAATCGCCAAGTCCGGAACCAAGGCCTTCATGGAGGCCTTGAGCAGCGGTGCCGATATCAGCATGATCGGTCAATTCGGTGTCGGTTTCTACTCGTCTTACCTCGTCGCCGAGAAGGTCCAGGTCAGGACCAAGCACAACGACGACGAACAGTACATCTGGGAGTCGGCTGCCGGTGGTACTTTCACTATCACCGCCGACACCGAGGGTGAGCCTTTGGGCCGAGGTACCGAGATGAAGTTGTTCTTGAAGGAGGACCAGCTCGACTACATCGAGGAGAAGAAGATCAAGGAGATTGTCAAGAAGCACGTGAGTTGCACCGTCTCGGGCCGCATACCATCTTGCACAATGCTGACCCTTTTCATTGTCTCTACCTCTAGTCCGAGTTCATCTCCTACCCAATCCAGCTCGTTGTGACCAAGGAGGTCGAGAAGGAGGTCGATGACGAGTCCGAGGAGGTCAAGGACGACGCCGACAAGTCTGCCAAGATCGAGGAGGTCGACGACGAGGAGAAGCCCAAGAAGACCAAGAAGGTCAAGGAGACCCAGGTCGAGAACGAGGAGCTCAACAGGACCAAGCCCCTCTGGACCCGAAACCCCCAGGATGTCACCTCGGAGGAGTACGGTGCCTTCTACAAGAGCTTGAGCAACGACTGGGAGGACCACCTCGCCGTCAAGCACTTCTCCGTCGAGGGTCAGCTCGAGTTCAAGGCTATCTTGTACATCCCCAAGAGGGCTCCCTTCGACTTGTTCGAGACCAAGAAGAAGAGGAACAACATCAAGCTCTACGTTCGACGAGTCTTCATCATGGACGACTGCGAGGACCTCATCCCCGAGTACCTCAACTTCGTCAAGGGTATCGTCGACTCTGAGGACCTTCCTCTTAACATTTCGCGAGAGACCCTTCAGCAGAACAAGATCTTGAAGGTCATCCGAAAGGTAAGTCGAGGCAGCTGTCTGAAAATCACTAGACGTCGATGTTAATGGCTCTACCTTTGGTCACTACAGAACATCGTCAAGAAGACCCTCGACATGATCTCCGAGATCGCCGAGGACAAGGACAACTTCACCAAGTTCTACGAGGCCTTTGGCAAGAACCTCAAGCTCGGAATCCACGAGGACGCCACTCACCGAGCCAAGCTCGCCGAGTTCTTGCGATTCAACTCTACCAAGTCTTTGGAGGAGATGACTTCGCTCAACGACTACATCACCCGTATGCCCGAGCACCAGAAGGCCATCTACTACTTGACCGGAGAGAGCTTGAACGCCGTCAAGAACTCGCCCTTCCTCGAGGTCTTGAAGAAGAAGGGTCTTGAGGGTGAGTTGCAATCTGCAATGAGTCATTCCAGAGATCATTCAAGCTGACATCTGCTTTGCACTTCGCAGTCCTTCTCTTGTGCGACCCCATCGATGAGTACGCCGTCCAGCAGCTCAAGACTTTCGGTGACAAGCAGTTGCCCTTGGTCTGTGTCTCCAAGGAGGGACTCGAGTTGCCCGAGACCGACGAGGAGAAGGCCGAGAGGGAGCAGACCACCAAGGACTACGAGGGTCTCTGCACCAACATGAAGGAGGTCCTCGGCGAGAAGGTCGAGAAGGTTGTTCTGTCCAACCGTGTCGTCGACTCGCCCTGTGTCCTCGTCACCGGTCAGTTCGGCTGGAGCAGCAACATGGAGCGAATCATGAAGGCTCAGGTGAGTTCTAGACTGGTACTTATGTGTCTATCTGCTCTGTTGGCTAATAATACATTTCTGTTCGTCCTCGTAGGCCCTCCGTGACTCGAGCATGCAAAACTACATGAGCTCTCGACGAACCTTGGAGATCAACGCCAAGCACCCCATCATCAAGGAGTTGGCCAACCGATACAAGGAGGACGCTTCGGACAAGACTGTCAAGAACTTGATCGTCCTCTTGTACGAGACCACCCTGTTGACCTCTGGATTCACCTTGGAGGAGCCCGCCTCGTTCGCCGAGCGAATCAACTCGATGATCAGCTTGGGTCTCTCGATCGACGCCGACGTCCCCGCTGCCGAGGAGTCTGCTCCCGCCGAGGACGTTGCCGAGGTTGACGACTCTACCAAGAGGATGGAGGAGCTCGACTAGAGAGTGGAGTGAGGAAGGATATGTGCCTCGTCTGTTAGGTCTTACGGACGATTAGAGAGCTTCTTTTCCACATGTTTGTCTCTATCGTCGATTTTTGCATATGCTGTTTTGGTTTGGCTCTTGTAGAAGAAGATAATGAATACGTTCTGAAACCGCGATGCGTCAAAATGCCCTGTTCCAATTCGAGTGATTGTCGAGGATCGTCGGATGTCCCTTTGAACGTGGTCGATCTCGCTCGGCTGTGTGGGCGGCGGCGGCGGGTTCTTCTTTTGTCTCATCAGCCTCGGGGTCGCGTGGAGATTTATTCCCGCTTGCGGCTGTGGCGCCGCCGTGACGCACTTGAGCTGAGACTCGGAGTAGCGAAAGGTTGCTCGACCGACCTCCATCCCACCTTGGCTCTCGATCTCGCAGCCACCCCTCGTTAACCTTGACTCTCTCTGTCGACGTCGACGTTGAGCACGAGCTATATAGATCGTTGACATTCATAGTTGTCGTTCGCATATCCCTTCCGAACTTCGAACTTCGAACGCTCCAGGTCTTTATCACGCCAAACGCACTTGCCTATACCTCGCCTACTCTTCGATCTCATAATCGCTACTTACCTCAAAAATGCTCTTTTCCAAGAAGATCGTCGCCGTTGCCGCTGTCACCCTCCTTGGAGGTAGCGCCAATGCTCAGTTGGGGGGACTGGGAGAGTGAGTTCAGGGTGCCCTTGAAGCGGGTTTCATACTTGATGGCTAATCCCATCGACTTGAATTTGTACTTGCTTACGTCGTATAGCTTGGGCTTGTCGAGGTGTGTAACCAGAAACTGTGCGAACGATGCAAGGTGCTTAATGATCTGACCATTTACCCATTCTGGTGTACAATAGCTCGTGCACTGGCTCCGCTCTCAGCTTGATCATCGGACCCCTGAACTCGTGTCTGTCTCTGCAAACCCTCGCCCAATTGTTCACCGTAAGCAATCCACCTGAACATTGTGTCCCGCCTCCGACAAGCTTCTCGACTCACCCAGTACCTCTTCACACTTCCGCAGACTTCGGGTTCGATCGTCGCCCCTCTCGACAGCTACTTGAACAATGACATTTGCAACACCGATGCTTGTTCCACCGACACCCTCTCATCGGCCAACCAGACAATCAACGACAACTGCCAAGAGGATATCCAAAACGGAAACACCTTGATCACTGCCTTAAGGACTGTGCTCAACCAGTACCCTACCATTCGAGAGGTCGCTTGTTTGCAGGCTTCCGGGTGAGTCTCGAGGCGACTATCTGCAATAGGAATGCTGTTCCTTTCCAATACGCACCCTATTGACCTGCCCTGAACCCCCTGGTCGACCTCCCTTCTGCAGAAACAACACCCGATGCATCACTCAGTCCCTCTACGGGATTCAGAACGCTACCGGTCAACAGATCGACACTAGCTTCATCACCGGGCTTTTGGGTTCGGGCAACACCAGCTTGACCGACTTGGCTCAGCTCGACGCGAACGTCGTCTGTACCGGATGTAACCAGGCGTGAGTCTCAACGCGCAGCGTGGAGGTACTATTTGCCTTTCGAGATCTTTGACTGACAATGATGTTGCTGTCTTTACTGCAGCATCTACCAGATCGCCTCGGAGAGCAACAACAGCACCTTTGCTTCGGGTGCTGTTGGTCGTGCTATCGGCACCAAGTGTGGATCAGACTTCACCTGTAAGCTCGTCTCGCCTCGCAAACCTGGTGAAAAGACCAAGCTAACATTTTCAAGCTGTAATCACACCATAGCCTCCACCACCTTCCCTACCGACGTAAAGAACCCCATCGACCCCACCTCTACCAACTCGGCCGCTAGCGGAGCTTCTAGCAGCGTCGCCGCGACCTCTTCTGCCGGTGGTTCGAACGCCGCTGGTAGGACTTGGTCCCTCGATGGAATGACCGTCATCGCCGCCGGTGCTATGGGTCTCGGAGTTGTCGGAGGCGCTTTCGGCGTTCTCGCCTAAGCTCAGCCTTTGAGCCGAGCGGGTAGTCTTGGAACTTCACTGCCGGTCTTCGCACCTACAAAAGACAACCAGGACGCTTGAGACAGGGCTCTTTACCTTACAAGACTTAGAAGGACAGGATCATGTAGAAAAGGATAGGAAAGGAACGTTTTACTTTGCTTTGCCAGGATTGCATCATATACGCTACATTTATATCGCTATGTCTCCCATGTATCGAAACCAAGACTCGCCTTGTGATCGTTATTATATCTATATCTTTTGTTGGGCGTACAGTGTATCCGAGACTCTGGGATCGTCATGAATTTACAACATGCGAGAGGAAATGGTATCACTCAGTTTTGGTTCCTTTTTCGTCCATCGTGTCGTTGAGATGGAATGCGCGGCGAATATGCATACGAAGAACGTTGCGGTGTGCCGTTTTGTGGGATGTAGTGCGTAGTCCGCATTATTTCGAGCCGAATCCCTGAGTGGGCTTTCCAAAAATCTTGTTATCCTCTGGTCTGCCCGTCTGAGTTGCGACTTGGGGGATGGTCTTCTGTTCTTCCCCGAGGTAAGCTAATGACGGTACGGCAAATCAGGATAGATCAGCGAGACTATCCTGAGCAAGTTCACGATGACCGTATACCAGAGCCACGGCGATGTTAAAAAAAACGACTCGATTCTCACCTCGTTTGTACAAGATCCAGCTCGTCGCAACGAATAGGGGAAAGGAGATGATGATCGTCCGTAGACGCTTAGCGTCCGCCGTCAATGGCTGGGAGGATATTTTGGGAGGCATAGCTGGCGTATTCGAGGTGTATGTGTTGGACTCAGAAGGCCGGTGTCGCAAATGGCTCAAGAGGAGAGGCTGCGATGGTGAGATTGAACTTTGAGCATGATGATGGGTGGATGCTCGGTCGGTCAAGGAAGTGCGTTCAAGGGCGACGCGTATCTCTCTTGAATTGATCGCCCTCCTCCGCCGCGCCCGCCGGGTCTTTGATCAATCCATTCCCCTCCCCAGCTTGCTTGCGTGCCGGCAACTGGAACGAGCGTGTGGCCATCCTCTCCCTACAACTGTCGATGAGGTTGGCAAGATCACAACGTTCCACTCTCTATCATACCGTTTCAATAATTTCACGCATACGCACTTGTTGCACAAGCTGTAGACTATTGAACTATCCAAGCAGGTCTGTCTCCTTCTGGATCACGCCACGGACTATTCACGCGGCGTAACTCGACATACCATACACAAGTGAACAAGTAACATCGGTTCAGAAGTCGGCAAACATGTCCTGGAAGCTAGGCAAGAGTAAGCATACACCCTAAGATTCGAGCCAACGCAGCAAAAGCATCAACTTACCGGAATTTCGCTTCATACAGAGCTGAAGGAATCGAGTTTCCTCGGGGGTCATCACCATTCCTCCCACAAAGACAGCTCGGCGACCATCACACCTTCAGATTCACGGTCGACCACTCCTACCCCATCCGCGCAACAACAGGCGCAGAACAATGTGCCCAGTCACGTATTCGGTCAGAGCAGGACCAATTCGGGGACGGCTACCCCTACTTCCGCGTCTGTACAGCCTCCGACGGCGAGGAGCGGGTTGCTGAAGATTAGGGTGACGAGCGGGAAGAGCCTGAAGCTGCCCGATGGAGGTCAGTGGCGTCGTCTTGCATGCATTCAACCTCACGCGCAATCCTCTTGCTCATCCTCCTTTGCTTGTTCCTCGTAGTCTCCGTCCCTGAACCCATTCAGAGGGCACTCAACACCCACGCTCTAGCAGCATCCATGTCCACCTCGGCCAACGCATTGGCTATGCAAGCTAAACGTCAATCAGGCGCACCCACTATGACCAGCAACCGCGATTCCGTGCAGAGGAAACAACAGTGGTGGTTACCTTATGTCGTATTGGAGTTTGACAAGAACGAGGTCTTGATCGATGCGCTTGGAGGAGATTTGGCGGCACCCGTGTGGATGTATAGCGCGACATTGTGAGTATAGTGTCCTCTCATCTAGACTTGCTTGCGTGTATCATGATGCCTCGAGCTGATCACCCGCATCATGCTATTGATGACCACCAGCGACGTGTCCCGTATCTCCGACATTAGCATAACCGCTTACCTGCGGAACGTCTCGCCCAATGCACCTGCTAACCAGGGGGATGAGAACGCGAACATGGGAAACAGTGATCTTTGTCTAGGTTCTGTTCGATTTACGCCGAACCTGGAGTCAATGGTGGGTCTTAGCGAAGAACATAAGACGGTGTAATGTGTTTATGCTGATATCTTAATAACTTCATTTTGGGTTGGTAGCAACCGGTGGACGAGTGGCTGCAGTTGTCTCCAGGAAACGGTGCTATTCACATGCAGATGGCTTTCAAGCCCAACCAGGTAGGTTATAACCACTACTCAAGTCCAGATTGACATTGCGCTCATGGTGACTCGCTTCGTTAGAACCAACATCTGTCCATCGACTCGTTCGAATTGCTCAAAGTCATCGGCAAGGGAAGCTTCGGAAAGGTTGGTCCAGATCGTTTCCGGCCTGGCCTGGGTTGGCGTATACTCGGCTCTGTGACTGACGACCCTTGGATCACAATTTCCAGGTCATGCAAGTTCGTAAACGAGACACCCTCCGAATCTACGCCCTCAAGACGATTCGAAAATCGCACATCGTCGCTCGTTCCGAAGTCACTCACACCCTGGCCGAAAGGACCGTACTCGCCAAAGTTAACAACCCTTTCATCGTACCCCTCAAGTTTTCTTTCCAATCTCCTGAAAAGCTGTATCTGGTTTTGGCGTTCGTCAACGGGGGAGAGCTGTTCCACCATCTGCAAAGAGAGGGCAAGTTCAACGAGTTGAGGAGTAGGTTCTATGCGGCCGAATTATTGTGCGCTTTGGAACATTTGCATAGCTTCAACGTGATTTATCGGTGAGTTAGGGACGTCAGATAACGAAGGGTGCCCTCGCTGAAAGCAATTCTTACTGGGATGCATAGCGACTTGAAACCCGAGAACATTCTGCTGGATTACACCGGACATATCGCCCTCTGCGATTTCGGTCTGTGCAAGCTGAACATGTCAGAGAAGGATACGACCAACAGTGAGTAGCAAATCTTTCCTTCGACATCTCGCGCCGAATATGCTGGATCTGAAGGGTCGTACCTGTTACTTCAGCTTTTTGTGGAACCCCGGAGTAGTAAGTACCACTCGTTACGGGCCGAACAGGAGATAATTTGACTGATCTCGACCGACCGGCAGCCTGGCTCCTGAACTCTTGTCCGGTCACGGTTACACGAAATGTGTCGACTGGTGGACTTTGGGAGTGTTACTCTACGAGATGGTAAGTTCCGCTGGTCGTTACGATTCATCCTGCGTGCGATTCCCAACTAATGACACGGCCTGTAGTTGACCGGACTGCCACCGTTCTACGATGAGAACACCAACGAGATGTACCGCAAGATCCTGCAAGACCCACTGAGATTCCCCGAGGAAGTCGGTTCGGATGCCAGGTCATTGCTGACCAAGCTGCTGAACCGAGACCCTGCTCAACGGTTGGGCGTCAACGGAGCTCAGGAGATCAAGGACCACCCGTTCTTTGCCAAACATATCGATTGGAAGAGGCTACTGGCCAAGAAGATACAGCCCCCCTTCAAGCCCGCAGTAGTGAGTATCATGTTGTTGGAGACCTAAACGGCCGCTGATCTTGCTTGTCATAACAACCCATAGGCAAGCGCTATCGACACGTCCAACTTCGACTCGTGAGTAAAATGACCGTGCCTTTTGCAATGCTAAAGTGGACTGATGAGCTTCACTCGGATCTTTGCAGCGAGTTCACTGCCGAGCCACCCGTCGACTCCGTCGTACCTGATTCCGCACTCTCCCAAACTGTGCAGCAGCAATTGTACGTTGCTCTCGATCTCGCTCGGCAGAATGAAGCTGACAATCGTTTTCCGATGCATAGCGCCGGTTTCTCCTGGAGCGAATCTCCAATGGGTCAATCTTACCGATAGACGAATCGGCCTCTCGATATACCCTGATTGTTCTGGTCACCGCCACTGGTTTGTCAATTCTTTTTGAACCTTGTTTGTATGAAACGCTGCGTCTTCGACCGCGATGTGCATCTATACCATGACCTAGACGGCTATTTTCTGTTTTCATTGTTTCAATTCTCCCTGTCAGGTGAGAGGCGGAGTCGTACCTAGGATCAAAAGTCTGCCAAAATACCTCGACCATCGCTTGAGGGTGTTTCAGCGCTAGCTCAGCTCAAGAAGCGGACATGTCTGATCGCGTTTATCGAAAACCAGACCATGTCCGCTTCTGATGCCCACGCCAGCGCCATGACGACGTTGAGAGGGATCGTGATGAGGCCATGAGATCATCATTCGCTAATTGTATCCCAGACCTGACCTGCATACCTTCCGTAGCTAGGTTGTACAAGAACTTTCGAACAGGACTAATAATATGGCTATCTCGGACGGTGAACTCTTCGGAATCAACGCGGTACGTCCGCGATCGACTCTTCACGGATCCCTTTCAGGCGTCTCTTTCCGCAATGATGGCTGGGCTAGGCTGATCTCTGATGTTTGTGCTCGATTTATGGTACAGGCTGCGGCTCAGCAGAAGTACGGTGTTAAGCCCAAGCTCGGTAAGTTGGTACATGGTAGACGGTGTTGCACGCAACGTGTCCACTGATCATCAACACTAAATAGACTATCAGACCGTCAGCGCCGTCAACGGGTGAGCTGATGCCAATGAGGGTGTTGCCGTACTTGATAAGCTGAAGACTGACGAGTGGGCCTGATGCACTAGACCTTTGGTCGTTTTGGACAATGTCAAGGTGAGCAGGGCAGGTGATTGAGCTAGGCAAGAGGCGTACGCTGATCGGGATATACTACCGATCTTAGTTTCCCTCATACAACGAGATTGTCCAGCTTACCCTTCCGGATGGAAGCGTACGAGGAGGACAAGTCCTTGAAGTCAGCGGGACCAAGGCTATCGTTCAGGTACGACAAAGTGGACGAGAACCAACTTGGGATCGCGCTGACATCCCGACCATGTGCAATGGCTAGGTTTTCGAGGGTACTTCCGGAGTCGACACTAAGGGCGAGTACCCGGTAATCCGACCCGATACGAACTGTGGCTGATCGTTATCGATTTACTGTCTATCAGCTACCCGAGTCAGCTTTAGCGGAAACGCCATGAAGCTCGGAGTCAGCGAGGACATGCAGGGACGAATTTTCAACGGTTCTGGTCAGCCCATCGACAAGGGTCCTGCCGTCTGGGCCGAAGACTACCTCGACATCAACGGGTCCCCCATCAACCCTTTCTCTCGTATCTACCCGGAAGAGATGATCCAGACTGGTATCTCGACTATCGACACCATGAACTCGATCGCTCGAGGTCAGAAGGTTGGTACCGGTGATTTCGGCTTTATGGATGTCATCACCCATTCTGACAGCCCCTTGCGTTCAGGTGCCCATTTTCAGTGCTTCTGGTCTTCCCCATAACGAGGTAAGTTTAGACAATACCGACGTAGCTCGACCAGCTAGTAACAAGTCCTCCTTTACATAGATCGCCGCCCAGATCTGTCGTCAGGCTGGTCTTGTGAACCGACCCGGTGATGCCATCAACCGTCCTGGAGCCACCAAGGGTGTACATGACGGACACGCCGACAACTTCTCGATCGTTTTCGGTGCCATGGGTGTCAACATGGAGACTGCTCGGTTCTTCAAGCAGGACTTTGAAGAGAACGGTAGTTTGGATCGAGTTACCTTGTTCATGAACTTGGCCAACGACCCTACGTAAGCGACTATATCCACTCGCGTATTTTGTGCGTGATGCTAACTCTGCGCTGGCTGTTCGCAGTATCGAGCGTATCATTACACCCCGTTTGGCTCTGACCACAGCCGAGTACTTTGCCTACCAGCTGGAGAAGCACGTTTTGGTCATTCTGACCGACATGTCATCTTACGCCGATGCCTTGCGAGAAGTGAGTGTTTCCCTTCACTTCGGCTGCAACGTGCAATACTGACTCTTTTCCGGTATCTTGCAGGTCTCGGCTGCCCGAGAGGAAGTGCCCGGTCGACGTGGTTACCCCGGTTACCTGTACACCGATTTGTCCACCATCTACGAGCGTGCTGGTCGAGTCGAGGGCAGGAACGGTTCGATCACTCAGATCCCCATTTTGACCATGCCCAACGATGGTAAGCGATAAAGAGAACGATTGTGCGGAGCTTTTCTGACTCGCCTTTCACGTTGTCCTTAGACATCACCCATCCCATTCCCGATTTGACCGGATACATTGTACGTATTGGCAGGACTTGGGATATGCTCTTTGACCCCGGCTGACAACACGACTTTTCTGTCAATTAGACCGAGGGACAAATCTTCATCGACCGTCAGCTCGACAACAGGCAGATCTACCCTCCTATCAACGTCTTGCCTTCTTTGTCCCGATTGATGAAGAGTGCCATCGGAGAGAAACTCACGAGGAAGGATCATGGAGACGTTTCAAACCAGCTGGTGCGTTCCGCTTGCGAGGCCACGAAGCTGATCAGGTCACTGACCGTCTTAGATATCGATTCGAACAGTACGCCAAATACGCTACTGGAAAGGATGCCGCATCCATGAAGGCCGTTGTCGGAGAGGAGGCTTTGTCCGCAGAGGACAAGCTCTCTCTGGAGTTCTTGGACCGATTTGAGCGTGAATTTGTGGCCCAAGGTGAGCAATCGTGACCTCGGTCGGTATGGCAAATTGCACCGGTGCTGACGGAGTTGTTTGCGCGATGCGCCAACTAGGCCCTTACGAATCGCGAACTATCTTCGAGAGTCTGGATCTCGCCTGGGACCTTCTCCGAATCTTCCCTAAGGAGCAGCTCAACCGTGTCAACCCTAAGGTACGCTATTTTCCTGCTTATGTCGTAAGTTGGTTCATGACTAACGTGTTGTCCTGCTTTCATCTCCAATCTTCAGATTGTTGCCGAATTCTACCAGCGCAAAGCCAAGCAGCAGGGAGACAAGAAGGAGGACAAGAAGCAGGATGACAAGGCGGATGACAAGCTCATTGACGCATAGATCTAGATAGTGCTCGTTTCCTCCTCGATGTATACCTTCTTGCTGCTTTCCATCTGTTTTCACCATGCCGAATGACACCTTTTTTGTACGAGTACGTTGGTGAATTTGGTCCAGAACGGACTCGCAATTATGACGTCAGTCCGCGACCAGGATTCGCGTTTCACTTTCGGCTCAAGCCCGAGGACGCAAAGGACGATCGATTTCTTGCTTCTCGATGAACGACCATCATCTCATCTCTCGATGTCCTGACATACACTACCATCAAAAACCTCAGTATTGCCTTCTGATCTTCTGATTTGAATTCGGACAGGTTTCTGAACAAGCCAGCACGTTGACCGAGCTTTCAACAATGCCACAGCAAAAGAGGAAAGGTTCGGAGGACCTGGATGAAGTAGGCCAGAAGCAGGCAAAGGTTCGCTTTCGGGCAACAACGGATTCGGTTCCTTTCGTCAGAGATCTCGAAGAGCAATCTAAGCTGGACCCGAGAGAAGAAGAATGGATGCAAAATGCAGATGTCAGAGTGAGCGTCTGGAGTGTTCAATTAACCGCCTCGTCCATCTCAATCTCGATCATTTGCAGACGCTGTCCATCAACTGTCACCATCAAAGTATAGCAGCGGCATACTATGACAACTCTACTCAGACTTTATCCATGCTGGAAGATACGCAGGACTCTCCTTCTTTCGATCTCTTGCAGACCTGTAAGCGCTGGACTTGTTACACAAGTAGATCGTGGCTAACGTCCGTCCAAAGTGATTGAACAGTTGAGCCCGTCGTTCATCCTCGTCAACGCTAATGCGCACGAAAAACTCCTGGACAAACTTATGGAATACTGTGGGTCAGGATCGTTCCCCTTCGGCTACTCTTGACAGCTTACGTGGATTCCGACTTCGGCCTACCTTTCAGGCGACGAACACGATGAAACGACCGTCCAGATCTGCGCATCGAAAGATTTCTACGTCAACGCCTCCTTGAACCGCTTGTCGAGTGTACATATTCTCAGGACAACTCCCACTCTCGATCCTATTAACTCGCCTAGCTCTGGAATTCGGGGAACAATCGAAGCTGGCTCGGCCTCTCCTGTATCGACCACCATCGCGGATCCCGCATCCAATTTTAACCTGCACCCACAGGATGATCTGCACCGCAGGGAGATTCTCAATCGGTTGGGCTGCTTTACTTCGCTTGAGGCGTTCCTTGCAGTAAAGTCCAGACGGTTGCAAGTAGTACAGCTCGGCTGATGCTATTCTTCTTTTGCCGGTCAGTTGGGTGCAGCTGGATCATTGCTAATACAACTCGAAAGGGCGAAGGCGGCTCTGGATGATCACGGACCTATCGTGTTTCGGAATGTGCAAGCGCTAGCGACGTCAGTATCCGAAGTTTCCGAATTTAGCGAACAACGTGATGGGGTACTCACCGGAAGTTTAGTCAGCTACATATGCAGATCAATTCCGATGCCCTGTCGTTAGTTCGTTACATCATCCTCGCACTTACGTCATTCGTGACCTTTCGGTGTCGCAGGTCTCTCTCGATTTTTTCATCTGCCAGTATCGCTCGTAAAGGATCGAACAAGCAGGATGAGGATCTCTCCTTATTCGGTGGGCAGGCTCGGATGGAAATCAGGTCATTCAGTGCTGACGTCCTGCTTCTAGGTGTTCTGGATACATGCCGCTCGGGACTAGGATCCCAGATCTTAAGAAGATGGATGATGCGACCGCTGTTATCCTTGCCACACATCAAGGCTCGGCATCAAGCTGTGGAAGTACTCATCAAGGCAGAAAACCGTCAGGTCCTCAAATCGATACGGGATGGTATGAAGGCGATCAAGAACGTTCACTATGTTTTTAGCAAGATGAATTCTGGAGATTTGAGCGATTGGACTTGTTGGAGAAACCTTGCAGAGGTGAGTTTCGAACAGGCCAATACAGCGAGCGTTAAGCTGATGAGGAGTTCGAAGCTACTCAATGGAAGCCTCCTTATCGTCGAGACTATAGGTAATCTCAGAGGTTGGGAATCGGTTGAAATTTGCAAAAAAGTAAGCCACCGATCGAATGTGATGCTCTCACATATGGTTAACCACTTTAGCAGATACAAGCGACGTGCAACAGGAAACGGCTTCGGGACCTCTTCACCTACATCACAGACAGGGTAAGCGGTAACGGTTGGACAATTATCTGGCCAGATGCTCTGACCAGCACAACAGGTCGACATCGATGCATCGCAAACGGAAGGCCGACTGATAGCGTGTCAAGGTCATGACGAAAAACTTGACGAGATCAATAGCACTTTAGAATGCGAGTATAGCATCGCATTGATCACTCCAGCGTAGAATACGCTGATCGCCCGTGCTTCTCACTAGCTATGGAAGCGGTCCTTGTAAGCGTACATGCATCGAGTATTTCTGTACGTTCGACTAACCAAATCAACCGCAAAGAACGAAGCAGCGGATATAGCGAAGACTGAAATTCCGCAACAGTATAATGCCGACGTCAAAGTTGTCATGTTCCCACAACTCGGATACCTGGTCGAGGTCATGATGGAACAGGCGGACATCCCGCAAGTACCTCTTCAATATCAAGTACGGGGTACCCACACATCGATCCTCTGCTGTGATCTGAAACAATCTTTGCCCAGTTCTCGAGCGAGACCAGTTCGTTCTTCAAGGTGAGTATGATGGGTACGCGGTGATCCGCTCGTCTAGTCGCTGATCGTTGACCCCGATGGTACAGTCAGACAGTATGCGGGAGCTTGATGCGAACTATGGGGATATTTACAACGAAGTCAACGGTATGTCTCTCGGTATCAAATTTCGCATCATACGTGTTTACCAATGACCGATCCGGAGATCGTACCATCGAGTTACTGGAGACCGTCCTTGAAGAGGTGTCCAAGAACGCGTCTTTCGTTCTGGAAGTTGTGGAATTGTTATCTGAGCTCGACTGGTAAGAGAACATTTACGACATCGACGATATCGATGAGCTGAAACGAGGGACGTCGAATCAAGCCTCTTGGCTTTCGCAGCCGCCGCCATAGATTTTCAGCTGATTCGCCCGGGAATGCACCATAACAACGCGATACATATCAAGGGAGGGAGGCACATTCTTTACGAGAGGGTGACGGAGAACTATGTAAGCAACGACACTGCCCTCTTTGGAAGGGGCGATTCGAGGGACGACCATCCTACGGAGGCAGAGGACGAGCATGTGGGAAACATCGTGAGTTCCATGAGCTTGCATTGACGGCCGAAGCCTGACACTCGACCGTTCAAACGATAGATGATGATCACCGGAGCTAATGGTACGCCAGTGACTGATTTCCTTGATGATTACCTCGGCTCAGCCTGGCTATGTCACAGGATCCGGCAAGAGTGCCTACGCGAAACAGGTATGCCATATATAATTCCTAGCCTTGACGATATAAGCTAATCAATATGGATTGTTAGGTCGCTTTGATCGTATACATGGCCCAAATCGGCTGGTAAGCTCACCTTTACATCGCATCGTCCAATTTTGCGCTGAAAACTCTTCCCGACCAGTTTCGTGCCAGCAACCTCCGCTGACCTCGGAGTGATAGACAAGAGTGAGCGTCTCGAAGTCAAACTAATGAAATCTTCGGCTGACGGCTGGCTGGATTTCCCAGTTTATACCCGACTTCAGACAAGAGAATCCGCTCTTAGGGTTTGTCCTAGCTAGTGGGCTTCGATAATCGGCCTTGTCGCTGACAAGTCAACCCGTCGCAGTCTGGCTCGGCTTTCATGATTGACCTCAGTCAGGTTTCGATGGCTCTTCGAGGAGCAACCGCCAGATCCTTACTCATCATTGACGAGTTTGGGAAAGGTCAGTTTTATCCCATTTGCAGTTCATAATTGTTGCTTAAACCCAAGACACGTCTCGTAGGGACTAATCCTCAAGATGGGGCAGGCTTGTTAGCGGGTGTCACGCAGACACTTCTGAAGCGAGGAAAGGATTGTCCCAAAACGGCAAGTCGATTACGCCACCTCAAGAGGCGCTTTTGGCTGACATCGTGGACTTTGCAGATCGTCATTACGCATTTTCAGTAAGCCTCAAAGCGATCTGGATGCAACCATCAGAGCTGATTGCCAGATGTTCCGTCAGTGACCTGGCTGAAACCGACAACGACGGGATTGTCAAGATGCACATGGAGAGCGTATTTCAGGAGAATTGCGAAGGGACAGGCTTTGGCGAGATTATGTTCATCTACAGGCAAGTCGAAAGGAGCTAGATATGATGACGCCCTGTCCGTAAGCGCTTGCTAACTACGGTTAGATCAAAAGGCTTCAGCCGCATTCCTCCCATTCTTCGAACGCTGCAGAGTGCGCCTTGCAATACGGTCTGAACGAAGAACTCGTTGAGCGAGCTCGAACGGTCACGTTAGTAGCTTTTCATAACCAAATACCTCTCCTTAGAACTAAACGGTCAAACTTTGCACCTCAGGACTCACTTGAAGAACTTCGAGCTAGGCAAGATCTCGGATGTCGCGATGACGGATACAGATAGGAAGGAACTCTTTCAAGCGGAAGAATTGGCAAAGGTTTTTCTCAAGTGGAAGCCGCTGGAGGATGAGTCGATAGAGGACGGCGAGATGGATGCCAAAGCGAAGCTCGCGGCCATGATCAGGAAGATCGAAGACTCAAATGCCACTTGAAACACATGTGATGTATGCATTAGCCGAGGGCGTCGCGAATCTAAATGGCCACGCGGAGATCACAATCTAATTCCATGTCCGCGCGTATGCTCCGAAAGATAATTGCTCGAGCGAGGACCTGTACCGACCGGTCGATGATATCGGTTGGACGTTTGACGGATCGCTCCAAGCTAGAAGCTGGCCACACTCAGTGCAGTTATTAGACATCTGACCTCTCATTGCATAGTCGTCGAGGCAGAAGCATTCAAACTCCGGCAAATCAGACACCAGCCGGGACTTTTCAACACTAGCAACCGCTTCCTTACGCAGCTCTTCAATCGATAAATGTCTGGCCGAGGTGGATTCCGTGGTGGTAGCCGAGGAGGATTTGGTGGTGGTGGCGGTGACCGTGGCGGACGAGGAGGCTTCAGCCGAGGAGGAGGTGAGGATCGGTACTTGATGGAGAGAGCAGCTGTCTAGGGGGAACTAAGATCGGGTCGCGTTGTGTATAGGCGGTGGTCGAGGAGGTGGCCGTGGAGGTGGTCGTGGAGGATACGGTGGTTTCGCTCCTCAGGGACCACCTGACACCGTGCTTGGTACGTGGTCTTCATAGCGTATTATATCGGAGCTACCCATCGCTTACCCGCTTCACTGAACCGCAGAGATGGGATCTTTCCAGCACTCTGTCGAGGGAGAGATGCTCTGTTCTTCTCTTATGCCCACTCGAGTTCCTTACTTCAACGCACCCATCTATCTGCAAAACAAGACTCAAATCGGTCAGTCTCCATGCTCAAGACATCGCACACGAACATTCGCTAAAGACTTCTTGCACTCGGTTCGCGTAAAACAGGCAAAGTCGACGAGATCCTTGGACCTATCAACGAGGTCTACTTTACAGTAAAGATGCAGGAGGGTATGCTCTCGACATCATTCAAGAAGGATGACAAGGTCTACATCGGAGGAGACAAGCTCCTGCCCATCGAGAGGTTCTTGCCCAAGCCAAAAGCTCCCGCTGCCAAGGGAGACAGTACGTATCTTGCGTTCCATTGAGAACTCGAGGAAGGTCAGAGACTAACACATATGAACCTGAAACAGAGAAGAAGAGGGGTGGAGCCGCTGGCGGGGCTCGAGGCGGTATGCGAGGTGGCGGCCGAGGTGAGTGCTCTGCAACACAATACCAGCCGTCTGACAATACTGATGAGGTATTGTTGCGATCCCGTTTCAAGGTGGAGCCCGGGGAGGCGCCAGGGGCGGATTCGGCGGAGGATCCAGGGGCGCACCAAGGGGCGGGCGAGGTTTCAGCAGAGGAGGGTTTGGCGGCCGTGGAAGGGGTCAGTGAGAGTCTGGCTGGGTGTACTTGTTTCGCTTCATATCGGCTCCCTTGTGTTTTCTGTCTTCGCACCTATCGCCGCATCACGGCGATGGGAACGTGTACGATATCCATACATCAAAAACGCCTGAGCCGTCGTATCTCCCTCGGACCGATGCGTCTCGTTGATGGCGCATCCTGAGGTCCCCTCTCCCCGTTCCCTGACTAGCCAACAGTTCTCAAGGAGGATGTATGTACAGCATCTCGGCATCAGCCATCATGTTCTTTGCGTTCATCTTGACATAAAGGAGATACTGATTGGGAAACGGCGATCTGACCGCTGACCACTGATCAACCCGTCTTTTTCAATGATGAACGCGGTCTGGTAGACCTCATATTATAAACGTAAACCCAACTACTGGTCCCGTAACAATGCTTAAAGCCATTCTAAGGTTTCTTTCCGCTAGACTTGCGACCGATGTTGCTCAAGAAGAACCTAGACCCGCTCTTGGGAATAGCTTCGTCACTCCCACTTCTACTGTCCGTACCGAGTCTCATCCTTGACATCGCGTTCTTCATCCCTTCTTCGGGCGCCTTCGGCCCGTCTGGTCTGCCACGAGCGCCTTTATCCTTCTCCCTGTCCTGCTCTTTCCCTCCCGAACCCGATCCCGACCCAGAGCTAACGTCCTGACTATGATTCGGGCCTCGTTGCTGCTGAGGCGACAAGTTGAGCGCTGCTGCTTCGTCCCAGTACATCGTCTGAGCTCGCTTCATCTGCCCGTTTCCGTTGAGTCCGCCAGGCTGAACATTAGGTCTCTGAATGCTGGAGCGTTTTCCCCCGGTGTTTTGCGGCACGAGCTCGTCCATCGGCAACATGGCTTTTGTCGCCCTTCTAGGCGAATTGGAACGATTGTTGTACGATTGGGAAGCGGGCATCATAGGCCGGTCGACCATGGGTGGATAGATCTGCATTGTCGGGTAAGGCATCTGCGGCTGAGTTGGCATTTGCAAGACTGGCGGGATCTGACAATCCCGGTCGACGAGGATTTGAAAGACCAGCATCATGTAGAAAGCAGCGTTTCCAGAATTCGAGATGGGGATATGTGGCGGAGTCGGTATGGCGAGCTGATGAAGCATGCCCCTCAGGCTGAGAGGCGCAGAGTTGGCGAGATCGTGATGAGAAGCTTGTTGTACCATGGAGGCGCGGTAAAGTGACCTTTCGAGGTTGGAGACGTCGATGAACGAGACGTTCGAGGGTATATGGACGTTCTTTAGCTCGGAAAGACGGGAAGAGTCTCCAATAGTGAGGATGACAAGGGGATTGAGGCCGTCAGCCTCGGGTTCCGCCAGGGCCGAGATCGTGGCGCTGAACGGCATCCAGTAAGCACTCTTCAAGCTAGTCGCCAACAGCAGCCGGTAGACATCACTCACTTGATGATCTTTTCGAGGGCAGCCATGCTGACCAGCTGAGTGGGTCCATGAGCATAGCTTCTAGGTTGGCTGGGCATATAGTGGTTTGTATTGGTTCTCTGCGCAAACAACAGGGGGCGAGTCTCAGTGAAGTGAATGAAAGCTGAACATGTACTCGGAGTGCTAACCTTGTCTAGCCACTCGGATACGACGTAGTGCGCTCTTCGGTAATTCTCATCCGGCATAGGTGGCCACGAATCCTGCACCATCGCAAGGTTGCTATAAGTTTTCAAGTCACGGCCATGAGTCTGATGCAGCAAGACTCACCATTGCATCTATATTTCGACATCGACAAGCACAGATCCCTGCTTCTAGCATGACCCCGTTCCCCTTTTCCCACCAAGTGATTTCGAGGGCCAGAAAGTTGTCTACCTCATACCGGCCATTCGATTCAGTTCGGCAAAGACACGAGCGAAACTTGCAGACTCACGCATCCTCTTTCTCCAGATCGTCCCAACCGTGGCGACATCCCCCGCTCTCAATCTCTTCCTCTTGGCATTCAGTTCTGCACTCGGGATGGTCGCGGCGAGTCGTTTGTAAGAGTTGAGATCGGTCACCAGCCTGATAGCTCGGGGGTTGCTTTCCGATGGAGTGATAGGGAGCTGGTGTCGCGAGATGAAACAGTTTTATGAGAATGATTATCCATTGGTAAGAGAGAAATGTACAGTTTGGGAATGGGCTTTACCTGGTTGGGCAATTTCGGCAACGATTCTCCAAACCTAAACGTGGACCACGATGGAGTTTTACCGATCGATCAGCGTCCTGCCCAATACAACCGGACGTTTCACAACGACACAACCCTGACTTGCTCACCTGACTTTGACCATCCTTGCAAATTGCTGTACCGTCCCACCCTCCTTTCCCGTTCCTGCTACAGCTCCACCACCGCCTCCTCCTGCACCCCCACTCCCACCGCTGGTAGCATTCGACCCTTCAGCCCTGACGGCCACATGGCCCTTTCCCGTCCTCGAATCCGTGACGACGACGCAACCCCATCCAAAAGAGAGGAAAGCGTCGAACGAGGTGAAGAAGGGCGAGTAGGAGTGGTTGTACCTGTACTCATCGAGAATAGGAGGGGGGGGATTTATATTCCACAAAGGGCGAGCGAGTCGTAGCGATTGAGTATATGGAAGTAGCGAATGGATTTAAGTAAGCAGGGGCGCCAGATGAGCAAAGTTGCTTCAGAGCAGACAAAGTGCCATGAAGATCGCTAGACGACTCACCAAGCGATCCCTTTCCGTTCGAAATAACCCATAAAACTCGCATACACATCGTGCAGGTCGTGCGTATGATGACGGGGAGAGACGAGGATCGTATCCGACATGACTTTTTTTTTCGATTGCCGTTCCGGTCCTCGAGTTTCGTTAGGGATGAAATGATCAAGATACAAGATGTCGTTGATACGATCGGTTGGAGGCCTTTGATCGAGGTCTGGGATACCAGTCTGACCTTGTAAGGTGCTAAGATGGGCAGGCCGTCGCTTGACTGAAGAGAGCCGAAGAAGAGCGACCAGGAATGATCTCCGTCTGCCTGCCGGTCGGTTTCGAGCGAAAGGAATCCCTGCTTTTTGATGATCTCCCGCGCTCTCTCTAACTCGTGATCCCTCAAAAATTCTGCCCAGGTGAGAATATAGTATATATGCGTTGCTGGTGATTGCTCGAGATTTTTGTAATGGACGGAGGTTGTCGGAATGTTAAATCCAAGTTGTGGCGGTTGTGTATGTGCGTGTGCGGTATGAACCACTCTCGATGTGATGGCCGGCCGCGATGCGTGTTGCAAGCGAGGAGCCCCGGAGTTGGCGGTGGGCCAAGGCGGTGCAAGAGGCAAGAGGGCGATCTAGCAAGAACGATGGACCTATCGCAAATGTCGGGTCATACTGGAGACGATGAGGGTCAGCCAGTGAACCTAGATGATTTGGAAACGACAAAATAGCTGTATCATTAGACTGGAAAAAAAGACGTCGACCACAACAGAAACGGTCGACAATTGCAATTGCACGGCGATGGAAGCTGATCTGATTCCGGAACGCAAGCCAGGTTGGCGCGATCGATCGATGATTCTACAATTGTACAAGCAATTCGGTCTGCCCCGCTCCAGTCGCTCACAATCACAAGCCTCGAACATGACCAGTGATCTCGTCAGCTTGTCACTCTGGTACTTGGTAAGCTCTGCGTGCTGACGTGCTTCGTTGAAATAGACTCGACCACCGCGACCACATCCCATACGTTCATCGCTGCATAGCTATTAGCTACAATCACGTGACCTGAGAACCGGGGCGCGGGAAGGGCTTCTGACGCCGCCACGCGATTGACACGTTAATTACGGCATTTCGGCTGTTGCCGCCGTCGCCCCTTCTGCCGCGCTCACCCTCTGCTCTGCGTTCCTGGTGCCTCCACCCTCTGAGACTGATTCGAGTGAACAATAGAAATCGAGAGATCAGCTCACATGCAGACAATCGACAATGAATGGGCCAGACCGTACACATAGGGCTAAGTAAGACGAGCCAGCACAACAACCTCGTCCACAAATTTATATTTCTCAGCAAGAGACCAATCTGTCGACTGCCTTATACCCAACCGGTGCTCTTCATCACACCTTTTCGGCACACCTTCACGAACACCCTACAGTATAATCAATCAATAATCACCCGACAAGCCACACGCTTCGATGACCATGAGCGTACACCAAGACCCGGACAATTTCGAAGTGGGGCCATATTACAAGCTGGTAGATACCATCGGCGAAGGTGCTTATGGAGTTGTAAAGTGAGTGTGGCCTCACAAGAAGAGTCGTCGCAATGCAGCTGGGTCGCACAAACATAACAACCAGCTTTTACCCGACTCGACTCGGTGATACTCGGACTCGTCAATGTCCTAAATATATTTGCTGACTCGAAGACTGCCGATCTCGTCTTGTTTGATTCTGTTCCGGTTACAGAGCTGCCGTACACGTCCCGACGGGAACCCAAGTGGCCATCAAACGTATCACCCCGTTCGACCACGCCATGTTCTGTATGCGGACGTTGAGGGAGATCAAGCTCTTGAAGCACTTCAGGCGAGTACTCCTGGGCTTGCCTTGTATCTCTTTTCCCATGGTGTCATACAGTGCTTGATGAGCTAATATTGATTTGTTTCGGGTGGTGTAGGCATGAGAATATCATCGCCATCCTCGATATCCTCCGACCGCGGGATTTGGATTCGTTCAAGGAAGTCTACCTTATCCAAGTGAGCACTCCGCCCGCGCACCATTTCTTCTTAATCGTAAACATGCGCTTTGAATGAGTAAGGGGACTGATATTGAACTCGGGAACGCTCTTACACTGCCATACAGGAACTGATGGAGACGGACCTCCATCGAGTGATCAGGACGCAGGAACTGAGTGACGATCATTGTCAATATTTCATCTACCAAGTCAGTCCTCTCCTTCGTGTCCTCCTTGATCTTCTGCTCTCGTTCAAGACGACCGGCTCATCATCTATATTGCGGAATGGCACAACAGACGATCAGAGGCCTGAAAGCGTTGCATACCGCCGACGTCCTTCATCGGGATTTGAAACCTAGCAACTTGTTGTTGAACGCGAATTGCGATCTCAAAGTCAGTTCGTTCAACTCGCGCCGGCTTTCCTTCCCTAAACTGGAGACTGATTTTAGATGTATTCGAAACTTGAACCACCTCGACCGGTAATTTTGTTCAACTCTAGATCTGCGACTTTGGACTCGCCCGATCGACCGCCCAACCTAATTTAGACGTGGGTGCTAATGCTTATATGACCGAGTATGTCGCTACACGGTGGTACCGTGCGCCCGAGGTCATGCTCTGTGAGTTCTCAAATCTGCTTGAAATGGGTCGAGATTCCAAGAGCTGACTCAGTCTCATGATGATTCAGCTTTCAAAGAGTATACAAAGGCGATCGATATGTGGAGCGTAGGGTGCATCTTGGCCGAGATGAGTGAGTCCTTCCCGCTGATCATGTCCGCTCATAGCGAGGTTCAAGCCAATCGGTTGAAGGCGCTTAAACTTACATCCTGTTGGCTATGTCGGAATTAGTTAATGGTCGACCGTTATTCCCCGGTAGGGATTATCATCATCGTGAGTCACCTGTCTGCCCGCTACGTTAGCGGCCATGGGAAGCTTGCGTTAATAACGATGATTTCGATATCTCAGAGCTGTCGCTCATCCTGGATGTTCTCGGTACACCTATGGTAAGTCCAATACATGATGGCAGAATCTAAGCTTCTCTAGAGTTATCGTCTTACCGGTTTCATCGTGTGATCGGTCATAGATGGACGATTTCCAGGAGATCACCTCGTCTAGATCCAAGTGGGTACATTTTCCAAGTAGTCGACCTGGTACATAACACTCACCATGATAACTCGGCTTTGACAGGGACTATCTGGTACGCATCAAGAAGAATACAATCTGGGAGACTAGAGGCTTTCGAAATACTAATCCACCTGATTCCTTTTCGCAGCGAGCATTGCCTTTCCGCACAAAACGGGATTTCCGATCGCTGTGCCCTAAAGCTTCGCCCACTGCCATCGATTTCCTCGAACGGTGCCTGACGTAAGTGAATCTCTATGCGGGGCCCGTTGCGGGTGACTGATATTGGATGTGGGGTTTCAGGTTTTCACCAAGTAAACGAATCACGGTCCAGGAGGCCTTGGCACACCCTTACCTCGAGGTTGGTGGCATTCTGTCCTGATGAAAGCTCCCGCGACTGATTCAGGTTCGCTCCTTCTACATTTAGCCATATCACGATGACCAGGACGAACCGTCAGCGGACCCCCTGCCCCCGCATTTCTTCGACTTTGATAACGCGCCGGAACAGCTCAGTCGAAGCGCTCTCAAACGTAAGCAAACTTGATTCGTGAACACTGAACTGCTGAGGATAACGATTTGAGCGTTTTTTTCAGAAATGATCTATAACGAGATTTATACCCCAGCCAAGCCTGCAGCATAATCACATGCCAAACCTGCCATCTGCTCACGAATACCAAGGTTGGAAGCACACATGCTCGGCCGGACCGACGGAGGAGATATAGACCCAAATTGCAACAAGGATAGAACACATGAGAAACAGGTTTTGTAGGTTACATTGTAGCGGATATCGATAGGCAAGATGACAATGTACTGTATTCCTCTATCACATGAAGTCGAGAGGATAATCCTTTGGCCGTCGGTGTGGGGTTCAGGACATGTCACAAAGGAGGATGCGGAGATGACGTGACGTTTCAAAGTGTTATGGGTGGCTTTCATCATCGCTGATCGAGACTCAAGGTAGCTACTGACATCGATTCGGCATTGGCTCTACCAAGTGTCAAGATTGGCTGGATCGGAGCTGTGACTGTCCGATCAGCACGGTACAGCCACGATGAATCAACCTCAGCCTCATCCACTTACGAGTCTCGAGCCGATCCGTCCTCTTCAACTTTCGACGACCCAGGATCTCCAGCCCATTACCCAATCAAGCATCCTACCATTGGAGGCTCGGCCTTCGATACCGGAAATCACTTCCAAACCTGAATCTTCGACTCGGGACGAAAATAGCAGAACTCGGTCCGATGGTCTAGTCCTATCCTCTAACCGACCCTTCTCATCGATTCCAGCAATCACATCGCTCCCGCCCGTCTCTACGACTGCATCGACGTCAACGTCAGAGACAGTCAGGATCCAGTCGAGCCAATTGGCGTCGACTCTGGTAGCCCCATCGCCAATCGTTTCACCGTCAACCCCGCTGCCCCCACTATCATCGCCACCGGTTGCTTCTCCACCCCCTCCTTCTCCCCCACATGACCCACCGATCGCGTACCCGGAAGGTCCTGCTCCGTCTGTATCTCACGATGGTGCACAGCCTCCTCCTACTATGAATCCTGCAGAGTCTACCATCTACGCGTCATACAATCCGTCTGATTACTGTGAGTATACTGAGCTCAAGGCAACAGTACATATGAGGCCTGACCGAAACTCTTAGACGCCAACGTCTTGACCTCGAGCTTTCCAGGGGCCGTACAATCGGCTGAAGCGGCACCTAAGAGTCATATCAAAAATGACACTAAGACTACCGGTAGGTAACAATCGTCCGATTCTCACTTGGGATCTAGCTAACCCGATACTGCGATAGTCATCGTGGTGGGATCGCTTGCAGGAGCCCTGTTCCTGCTCATGTTCGTCCTGCTCGTCTTCGTTAGGTTCAGGGACAAGCGCAAGATGAGCGCCGGTACGATGGAAATGTTGGAACCTACCTACGGAGCTACTGTCTCAGCCAACCCCGATGAGCGAAAGCGATACCCACGTACACACCCTGCAGTCCCAGCGAGCAGGCCTAGAAGGTATCCTGTGGGGGTCTGAACGTTTCAGACGGTTTCAGACGGCATGAAACAGCTTGACAGAACAAAGGAGAATCGTCCTGAGGATGTCTCGCAGGATTGCTTCCTTTGACATATCCTCCGCGCGTGTTATAAGACATTCACGAGGAGGTCAAATACCGCGCACTCGCATGCACCTAGAGACAGGACTCACAACTTGATCTTCATTTTGTGAGTGATCGTCATTCATTCCATCAAGCGCCTGTCTCACATCGATATTCCGACCCCAGACCTTCGATCTTCACTCCCTGCCATGTGCTGGGCCAAGTGGTTCTATCCATGGTCCTCCCTTTTCGTCACGGTCCCAATGGAACCCAAACGTGGCTTGTCCTTATCTGAATATCATCGAACTGGCCCTGATCTTCCGAAGGAGCCTCGCTCTGAGACAGAGCCGGTCGAGCAAGACACGACATCTCAGGACACGCATGATGAGGAGCCGTCCATAGTGACTGAGCGAAAGGGAAGCGCTGGAGTGGCTTCGTCAACGCGCACATCTGAGCCACCCCCTGCGCTACCATATCTACCGCTGATTAGCAGTACCGCCACCCGAATCAAAGGCGCCTCTCTCACTCGACTTGACACCTGTATGATTAGACATACCCGTTCCGCCTCCGTCCCGAACCAACCGTTCATCTCTGCGAGACCAGTCAGCTTTGACCGAAATCGCTCTTTCACTCCAGGTGAACAACGGAGTGCCGAGGACAAGACGGATCGTTGGTACGCCCTGAGCTACCATTCCCCCATCTCGCCCCATCCGGCTCCTCAGACCCCTCTACCGCCATTGCCCACCGAAGCTGCTGCGCCAGAACAACAGCAAGAGTCCCGGTTGGAACCCCTGGAGGAAAGCCCAGTCTTGCCTAGACATCCCTATCACGGCCCGGCTTCTCCCCGTTCGCTTGCTCAATGACATTTACTATCAGTATCTGCTCCGCGACATGGAGTGATAGTCCCGACGACCCAGCGTCAATCATGTACAACTCGTCTGTATATGTTGTACTAGTACTTATATCGAATGCAATTCCCGCTCGATTTGACTCGTCGCGGCCAACGGCTTTGTGCGTATGCTCTTTCACGACGGTACCCAGCTGTTATGCTGTATTTCCGGCTGCCAAAGTTCTCCCTGACCCGTAAGACCCTGATCGTACCACCCGCCTTGTACTTTGGAATAAGGCTTGATCGGTATTCTATAAGAAGCTGGTGGGAAGATATAGAGCCGATCTGAGCAATCGACAATTTCCCTAATCAGCGGGTTCGAGGGAACCGTACCCATGTTGTCGGTATAAGGTATATTCGGATGAAGAGTGCCAACGGTCTGAAGCGGCGGCCGAGAATGTTTGTTAGGACAAGGTTGAGTTTGAATGGGTCGATCCGATGTGGACAAGGGAGGTGCGAGATTCCGTAACACCTGTCTGCCAATATTGACCGGACGGTCGACGAGGTTGTTATACTTCTGCGCAAAGGCGACATGTTTCAGTTTTAGCCGAAAAGATCACTGATCGGCCTTGCGTTGACTGGCGAGACTCACAAAGACCCCGCAAGCGTAACACAACCTTCGGTTCAGACCGAGCACCGTTTTGACTACCGGGTCCGTCCACCAACAAACCGCCTCGGTCTATGCTCTCGTCAGACACAGCATCAGCCTTCTCTTCCGACTCACATCACTAAACCTCTCCATGCCAGACTCACCTCGTCCACCCGACAATTACTGCAAACACCTCTACCCAGTCCCCATCCACCCGAAACTACCTGCTTCTGGTCCCCCTCATACTGGTCCTTTCCAACAATCCACTGATTCAGTTGTAACGCGTGGCTAGTATATGGCGGAGGTACCGGCATTCGGGCGTCTCTGGCGAGATACTGGATCGTCAAGGCGGCTTCCACGTCTTCCAGCCCGAAGTCATATCTGGTCGTCGGTCCTGATCCCATTAGAACTTCCGCCAAGGCCCAAGTTGAGGCTGGGTGAGCTGTAGCTGGTACCGTATTGGAGCTATATTGATACCGATAACCGTCTCCTCCGATTTGGGAGCTTTGTTCTCGATCTTCATTCGGGATCCTGAGTCCATTCCTCTCGCTCCGTCCCGAGTCTAGGTCCGAAGCTGAGCCGTAGTACCCCATGTCCGTCTCCGTCTCCGCCCGGGGTAAGATTCTCCTCCACGTCCCACCCTCACTCCTTTCGACCCTTCTTTGACGTTTCCTCGCCCCCTCCCTTGCTTGTCCTCCTTGACCCCCATCTCCTTGTCCTTCTCCTCTCCTCTCGTCTTCCCTTCCTGCACCGGAACCTTCAACCTCGGCTCCATCGGCGTCAGGCAACAGTTGTGCGATCTCCTTCTCCAAAGTCGACCGTTTTCTGCGTCTACGAGAGCTCGGGACTGACGGATCTGGCAGACCAGTATTCGCGGAACGATCTCTGTTATCGTGATGGTTCGCGTTTATACTCTTGAGATAAGTTTTATCGTTCTCATCCTGGTGGACAGCAAGGTCTGGGCGTTGATGACGATGATGGTCATCACGATCATGATAGTGATCATAACGATGTCCGTAGTCTTGGTCGTTCTCCTTGTCCTTCCGAATCGAATCGCACGTCCGAGAGTGAGAAAGAGGTTTTCCCAGATTGACCGAAGACGAGGGTAAAGCTGAGGAGATCATGCTGCCGTGAGAGTTGTTGTTGTAGCCAGAGAGAGAGTCACCCGGTCGATGAGGAGGTTGGACGTCCCTTTGGAGGTGGATCCGGTTGGAGGAGTATATTCTGTTATCCCAGAAGGTATCGACAGGGACTGAATGGGATGGCGGTGGTTGATGTGGTAGTTGCGGGGGAAGGGTGACTCTCCAACCGGTATTCAAGTTGTTGTCACTGATAATGTTGTTGGCATCGTATTTGATGGTATACTCCTCGGGCAAGGAAGTCAGGTCCGAGGTTCCCCCAGAGGACGACGTATGAAGTCGATCATGAGTTTGAACGTTGTCCGATCTACGTCCCGCCGGCAGAGTCGAGATCGTAGTCGCAGTCGAGGTGGCCGTGATGAGATGTTCAGGCATGTATCTCGAATTCGATTTAGGCGGCAGGGGTGGCGGGGCATCAATGGACGAGGTACGAGGAGGTGGCTCGGTGAGGGATGGCGAGATTGGTTGAGAGGACATATTCTATCGTGCCATGGGGATGTGTCTGGACCTGTCACAGACTGTCACAGAGATGGGACGATGCGGTTCAGGCAGCTGTTTCGTCGGTTCGATCGACGGGACTCGCCTAACCCTGCCTGTCTTGGAACCGTCAGATATCGCTCGGATGCGTGCAATGTCGATGCAATAGCGGTGTGCTTGGGAAAGTAGAGTGTGGTCGCTTCGAGAAGGCTAAAGGTCGAAAATTGGGGATCCTGTCGCCTGTCGATGCTGATCGTCCTAGCAGAGGCAGAGAGACTGAACGATCATCATCAATCCTTCTTCATCCCGAACCGGTTCCCTCCATCAATCCTCTGTTCGGTGCTGATCGCTGATCGCTGATCATCCTCGATCCACCTTTCCCCTCGGGCGAAACCGTGCTGTGCTCGCGCCAGAATGTTTCACATCGAACCAGACCCAGGATCCATGGCGCGACGACGGCAACAACGACGATGACCACAGCAGTTCTCCAAAGCCCAGACCAGCAGGACCATTGTGCTGTTTTTCGCTGCATCTCATAGGTCACATACGTCCATCCACCCTATTTTCTCTCCAGCTCTCTCTACCCTATCTAACATCGATTTCAAGTCGGATGTCATCAGCTCGAAACCTCCTTTCGATGATGGCTTCTTCCCCGGGCGCTATACACGCAATTGCCACCGAGATCTCCCTCCAAAATCGCATATGCATTGTCGTTGCCCATCTCGGGCGCGTGACGCGTTCCGAACCAATTCAAGTGATCAACCGACTCTGAGATCATGTCGACTTTGAACATTTCGACAAACCACTAGCTACTCGGCTCCTGAGCTGTGCGTTATCGAACGAACAACTTACGACTAAGATAGTCAATAGTCTATTACCATGGCTCCGGAACCGAACAGTACTACCACGCCCGCTACCTCTTCTCCGGCTCAAAAGGGAGGCAAGGCAAAGTCGGCGGGAGAGACGAGGGTGTTGCAGACGAGGAGTGCGAAAGCTGGGCTGGCCGTGAGTCTGGATCTGAGATTACGAGACGGCCCATGGAGCAAGTTTCGTTGGTCGTCTGGGATGGGAGTTCGGCCTCTTTGATACGGAAAATGGGACATATCAGGAGCGACAGGATGGAACATTCAGGCAGGACAGGAAAAGCTAGAACTCGCAGTGATTAAGTGAAAGGCTGCCGGTCGAAGGAGCCTCGAGCTGGTCCGCAACCGTCAAAGATGAACGGAAGAACCTCAGTCGAAGCTACTAGGCTGCTAGCTCGCGCATCACATCATCATACGATGCAGAAGAATGAGCTCAAAGCTTGTCCCCCAAACCTCAACCTACGAGACGCACGAGACTCGACCAGCCGCGACCAGAGTCCCGCATCATACGCAAGCCATCCCCTACAGCCGACCTAAAACTGAATCCGTCTCTTCATTATCTTTTTCTTCTCCTCCCTCTCGATCAACTCGGACAACAGTTCCCCGTAGGTCGTATCCACCGTTTCCTCAAGAAATCGACCAAGAACCAGGTCCGAGTGGGAGCCAAGTCGGCCGTCTACGTGGCTGCGATCTTGGAATATCTGACGGCCGAAGTTTTGGAGCTTGCTGGTTAGTCTCTGCTCTCCACCCCTGACAATCAGGTTCTGCGGTCGATCGTCGAAAGTGTTTCACCTCGATTCCATGAATGTCACTAACACTCGTTGGGTTTCTGTTGACCGTGTTATAGGTAACGCTGCCAAAGATCTCCGAGTAAAGAGGATCACCCCGAGACACTTGCAATTGGCCATCAGGGGTGACGAAGAGTTGGACGCCATGGTCCAAGCGACGATCGCTGGGGGTGGAGTCTTGCCTTATATCCACAAGGTCAGTCGAGATGGGGTATCATATGTCAGTGGAGGGGGGAGACGGACGACGAGCTGATCCGTCTGTTCTGCATCGATCCTGCTTCGTCTTGCCGCTGTCGTTGTTATCAACAGGCTTTGGTCGCCAAAAGTACCAAGGCGGGTTCGAAAAAGGCCCCGGCAACTCCGACTACCGCTTAGGTCTGACCATGGACTTGTCTGTAAGTCGTCACCCTTGGTGTGTAGCTCTATCGGGCAACGGACCAGCAAGTTCAGATTGATCTATGCATCTAGATCCGACCTCAATTATGGTTACGGGTCACGACTCGACCTGGATCTGGTTCTTCTCGACTTCCTTCTTTTCGATTTTCGATGCCCAATTTTTTTTTACCCGACCTCTTCTCGGGCCGGCTTTTGCCTAATCATTTACGAGGAGGAACTTGGCGATACATGTAAATGGAGATAATATGATATCCTATGCATCATGCGGATGTGGATCGTCTTTCGGATATTGGGTTGAGCGATGGCGTTTGCGCAAGCCGTCTCTCTCAGTCACGAGCGCCTTCGTCAAGGATGGAACAAGTATTGTTGCAAGTTGCTGTAGGGATGCTGCAAATGCGTCGAATCTCGATCAAGGCGGAAATTCTAATGGGTGAGCATTCTTTCTGGCCTTCGCAATTTCATTGCAGGTTCGTCCCGGCAAGCCAAGGGGAAAGATGTGCTTCGATTTGATGACACCGCCTAAAGCGTGCGTAAAGGTGTCCCCAGTACCGATTTGAAGGGCATAGTCCGGGATGCACGGCACTTCAGCAGTAACTCTCAGTGTAACAATTGTCGGCGCAATAGAGCAGTGGTGATTTTCGGTGGATTTGAGGTAGTGAAGGTCATCCTTGCGCTCATTGGATGCCACACGCTAGTGGAGCACCTGGAAAATGACATCTATGATCATGATTCCTGTGTAAGTACAACTCGTCGAGCACCTCACCTCTCCGATGTCGATCTGTCACAGTCGATCTTCATACAATCCTCTTAGTTGTCACACCAGACATCGCTTGCGGCATCCCGTTTGGGTGAACAACGGCTATACTGGTTCGCGGGGACAAGACACAACGAAGCTGCCTGAGTAACCCGATTGTAAGGAGATTGAACTGTAAGGAAGATCAGTTTGTAGGTGGAGAAGCGGGTCATCGAAAGTGCGTTTGGTGTCTCGCCGATCACCGCCACTCGCACCTGCTACAACTTGTGCGATGGCTCTGCCGGCCTGAGTGCAAGTCGGGAAGGGCCTCGCCTTCTCCTGCTGTTTCCGCCCCTTTTACTGGTAACTGGAAACCGAAGCAGCAGAGGATCCAGCTTTGCGGTTCACCCATTCTCCGGGGTCACTTTGAGCGGACCTATGCGCTTTGCTATCAAGGTTCAAACGCGATCAAGCGTAGTTGACCAGGCCACGTAGATCTAGAAACTTCGCAGCGCGCTTCCATCAAAAGTGTACATATCATCGCTCCAATTCCTGCAACTTCACAGAGCTGTTTCACGTTGATCGTCTGAACCGCGCACCGTGCGACAGTGCTAGCTGTTTCGATTTTCGATAGTTGCTTGCATCATTGTCACCTCTCTCGCATCTGCGCTTGCGCCACTGAACGTTTCGGATTGCGAAAGAGCCTTTCGCACCGATCGTCATCTGACAAGAGAGGTGGACGGGATCAAGGTAACTTGGCGAAGCATCGAAGAGCAGGCGGAACAATATGCTGTGGCTCGTTTTCTCAATTGAAAAACTGAATATATATATTTATGACCCAGTCCTGACATCCAGTTCTTACTCGTCTATCGGCTAGGATGCGCGCCTCTCAATAAGACTTCGGTCTTTAATTGAACGCGCGAGGGCGGGGTTCGACTCCCCGGTAGGAAATACCTTTTTGACCTAGCCGAGCCCATGCGGATTTTTGCTCTGTTGCCACCCGATCGCACGCGTGAGAACCCGTTGCTCTCGAAGAAAGGCTGCTCAACCACCTGGCTCTCAGAGCAGTCTAGATCGACATCGACGTCAATCTACCTTTACAAACGTCTCGGTCTGCCGTGATCTTGCTCTCACAAACGCATCTCAAACCGTGAGCTTGCAATCCACGACATCTACCTAGTCAGTACTCGCATCCGGCTTTGTGCCACGGAGGGAGAGGACGGCCACGATGACAGAACGACGCGCTCACACCAGATCCTGTCTCTTCGCCCTATCCTTTTCTTCATCTTCCTCCTCTCTGGTACAATCTTCCCTTTGGCATCCGGATACCTCGTTGCGACGATCATATAGGAACTCCTCTTCTACCCAACACCTTTACCAAAACGTCTAGCAAAATGGCTCCCGAAGAAGAAGAGTTGGTCGATTACGAGGATGAGATCCAGGACGAGGTCGCCGCTCCCGCTGCTGCCGCCGCCGGTACCGGAAAGGCTACCGCTGGAGATGGCGAGAAGAAGGGAAGCTATGTTGGTATCCACAGTACCGGTTTCAGGTGAGCATTCGCTGATACTCCATCTTCAAAGCTGGAGTTCGAACCAATCTGACGCGTCTCTTGTCGTGACACAGGGATTTCCTCTTGAAGCCCGAGCTTCTACGTGCCATCTCGGACCTCGGTTTCGAACATCCTTCGGAGGGCAAGTCTTGAGTCCCTACTTTCTTCGCAACGTCGTCTCCGCTCCTCCCGCCGATCGTCGTCGATGGGACGAGGAAATCTATGGCTCCTCGATATGAACGCGCGTCGCAAGACCAATCAGCTCGACAATCCTTTGTTCTTCGGTTGTGCAAGAACGTCCGCCGGTTCAGTCAGAAGGCGAACGTCCTTGCTCGATTGCGGGCCGATCCGTTTTGAGCCTATGTGGAGAACCGAATGGCGACGCGAACCTTCCACGACGATCGAGCCCAGAGCGGAGACGAACAGGGGTTCAAAATCAAGTCATCCGGCAAGCGAGCTTATACGAACATCTTTGTCTTCCTCCTTTCCTTCTTTACCCCCGGTGGATTCTTGGAACAATTACAATCTGGCAATACAGTCCAGCAAGAATGTATCCCCCAGTCCATCTTGGGTCAGGATGTCCTTTGTCAAGCCAAGTCTGGTATGGGTAAAACCGCCGTCTTCGTCTTGGCCGTACTCCAGCAACTCGAGCCTGTCGACGGAGAGGTCTCGACCATCATTCTCTGTCACACCCGAGAATTGGCTTTCCAGATCAAGAACGAGTTCAACAGGTTCACCAAGTACATGCCCGATGTCAGGACCTCGGTCTTTTACGGAGGTACCCCCGTCAAGGCCGACCAGGAGATCTTGGCCGACAAGACCAAGTGCCCTCACATCGTTGTTGGTACCCCCGGGCGAATGAACGGCTTGACCCGTGACAAGAGCCTCGACGGTTCCAAGGTCAAGATGTTCGTCTTGGACGAGTGTGACAAGATGTTGGAGCAGCTCGGTATGTCTGTCACGTCAGTGTCGATCGACATTCACGCTAAATGGGGACATGCTTGGCTCGGTAGACATGCGACGAGACGTTCAGGAGATCTTCAGGTCGACTCCCGCTCACAAGCAGGTTATGATGTTCAGCGCTACCCTCGGAAAGGAGGTCCGAGTAACTTGCAAGAAGTTCATGCAGAACGTTAGTCCTGAACCGTATTGCTCTTCTGGTATCCGATGCTAAAGCACCACTTTCGCAGCCTCTTGAGATCTATGTCGATGACGAGACCAAGTTGACCCTGCACGGTCTTCAGCAATACTTTGTGAAGCTCTCTGAGGGCCAAAAGAACCGAAAGCTCAACGACTTGTTGGACAGCCTCGAGTTTAACCAGGTGAGCGACTTTGCTTTGGGAGTTGCCTGTTGATATATACTAATCACCGCTACGTCTTATCCGCCAGGTCTGTATCTTTGTCAAGTCCGTAGCAAGGGCCACCGAGTTGGACCGACTCTTGAGGGAGTGCAACTTCCCCAGTATCGCCATCCACTCTGCTCTTGACCAGGCTGAGCGGTAAGCAGAAGCAGGCTTCTTACGGTCAGACGTCGCGGTACGAGTGCTCAAACTTTATACTGACTATCGCAGAATCAACCGATACAAGATGTTCAAGAACTTCGAGAAGCGTATCCTCGTCGCCACCGACATCTTTGGTCGTGGTATCGATGTCGAGCGAGTTAATGTCGTCATCAACTACGTGAGTCGCCATTGATATATTCACCTAGCCTTGCATCCTGATTACTGACCGAATCACAATTCAGGACGCACCCACCGACGCCGACTCATACTTGCACCGAGTCGGTCGTGCTGGACGATTCGGTACCAAGGGTCTTGGTATCACCTTTGTGACCAATGACGAGGACGAAGAGGTACTGAAGAAGATCCAGGAACGATTCGTCGTGGCCATTCCCGACCTTCCTGAGCACATCGAGGCCTCCACCTACAGTGAGTGTTCGGGGTATTTTGGCGCTTTCGATCCCAAAGTGGTCACAAGCTGATCGTCTTTGTTGCTACGTTGCCTACAGTGACCGCCTGAGCGCACAGAGTGGAGAGGAGGAAGAAGAGCTTTGAGGAAGCAGTAAAAAGAATGCCCATCGTCGAAATCACCGTTTCCCACCCAATTCGTGCCTTGTACTTGTTGCCTTTGGTATAAACATTGTTCGGTCCAGCTAGTCTGCTGCAGCTCTATCACACGGTCTTCGACCGATTACAGACGGACATTGGGGTCGTGCGCCTAATTATGTCGTTGGGAAAAGGCAGGCAGAAATGAGGTGGGCTGTGTGCGTGATTTTCGGCTCCGCGAAATCGAGCTCGAGAGACTTCGACGCGCTTCAGCCGAGGGGAGCGACTCGGTCAACCGTGCCCGACGTCACGTCTCTTGCTACAGCGACACAGCTTGCATTCCGTTCCGATACGCTACCTATCACAGTCTAGACAGTCCTTCTTCATCTAGCTTTTGCCTAGCTGCTACAAACTATCGAGTTTGCTTCCTACCAACGTCCTTGCTGACACCGTGATAAAAACAGGCGAGAAACACGTCTGCATTTCTCATCAACAACGGACCGCCGCGGAATACGTCACGGCTCTGGCGGAGGGTTGCACACGGTGCCCAACAATAGCGTTCTTCTTTTCATTCTCTTCGCTGCTCCCTCATTCAAGTCCCGACCTAAACTACAAAGGAGTCCGGATTCAAAAACAGCAACCAAGTGAAGGTCATTGTTGCTCGTAGTTGACGGCTGATCGATCATCATAATCAACGCTTAAGCGGCGAAACCTATCAGAGCTCGAAAAAGAGAGGTTTGTCCGCATCAAAATGGTAAGCACGACCTCTAGAATCGTCCGGTGCACAACATGTCAATCCGGAACAGCTAATAGAAAATCCTCTAGTCGAGCCACCCTTCTGCTGATCCCAAGATCAACAAGGTCCTCGCCAACCTCAACTCGGAACGAAAGAACTTGTTGGGAGCACAGGCATACATCCGAGCACTCCAGGCCTCATCCCGTAACGAAGCCGTCATCCAACAGGCTCACAACGAAGTCAGGAATGCTCAAGCGAATATCAAATTCTTGGAAGATGAATTGGCCAAGATGCAGGTGTCTAGTCCAGGTGGTGGTTCGGGAAGCAGTCCTGGTCCGGGCTCTCCCGGTGGACCCGGTAGTCCAGGACGAAGCATTTCAACACAACAAGTGATGCAGCACCCGGGTAGCCCGCAAGGGAGGATGGGTGCTTATCTTGGACCTGGAGGACAGCCTGGAGCCGGGCCCAATATGGGACCACGAGGCTATTCCACACCTGCCATGCAGTATCAGGGCAATGAGAGGCCGCTCCCCCCACCTCCACCCGGTGCACCAGGTAACGAGATGGTACGAGCCGGAGGGGGTTCTGCAAAAACTTCTACTCAACTAGGTCAGTATTGTGTAGTTACGTGCATAGACGATGTTTGTGCTGACCACTCGCTTCTGCTGCTTACAGATCTCCTGCGATATGACGCACCCTTGTCCGGACCCAAGATCTCGCGGATGCTCAACCAGCTCCAGTTCAAGCTTCAGGTGGAAGAACAATACCGTAAAGGTATCGAAAAGATGGCTCAGCTTTATCGAGATGAAGGCGACCGTAGATTGAAGAACGAGACCGAGAGCAAGAAACGGGAGTCAGAGAACAAGATTCAGCTGTTGAAGAGGGCGTTGAAGCGGTATGAGACGCTTAGGCAGTTTGAGACCGGCGAGGAGGACGAAGGTGAGATTGGGAATGTCGGGAATTGTAGTGATCACAAGCTGATCAACTCGTTGCATCTCATAGAGTTCCTGCCAGACGGCCAGCGGAAAGAAAATCTACGCAAGCCTCTTGCCGGAAAACTTATCATCTCGCTCAAAATGGCTAGAGATCTCAATCACGTTCCACTTTCTCGGAGGTCATCAAAGGTCTTCAACGAGACTACGGTCGTTATCAAAATCGAGGGCAACGAGCGAGGCGTCTCCCATCCGTCGAGAAATGACAAGTGGTACGAGGAGTTCGACCTGGTCATCGATAAGGCCAACGAGATCGAGTTGACGATCTACGACACGCAAAATGGAGGCGACCCTACGCCTATCGGTATGCTCTGGCTTCGTGTGAGCGAAGTCATCGAAGCTCTGCGAAGGCAGAAGGTCGAGGCGGACACTCAGGGTGCTGGATGGGTTCCTGCTGCTACGGCCGTCAGGGCTGCCACCATCAGAGGGCCGTCAGGGGGACCCTCGAGTAACGCCGACTCATCCTTGCACCGGGAGGCTACCAAGGTCGGCGGGAATGGACCTCTGAGCAAGACGGTCCAGGGTATCGATGGCTGGTTTGCAGTCGAGCCTGCCGGTGCGGTAGCGCTTCACCTTGATTTCGGTCAGTCACCTCTTTCCTCTCGCCACTGTTTGCACCTGCACTGATTCACCGTCGGACTTGCCTAAACCAGTCAAGGAAAACGTCAAGAAAAGGCCTTTCGATCAGGTCGGAGGTCTCGGACGTCAGGGCGCCGTACGAAAGAGACGAGGCGACGTCTTCGAGATGAACGGGCACAAATTCGTTCAACGACAATTTTACCAGCCTATCCTGTGCGCTCTCTGTCAGGAATTCTTGCTTACCGGAGAAGGATACCAGTGCGAAGACTGCAGGTATGCTTGTCACAAGAAATGTTATCCCAAGGTAGTCACGAAGTGTATCTCAAAATCCAACGCCGATACCGTAAGTAGCAAGCTTTCCGTGGACAGGAAGTGTCATGAAGCTTATTGTCGACCATCTTCTCGCCGATTAGCAAGGGGACGAGGAGAAGATCAACCATAGGATCCCTCATCGTTTCCAGACGATCACCAATGTCAGCGCCAATTGGTGTTGTCACTGTGGTTATATGCTTCCCCTCGGGAGGAAGAACGCCAAGAAGTGTTCAGGTGAGAGAGCCTTGCCTCTGCCGTCGAGCTGCCGTTGTATTCTTCGCTAACATAGCGTTTATCTCCAGATTGTGCCCTGACATGTCACGCGACCTGTGCCCACCTGGTTCCCGACTTCTGCGGGATGACTATGGAAATGGCCAACATTCTTCTGAAACAGCTCAGGGATATCAAGACCACTCAAGTCCAGCGAAAGCCCGCTTCGATCACTTCCAAGCCGGAGCCTTCTCCCCCTATTCAGCAGCAAGGTCCACCACAGCTCCCGCCTATCGGTCTTCAATACCCTTCGTCTCCCGCACCTGCTGCTCAGCCGCCTCCTGGAACGTATAATGTGCCTGTCCCTGCTGATTCAGGTTATGCGGCACCAACTCGCCAGGATCAAGCTTCGCAATCACCTTATCCGCCTCAACACCCCGCCGCCATGCCCAAGCCGTCAATGCAACCCGGCCGGCCGAGTTATGAACAGCAACCTCCTCCTCGTCACGAGCCCAGCCCGGTCCGACCCAGCCCTCCTCAACAGCCGTCTCAGCCTGACTACCGAAGTCAGCAGGTGATCCCCGTCGCAAAGCCGACGCCGGCTCCAGTTCCTGCCAAGCAGGTCGTCAAGGCTCGCAAGGTTGGACTGGAAGACTTCGATTTCTTGGCTGTGCTCGGCAAAGGAAACTTCGGTAAAGTCATGTTGGCCGAGGAGAAGCGCTCGCGCTCGCTTTACGCCATCAAGGTATTAAAGAAAGAGTTCATTATCGAGAATGACGAAGTCGAGAGGTTAGTGATCGCCTCGCGATTTGCAACACGGAGATGGAAGCTGACGGGCGAACCCGTCGTATACTTCCAGCACGCAATCAGAGAAGCGGGTCTTCATGGCTGCGGCTCAAGAACGTCACCCTTTCTTGCTGGGACTTCATTCTTGCTTCCAGACCGAGACGCGGGTCTACTTCGTCATGGAGTACATCAGTGGAGGAGATCTCATGTTGCACATCCAGAAGAAGCAGTTCACCCTGCGACAGGCGAAATTCTACGCTTGTGAGGTGTTGTTGGCTTTGCAGTATTTCCATAGCAAGGGAATTATCTACCGGTAAGTTCGAGCGTAGGCCCAACATCATGAACATCTACCTAACGGAGAACTAATACTACCTTTGCAGTGATTTGAAGTTGGACAACATTCTTCTCACTCTCGACGGTCACATCAAAGTCGCCGATTACGGTCTTTGTAAGGAAGACATGTGGTTCGGTAAGACCACCAGCACATTCTGTGGAACGCCCGAGTTCATGGCTCCCGAGGTATGTTACAGCGTCTGAGTGCGCTATGACAAACAATTGCTGACTTTCTGCCATCCTCAAGATCCTGCTCGAGCAACGGTATACTCGTGCTGTAGACTGGTGGGCGTTTGGTGTCTTGACGTACGAGATGCTGCTCGGTCAATCGCCTTTCCGGGGAGATGACGAGGACGAAATCTTTGATGCAATCCTGGAAGACGAGCCGCTCTACCCGATGTCTATGCCGGGTGAGGCTGTCGACTTGCTGCAGAGGGTGAGTGATCACATGCCATAGGGAAGACGTAACCCGGCAAAGGCTGATGCTTCAACTTGACTGTAGCTCTTGAACCGAGATCCGATTCGACGACTGGGTGCGGGCGAAGCCGATGCAGAGGACATCAAGAAGCACCCATTCTTTAGGGACGTCAACTTTGATGATGTGTACAACAAGAAGATCCCGCCCATCTACTTCCCCCAGATCGTGAGTGGAATCGGTACAGGACCCCTTGGGGTCAGAGTGATAGCAAGCTGACTTGTGTGAACGTTATCTCCGTTCAGGGTAACCCGACTGATGTTTCCAGTAAGCGCACTTAGATGACCTTTCGCGCAGAGCATAATATTGAACTGCTCTCACTCCATAGACTTCGACTCGGAGTTCACGAAAGAAAAGCCTACGCTCACGCCTGTCCACACGCAATTGAGCTCGGTCGACCAAGCTCAATTCTCTGGATTCTCTTGGGTGAGTGATGACTCAGGATAAGTAGCCTATCGGATACGGCTGAGTCGGTCGTGGTGGTAATCTCTGTAGACCGCACCTTGGGCCGCTTGAGCTGCCGATGGACAGAATTGACGAACATGAAAGTAGCTACGATGCTAGCAGTGAGGAGAAACACGACCGGGGCGAGACAAGATGACACGACACGACGATCGCGGCCAGTGGGGTGACAGGGGGATGGGTTGGCCAGGGTGGATGAGATGGTGAACATAGACGAAAGAAGACGAGGGATTCGAAGAAAAGAACAAAGTTTTGCCTTGTGAGCCTGTGATGATATAGCCCTGGATACCTTGTGTATTGTTATTTTCAATATCTTGTACGCAATCTCGAGGATGCGTACTCTCCCTTTCCGTATCGGTGAGAGTACCTAAATATTCAAGTGGCCTTGGGCGAGGCGATGACATGGCTCTCGTCTGGGCTGCCCTGCAAGATCGTTTCGTCCGGGTTTGCTGATCAATTGATCAACGAATACTGACTGTGGCACTACTAGGCACTGTACGCACTGTACGCATTGTGATATGTTGCTGCGTTGCTGTACGCTGTTGCGTATTGCCTGTTGCCTGTTGCACTTCCTCGATTGTGTCCGCTCCTCCGGGCTGTGCAGTTGTATAGGCGAGCAGCGAGCAGACGTTTCATACTCGTTCTAGACCGAAAGAAGGTCTGGTCTCACTATCGCGCCTTGAGCTAATTCTCGGTCGCGTTTCTGCTTCCGCGATTCCAAGCTGATGCCCTCGTGCCGCTGGTCGTCCGGTATTGTTTGATCTGATGTCGAGATCCACCCTCAACAAGCGGTTCGCCGACCGATGGTCTCACTCGATCCACCGTCGTCGTCGAGAACCCCAAATTATTCCTCTCCTTTTCCCGCCTAGGTGAGTCTTCGGAGCTATGAAACATACGACGGGGGATCACCCCTCCTTTGGGTCGCGTTAACCGGGCTTCCTCTCCTCCCCCTCGTCGTTCTGCAGCAGTCTCTCATCACGCCCTCGGAGATCAACGCTTGGACCTGTCGGTATGTTTCCATCACTTCTGCCGTCGCCCTCGTCGTCATCCCACCGTTCTGTTGTTGTGTCCTCGCTTACACGGTTTTCTCTCTCTCCCTGGTGTGTCTGCTGTGCTCCATCATTCCGGTCCCCTCGTGCTTCTCCCTCGACTATATATATATCGCCTCAACTTCCTCGTCATTCCATCCATCCTGACCTCCTTTTCTCTTTCTCTCTTCACGGATTTCTTGGTCTATCACTTTTCGACCTCACTCCCCTCCTCCACCCGACTCCCTCTTCGCCTTTCGAAGACTAGCTTGATCGTAGTCGATTCGAAAGACTCCATCAATCAGCCCACAAAATGGCCCCTCGTATCGGAGAGGCCGAAATGGCCAACCCTTCCAACGATGCGGAAAGGAACGAGGCCATCCAGAGGATGAAGTCGCTCATGCTGACCGGTAAGCTCTAGTCGCCACTTCGGATCTCACATCAACTCATTGCCCCAACGTCATCATCAATGTCCTAGATTACTACCCTCGTCCCAACTTCGGTACCACCGGTAAACCTATCAAGGTCCTTGCCAACCAGTTCCAGGCTAGGTTCAAGGGTCAAGGCAAGACTATCCTCCACTACGACGTCGAGATCAACCCCGTCGTCAAGGCTCAGAACCAGAAGAAGCCTGCTGGTCTCATGAGGCAGTGCTGGGCTCAGTAAGTCCCGGTCATCACCATGAGGCTAGACCACGAGAGGTCCATACTGACACTCGCTCGTTCGCTTTGCAGCCTCAAGAAGGAGCTCGATACCCCTGAAGCCAAGGCCTTCTACGAAGCCGGTGCTTACGACGGACGCAAGAACTTCTTCACACCGAACGCCATTTCCAAGGGCGAGAAGAAGACTCACGAGTTTACGATCAACCTTCCCGATACCGACCCTAAGCCCGGTGTCCCCGTCGAAGAACAAGGACGACGATGGAAGGTTCAGATCAAGCATGTCGCTGACATCGACCTCGAGGCCATCGCTCAATTCTGCGCCGGAAAGAAGCAGATCATCAACAACGCCGAGGCCATGTTGACTGCGTTCATGAGCGTCAACGTATTGTTGAGGTCCAATCTTCACGAAAAGTACACCGCCTCGGGTGCTCAAGAACGTCGATTCTTCAGCATGGATGACCACGTTCCAATCTCGAACGGAGCGGTCGTTGCCAAGGGTTTCGCCCAGTAAGCTTGATCACTCCTCTTGTACATTATTGAAACTCCGCTCATGTGACTTCTTACTTGTCTAGGTCGTTCCGACCTGCGATCGGGATTCCTGCCGTCCAACTCGACACTGCCTACTCTGCCTTTGTCGCCCCTGGACCGTTGATCGAAGTCGCCAAAGGCCTCCTTGGACGCAACAACGGTGGTTTCCGTGGTGGTCGTGGTGGTCCCCGCGGCGGTCGTGGCGGAGCCGACCGAGGCGGCCGTGGTGCCGGTCGAGGTGGCTTTGGCGGACCTCCTGCTCAAGGCGACGCCCTACAGAGTCTGTCTCAGCACGACATCCAGCGACTCCGTAAAGTCCTCTTCGGAGCCAAGTTCAAGGTCACCCACAGGACTCCCAACAAGATCATGTCCTTCGGCGGTCTTAGTCTGAAGTCGGCCGAGGAGCTAACTTTCACCAAGGATGATGGCTCCAAGCAATCCATTGCGGCGTACTTCAAGCAACAATACAACATCAACTTGAAGTTCCCTCGACTCCCGTGTGTCGCTACCGGCAAGAGGACCTACATCCCCATGGAACTCGTCATCATCGAGCCCTTCCACAGCTTGCCTCCCCTCAAGCTGACGCCCGACCAGACCGCCGAGATGATCAAGGTCTCTGCCAAGCCTCCTGCCGACAGGCGTGACGCCATCATGGCGTGGCGCAAGAAGCTCTCCTGGGAGACTCGCCCCGCGGTCAAGGCCTGGGGTATCGAGATTCGTGACCAGATGACCGAGGTTCCCGCCAGGGTCTTGAACCCGCCTCAGATCACCTACGCCGGTGGACCTCGAGGACTCGTCAGACCCGCTGGCGGAGCGTGGAACTTGCGAGGCAAGAAGTTCTTCAAGGCCGGCAAGCCTCTCGCGGTGAGTGATGTATCCCTCTGGGGCACTGAAGCCCGCCCTCGCTCATTCATGTTCGTTGTTGCTCTGTAGGCTTGGTCGGTGGTTTCTTTCGATCGATTCTTCGACCAACCGAAGATGCAGGCCTTTATCACCTTCCTCGTCGGCCAGATGAAGACCGTCGGTATTAACGTCGCCAACGAAAGGCCTCCTTGTATCGGACCTTCCAACCCCATGGCGCAGAACGGTGTCGTAAGCCGTCGTGCAAGCGATGTTACGTCGCTTTGGGATCCTCTGACCGTTCTATTCGGGTTTGTAGCTGGCGGCCTTGCAACAGGCTGGCAAGGCTGCATTCGACGCTGGTAAACAAGCCCCTCAATTGATCGTAGTGATCATGCCCGCTCGAGAGGTCGCTCTTTACGAAGAGATCAAGAGGACTGCCGCTACCAAGTAGGTGGTCTGAACGATGCTTCATTTTAGGCCCCGGTTGCTAATGAAGCTCGTCTTGCGCAAACAGGCTCAACGCTCCGGTTCCGACCCAGTGTCTCCAGTCCAAGAAGCTCCAGTCGGACCGAGGTCTTGACCAGTATTGCGCGAACGTCTCCATGAAGATCAACGCCAAGCTCGGAGGTATCAATGTCTCGATCCCGCTCCCCGAGCTCGTGAGTCGACGTCGTGCCTGTAAAATGCAGACACAGACCTGATTCGCGTTGTTTTCTAGCCCGGAGTTACCAACAAGACCATGCTCATCGGAGCCGATGTTGGACACCCTCCTCAAGGCAACGGCGCCATCAGGCCTTCGATCGCTGCCACGGTCGCTTCCACCAACGGCGACAATAACAACTTCAAGCCTTGTGTGCGGTATGTACCCGTCGGCTAGTCTATTAACGTTTACTCTCGATTGCTGAAAAAGGGATCTGTGCATAGCTTGCAAGAAGGTCGTAAGGAAGCCATCACCGACATGGGTGACATGGCTACCTACCACATCAAGGAATTCGAGAAGAACACTCGCGCTCTGCCCGATACCATCATCATGTTCCGAGACGGAGTCAGCGAATCGGTGAGCGAGTCCTTTTCCGTACCTCTTTTCTGTGTCGGTATTGATTCGTACTGCTCGTTGACCGTTAGCAATACGCCGCGATTGTCGAGTTTGAATGCAAGGCTATCATTGAAGCCGCTGCGAAGATCAAGAAGGGGTACAAGCCCAAGCTTACCTGTAAGACGAGACCCAGTGACGACACTTTCGCATGTTTTCCAGAGCTCACGTTGTATGTGAATTTGCAGTTATCATTTGCGCCAAGAGACACTCGATGCGTTTCTTCGCAGCGAACCCCGCCGACAACGACAGGTCTGGAAACCTGGTAACTACGACTTGTCTGATCCAACAGTGTCTGCAGGATTACTGATATCAGAATCGGGTTCCGCAATCTACAGCCTGCAGGTCTTGTTGTCGACCAGGTCGTCACTCACCCCTATGCCTTTGACTTCTACCTTCAAGCCCATGCGGGTCTCGTTGGTACAGTAAGTGGCAAGAGACGTGGAGCCTTTTGTTGGTGCTCGGAACTGACTAGACGTCGCCTTCCTCCCATGATAGGCTCGACCCACCCATCTCGTCTGTCTTCGAAACGATTCGAACTTCAAGGTGAGGAGCCTGCCGTTCCTTGTAGTCCAATTTTACCTGGAAGCTGACGCTCAACCACATGTTCATATAGGTCGACGAGGTCCAGAGGTATGCTTGTTCACCCGGCTGTCCCGTTCAGACTGTGGCAGTTTCACTGACTATTCCGCCTTCTGAACAGGTTGGCCAACGCTTTGTCGTACAACTTCCAAAGGGCTACCCGATCGTACGTCAAGAGAGACCGTGCTTTCATTCAGAGTGTCAAATCCTTATGGTTCCGCGTTTGTGATAGTGTCTCGATCGTTTCGCTTGCGTACTACGCCGGTATGTCTGATCCGCACTCATATACGGCGGCTGTTAGCTGATTACCACTCTCTCCTCCTCAGACTTGATCTGCACGGCTACTCGTTCCATGGTCTACGACAACGATGGTACCGACTACGAGCCTACCGATGCCGGCACTGCGGCTGGTACCGTCAGGTCTTTGCCTGCCGAGCAGTTCGACCCTATGGCCATCATGCAGAAGATCGAGAAGGGTGGTCTTTTCAACCAGGTTCAATGGTGAGCTTCGTCCGCCGGATTGATCCTTGCCTTGGAAACTTCACGCTAAACGGTTCGACACTCGCAGGTACATGTGATTAACTCGTCTTGTCTGAATATCCAGCGCAATCGCGTCGGTTTGTCGGGCCTTGCCAAATGGTTTTCAGCTGTACCTTTGTTTACATATTTACTCTACCTATGCTGACGATGAAATGATTAGCTCATCGCCTTCTCTTGACCGGGTCACCAAGCATGACAGGGTTCAATAACCTGACTCGCAGAATCTGAGGGGTCCCCCACGGACGTCTACGTATCATAAGCAAGAAGCGTGTCGTCGATCCAGGACCCAGAGCATTCAAGGGTCTTTCGACCTGGTGGACGCACGTCAGCAATCGATAACCGACCTTAGCAACTCCCTCAGACGTCGATATCATGCAGGATCCAGGTGAAGAGGAGATGGTCAATACGCCAACCGACTCTAGGAGCTGCTAGATTCACGAAATTCACACCCCGCCGCGCGTCGATACTATCGGGTCGGATGGACCGCTAGACAGGGTTTCGAATCTGATACTCGCTCGACCTCTATCGTCGGACCGGATCCACTCCAACCGAGCTTTGCATCTTGAGCTGTGCTTCGAGGCGACCATTGGCCTTTAGCCGACGTTGGACAAGACCTCCCCCTCCGGTATGGTAACTGGGACTACAACGATAAACTTGGCCCCGCAAGCCAAACGCCAAGAGAGGCGCTGTCTAACGCGAAAATATGCGGGAACAATGCTTTTTGCCTATCAGATAGCGTGTAACCTCAAATTTCGGGTGTGGGCCAGTAGGACCCCAGTTTTGGTATAAATTCTGATGATATTGCTGATACCGCTATACGTCTTTCCAATGTATTCTCATAGTCCAGTTCTGTCTGCTGGAGCGTACAAGTTGTGATCTACGATGGAGAAGAGCCTCAAAGACCTACCTATACGCGCTAAAGAAGATGAGGATCCTGTCGGCCTCGACGCTGCAAAGTCGACAACTCCCAAGGAAGAAGTCACTCCACGCCTTAATTACCTTCAAGACGAAGAATCTTCGGAGCAGGTGATACCTGACGAAGAGCTTCTCAATATCGCTTGGAAGTACAAGTGGTTGGCCTTGCTCTGTGTGTGCGCGTTTCCCCTCGGTCAGAACTGTGAGTGGTTGCTATCCGCGCCAGTCATTCGCACGAGCTGATCCGTCGATGTTTGACTGGGACCATAGGGACGGACTCTGCTTTGGGTCCGTTGAAAGCGACACTTCGGACGGAGCTTAGCATCGACAATACTCAGTATGGTCAGTAGAATTCGTTACATTCAACGTAGCCTGCTCTTGTTGATCGATCGCTCTTGTGGCCACAGGTGTGATTGACGCGTGAGTACCGAGCAACCTGAACGAACCTGGCCGCCCGGAGAGACGCTGAATGAGACCTTGCAAATAGAGCCGGGGCCATCATCAATAGTGTGAGCATCAGTTGTCCCTAACGTTACGTATTGGCAGGACTGAATTTCAAAGTCACGAACCAGTTTTGGCCGATCATCGGAGGGATCATGTTGGATTTCTACGGCGTCAACATTGTCACTCTCGCCTGTACTTCACTTATTTGCGCGGGCGCTGTTGTAGCAGGTGAGTTCGTAAGACAAGACTGGCGTTCCGGGACAGCCACCTAAATCGACCCTGTCCGTAGCCCTCGCCGCCAACACCGGTATCTGGCGCATGTTAGTCGGAGGTCATGTAAGGCTTCTTCCCACCACTCACCTCAGATCGCAAGTTGATCCGCAACTTCAACCTTTTCAGATTATGATGGGTTTCGGGACCGCCGTACTGGACTCGGCTCAACACAAACTATTTTATCACTGGTTCGGCGTCTCTGGACTCGCTCTGGCCTTCGGATTGGAATCGGCCGTTGCAAGGACCGTGAAGCTGGTTTCAGGAATGACGACCATCCCGATCAAGAACAATACAGGGTGGTACGGGTAAGTTGCAAGAAAATACTCTGTTGCCCAAATTATTTGTGACTTAGTAATACCCTACCTTCCTCTAGATGGAGCTTCTGGATCCCAGCCGCGTTATGCGCCTTCTCGCTGATAGTCAACATCGTTTACGTGCTCTGGGAGAGAACAGTTGTTCCCAAGCGATATCGTCTCACAGGCACCCGTGCGGCCGCGATCGCGAAAACTCAACGCAGGCCAGACTTCAAGGCTCTGCTGGCCTTGCCATGGTATGTTTAACAGGATCGTGACATTTGGGATTGACTGACAGATCGTGATTGGTAGGGCCTTCTGGATGTTGCCCATGACCCAGATCCTGCAGTCTGAAGCGGCAGGCGCGTTCGGTAATTCCGCCACTGATCTTATTACAATGCGCGGTTATGAGGTCAGTTTCAAGCTGAAACAACAAACTGATTACAGCAGGCTGACCCTATGTCACGATCAACCATGTAGGAAGATGTAGCCGCGTTCACAGCTAACGCTCAAAACAGTAAGCTGCAACGTGCACCTCGGACAAAGTAACGATGCTAATCGACGTGAATCCATAGTCCTTCCGATCGTCTTGACGCCTTTCATTGGATTGGCAGTGGATCGATGGGGTTTCCGCTTCCATCTGACCGCGCTGGCCCCTCTCTTATGGATCACTGCCTGCGCGCTCATCGGCTGGAGCGACGTCCACCCTCTGTTGAGCGTCGTCTTCGCTTCGTTCGCAGGCATGATCAACTCTTTCCCGTAAGCGCGATTACCTTAGGCCACAGTGTTCGTGTCCGCGCGATGTTGACCGTGCTCTGAAACGTGCAGGTTTCAAGTCACGATTCCCCTCTTGGTGCGAGATCAATCCAAGTTGGGGACCGCGTTTGGCGTTTGGCGATCATTCAACAATTCGGGGTATGTAGTACTCAAGGAACAATCCCGCCATACCGATCAATCCTGACCGTCATTTGGATCTGATCCTACAGGAGCACCATCATGTCCATCGCCTATGGCCGAATGCAAGACGAGACCGAGGATGGCGGATACGCCAACGTCCTCAAGACTGGGATCGCGTTCAAGGCATGGGCGTTCTGTCTCGGTCTCAACTACATCTACATGGACCGTCGATATCTCGGCAAAGGCATGAGCATGGGCGAGAAACAGAGGACGAAACTCGAAGAAGAGCTCATGGAGACTGACCCAGGCGAGTCCGTTTTTTTGCGAAATCGTTGGGGTTCCGTCTCCTAACTATTCATCTGGACGATAAACAGACCACCCACTCGTCGCACGGCCCGTGAGCAAAAGGGTCACTTGGACTGCTCTCGTCGAGTTGACCTGCATGGTCATCGTGGCGTGGACGCTGTTTATATACTATGTCCTCTAGATGCCATTTGCCCTAGCGCTACCGCGAAACATGGATGTCCTCTATTTGCTCGAATCATGCGCTCATGTGGATCAAGTTAGCTTGTATCCTTCTTCTTCTCAAGTCATTGCTGGGAAATTTCTTCGGGTGTCACTTGCCGAATCTGATCCATAGATACTGGCAAAATGTCCCTTGAGACGATATCTTTGCCATGCCTCAATCAGCTTTTGGGAGCTTGTGTTAGATAGCATCATGGTCCTCATGCTCCTAGCATATGGATTTCACTCTTTGACAACCTTTGACTATATTCATGACTTTTGCGTAGCCGCATGGGAAAACATCTCAGTGAAAACCATGAAGATCAAGACCAGCTATCAAGCCAACAAGATCACCTTTGCCCTCATTCCTCACATCCTTATACCTCTAGCCATTTTCCTAGGGGCATTAGCCAAGAACATGACTCCTTGGGAGGTGTTTCAGAAGGTGGTGGGTTTGCTATGACTTCAAATTCGGGGAGTCGGGATTCGCAAGGGGTGGATCGGGTGGACGCGTGTACGGAGATCATGAGTGTATATGCCAGTGGGGGTTTTAGGCGAGACCATCAAAAACGTCCAGGGTGATGATCAGACAAGACTTGATCGACACATTCGGTCTGTTTGGCACTGAAAGATCTCGCTCAGAGCACCGAACGGATTTGGTAAACGAGCGGAATGACGCATAGCCTTTGTCGCATACGAACAACTCAAAAGGACTAGCGAGTGACAAAACGAACAGAAGCGCACTGAAACAAGGTCGTCAACCGTTGCTACATGAAAATAGGTGTATAGATAGAAACCAGAAGATGTGGAGAAACGTTCGTCATCATTACCTGTAGAAAGAGATCCAAAACCCGAGCTTGCGCCTAGACTAGACCTAGGCGAGGACCAAGAGTCCACCCCCGATGGCGGCAGCACCGGCGAGCAAGAGTCCTCCCATGCCAAAGTCGAGCTTGCCGGCGGCGCTAGCGGGTTGCGAGCTGGCAGCGGCACCGGAAGCCGCAGCAGTGTTCGAGGTGGTGGCCCTGGCGGTAGTGGCCCCGGTACCGGTCGAGGCTCCCGAGGAAGCACCAGTGTTTCGGGCGGTGCTGGCTCCCGAGGTGGTCATGGACATGGTTCCGGACGAGACGGCGGTGGTCGATGCGGGCGACGAGACACCAGACTCCAAGGGAGATTGGGAGACGACGGCAAAGTTGGCAGTGTCGATTCCGTCTACAAAAACAGGGCGGGCACAAGTGTCAGTACAGGTCGATCATGGAACGAGGTTAAACGCCGCTACTCACTAGAGATGGTAGGGTAGGTGGTGCACATCGAGACGGCCGGGGTGGTGTGAGGTCCCGCGGGGGTAACCTCCTGACCGACGGTCCAGTAGCCAACGGTACCGTCGTTGGTGTAAGATCCGGTGTATCGCTGACGGAAGGTCGAGGTGGACCCGTTGGCGAGCTGCAAGAGCGCGGTGCGGAAGGTGGGGATGAGTTTGTGCTGCGACGAAAGCAAACGGAGTGCAGGCCAGGAGCCGGACTTACGGGGTAGTCACCAGGAGCAGCCCCGACATCGGCCTCACACGAAGTGAACGAGTTGTTGTTGTACATGTTGACGCTGGGCATGACGAAAGCACAACCCATGACGTCGAGCTCGCTACGGGGTCGAACAAGAACATTTGCGTTAATAACCGCGTTCCTTCTACTACCGCTGTACCCTCGACCCTTTTCGACTTACTGCTCGCACATGATCGAAGTAGGAACTCCTCCGACCTCGGCCGTACAGATCCTCATACAGAATTGGTCGAACGAGACGAACGACATCCACTCTTCGTAGAAGACGTCCTGTCCCGAGACGTTCGAGGTGACGTTCCCGCCGATGGGGTTTCCGACGTTTTCGGCACCGTGGGGGTCGAGCTCACCACCGGCATCGCCGTAAGGGATGTTGACTCGGGTTCCGTCCCAGAGACCGTTGATCTGGACGTAAGCGTCGGTCTTGACGAACTGCGCCGGCGTAGCGAAGTAGAGTAGGGAAAGATCAGACGAAGTTCTAGAGGTTGTTGATGTTACTAAAAGGGTGACTTACGTGAGCAGAGTGGATGGTTCCATCGGGAATCAACCTGGCTCCGTTCCTAGGCTTGGTGCAGTAGGCGACGACGATGGGCTCGACGTTTCCAATGACCGAGTCTGGGCCGGGCTCGGGGGGGTCCAAAGATGCAAAAGTCGTCGACGCTGTTCAAGGTCAGGAGACGGGAGTACGAGGTCTGGTTGATCTGGGTGCCGGGTTCGGCGATCTCGGGCCTCTACGGTGTATGACAAGAAACGAGGCGTGAACGTGATCAGCTTCGAGGAGGAAGGGGATGTGGTTCAGACTAGGACGACGGCGACTCACGTCCGGGTTGGTCGGTCCGTTGGGGAAGGTGGCGGTGACCTGAGCCCTGGCAAAGGGGAGGGCCAACAAGGAGGCGACGGTCGAGAGACCCTTGAAAGAAGTGGCAACCATCTTTAATCTAGTGCTATGTGAGTGTGATGAGGGTGTCCTTGCGAGTGTCTGTGATGTTCGCAGTTGAGGATGAAGTGGGACGTGATCAGAACGCAGTCCCTTTCGTACGTGGCAACACGACGTGTTGATCCGGTCTAGTACTTACGAGGATCGATGTTGTAACTGGAGGTTCTTGTCGAAAGAGTAGTAGTAGTAGTGGTTGGTAGTGTTCAGAAGTAGAGAGAGAAAGCGAGGTGTCGTAGTTTATGAAAGGGAGAGGTAAAGGGGTGATGTGAACTGTTTGATGATGGGGAGGTTCGCTGGTATTATTTATTATATTATTGTGCTGATGGGGTGTGTGGGTGCGTTGTTGTTTTCCAGCGAGAGAGGGGGGCTAGTGTGGCTAGTGGGTGGCGGTGATTCCCTCTCCCTCCTTTCCCACCTTGCCCCTGCATTGCCCGTAAGCGCGTTTAATTGCTTGGCATCCAACTTGACCTTGGCTTTCTTTTCTCTCCGGGACGAGTCGATCACGGTGTGGACTACGTAATAAATCTCAGCTGTGCAGCGGTACGAAAATGATCGATGGTCATAGCAGATGAAGTGGAGGTACAGTTGTCGACTACTTGCTACTTGCGCACGTCTAGGTCGCAATTGCAATGTCGTCGAGGATCACGGACGTCTCCGAACGCAACCAACGCAACTGCAAACATCATCAAACGTTCGGGGGAAGCCTGCCTGCCAAGACAATGCCCGCGGGTCCCTGGGGGAATCAATCACGTAAGCCATCACGTAAGAAAGCCACCATCACAGTGTAAGCGATCGAGGTCCAGGGTGGGGGCGACGCACACGCACGCCTGACGGTTTCAGACTTGAAAGGCTAGAAACCTCTTGTCTCGTCCGTTGCAAAAGCCAAAGTCATCCAGAATCCATCATCTTTGCTGTCGGTTAGAGAGTCCCTATGAACTTCCTGAACGAGCTGTTCTGCATGGAGGTAAGAATCTCACCAACTCCACTCGCATCGTGTCCAGATAGACTTGATCTCAGGACCACCTACACCAAAGCGACGGGACCCCAGCTAGCAAATCCGTCTGATCTCCCTGATATCATCGATTTTATATTGGTTCACACACACTGGCATAGCGTTGTTGGGTTCAGGATATGATAGATATAGATAAATGAGAGGACAGCCAGCTCATCGCCGTCTCGCAAGACTACAAGCGATGCTCCCGGTCACGATACAAGAAGCATTCGGAAAGCAACGGAGGGGAGGAAAAGAAGGATCGAGCGTGTAGATGTACAACAAGTACAAGCCGTGGCCGTATATTTTTTTCATTCGTGGTTCAATAGCCCCTCATCCTCTATCGCTGTTCGGACATTTGTTGAAGATAATCTCCAAACTGCGAGAAACCACAGAAAAGGTGACGGTCAGCCTCAGAGCTACGACGACGTCTAGCAAGCCACGCTCACCCTCAACGCTCCCGTCCTCAAACTCTCTCCCAAATTCTGTACGTCCGGGTTGGCCATCAACCTCCCCGCCATATCCCTTATCCCCCTCTCCAACTGAGCGACCGTCTCGTTCTGTCCCAACTCGCCCAACAAGCCACCCTCGTCCGCCAAGGTGTTGTCCTCGTCTTCCTCTGGTCGACCGTGGTAGGCGTTGGAAGAGATGGCGGTGGCCCCTGAAAAGTTTTGTAGGCGGCTCTTGGCCTCGGCCGCGGCGGCGGGGTCGTACGACCCTCGACCAAAGTATTGGTCGGAGGAGATGGCTGCAGAGAGAAAGAATGGAGGTTTAAGCGGATTGTGGTGAGGTCATATTGTAGCACGACCACGAACTCACCCTTTTGGTTGCCATACTTGCTGCTGTCCTGATAGTTGCTCTCATCGACCTCGGCGTACCTACCCAACGAAATTCATCAGCAAACAACTCTTTTACAACGCCTGAACCACCTCGCTCCGACCTACTTCTTTGCGGCAACAGCAGCCCCAGCCCCAGCCGTAGCCGCCGCAGCAGTCGCGGCGGTCGCTCCGAAACCCAACCTGACCGGCTTGGGCTTTTCCTGCACGGCCGACCTCGCCGCCGAGGAAGATCCGCCCAGGGGTGTCGAGCTCCTGCTCGACTCGGCATTCCTCTGCCTCTGCTCGGCTTCCTTCCTTTCCCGCTCCTTGGCTTCCTCTTCTTCCTTTTTCCTATCATAACCCAACCGCTTGACGCGTTCTTCCTCCTCGAGAGCCCGTTTTTGGGCTTCCTCAAAGTTGATCGGCGCGGCGGCTCGTTTTGCTCCCAGCTTGGAAGCTCGGGGTGCGGAGCCGGTGGTGGACGACATGGTCGTCGTCGACGTGTTGGAAGCCAATCGGGTAGCTCCCAATCGAGAGGGAGCTTTGGTCGTCCCCGAGGTCGTCGAGGCTCCTCCGGTCGTTCCAGCTCGCAGGGAGGAAGAAGTCACCGTCCTCGGCCCCGCTGCGGGTCTGGCTACTCCGATCCCTGGAACACCCGAAGTCGTGGGCTTCTGAGCGACAGGCGCAGCGGGCTTCGAGCTGGTCTTGTCCCACGTGGAAAAGAAGTCGTCGTCCCCACCTCCTTCTTCCCCAGCCTTGGCTCCAGCGACCGGCGTCCCCGTCCTCGACGCCGCCCCGCTCCCCGTGCCTCCGACCGCCTTGTTCAGATCGACCCCCTCGATCCGGATCCCTTCGGGACACTTGAATTCATCCTCCCGTTTACGTTTCTCCAACTCGGCCTTGTACCTCTCGGCGACCGAAGAGCTGTATCGGGCTTTGGCGTCGGAGGAGGTCAAGAGGGAGGAACCGCCGTGTCGGGTGAAGAAGTCGGTGGCGGATGCGTTCCCGCCGACTTTCATTATACGGAGTTGTGAGAGGGTCCAGGAGTCGAGGTTGGTCGATCTGCATGAGTGATGGGTGATGATAAGATAAGAAAGGCAAGCAGATGGACACGAAAGGGTGACGATGAACACAGATTTGATCAGCTTGTTTGCTACGTGGAGCGACCTCAACCCGACCTCCCACACGAGAGCGACGCCTCCCGCGCAGGCACCGAGACTCACCTGACGAAACTGATATGCACACCCATGTTCCTATGCACGCTCGAACAATCTAGACAGATGTAGACTCCGAACGGTGCCGAAGCCCAGGTAGGGTTCTTGGCATGGCAGTCGAAGCACATCTGCAGGTTGAAGATGGATGGTTTAGGGAGAAGGAGAGAGAGAGGCAAAGATAGGTTTAGCTTGAACACATTCCACCGATAGACATTACCACTCGCAGAACCGCAACTCACCTTGTTAGCCTTTTGAGCCTTTTCATGGGCAAAGAAAGCGACCGTCTGTTGTTTGGTAGGTTCTTCGGGCATGGTTGACAAGTTGCGTTGTTTTGGCCTTTATGGTAGTGCTTGTTGGGTGGTCCTGTCGATATAGGATGATCGTGGTGATGGTATCTATCGTTACGAAGACGATCTGGAGGATACTAAGCAAGACCGTAGTTGAGCTCGATGTCCTTGCTAGTGGTGGACAGAGACATGGTATGATGATGTGGTGCGAGCATGCGAGGTGGCATATTCAAAGGAGACAAGAGAGAGAGCTGAGGGGTCATCGAGTAGTATCAGCTCAAAGACGCGAAGAGAGGATGCAGCCTAGAGCTATCTACTTCAATAGCGTACAATAGCGTTGGGCATACACCATACAACCCCGCACCCACACTTCGGGTCATCACAAGCTACAAGCTTCTTGCTTCTTGCAAATGATACTCTCAAGATGACAACATCATCGCGCGATACCACGGCTCCCTCTGCAGGATCGACCATCCGGCGTGAGCTACAAACCCACCTCACCACCACTCGCGTCAACCTTGACTAATGAGCGTCATCTCCTTCCCTGCCAATTTGCAGCGATCGACCAGACCTCTGTACACCGAATCCATTCGGGTCAAGTCATCCTCAGCTTGGAAAACGCCGTCAAAGAGTTGCTCGAGAACAGCTTGGACGCGGGAGCGAACATCATCGGTAAGTGCAGCGTCGTTTCGGTCATCTCCGGACCTGCTCGAGATTCCTTCGATCGCTCATTTTTCTGTCGAAATTCCGTAATTTCGGTGTCGTTCTCGTCGATAGAGATTAGGATCAAAGACAATGGACTGGATACCATCGAAGTCATCGATAACGGGTCCGGGATAGCCGAACCCGATTGGGCCTCTTTGGCGCTGAAACACCACACCTCGAAGCTCTCCTCCTCTTCTTGTCCACCCATTCCCGCATCCGCATCGGCACCTCCATCGGATACCACACTGGATGCTATACCAGTATCAGATTCGACACCTCCTATACAAACTCAACCCGATCTCACCCAGATAACGACCTTTGGATTTCGAGGAGAAGCCCTCTCCGCCCTCTGTGGCCTATGCGAAAAGGTCGAAGTCGTAACCTGTACTCAGGAAATGAAAGGTCTCGGTCGGATCCTTCAGTTCGACCGGGAAGGCCAACTAGTGGACGATTCTGGAAAACAAGCTCGTCAGCGTGGGACGACGGTGGTGCTTCACAAATTGTTCCATCCGTTACCGGTCAGGAGGAAGGAGTTTGAGAGGAATGCGAAAAAGGAGTTTGCCAAGGCGCTGGGGACATTGACGGGGTATGGGTTGGTTCCTTGTTCGGGGGGTTGGGGAGGGGATGACGATGCGGTCGACGACGAGGAGGTCGGAGAGAAAGGAAGAGCTGGGACGAAACGGGGGGTGAGGTTGATCGTGGACGGGGTCAACAAGGCTGGGTAAGCCAGGTTCTTGCGTCTGACATGTTTGCAGTTCGAGTCTGAGTTTCTGCACGTATTCAGTAAACGCATCAATCACCTCCGGACAACGGGTACCTCCACCCTTTCCTCCTCTATAACTTCGCTCTTCGGTCCCAAGTTACTACAAACACTGCTTCCGATAGACCTCCCCTTGTCAGTTGATATAGACAGGACCATGGCGAAACGCGAAGGCCTGGATGTGGATACAAAATTGAAGGTCAGGGCCGTCGGGATGATTTCAAAGGCCGAGGGAGGGATGGGAAGGACGGGTGGGGGCGGGCAGTATTGGTACTTGAATGGCAGACCGTTCAACCCCGGCAAGGTAAGTTCAGCCTGTCATTCCGAGTAGACTCACTGCAGTATCTGAATCTTGGCTGAACGTAACGAATCGTGCCATATATCAATGCCAATCTCGTTGCAGATTGCTAGAGCGGTCAATGATACCTACAGATCATATAACTCCTCTCAGACCCCGTTCGTCGTCCTCGATTTCAAGGTCCCCAAGGATTCGGTCGATATCAACGTCAGCCCGGACAAGAAGACGATCTACCTGCATAGCGAGGCGAACTTGATACAGAGTCTCGTGGTGAGCCGGGTTCTCTCTCAACCTTCGGGGCGCATCGATCTAACTATGGTGGTACTGATGGTCTCGGTCTTGACGGTTGGATAGGCGGCACTGGAAGAGTTTTATGAACCTTCGAGGGGGACGTTCGTATTGCAGAACGTTTCGGCGCCAACGCTTCGAGGGATGTCTAGTCGTCCCGCGGGACCACCATCCGCAGTGAATGATGACAAGGAGTTAGACTCAGTCCCGGCGGCGATTTCCTCTGTTGGCCAAAACAATGAAGCACCTCTCAAACGAAAAGATCCTGAGCTGGCATGGTCGTTAAGCCCAGAACCTAGGAAACGGACGAGAAGCACCCGTTCCGTCTCTCCTGATTCGCTTACTTCGGGTTTAGCACCCAGACCTTTCGGGACTCCTACTCGGCTCCCCAATGGTCTTGTTCCCAACGGTCTAGTGCCCGGAACACCTTCCGAAGTCCGGGCACTGCCGCCGTCCCATTTTACCCCAACCGACCGGAAGATACTAGAGTATGAGGAAGAGGATGATGAGTTGATGGGTTCGCAATCGGATTCCGAGAGCGTGGCTCGTCCTGATAGCGGCGTCGTTCGGGCTGTGTCCATCTCGGATAGCGACGACGAGGAACAGCCGAAATCAGGCAAGACGGATCTGGTTCAACCTACCTTGACTGGGTTGGGAGCCCGCTGGAAGTTGACTCGTCAGCGAGACGACACAGGAGACGCTCGAGGTGCCTCCGCAGTCAAGCCGACCAAACGGGATGCGAAGCTTTCCTTTCGCGATAGGTTGGCCGGATTCGCTAGTCAGCAGGCGAAAGTCGATACGACAATAGCGGACAGCGATTCCGAGGAAGGGGACGTGGAGCAGGAAGATGTGTCTCGGATCACCAGAACCGTCGAAGTTGATCTGCCCGATATGGCAGGGCGGAACGAGCCCAATTCAGAAGGGATCGATATGGATATCGAGGAAATGCTCGAGGACGAGGATGAGACGCCACACGAGAATGTGATTAGCACCAACGATCTGCCGGGAATCGGTCGTCCGTCGAGAGCTAGCGGGATTGACGTGCAAGGCGAGACGCAAGATCCCATCCAGTACATCGCGGATACCTCGATAGCACCCGATGAAACGGAGAAGCGTCGCGTTTTTCGAGACGAGATTGCGACTCGTGCTAGTAAGCGGGAGGTGGTCATCTCCTGCGACATGGACCGTATCAGGAAATTTTATAAGAAGGCTCGCCAGAGCGGTCTGTCAGGCAAGAAGAAACATTCTGCCGCGGCCAAGAGCCGTACAAGCGAGTTGTTACCGGCAGCAGGGGTTTCGAACCAGGATTCAACCGAGGTCGACCGAACGTTGTCTCGGGTGATCAAGAAACAGGACTTTGCTGGTATGCAAATTATAGGACAATATAACAAGGCTTTCATCATCGCCCGAAGGCAAGGTGATACGGACGACGGAGAGGCTTTCTCCGACGACCTCTTCATCATAGGTAAGTAAAGCACTATGTTGGGTCAGACTTTCGCTGACGCGACCTTGCTCGCAGACCAACATGCGGCTGACGAGAAGTACAATTTCGAAACACTTCAAGCGATTACTAAGATCCAGTCTCAACGCCTTTTACAGTGGGTCACTATGTTCCTTTTCAGTGGCAACGATGATCAGCTCACACAGACCGTTCGCCGCAGACCAAAGAAGCTCGACCTCACTGCTGCCGACGAAATTACCGTGATGGAGCATCTCGATATTTTCGCCTCGAACGGCTTCGGCATTACAGTCGACGAGAGTGCCCCTTATGGTCAAGGCGAAAAGATCCGCTTGATCGCAATGCCAGTCAGCAAGGACACGGTTTTCGATGAGAAAGGTGCGCTCTGTGCGTGACCACCGGTGCCGACCATAAAGATTGACGCCGTCCTTCCTATTCCAGATCTGAAAGAGTTGATCTTCCTGCTGCAAGAGCAATATATCGGGACCATGGTTCGGTGCAAGAAAGCGCGAGCCATGTTCGCCTCGAGGGCTTGCCGTAAGAGCGTCATGTTCGGGCATGCACTCAACGCGAAGCAGATGGAATCAGTGACGAGGCATATGGGCGAGATCGAACATCCATGGGTGAGTCTCGGTTTAGACCGTCATGCCGATTCGGAAGGGCAGTGACTGATATGACGTGATCGGTCTTAGAACTGCCCTCATGGTCGCCCAACCATGCGCCACCTCGTCAATATGCAGCGCTTCACTACTACCGAGGATACAACAGAAGTGGATTATCTACAGGAGCCTATCGACTGGAAAGCGATCGCGTCATTACCATCCACATGATCAGTTCTGGGCTTGCAGTTTCGATGAAATTATCTCATCGAGATGACTATATAGCGGGACTGTTATCTCCCGCAAACTCGGGCGATCTTTCGGTGTCCGAAGCGTATTGCAGAGCCGCAATGAGCAGTCATCTGAAAACTGAGGTCGTATCCCTTCTTGCACATCAAGCTCGGTACCGAGAGCGCCAGTTCTCCACAGCCATCGCATCTCCAGCGAGAACCAGTCTTATGAGAACCATCACATTTTCAATACTTCTGCCTTTTACAACGTGTTCACATAAAACTTTGATTTTCCTAGACGTTCCAAACGGCTAACCTTCCGTCCTTGCCGATAGTAAAGATCTTGCCGACCGCACCGTCATTCTTCCACTCGTAAGCGTCGACGTGAGTGATCGTGTTTTGATGAACAGTCTTCAACTCGCCCGTAGCGGTCTGTCCCGGAGCTCCGCTCAGACCGCCTCCACTGCCCCCAGAGGAAGAGGAGGATGATTGACCCCTGGTATCCGCCTGCTTGAATCGGTTGAACGCGACCGTGTTCAAACGCCCGACGCTACCTTCCGCACGAGCGGCACCCGTAGCTTGGGGAGTCAAGGACTTGGTCGCGTTAGGGTCGTCTAAGGACTTGGTCATTACCCATCCATCGGCTCCTCCTTGGAAGAGGACCGGCTGACAGTCGTGTCCGGCGGCGACGAGCGAGGTCTCGGTCAAGAAGCTGAGCGAGACGTAAGGGAGCGAGATGGACCGGATGGTCTGGATGGCCGCCGGGGGTTCGCCAGGTCCAGCCGGGTAGACGACGGTGATCGAAGCGTCGTGGCCTTCAGAACAACGATCGTCAGCGTTCGTGTCCATGAGGTATCGGTCTACCGGATCAAAAGCTCCTACTCACTAGCGAAAGCCAAGGCGTCTCCGGAGGGCGAGAAGGCGACGTCGTGAACCCATCCACCATTCGGGCTGTTGAACTCTCCACAGACCGTGTTGAAGGGCAACTTTTCACCCCAAGCGGACGGCTGAGGCCTGCCAAAGACACAATAACAAACAAGACCACATCGTATCAGAATCCGAGTCGATTCTGACCACCGACCCACGCATGCGCGCGAGACTCACTTCGCATCGATCCCCTTGATGAAAGCCGAAAAGACACGAGCCTTGGCATCGGCGCTTCCGGCGGCGATCAAGACGTTGTTCGGGTGCCAATCGATCGAGAGGACGGTCGATCGGAGAGGCTTCTTGAGGTGCTTGGAGACCCACCAGTTGTTCTCTTCGTCAAAGGAACAGACGGCGATGGTCCTACGATGTCACATATATGATAGAGACATGGACATGAGTTCGGTGATGGCATTTAGGCAGGCATGAGGGGGGAAGAAAGCGCGTACCTGGCACCGCTACCGACAGCAAACTTGTCCTCGTTGGGGCTCCACTTGACACAAGTCGCCGCCCTGTTGATACGGAGCAAGACCAGAGCGGGCTTCCATTCCCCCGAAGGCTCTCGGGTCCAAACGTAGGCGTTACGGTCTTGAGAACAGGTAACGATCCGGTTGGTACGAGGGGCCCAGGAGATGGCGGTGATAAGCTTGTCGTGCTGCAAGGCAGGTAGATAGATGCATCATCGAGAGGTCAGCTGGGTCGATGTAGGTACTGTAGCGGGTATTATTACTCACCTCCGACAAGGTAGCCGAGAGGTCCCAACCGTCTTGAATCTTGTTGTAGATCAAGACGTCGTTGTTGTTGGCACAAGTAGCGAGTTCTATGAAGGAGTACGACTCATCAGCTGTTTCTTACGTGCTTTCACTTTACGAATCGACTCACGACTTCGATCCGGAGAAAAGGCAGCTGCGGTCAAGGGACCGATGGACAGCTGGTGTACCTCGGGTGCGACGGACATGGCGAGGTGAGAGATGTACGATAGGCTGTTGGTGGGCTGAAAGAGAGGACTGGCAGTCGACTCTCTGGGAATGATCTGTGGCGACTGGATGGATTGACTGTTTGTGCAAAAAGCTGGATGTAGTTGTATATATGTATATAGAGATAGAGAGAGAGATGATGATGAGCGGTCCGATGACGTTGCAACACAGCCAGCTGGTAGATTGACTTGATAACGAATAACGGGGATGCTCTATGCGTTATTACCGTCATTCTCTTACGCCAAAGTCGGGATATGGTTGGAGTAAGATCTACTCCGCTACATCTCGATCGAGTTCATCAATCACATCACATCAAATCAAATATAAAAAGGTGTCACATCGATCGACCCCGATGACAACTAAACTCACATAAAGCCTCTCGTATATCGATGAAAAGATGACCGGTACTCCTCCTATCGTTTGGAGAAGGCTGGATCCGCAGGAACTTCGACTCAAATTGATGGGCTATGGAGATTCCGGCGCAAGCGATGATGCAAAAGCGAAATCGACGTCAAAGGGCATGTTCCAGTGAGTAGGAAAGGCTTGAACTCAAGTTCAAGCCGAATGTACTCAGAAGCCATACCATTACAGGCCCCGATCGAGGAAACGCATGTCCACCGCACCGGGATCGACCCTCCCCCGCCCCTTCCTTAGCGAACTGTCGATCTCGTCCCCTCGCAACGTAACCAAGAACACCGTCGACTTTACTTCCCTACTCGATCCCGAACAATCCCAATCGTACCCGTACTTTGATCGGAAACGCATGATGCGGAGGAGCCGATCCGCTCAAGGTCTCGTCGGCCCGATGAGCGAGTACAACAAGGCAGAGCAGAAGATCAAGAGGAAGCCGGTACCTCGCTTGTCCGGACAAGCACCTATGCGTACCGAATACGACCGGGTCGATCCTGGTTCCCCTAGCCCTATTGGGACCCTGTTCAGTACTCAATCTGAAGCGCTGATCGGCAGTATCAAAACGGAATCCCATCATACCTCTACCGGCACCTCTCAATCGGTACCCTACATTCTCACACCTCCTTTCCTAACGCCCCCTATCCAAGACCCACCTCGAACGTTCTACGACCTCCAAGCCGCTCCTACTATCCCTACGACATTTACCTCCGGTTCACTCAACCTCGGTCTGATCCCCTCCGGATCTGGCTCATCCTTGGCCTCCTCCTACATCGACACCCCGACCAAGGACCCGATCAAATTCGATGGCGGATCACGTGGGACACTGGGAAACGATGACAGGAGCCTTGTGTCCCCGACGAAGCGGTACGGGTCTATGGGGATGAAGCTGGAACAGTACATGGGGAGGGCGTTTGAGAAGCATGATGATATCGTGCGGGGGGAGGTGATGTCGATCGAGCAGCTCGACGGAGATGACGAGGAGGATTCCCTCGATCTCGGTCGTAGAGGCATGCGAACGGCGATTTCCCAGCCTATCTATCGAACCTCTTCGCCAAATATCGAGAAACAATCATCCAGGGACCGGTCGGAAACTATCAAACCATTCATCACGAGCCACGCTACCGAGTCCGCCCTTTCGACCAACCACCCCAACCAGAACGGATCTCCCAAACCCCCTTCCCGACCTCAACGACCCCCCGGACTGTTCCTCGACCTTTCTCACTTGAAACCGTTCGCTATCAACCTCAAATCCAGTATCGTCCCCGACGAAGACCCTTCCACGCCAGCTTCCGTCCGACTGAGCGCTGTTTCGCGGGGGAGTTCGTTCCCGGAGGAGACGGCGACGACCGATAGCAGCTTTTGCGCCTTGAGAAAGGATAGCTTGGATTCGGATCTGTATCCTCGGCCGAGGTCGATCAGGAATAGTATCTTCAGGTTGGGAGGAGGGGAGGTAAATGGCCCTGTTTGGGCGCCGGCGAAGAGCGGTTTGAGCAGAGAGGTGGACAGTCAGGGTGATGGAGACGTTGGCGATGTCCATGTCGATGTCAACGGAAACGCTGATAGTACGCGACCGGGGGAGCTGGAAGACCTACGAAGGAGATTGAGAGTCTTGAACGAAGAAGCTCTAGCAGCTCTCCAAGAGACACCGAAAGCTAGTCTGAGGACCGATCCGTTCGAGGCCGAGCCTCTGTATCAACGGAGGAACAGCGTGATCGCTTGGACTCGGAGTTTGAGTGCCGAAGTCAGTCCGGCGTTGCATTCAGGTTCTAGCCAGGAGACCGTCAAGCCCGCTGGAGAAACCGTAGACCCGCTCACAGAGGAACGTAAGGGTGGAAAACCGGAAGAACAGCCTGAAAACGACGTTCAGCCTGTAGCTGCGGAGGAACAACTGGCGGAACCGACGGAAGACCTCAAGAGGAAGAAGACGAGCAGGGGAAATAGGGAGGAAAGGCTTCAAGAGGACGGAAGAGCTTCTCGTACCGGATATTGGGACTATTCCATCATTCGCGGAGGAGGGTATGCCACGCCCCCACCTCCGGAATTCTTTTCGACTTTTCAGCAGCAGACTAGTCCCAAGACGCCCGTTATAGGAAGCGAAGCCACATTCCACAGCCCTCATCGCTCACCCGGAAAAGCTTTCAAGTCCAGCCCGCTACAGCAGAGAACGGATGTCCGCCACCCTCTCGGGGACGATGCGGATGGGGATGTCCCTCCGGGACCTAGAAATTCGCCCAGCTCGTCACCTTATACTCCGCCTTCTCGCCATCGTCAGCCTCGATCTTGGGCACCAGAACCTCTGAGTACCCCTCAAAGGCTATTGAAATATGGAATCGACGTGTTGACTAGTCCGGTCAAGCTTCTATCGCCCAAGAAGAGGGTTACTCACTCCCAGATGACGCGCGAAGAATCTGGCAGTCTCCTGGACCATGCAGAGGATATGGGCCGAGTCGCAAGCATGTACTCGAGCGCGAGCGAATATGGGAGCGACAACAGTCCGGAATTGGGATTTCAGGGGTTCTCCAGGATCTTGGATGGAGGTCAGCTTTCGCTACCACTCTTCGACCTTGCGAGCAAGAACCAATCTGCGGAACAGATCGTCACGGCAAAGTCGTTGGATGTTTTGAGACTCGGAGCTGATGATAGCGCTAGCCCGGCTGACGCGCTGGGCATGGCGGAACGCCTTCGTGAGGCGTCCATAGCGCGAAGTCCTTCTTCCAATCTCGACAGTCTATCGCAGGTACGCACGATTACAGAAGATTCGTGAACAACAACCTACTAACACGTTTCCAATACAGCTGGATATTGACCTACTTCCGAACGATTACGAAGCCGCCTCCCCAGGGGAGCAAATAGCACGATTCAACAACGCGCCTCCCATCTTTCATTTCCCATCGCCGCCTCCTTCGGAACGCCACCAAAGCATTTTGAGCATGTTATCCGGTACCAGCGGGAGTGATACTGGGCTCAGAGCGAGTCAAGCGGCGTTACTGGCGACTCAGATGAATGAAGCTAGGAGGCAGCAAAAGCAACATCATCTGTCAGTCCTCGAACCCTCGGTCAAGCTGCCAACCCAAGGGATCAAGAACACCCTGCTACCCAATTCATCAGTCGGCTTACGATCGCCCGGGAACGACAACGCGACACTGTCTGTCAGCTCTACGCCGCCCCCGAAAAAGCGTTTGTCAGCTTTCGAGAATGCAGAATCGGAACTCTCGACACCATCGCCTCGCATGAACCCATCTAGTAGCTATGCGCCTCAACTGCAAACCCCTAAACGCCTCTCCTCAAACGCTGCCATTGCATCGCATGGTCCAGCCATCAGTATCATATCGCCGGATCGTAACTTTCCTCGCTTGCGCTCGGACATCTCTCACGAATCACCACAACCGCTTCCAAACGCCAGTTCACGCCGCGATCTTGTACTGTACCCAAGAGAATCGATCGACGATGTTTCCGCTACGGCTGTGCTGTTGTCATCGAGCTCAAACAAGCTAGGCGACAAACGCACTGCTATCAACCCTTCTCGAAGTTACCGGGAGGATATCCGTTTGAGACCGCTATTGCAAATCACGGAAGACAAGCCACATAGCGCTGGAAGCCTACAGAGTTTCACCGCATCGAGTCAGCGGTCCGAACAAGACGATGAACTGCCGGAGCGGTTCGCGACTGCAGGGCGATGGAACGACGTCTATTGTGCCTGTTTCGGCAAGCGTATTTGCTAGGAACTTGCATTCCATATGAAAGAAAGTGATGACCAAAATCGAAAACGTGCACCCCACGGAAAAGATGACCTAGATACAACGATGGATCGATTACAGATCCACAAGAACGTGAAAGACAGCTTCATCCGGTGATTGATCTAGCCGCTGGAAAATGTGATGGTGGCCTCGTAGTATTGTGAAAATGACGATCAGCTCGTATCCGTATTAAAGTCCGGTTGAAGCAACGTGAATATGATGGCTTTGCGATATCGCTCGAGTAATTTGATCTCGTCTCTTCCAGGCTGGAGGGGTGACGTTTGCCGTGCCTGTGCCTCAATGTCTTCAAGCTTGTCGATTGTTCGCTTTAGGTTGTCATTTTCCTGTGCCGCCAGATTGATCTGATCTCGAACAGCCGTGTAACCTTGAACAGCTTCTGCCAGTTCGGTGACAGGCTCAATGAAGAGATTGGGAGGCTCGCTCGCGAATAGATCGTCGTCAGGATGTGAAATGGTTTCCAGGATCCGGTCTGCGCATATTCATTTTTCAGCCGGCGGGCCGTCGAGGCTCGTGAAGTCAGACTGACCTATGAGTTTCGAATTATGTATGTGGCGGAAAATCTCCAGCTGCCAACACGTTTCGTTCCTAAATCGTTCCATGTACTTCCACCAGGCATGGACTGCTCGATCACGGCAGAGAGCGTATTCGCTCGCGGTCATTGACGAGACGATGCCCGAGGCGAGAAACCGAACATCTGCGTCGTCATCGGATAGGGCATATTTGACCAGCAGCAGGGATTGTATCCTGACCTGTGGAGCGATGACTCCAGCAGCAAAGCATGAATCCATGTTGCGCAAGGCTCGACACGCGGCGAAGCGCGAATTCGCGGACTGTCACTCGTTTCAGTCAGCATTGTGCTATGAGGATATGGAGGACCGGTAGAGCTCACTCTTTCCTCGTTCAAGTGGACTGCAAGTAGCTGGTTCAAGTCCGCAATGGTTTCGTCTGTGGGATGTTTGTCCTGGAACACCAGTTTTTTGCGTTACTATGCTTGCACCGGCTTGAACGATCTAGTAATTACTCACAACTCTAGCGGCCAAAGCAGGAAGAATCGCCTCTTTAAGTGGAACGTGCCCTGTCACATCGTATAGCGTGCGTAGTTTGCGGTAAAGTTCCGAAGAACCCTCTTCTGCCTCTTTGATGGCGGATGTGTCTTGCAGAGCCTCGATGCGTTCATCGGGACTACCTCCGGGTAGTAAGGCCTGGTGTAGGGCTGCAATCGGTCTTTGGCTATCCGACGACTTGGTATTAGCCTGGATTCTGAAAGACGCATTTTGCCACAGGCTGAGCCCGGGCCCTTGAGACGCCCTCGGAGTAATGGTATGGATGGTCTCTCCTTCGAGCACCATACTATTTGATTGGATGCCACATTGACCGATGATGGCGGTAATGGTAGCCATTATCAATGGTGAAGTCTCGATGTCACGACCCAGAGCCCGCAACGTTTGCACAAGGTGCTCGTCCTTCTGAGTATCGAAATCGATACCCAGATTCAGTATTGCCAGAACGACAAGTAGGTTGCCGTGCCACTGGTTGTGATTTGACCGGGTCGCCCCTAGCATTTCGAGACATGTTCGATATCTGTTGTGCTTCGGCGTCAAGCTCGCGATAGCTTCCGCTGAAGCTTGTCGAACCTAGACCAATGAGACGATCGGAGTCGGTTGTTGGTTACGTATAGACGGCGCCGAGCGGCTTACCTTCAATTCAGGACTAGCAAGCAGCTTTACGCAGAGTTGACGCAGTTCAGCCTGCACAGGAAGCTGACCGTCCGATCCGTGTCGACTTTCCAGATGTCTCAACAGGGCCAGCACCAAGATGACAGAACTATCAACAGTATGACTCGACTGTAGGAGGCGGCCTTTAGCCGTCACAATCGCGACATCGGGCCGTTGATACACTCACAGTGGCGTTCTCTAGCAATGCTTTGAAAGAAGGTAAAAGCAGGGGGTATCGGGAGTTCCATTCCACGATACCAATCCGCTTGTCGTATACCGTACCAGGACTGTTCAGACCCTTGCCGAACATTCTTGTTGCCAGGTGAGCGAAGAGCAAGAGGGCAGAGTTACGAACGCTCCAACTGCGAGGTTCATGCACAAGTCAGCTGTCGGTCTCTCACCATGTGATTGCTGCAGAACGCAGAACTCACTCGGAGCTCTTGCAACATGCCAATGCAACGAGAGCGGTGCGCTCAAAGTATTCACCCAACATTTTGCTTTGGCGAGTGTCGAGAACGATCACCCGTAGCGTATGCAGAGCATGTACTTTTGCGGGATCCGGTATATGTTGAGATTCAGCGATCTGGACAAGCCGCTGATGAGCTTGCGAGAAGAGTGGAACAGACGCCTGTACCAGGGCTAGAATGCAGAAGGGAATGGCTGCCGACCTTCGGGTCGTCGACGTTGTGCCCGCTGCTACCACCTCGAGCTGCACCTCCAGCCATTCCTGTCGCAACGTGCGATTACTCTCGGCGTACGCAACGACGGCAGCAGTCACGTTTACAAACCGCTCGAAGTCCGGGGCGATGGAGGAAAAAGTACCTCGGTGTCGAATGTGGTAGAGCCAGCCGAGATACATGTCGCCGGTATTGCGAACGTCTTCAGCAGTCCAATAAGAGTGCTTGTTGCTGCCAGAAGCGGCCATTGTGACAACAAAGATGTTGGCGATGAGGTTGCTACAGCGTCCAGACCACATACCGAAGGATATAGGTAAGCCAGCCGCTAATTAACATGGACGTTTTCGAGCTCACCTTGATTCTTTTATCGCTCGCCAGCAATTCGAAAGTAGGTTGATATGCACCGTGTCTTGGTCTTCCTCCTGGACGTCTTCCTCCAACATGTCGTAGATACGAGCGATCTCATGGTCCGCCGTGTTTGATCCCTCTGAACTCAGGATTTGCTTGGACAAATCCCATATCCGGTTTACTAGCGCGATGCACCGCTTTGAGATTGCTTCGAGATTTGCTGACGCTTTAGAGTGATCCCATGAGCTGGTCAACATGATACGGCTAGGAGGGACGAGCCGATATTCAGCGTCGACGCATCTTTTACACAGAAAACGCCTCTTACGCGATCGCCAGAAGCGTGCCGTGCATCGGTTGTTTCTGCATTCCCAAAGCCAGCTCCTTTTCCGCCACCTGGATACTGCTCTCCAACCGATCCAGCAAGATGTTGATATATTCCACTGCTCGAGCGTTGCTGTCAGCCTCCTCTTCCCTGCACAGGACCTGGAGGACAAGAGATCCAGCCTCGGCATCAGATTTCCGGTTTCCGTCTAGCCGTGCATAGGCACTGTGAAGGAGCCCTTCTTTCCGGGTCGACGATGAGTATCCTGGCAATGGTGAAGGTGCCAGTGTCAGACTGCAGACACATGGCAGAAATCAGCGGCACTACAGACATGATCCGCTTTCATAGAAGCTCACACTTCAAGCGCCCTGGCCCTGAGATCCGAAAAATTTCCTCCCAGACATGCCAACAAATGATCCACCCTCTCTTCTGTAAATACGACCGGGAAGACAACCTTTCGTTTCACCTCCACCGGAGTCTGGAGCTCTACAGCTAAAGACTGGATCATATCCAGAGCGGTGATCACCCTGGCATGAGCCGTAGATGATGGGAACTCCAGAGCCGGAGTGACGACCTGGTCCAAAATGTGCTGCAAGAATTCTAGGACCGCCGCTATGTAGGTCCTCGATGCCTGTTGTTCGTCTTGCCAAGCGCGTTCTTCTTCGGCTTTGCCTTGACGGTTCTTGGGTAAAGGCTTGTCGATCTGTTTCTGCGCGGCCGAGGCGGACAATCTCAGTCGTTCGACAAATTTTCTGAACGCTGCGCCGAAGGTGCCTCGGAAGCTACCCAAACCCAGCATCAGAGTTGATCAGCAACCTCGGGATGGCATCAAGCCACTCTACTCACTCGGCATTCTGTACCCGCATATTGCTCTCGAACCACTCTTTCACCCTATCGAGACATTCAATCTCGACCCTATCCGAAGCGGCCTTGCTAGCTGTCAACGTTGTCCAACAAGCCAACCTGACATCATCGATCGCGTGATGCATAGACATGCGTAGTTTTTTCTCGTCCAGATCTTGGATGGGAATGAGGGACGAGGTCCGTGCCGTCGCTGCGATCTTGATCCACATATGAATGGCTGCTGAGGGTGTAAGGATAGTAGGTTTGGAGAGCTCTTGGGAGGTCCGATCGAGGAGAATGCTGACCAGGTCAGGTTGACTGTCAAACAATGCCGGGAAGATGAATTGAGATATTGGTTTAAGGGAGATGTTGTGATCCGTGTTGGCAACCTTTTCGAGGAGGATGTCCGCTACGATCTCTTCCCGCTTCGCATGTGCCGAGTCCAAGCTCGAGCCCCGTTTACCCTCTTGAACCCTCAAGAGGTATGCCTGGTCGGCAAACATGCTGACGAGCACCCTTCCCGCGACGAATCGACTGTCATTGGACCACGTCTCGACGAACATCTTTTCCATCAGGTCGGCCGGCCATGTCTGGCTTCTCGCAAACGGCAAGAGGTAGTTCAACACGTGCAAGTCATGCTTGTCGAAACTATCCCGCTCGACGGCTTTCTCGAGGAAAGATTCGGCCAGAAGATTGCTCTGACTTCGACCTGCCGAGTCTGTGTCGATAGCCCGACAGAACGCTGCGATCGCTTGAACGACTTCTCCAGCTTTCGTGACAGTCTGCCTGTCGGCCGAGTTGTAAGCGGTATAGACACCATCTGCCAGGATTTGCACCCTTTCCGGATCAAAGACGAGCGTTCCTTGAGGATTTTCACCTGGATTCTTGACCTGCTCGGTGGCCTGACGTTTAATGCTCTTTGCTAGCGTGTCGAGCTGGTTTGACGAAAACTTGTCGTGCTCGGGCCGAGTGCTCAAGAGTCCGTCGATCACTTCGACAAAGGGCCTACTGTCAGGAGCGGGTCGTCTCATCGCATCTATCTTGCTAATTCAGCGAATGTTTATGCAGGCGGAAATTGCATCGATTCGACGTTAAGGAATGGTGAAGCGGACCGATCTCATATCGAGTGCGTATGGTCGGTCATCGTGCATGAATGAATTCTCGCTCGTCGAGATTGAACACATGACCGAAACGCATATCTGCATCCGAGCATCCTGCTCGATCGGTTTATGCGTTCTGACAGGTGTAGTGTCAGTGTGTGTCTGAATGGCTTACGGCACTCAAGCAAGCCACGGCGTTCCTTCAGCGCGAGCTTCAAGTGCTTCCGTCATGGCCCGTCAACTACCGGCTGGTGGGTCGTGAGTGCGATGATCGCTGGAATCCTTTCTTTTCTTCCTTTTTTGTCTCGCCTCGGCAAGTTTCGGCCGCGGTCGGTTCGTTCGGGAGGCGGGAGTTGCGCTTGCTCGTCAAAGGCGGGAGAAGGGGATCGTTATTAGGGTGCGTTCGCGAGTACGCGTCGAGCTGACTTTTCAGAGAATTGACGTAAAATCGGTGAAAAAACACGCTGCCGGGATTACTTGACACGTTGTATGGCGTTTACTAGCGTGTGAACAAGAGGAATTGGCCGACGGGTCAGCTCGTCATTCTCAGCTCGAAATCGGGCTGAGGCAGCTGAGAAACGCGACCAAACGCGTCGAGTTTAATGAAGGGTTGGGATTCCAAAAGTTGTATGGGGATCGCTAGCAAAGTTGGGAAGAACGCACCTTGACGAAACTTCGAAGTCAAGCCGTTTTTTTCCCGTTTTTCACCGTGTTCCATCAATAATGTCTAGACAACCCTCTCGCCCCTACTCCCAGGAGTCAATCGCTAGTAGTTCCCAGCCAGATCACTCCCAGCCGTTGGGGCCTGGCGGTTTTCGAGTTCCAGCGATGCCGTCGTTCGATTCGACGAACCGCGGTGAAGTAATAGGGTCGTTCGGTCGATTTCCCTCGCAACACCCCCCTACCGGCTCCCCCTTCGTTAGCGGTTCAGTTGAGGGGGCCTACGCAGCCTACGGCAACCACTGGGGAAGGGCTGGGTCGGTATCACAAGGTTTGCCGACGTCGACGCCGTTTACGGAGCGAGAATCGTCCGTTTCGTCGATGTTCTCGAGCCAGAGGTCGATAAGGGAGTATTCGATGGCGTCAGTCGCTACTACGTCGACTACGTTGGCCCGAGGACTCTCCTCTACCACCCCTGCCGCTACCACACCTCCTCCTCCTATGTTTCGCTGGGACGACCACCTCGACGGCGTGATGATACGTGTTTTGACGGAGAACGCTGCTCGAGGGCGTAAGTCCGATAATTCGTTCAAGGCTGCGGTATTTGCCGAGGTCTGTGACGCTATCAACGATCAGCCAGTCCTCCGTCCGGTAGACAATAAGATGGTTCAGAGTCGGCTAGCGTACGTAAGTTACGGACAAACGAATCGTCAGCGTCAAATCTTCATCAAATTCACCCAAATCACTTACAGTTGAAGTCTGACCGCTATATACCCCTCCGAGACCTCCGGAATTTATCGGGGATAGGCTGGGACGAACTACGTCAACGTGTAGTGGCTAGCGACGAGTTCTGGGAGGGTTTGAAGCGAAACGAGGTGAGTAGTGTCGATTTGAAGTTCGTCGTCGACGACGTATTGTTCTACGTCGACGTTCGAATATGCTCAAGTCGCGCTTACGTAAACGCGCGACCTCCTTTACCTGTACTTCATGTCTGCCTTTGTCTGTTTCTATATCGACCTGTATCTCAGTCAGCAGCCAACCGTAAGTTACTTACTTGGAGAAATAGATCCTGGGTGCACTACGATGCATTTCACGCCCTCTACCATGGCGCTACCCCCGACGGACGACATGTTATCACCCCTCAAAGGCCCGACCGCGAGCGGAACGAAAGCGAGGGAGAGAGGGAACGAAAACGACGTCGAAGTGGTGAGGAGGACGACGATAGCGATCGAGGGTGAGTCTACAACTCTACAACGTTGTAGACCTGGGAGAAGGTTCCTGATGGCTCCTTTTTCCACTGCTGCAAAGAACGACTGAGCCACCGTCTTCAGCCGAGCGTCGTCAACGTCGAACGTCTAAATCGACCTCCTCCGTTCAGCGTCAAGTCGAGCGAGACGCTACTATCGAACGACAGCTCGCTACGCTCACCTCAGCGGCCTCTGCCATCGAGCCAAAGACTGACGAGGCCTATAGGGTCGTCAAAACGATCTCCGACGACGCTGGCTGGTCTCAAGACGACTATAAGCGTCTGATCAATTTTTTCGCCGATAATCCGCTTCAACCGCAAACGTTCCTTGCCCTACCTCTCGAACTCCGTCAAGACAGGCTAGAATACCTGTTAAGGAAGGAAAAGAACAGGGAAGAGGAGGAAGAGATGCGGTCTGCCAAGCGTAGACGTTTCCTCGAACGGTACGGCGAGTAAACGGCGTCGAAGTCGACGTCGACGTAGTAAATCGTAAGTCCCCCGTTGGTGGTGATTTCGCTCTGGTTTGGTGATCAGATGGCACATAAATGAGATGGCATCTTCCCCATACAAATTACTAGTAGCTAACGCCTCGAACGCTGTGTCGCTACCTCGCTATAGTCGTTCCACAACCTCTCCGCAATCCGGTCGCGTTTTCGCTCCATCTCCCGTTTACCTCGATCGTCGGCCTCGTACTCCCTCACCATCTCGATATCCTCGTCGTCAGGGCCCTCTACGTCATCGTCAGCGACCTCTATACCGTCTTCTTCCTTCCCGTACATCAGTATGAAGTTGTTCAGGGCGAAACAGCAGTAGATCACGCGGATTTGGGTGTCGACGTCGTATCGACAGCCACGGGCGAGAATCTGAAACGTGGTGGTGTAATAGCGGTATAAGAATAGGTCAGCTGTGTTCGTGAGGATGTTGTGCAGTTGCGTACCGGATATCTAGCCTTCAGAACGCCGAACGATCGTTCTATAACGTTTCGACACGATGAATGGCGTAAATTAAACAATTCCGCGGGATTTGTAGGTCGATTCGTGCTATTCCCGTAGATGTCATTTTGCTGCTGCGTCAACGGTGTTCTGGGGCATGTTTTGCTAGAGAGACTCACGCATTCGATGCCTGAGCCCATTCACGCAGGTGATACCGAGTGGAACGGAACGGAACGAGCGTATTTGACGTCGAGGGGTAACCTGCGTCGGCGAGATAGAAATACCCCCTCGGTACGTTGAATCCCTCGTTATACGCCGACGCTAGTACCTTGGCGTCATGTGCTGGACCTTCCCAACCGGCTAGTACGTATGTAAAGAACCCCTCGAAGTCGACAGCGGCGAGAACGTTCCACGATAGCTGCTGTTTTCGCGTTCGAAATCGCTTATGTTCAGACGCGGGAACATAGGCCGCTACCATCGTTCCGTCGATCGCACCGAGGCAATTACGCAGCAGCCGTTCGTACTTAGGATTCTCGTAGAGTGGGTGATCTAGAGGTGCGTTGGCGGGAGTTGCGAGACGAACGTAGCGACCGTAGAAGTCGGGTGAAAACAGCGCGTCGATAACTTCATGAAAACATCTAGAACGTCGATCGAGAGGTCAAAACGGGAGTCAGCGACGGCATGGCGACGGCAGGGTACCCTAGAACCCCCTGCTTACTTGCTAACAGTAGCCTGGGCCAACTGCCACACCTCCCTCGTCGTTCTGTTCGACGCCGACTTACGTAGGAGCCATAGAGTAACACCCACCTTTACTCGAACGGGGATTTCGAGAGTCGCGGTAACGAGGTCCCTGTCCTCTAATTCCGTACACAGAAGGTGAAACGCGGGTGGGAACATGCCTATGGAGTCCCAGCAGGCTATTACTGAGCCTGTAGCCCATGCGTCGACGACCGTTATCGCCCTACTATGATCGATAAGGATGGAGGTCGATTCTCGAGGTGGTTGCCTCGAGCGGAAGTTGTCGCCGACGATATGTTCCGCTACAATGGTGATGGCGGCGGCAATCTGACGTTGGCGAAGTGTTCTCTCCTCGAGGTATCCGGCAAGACCTTCGTCAGCAGAATCGACCGAGTCGTTATCGGTAGATGCGTCGAAGTCGATATCGTCAAAGGCAGGAGAAGGAGGGATGTCCATGTCGACGTAAACGGAATACGGCTGTAACTTTTGATGTACTGATCCAATAATTGCGGGACTTGTACGGATCGGTTTTTCAAACAAAGACCTATCGTTATGTTCTAGTTTGATAGCGATCTGACGATATTACCTTCCATCGCATAAACACGCTGTAAGTCGATTCCTACGTCGATGTTCGAAGTCGATAAACGACCTATGGATATGCTTCCGACGCGCGTCTCGGAGGCAAATACTGGTGTCACGTGACCAGTCTAAGAAAAACTCGCGAACGGGGTGAGAACGCTGAAAATGTAATTAGGCACCGTTCGCTAACAAATTACAGCCACTGCGTGCCAGCCACCATTTCTCCGCTGGCTGAGAAAACTCGCGAACGCACCCTTAGTTGTCGGGTGGGGAACGCCAGCGCTCGTAGCGTGTAGCTCGTGGCTCGTGAAAGGTTGTGAACTGTTTCTGCACTGCCATTATCGCGCACAATCTTTTCTAGCGTCCAGCCTCCGACCTCCGAGCTCTGGCCTCCAAGCTGAGAACTGCTGTGGCGGTGACGACTACTCGCGGAGGTCGAGCCGAGGATAAGTCGGTGGCTGCCATCCGGTAAAGCTGGCATTCGCAGCCCGATAAGGGGCGAGACGATGCTACTACTCTATGATCAACTCTCGCATTTTGGTACTTTGGTAAGCTATTACAACTATTACTACACGCTGACATGTCTACCTTCGATGGATGAGTACACCTGAATGGCTACTGCGAAGCACTCGAGCGGGAGATTACAGCTCGGCAAGGTTACGTTTCCTTTTAGCTCTTAGCGAGAAGTGACGCACCACCGAACATCCGATGGCTGTCCCGCCCGCGCCCACGATGAGATCGCAAGGTCGACAATCTTCAAAGACCACCGAGCTGTCGATCCCACGCCACAGGTTTCTTGCAGACGCATGAGCGCTGGGATACATCCAGCTTCCAGTCCATTCATCGAATTCATCGCCTGCTCCCCCATACTTGTTGACTCGACTGCGCGACCGAATACTTACCCTTCCGCCCGCCACTTCCTCCAACAAGGGGTCAATCATGTTCAAGCATGTAGCGAGAACGATCCCTTCACATGCGACAGACTCAGGGCTCGAAATAGAGATCATTGAACCGAACCATAATAGAGATGGCGCCCTGCGTTTCAAGGAGGCTGCTTGCGGGACTCCTGGCCGGCAGAGTAGCAGCTTTCGTTGCCGGTACATCCTATGAAGTCGCTCCAAATCGACTTGAAATTACCAGATCAATCTAGACGATAGACAAGCCTGCCGCGGTTTGGTTACCTTAGGCGTGCGACATGGTAAACACCTAGACAAACGAAACTCGAGACCCTGCCCATCATCAACGTTGCTTGGCAAAGGAGGCGTAAAACAGGAAGGATCACTAACAGACTTGTTGCATATCGTTAATCATCATCTCAATGGCCTCGCATCGCCCCTCCTGACCTATAGAGCCCTCTCATACAACTCCGGACGCTCACGTTGTCCCTGCTTGACTCGCCGGACGTCTTCCGCCAGATACAATCCAAAAGGATGCCACTTTCCCGCCTTGTCTTCAAGTGCGTTCAGCAACAAGTCGGCGTCCGACAAGGTGGCCTGCCATGTTTGGGCGTTCGTGCCCGTCTCTCTCAGACGTCTGGCTTCGCGGTAGAGAAAACGAGCGACGAGGGACACATCGACGAAGACGAAGCAGTCTTTGGAATACAAGTGAGAACGAGAAGAGAGGGTCCCAAATGTGCGGAAGAAAACGATCGCCGAAGTGGGACGAACGGACCGACCGAAGAACGATCGAGACCAAGATCAAGCGATGATGCGGCGAAGGGAAACAGTCAGAATGAGCTCGGATCTTAAAAAATGGCGTGTCAAGGGGGACCCACTTAGATGCGCATAGAGGTCTAACGGGATCCCGCGCAAGAGTTCGACCATCCTCCTCGCTGCGATCACGGCGAACTCGTACATGGCCGTTTCGTGAACGGCTGACTCGGCATAGAACAGCACATCCGCTGCGGCAACGTTTGCCCGGGTGAAGACCCACCAAGGGTCTGACGAGATGGTCTCCGGAAGCCTGTTCATATCAGGCAGACATGCACGGAACGCTTCCAATTGCCCTTGAAGCCTTTTCAAGCTGCCGGCCGTATAGGGATGCCTCGGCTGCGGTTCTTTAGACTGCTTGATCGTCGATAAAGGTGTAGGCAGATCGAACAACCTAAAGAGGGCGTAGTGAGTGTGGCGGATGATTAGAGCGGTGATTCGGGACGACGATGGGCGCTGGCAAGTATACCTCGACACTGACCTGTTTGCACTGCTCACTAAACTGAGAGACTGTAACGCCAGGATGCGGGGATCCACTGACTCCCGCGTCGCTTGAGTTTTTGAGTTCATGAGATCCCACACCCCCTTAGGATCGTGGCGACCGGTCTCGTCCTGTGCAGGAACACTTGAACTTAGCCGCCGGAATAGACATAGCCACAAGCCAAAACTTATAGGACCTGGGATGCACGGAACTCACTAAAGCGAAATCCTCGAACCGTTTTGGCCAGGCGGTCTGGATCTCCGTATCCGCCAAGCCACAAGACCAACCAAATAACAAGCTCATGCCCCAATCCAGCTCTTTCATGGCCCAGAATGTCTCTATTCTCTCCCAGAGGGATACGGAGTCCTGCGCAGGGGGTATTACTACGAGTTTGGCACGGTCATGGGCCGCTGCGGTGACCTGAGGCTGGTCCATAGAAGTCGCGTTGGGAGGAGGCATCATCGTTGGCCCTCTTCCGGACGACTTCTCTGGAGGAGGTTGAGCGGTCGCCTGCCCCGCCTTGGCAGGCTGCGAAAGATCAATCCGGTGAAGCCCGCACGCTACAGCTAGGCGACTGAACGGAAGCATCAGAGCTTCGAGTACTCTTCCTGTTAACAAGAGGTACTTTGCAAGACCCGTACTGGCCTTGGTGACTTCATCCATCTGTTCGCCGGCCTGGATACCGAGGTCCAGCTCCGTTTTCGCTCGGCTGTAGAATGAGCTTTCGAGGTCCACCAGCATGGGATATATCGAATCTTCCGGTCTAGGAAAGCGCGAAGGTAGCGACATCGCTTCCGGCGGATGTGGCAACTTGTTGACGAGGACGTAGATGCTAGCGGTGAAGAGCGCGTAGAGTAAAGCGGGATGAGGACGCCGTGTAGATACGGGTAGTATGGAGTCCAGAAAGCGAGCCGGATGCACCCGTAAGCCAAAGTACAAACTGTACGGCAGGACAGCATATATCCTGGATCATATGCCCGCGAACATGACGTCAACAGCGCTGGTCGAAAAGGATGGATGGCTCTCTAGATTTTACTCACAACGCGTACTCAACCGGGCTACTCGGCGTCACCGTCACAGTTCCTGGGCCGAAACTCAAACCTTGGCCGTGAATCTGATTACTGGCGGACAGGCGGTTCATGGTCAGGTTGCTGCCTATATTCCCTGGGTCAGCTTGTTGGAACGTTGATCCTTCCGGCCGCGGAGCAGAAAGCCAATTATCGGTCCGACTCGACGTCTCACCTACGCCGCGACCGTAATCGGATTTGGCAGATTCTCCGGTATCAAGCGCAAGGCCGCTCGGCACTGCTCCGGAGCCCAAAGAAGGGGGCTGCATCTGCAACATGTTCGAGACGTTGGATACTGTGTTCAATCCTGAGCCTAAGGTGGACTCCCTCGATACCAGCGGGTCCGACAGCCTGATTTTCCCATCTCGAAGAACCGCCCTGAAAGCCGTGGCCTCTGGTTCCTCTGATATGGTCTCGAGCTTGGACCGGGACGACATGGGCGTATCCGGACCCGGATCATCGAGCTTGTTGAGCTGCGTCTCTTTTTCTCGAATCTGGTCCTCCAGTTCCTGCAGCCTCGACCGGAGCCGATGGGTCTTGAGTTTCCGCTTCGCCATCGGTTGATACACGCATTCGACCGGTTTTCTGCTGTACTGGCACACGGAGCATACCGGTCGTTCACCCGTACACTTCAACTTTTTCGACCGGCAACGGACGCAAGCGGTGCCTCGCCGCAAGGAATTGCGTTGTTTCTTCCGCGGTCTGTCGTCCAACTCGCCATCATCTTCGTCGTCTTCTAGCTCGTCATCATTCGCTACCAGCATCTCCTCGCCATCGCGCCCATCATCGCCCTCCAGCCAATTCGATGCCGTCTCGCCGAATTCTCCCTGTTCCTGACCTGTCTCGTTCAAGCTACCATCACTCAACCGCTGCCCGTACCGGTTCATCATCATGGACGTCGAGGTTCGAGCGGAACTGGGCCCAGCTTCCGGTATCCGCTGGATCGGCGAGAAATACGCTGGCGCGCCATCCAGCCTGTCGCCGTAGTCCACCGTATGGCGAAACATTCCGTTCGAGCTGTGAGCCGAGCTTGGCGTCTGACCCGGCAGCAAGGCGTTTGAGACAATGGGCATGACTGTATCTGTAGGAGACTGCAACGAGGCGAGATGATACGACGGTAAAGGCATCACCGGTGGCGATAAGAGTGGAACGCCCACGGACGAGTCTTGCGGAATGGATCCTCGAAAGTTGGTGGTCGGAACGTGCATCTGACCGGTCCAAACGTCGTCGTTGCCCCACAGGGTGGACGGGACCGTCGACATCGTTCCTGGTGGAAATATGGCCCCTGGACCTCCGTACATGTCGTTCGTTGAGGGCATAGTATGCGAAGCCACTTGGATAGGCGGAGGCGGAAGCGAGCGATATGAAGGCTGTCCCGTAGGATTTTGAGGTAGTGGTGGTATGAAGGATGTTGTTTGGGAGGCCGGTGGTAATAGCTGAGTTCCGACCCTATTGGGGTCGTGGGCAATATGGGGTAGGGGTCTTAGAGGTCTCTCTGGAAGGAATCCTTGACCTGGCGCTTGGCTCTGACTGAGACCTTGCTGAGAGGAACTCGGTCGACCCCGGGATCTCGACCCCTCGTACCCGCCACCCTGGCCCTGCATGATCTCGATCCTCCCCAGTGGGCTTCTCAAACGGACCCGAGACCTCTCAGATCCTCTCCACCTTTCTTCTCTGTCGTCTTAGCCTGAATTCTCGACCGCGTCGAGCTTCTCGGGTCGGGTCGTCTCTCGCGTCACGATGATGTCTTCGATGTGTGGTCTGGGTTTCTACGGTCGATAGTTAACAGGAAATCGCTAGAGGAATGTGAGGACCTAAAGGACTATTGATAAGACAGAGCGAAGACCGATCAGTCTGCGAGATTGACGTGGAGCAATGTAAGAGACGACACGAATGGACGAACGAAAGATTTCTACCCCGCTACTCTCGAGAGATCCCAGATCGATCGTCCGTCTAGGTCGTTGCCCGCAGCCGATGACGGGTGGCGTGAGCTGCCTTTTTTTCTTTGGTCTTTTGGCGGGAAAGGAGAACCGCCGTCGTCGCTGAATGTGATATGTCTCCTTTCACTCGTTATATTGGTCGGAAGATCGACCCCTCCAGGTTTGTCACCTGGGTTACTGACCCGCTAAGAGTCGTCCGCGACGATGACCGAAGTTGGCGATCGGTCTTGACGACGAGCCTAGTGGCTAGTGGAGGAGATTCCTGAAAACTCTGTCGATATGACTTGATCCGTAAAGCCACGCAGACCCTTTGACGACGACGTTTCTGGTCTCTACTCCCGTTCAGGCCCTCCTTGTGGGACGTGGTGGGATCGAGCTAGTCGAGGGAGGAAAAAAAGTCCGGAGATGGCGATTGTCCGCGTTTTGTCGACCGGTCAGCCCTCAGAGGTGGGCGGCACGAGGGGTATCTGTACGTCTGAGGGAGAACCAAGAAAACCGGATAGAGGCGAATGGAGAAGGTGGGATGGCCATGCACTATGATTTTGGACGACCTGCCCCCCCGGATCGTCCTGCGACATCATTCCCGAGCTCAATCAGGCTGCCAGCTACCAGGTTGCCGCGAGCTCGTTCGAGGGGGATGGGCTGGATGGGTACGGCGTTTGGCGCCGAAGTCCGCCGAGCGCTTAGCCACAAGCTGAAGCTATCTAGAGCTACTACCCCATTCACCCCTTGGCTACTAACCACTTGCTACTTTGCTTTCATGTTGATCGGTCGTCTGCCGCCGTTCTCAGTCTACAGGTCGCGGAACCGTGACGATCGAATGTCCGTCGAAATCTCGGGCGTCTGCGCACTATCCTATGCCCGAGAAATCGGCTCCGAGACCTCCAGCACGGGCGCGCAGAGGTGAACAAACACAGCGATGCCGTGGGAATCGATTCCAGACGAGAAAAACCGAAAGGGGGTTCCAGCGACCACCGGCCAGCGGGCAACGATCCGAGGCTCAAATGAGTGGAAGAAAAAGGGCGGACGGTGCAAGTCCACGGTAAGACGCTGATACCCTCCTTTGGGCCTCTGATGTCGATCCACCAAAGGAAGAGCGGAAGCGAAGCGAAAGATCCACCGGGGCCTATTGTCCTGCTGATGACCTCGCGAGTCATCAACCTGTCGATCATGTGCGATGGCGAGATGGCAATATAGCAATGGGCTTGCGTGCTTACAACTTTAACAACTTTACTCCTCCCACATCGCACTAGTTGTCTTGCATATCATGTGGCAGGTACGGCGTGTTCACCACAAGCGTCTCGATCACGAGGTGGAGGTACCTGCAAGCCCTTTGGTTGATCCTTTGATCCACCTGAAGGAGATCCGTGATCCGTGATCGCCCGCGCGGAACGACAAGGAACGAAACAGAAGCAGAAAGCGCAGAAAGAACATGCCAGCCCCGTATCATTTCCGGTGTACGCGAATCGAGGCGAAACGCTGTTGCTTCGCTATATGATCAAGTTTGATCCCATGATCCCACGATCCATCTATTGCTATCCGTTTGCAACGTGCGACCATGCGACACGCAACATTTGTTTCTCCCTCAGGAATCGAACATTAATGGCAGGAGGAAAGATCCACCTGTACCTTGATTTCTTCAACCACTCATACCACGCCAATCAATCCCGGATCTGATTCATTTTGGTCATACACCTCGAAAAGCTGACAGATCGGACTGCTATCTAGAGCCACTCCTGGTCCCGGTCAAGGACAGTTTCGTCGGGTCTTTCCTCGGTATGGACCGCTCGCGAGCTGCCGACGACCTTGGGGTTACACTTGACATGTCCCTGTCGACGCCGCGTTTGAGCTTCACTCCTTTCCCTTATCGACGCGACATCGACCGGACTACCCAAGCCTGCCCTCTACTCGTCAAAGCTGAGAACCTTGCCCTCTTTGCTAGCCCGCATCCCGAGCTCGATGATCTTGATCACGAGAGCAGCCTCTTCAGGCTTGACCAACAAGGCCTCTCGACCCTTCTCCGATCGGATGGCATCGTGCAATGACTTGTAGAGGGTCTGGTATTCACCTGCAGGGGAGACGTGCCTGTAATGGGTGAAAACGGGTCAATTTAGCCGGACGATTCACAAGCGGATAAAAGAACCCTGCGAAAAACGTATTGGGCTCACTTGACGGTCTCCCAGCTCCCATCCTCTTGGACGAGTTCGAGCTCCCCCTCGGCTCCATCCGCCTCGACACCCCATCCGTCCTTGCCCACGGGCGTCACATCCTCAGGCAATCCAGTGTTCCAGTCGACCTTTCTCAGAGTGGCCTCCTGGACATCGAGTCCGTACTTGGTGTATAGACCCTTGTTACCCTTGATCTGGTATCGCAGCTGTTTGGAACCAGGGTTGATGATGCTCGCTTGAAGGGTGACGAGCAAGGGGTAGGGCTTGGAGAGAGGGTGAGAGCGGGGGTAGTACAGGTGCAAGAGGAACTGCGAGATATGAAGAGAGGGAGTAAGGCGATGTCTCAGTGTTTGGGAACGGTTGTAACGGCACTTACCGAATCATCGAGTCCTTCGGGCGCTCGCAAGTTGTAACACCATCCCCCAACCTTTTCCGGCTTTCCGAACAACACCAGAGCCTGATTTCGTTAAAAGGAAAAAGGGGTCATCTTCACTGCATCAGCATCCCCAGTATCGCTATGGAGCTTTCCATTATCCATGCTCGAAACTCGCCTGGTCGATCAGATGACTCCCGAGGTTGTAGATCGCATCGTTCAGCTGACCGGGAGCTTCCTTCCAAGTGTTCGGTACTGCCTGGGGTCGGAACCTGTCGAATCGCGAGACGAACTCGAGGAGTTGTCCGAGCTACCAAACCCAAACCCCCAAGCGGTATAGTGGAATTAGCCTCGGCGCTTTGGTGAGGCGCGAGTGAAATCGTCTGAACGCACCTTCTCCTCCTTCAACAACCCCTTGACGGCCAAGAAATCGGCGTCCCATCGTCTGTTCTGGAAGGGGGCCAGGATGAGATTCTTCTCCTTGGCCAGGTCGATGAGCTCGATGGCCTCGGCGTAGGTCGGGGTGAGAGGCTTTTCGATGAGGACTGTGAGGGTGGTATAAGTCGGAGTAGAAGTGGTGTTGGTAGTGATGGTAGTGATATGGGAAGCGGAAAACGGATGGCAAGGTAAAAAACGAGCATGAGGACTACTACGTCAAGTGTACGACAAGGACGATGACGAATGAGACTGACCGTGCTTCCCGGCGCTCAAACACTTTTTAGCATACTCGAAATGACTCAAGTTCGGTGTCGAGATGACGACCAACTCGACCTCGTCATCCCCCGTGACCTCTTCCAAGGTATTGACGACCTTCAACCCTTCGAGCCCGGTAAAATCCCTGGCAGAGGATTTGGAGGCGGTAGCCGATCGTTCCAGGACCGAGTGAAGGGTGAATAGGTCCGGGTAGGTGGCGATGAATGGGTAATGGAATGCTTGAAGGGAGAGACCTGCAGAGGGGAGAAGAGTGTTGGCAATACAAAGCGAGGCTTGAGCGTGACAGACCGGTGAGTTGCAGAGGTCAGATGGGTGCTCACCAGCTCCGAGGATAGAACATTTGATAGGACCGGACATTGTGGCTCTGATGCGGACGTGTCTTGTAGCTTGTAGCTTGTAGCTTTATGGCTTTCCAGGTATCGAGTTGCGAGTTGTGAGGGTGCGAGGGTGTAAGGGTCGAACTTTGACCAACCTCGGACGATATGAGGATGGGAGGACCGCGTGACGTGATCTCTCTCGGCACAAAGGATCGGAAGCTGATGTGGGAAGAGGGGGCTCTCGGAAGTAAAAGGGATCTCATGGACATTCCTCTTCCCCCTGATGTCCGTGAGGTCGGCATGGTCCGTTCACCATCTACTGTACTCTCCAGGACTCCTCCCTCATATTCAACCTCATGCGTCCCGTAGCTAGAAGAATGCACCTTCGCAGCCGTCCATTCACGGTGAACGAACTTACCGAATGCTACGAGCAGCCGCAAGGTATCTGAAACGAATCAACAAGACAGATCTACCGAGCTCGCCCATCATGTCTCTCAGGAACATCGAACAGATCCCAGCTCCCATCCATCGAGGGATGATCCAGCTTGACCGGGGAGCGTTCGTCACCCAATTCTCCAGGTTGAGCGTAAAAGTCAAGAATCAGGATGTTGGAAAAGTGACAAAGGCCAAGGAAATGCAGCCGTGAGTCCATCGCTGCGCCTACAAAGGCAGAAGGTTGTAGGCTGAGTACTCTCCTCGCGATGCGCATGAGCCAGGCATATCCTTAGCATCCCAAGACTGCGGTCGGTCGAACCCGACCCCGAATCGTCCGATCTCCGGCTCGTGCTCTTGCGTTATGAAGAAGAAAGTAAGTTTACCTGACTCCACCTCGTTATCTGCTAAAGAAGCTAGTAGCTGAAGAGTCTGATCCTACCTGCTCGCAAATCAGCTCAGCTTCCTGACCCGTTCAAGACGTTCATCACGCCCTTCTCTCACGGCTACCAGAAATACTCTGCCACGCTCGACTATGATCATTGGAACGCTGGAGAGATACTGGATGCGGTCCTGCCTGAGGAGTTGATGGAGGAATCGCCGACGAGTTATACGCAGACGGGACATATCGGTGAGATCCCGGGAAGCTGAGATGCCGTAGAGTGTCTTTCAAAGTAGCTCATCATTTTTCCGCGGCGAATGGTTGCTTGGATTTTTCAGCTCATATGAACCTGAGGGATGAATATTTGCCATACCGATACGTCATCGGCCAAGTCATGCTCGATGTAAGCTCAACGTCAACTCCTCCGACCGCAATCGGCCATTGCTGATAGAGCTGTCTTCCCAGAAAAACCCGGGACTGAGGACCGTAGTGAACAAGCTCGACTCGATCGATTCGGAGTTTAGGGTCTTCAAGATGGAGGTCTTGGCCGGGGACAACGATTTCATCGCCGAAATGGCAAGTACCCTCCTCACTCGTCCCTTTCCACCCGCACCAAAAATCGCATGCTAACCCCCGAACCTGGATATCATGCCGAACACAGCGAGAATCGGACTGTAAATTCACTTTCGACTTTTCCAAAGTCTACTGGAACTCGCGATTGGGGCACGAACACGAGCGGCTGGTGGACCAGTTCGAACCGGGACAAGTGGTCGCAGACGTCATGGCTGGGGTGGGGCCGTTTGCGGTACCGGCGGCTAAGAAGAGGTGTCTGGTGTTGGGGAACGATCTGAATCCGGAGAGTACGAGGTGGATGGAGAAGAACAGGGTGGATAACAGGGTATGTGTGTGTGGTCAGCACAATGGGCTGACATCGGCTGATATCTACGCGTGCTTCTTCTAGGTACAAGAGGCGCTCCGCGTCAGCACGCTCGACGGACGAGAATTCATCCAGTCGGCACCACTACAAATTTGGACGAAACCGTTCGACCCTCTACCTCCACCCAGACCATCGCTTCGACAACAGGAAAAGGAGGCCAGACGGAAAAGGGAAGCCGCAAAACGGGCCAAAGAGAGCGGGGTCGTACCCGACGTTACGGAGCAATTCGAATCGCTCAAAGTAGGGGAGAGCTCGGTGTCTAGCATGATCGCTTCTTCAAGCGAGCCAATCCCAGAGGGTGAAACTCCAGCCTCGGAACCCACGGCCCGGACAATAAGTCATTTCGTCATGAACCTTCCGGGATCGGCTCTGGAGTTCCTCGATGCATATAACGGGTGTTACAAGCCCCTCTTGGCGGAACCCGATTTCCCTGGCATCGAAGCCATCGAAATGCCTTATATTCACGTGCATTGTTTCTCAAAACAGGCCGAAGGAGAGCCAGCTACCAACGATATCTGCAAGGCGAGTCTGGACTGTGAAGCGTGATGTTACCTGAATCTGATACTAACGAACTGAGCCGGCGACGCAGAGAGCGAGCGAGACGCTACGATATGAGATCACACCGCAGAGTGAGGGTTTCAAGTTGCATTACGTACGAAAGGTGGCACCGAACAAGGACATGTATTGTATCACCTTCCGATTGCCCAAAGAGGTGGCATTCCGATGACTTGCGTTCCTGCAACACGCATCATATAATATCTGCATAATGTTCTCTATTCGGACTGACAATAGGATGAGAGAGCATCGTGCCTTTTGAAACAAAATAAAAAGGACTCGAACAGACGCGCGTTCATAGAGAACAAGCTGGATACCGTTGCGGACCAGCTGCAGGAAGCGCCCTTGTGGCTTGTGGTGATGCCACCATGGAAGCTTATCTAAAGTCAAGGCCGTAAATGGGAGCCCTCAAGAATACCCACCTCATCCCGAAGCCGTCAGTGATAGATTGGCCCAATCGCAGCAGGATCACAGGGACAAAGCTTCGTCCGGCGCGATGCATGACGAGCAAAGGATTCCACGTTATCGTTCTGACAAGGTTGAAATCATCTTGTGTAGACGTGGGCGGGTAGATTACAAGGTCACCATGGCGATAGCCACCTTTCGGCACAGGCTAGTCATCCATGTCCATTTCCATGCTCTCTTCGCTTCCTCTCCTCTCGCCCCTGCGGATTCCCATCTCCCTGTCCTCCCGTTCTGCATCTACCTCGACCAGAGATGGCCTCGAAGGTTCCCTTTCCTGCGGCTCGCTCGTCTCCCGGTCTTCCCCTCTCCTTCCGGTAACCTCTTCTGTAGCCCGCTCAAACCCGCTCAGCTTCGACCCGTCCCGCACCCGATCATCATCATCACCACGGCCCCTAATCTTCATCTCCCTCCCGACCCTCCAATCGCCTTCCACCCCTCCGCCACTTGCGCTTGGGCGTGAGTCTCTAGCAGGACTTAACGATCTTCGACCGGCTCTGCTACCGGCGTCCGGTCGGTCTTCCCAATCGCGCCCACGTCGATCGCGGTTCCGATCACGCGAATAAGGTTCTTCCCTCCTCCCTCCGAAACCCCTACCGCCCGACCGCTGTGGATAAGGTTCCCGAGGCCGGTCATCGCCCCATGCTCGGGTGGACGAATGCGAACCGCGCGAAGTAGATTCGGGATCTAGGTAACGCATTGAGCCTCGGCCTGTATACGACGTTGCCATATCAGTACCCGAGTGGATGTCATCATATCATTGCGGTACTGACCTTTGTAGACGACCCCACCGGTCTTCTCGGCCTCTTTACTCTGCTTCTCGGCGCGTTCGAGCTCGAACCGTCGTTTCATCTCCGCCAGCTTGGCCTTCTTCTCCGCGGCCAGTCTTTCGTTTTCTTCTCGCTCCAGTCTGTTCAACGGGTATTGACACGATGACGGGGATAACGATAGTTTCGATGGTTGCGCGAGTATGACTTGATGAGCGTCAAATTTATGTGTAGGATAGAGAGCAGATGGCAGTATTCGACCTACCTAGCATCCAACTCCTCCTCGGTCTCTTCCCTAACCTTCTTCTCATCTATAGCGCCATACCCATCAACCAGACCCTTCAACTTGCGCTTCTTCTCCTTCTTATCCCGTTTGCTCGACTTTTTCCGACGTCTTCGGTCGGGGGAGGGCGATCGGGAGCGGGAAGACGAGCTGGAAAGGGATCGACTGCGGGAGCGAGATGAAGCTGGGGAGCGCGATCGACTGAGGGAGCGAGAACGGGTCTCGACAGGCGGGGTCGATTTGGCTGAAAGTCAAGCCACAGAAATTGTATCAGCGCAACAGCCCATCGGGTGATAATCACATGTACTCACCAGTAACGGCTCCCCCAGCAGCACTTTTCTTGATCAACTCTCCGCAATTGACGATTCGTACATCTTCGATCGGTTTGTCCTTGTCATCCACCTCCACCTTGGCGATCTGTTGGACTACTTCCATGCCCTTGACCACACGACCGAACACGCTATATGATTGTAATAGACGGAGTGAGATGTAAGTCGGAGCTTGAATCTGATGAGACAGGCAAGGAATATCCCCCGGGTACTCACGTATGCTGTCCATTCAGATGGGGACATTCGTCTAGCGTAATGAAGAACTGACTCGAGTTGGTATCCTTGCGGCTGTTCGCCATCACCAAAAGCCTGCGTTACAGAATTATCAATACGCTTCGGTTAGACATCGACATCTTGTTTTGCTTGTGGGATCACGCTCTCTTCGACTCGACTCACCCAGCAGCATCGAGCGGCACAGTCAGGTCCTCGTCCTCGAAGGTCGGTCCATAGATACTCTCTCCTCCCGTTCCGTTTCCTTTTATAAAGTCTCCTCCTTGAAGCATGAACATATCTGCATTAAGAGCCTCGGCACTGTAAGCACTCGTCCGCTGTACATCGTGTGACGGTTTCCTTCGGGACGTACCAATGACGCGATGGAAGACTGTTCCCTTGTAATGCATAGGTACGTCGGCGGACTTGGCGGTTCCCAACTCTCCGGTACACAACGCTCGGAAGCTGCGAAGTATCACAACGGCCTGGATTAGCAAGCCTTGCGGAATCGAGACATGGGAGCTGAATTCTGCCCACTTTTCTACGGTTCGAGGAACTCGGTCGTGGTCGAGCTCGAACATGATTCTCTGAGGTGCGGCTGCGCCGATGGCGACATCCATGAACGTTCTCTTGGACGGCATGTTGTTGGTGATGCTCGTCGAGCTTTCTCTGTGTGCGAGAGATTGCGAGCTCAATCTCGCACGCCGGAACATGAACTAGAATATGGAATGTGACCACCTTGAGCAAGAGCAAGAGAGTTGTCGAGATTGTCGCTGTTACGATTCGATGAAAACGCATAACATCGACTGGGGGGTTATGCGTTTTGACCGTCGTCATCAAGTCTCATCAAAAGTCGATCGCATCTTTCAAGGTTCAACTTTACACTCAAATGCCCACAACTCCTTTCTATTCCCTGCCGTATACAAGTCATCGAGACCATTTGTTCGCCATGTCGATCTCGACAGGCACCCTGAACCTCAAGTTCATGCAACGGGGCACCCCGCTCAAAGCATCTCCGAGCGGCCCTTCCACCCCGACGCCCTCGACTCCCGGAACCCCCGTCCCCGCTTCCAAAGGTACATCCACGTCGAGGACGCTAGTAGCAGAACAAGATTCTGAATGGCAGCTCCCTGCTTCGAAGCTCAAGGCGTTGCAGGCGGGCGCGGGACCGAGCAGACCGACGCAGACGAGAGGGAGGGTGTCTTACGAGTCGTCTTATCTGCCGTTCCTCGAGCGCGGTCAGCCGGCTACGACGAGCAGTAGGAAGCAGTTGGATAGCGAGGAAGATGGGAGCGTAGATGATGACGAGGATAAAGGCGTAGGGAGCAGCAAGGTCATCAAGGGAAGGATGATATTCGGGCAATCCGCCAAACCGGAAAAAGTTCGTGCTACACCCTTCTCAATCGGACATGACCATACCATCATCACCATAACATAGCATGACAAGTGTATTGACCATTTATTTCAAATATTGCGCAGACAAACGACTCGGACGATGAAGAACCCTCATCACGCTCAAATCGACCCAACGCTTACGCTCAAGAAGCTCAATCTCAATCACATACCCGCTCGGGCCCGTCCTCGAGGCCCGGCAAACCCCCTCCTTCCACCCCTAACGGTAAAAAGCCTTCCAAGAATGGAGCCGCAAATGTCGATGTGAAACCGAGCTCGATGTCGAAACCGGACAAGCGCGGGTACATCCGTCCGGCAGGGTTCGATGATCTTCCCACGCCCGCCTCCAGGACGGAGGAGCAGGGTCAAGGTCAGGCAACGAAATCGAACCGGAGACAGAAACGAAAGTCGAACCAGGCCCCCGTTGCCGATGACGATGTCAAGACCAAGAGCCAGACTCAGGCAAAGCCAGAGGCGGACGACGATGATGACGAGGTCATCCAAGGAGCGAGGAAGCGGAGAAAAAAGTCCAAGTCCAAGAAGGACAAGGTTGCTGTCAAGCAAGCGGGTGCGAACGGGAATGGTGACGATGAAGATCCTGAATTTGAAGAGTTTTTGGAGGATCTCATGGGCGAAATCGAGGATGATCGATAGAAGCGAGGTTGTCACGATGGCTTGTAGCTTGTCACCAATTCTTATTGGCATGGTGTGGATGGGAACTGATTAAGACTCGATCTCATCGATATGACGAGCACTCTGTACTCGAATCCGTCAACTTGCGAGAATGTATGACCCGTTGTGACCGAGCAAGCAAGCGTAGAATTTGACATTCTTCGATAGACCTCCACCTAGAGTGATAGCAGTCCATCTTGAAACGCAAGGCGGAAGATCTTCGTCCGTCTACCCCGCGACTGCATCAGCGCCAGCATCTACACCTACACAATCACAGACGTTACCTGAAAAATCAGACTCCGAATGATGTGAAGAAGGTTAGGCGGAAGACGAGTCCAGCCGACGGTCGTAATGATATCAATGACAAGGGCAGTCGCGATGAGGGAGGCGAACACGATCAGAGTGATGAAGATGAGGTTGATGGGGAGCTGGCGCAAGGGGCGAAGAAAAGACAGAAGATCAAGCCCAAGTCGGATAGGCAAAAAGCCGCGGCGAAGATCAATGATGGGTAGGAGGATGACGATATTGACGAGCTCTTGAGGAAGATCATGGGCGAAATTGATCGCGACGAGTAATCCAGCCTCAGTCCAGCCTGATCGCCTTAGACAGCAGTATGATCCCGACATACCCCAATAGTTCATATTTGCGAGAGGTTACTGCTTGGGAATCGCCAACGATGTCCACCGCGGAGCTCCGCGCTGCTCTTGCTGATGGCAAATTCACTTTCTTCCCACAACTCTGCATTGTAATCCCGAAGAAACCCAGCTGCGACTTGTGTGTCTCGGATCCGACGGTTGATACCGTTTTCGACCAAAAAAAATCCCAAAACACAAGGCGACATGTTACCATAGCAAGGTCTTTCAAACTTGGAGATATCTCAGTCAAACCTATCCGGGTAATTTCACCGGACGGCAAGCATGCTGGAAAATGATCACTGACAAGACGGCCCGTCTGCACGGGTATCGATCGTTATGAGTCATGGTATAGACTTTATAAATACAGTTGTAATTAGAATTTGGTCCCGTAGGCTGACGAAGTGTTTGATACAGTAGGTTGTTTCGGAACGGGACTTAACGCATGGATAAAGGGAAATCCGGTCTATTGAGGCCTTCCCTAAGTCCTCTCGGTCATCTGACTCTCTCTCGGGGTCGTTTCCTCGACCTCGCTCGCACCTTCCACCCTCTCCACCTTGCCCTCCTCGACCGTCTTGGCCTGATGCTGCTTCCACCAGACCTCTTCCCGCCTCAACCCCCACTTGACGATCCACAAGCTCAGGACGGCCCAGACGACGAGCCAGATGAAAAAGACGCCGAGGATGAGGCCGAATGAGATGCCGAAACGGACCGTCCATGTGATAGCGGCGGTGACCCCGAAGTAGATTGCGGTCCCAAATGCCCACCAGGCGGTCAGATACCACATGAGGTCTTGCCAAGGGGGCGAGGCGTCGTACCTGATAGAATGATATCGGTCGCCACATCAGCTTCCACGTCAGGCTTGCACCACAGCCGAGACATACCTCTTGTTGACTGCCTCTCTAAACTCCTTGCCATGCCTGAAATCGACCGCTCCAATATCCTCAAACATGTAAAAGACTGCCGGTTTCATCCGAACTCCTGGAGCGTCCGAGGAGCACCAGAACGGGCATTTGGGGCGGAACAGGGAGATGAGGAAAATCAGACCGACGGGGCCGACGAGCATGGGAGTTGACATGCAGAAAAAGTCGCTGGAAAAATGAGGATGTGGTGAGCTCGGTGAGCACTCACTGCGAGGAGATTGGCAGCGGGATACTCGTAAGGCGGAGAAGGAATGTCGAACTCACGGCATAGGAGGTTTGACTGCCGAAGCGATCGCCAAAGGCAAGGCAAAGATCAAAAGTGCGTAGCTGTATAGGTGCATGGTGAAATCCATGTGCCAGCGCTATAACACAAAAAGCATTTTGATCAGCTTGCACTACCCGAGCGGTCTCGCAGCTGGAACAGGTAGATGACGTGATACTCACAACGGGGTCGTTGAGGGGTCCGTAATACGGTCGGTTCTTCCATACTGAGGATGGTCCAGACGGGGATACAGTCAGCCTTCCTATTCTCGCTTCTTTCAACTTTTATGAGGGAGAGGTTTGACCCAACTCACGCTTCCAGGTTCTGAATGGGCCATCAAAGCTGCTCGATACCCCGAGTGTCGCCGAGGAGATCCCAATAAGTTCACGTAGGGTCATGTGTGTGTTGTCCTTCAAGACGTAGAACAGTATACATGGGAGGGCCAAGTTGCAAAAGAGAATGAATCCTGCGTAGGCGAGGTTGCTCCATTTGCGGTGCCACAAGTTGAAACCCTGGATTAAAGGGAGTCCCGCTGGGTGCTGATGAACGGTATGGTTCGGGTGGTGATGACGGCTGTCCCGCCGAGGTGGGTGAGTTTCTTGTGGAGTTGGCTCCGTCATGGGTGTGTGGCTATACGGTACGTCGTTGGTTTCTTGACCAGGTGGACGTGTCTAGGATATCTAGGATCGAGGTGCATATTATCTGATGGATTGTCCGAGTGATGATAGAAGAGAGTGAGTGAGGAAGTGAGTGGGGGGGGGGGAAGAGGGGGGCGACGCGAATTTGAGCGATCAGTCAGGATCAGCTGAATCCCTTATCGCGCCCGAACGGAAAAATATGACGTCAACGCCACGAATAGATCTTTGCGCCATGGGAAACCTTAAACGCTCATATATGCTCTCGACAACCTCGTCGTTGCCAACTGTAAAACTCATTACAATCCCCGTTGTCGTGGCACGAGTATAGATACATGAAAGCCCTCAATACATACCGTTACGTATTCTATCGTTCCGCATCGCGCTCGATATCGGCGCTACCTGGATCGCCTTGTAACCAACCCCCCACTGCACCGTCTCTATTTTCCCGGCGCAGCATTCTTGACGCAAAAGAAGGCCATCCCAAACCTCGCCTGCATGACGGTCTCTTGCAGATCCCTCTCATCCTGCCCCGTCCACTTTTCCTCTGCAGGCAACCCGTGGATCCCGGACTCGCCCAGCTTCTTGTACTTGAATTCGAACGCCTTGCGCTTGTCGTTCAACCGGACGGCAGGGCGCGGGTCGCCGTTCCCGGTCATGATGATCAAGACGGTTCGAGGTGGCAAGGCGGCGTGAATCTTGACGAGACGGGCGTTGAGCTGGCTGAGGGCGTGCTCAGTCGCCGATTCGTCGTCGTTCTCGTCGTCTTGGATGTCAGCAGCAACGTCACCCTCCACCTCAGGCTCAACCACCCCAAGAGGTTTTGAATCGCTTGCCCTCGGCGTGGTCCCTACGATGTCCAGAAGGTCAGCCAAGGTCCCCTTCACCTCAAACTGCTCCACCCACTTCGTCCGACTCACATTTCTGCGCATTCGAAAGCTCAAACATCCTCGCAAACGTAAAATCAAAATCCTCCACATTCTCCACCAGGTTCTCGACGACCTCGTCATCGTCCTTGCATACGAAAGCCCTCGTCGCCCTCATCCGCGTGGTGGCGTTACCATAATCGCACAACAAGGACGATCGACCGGGTTGTTTGGAGTCCCTGGCGTGTCGGGCGAACTTTTCAAAGATGGTCTCCATGTCTTCCATCGTCTCGCCGAAATCGGGACCTGCCAGTTCGGGAGGAGTGAGTGATTGTAGATCAGCAAGCGGATAACATCGACAATCCAATCTCGGCGTTTCGCGCGACTCACCTTCGATGCACTTCCTCCTCAGCAGATCCAAACATGCCCTCGCGTCCTCTTCCGAATCGTGTCCCTCCCCGCCCTTGTTCTGAATCTCCCTTCCCAACCACTTCCCCGTCAAAAACTTCAGACTCGGTTTACTCGGTCTCCCTTTGGCGTGGGGGAACAAGATGGCCGTGTCGATCACCAGCGGATGACGGATTTTCATGCTCAACAGGTCATTCTCCAGCGAATGACCCACGAGGATCGTAAATGGTGTGATCAGGTCTGGCCGGGTTAGGAAGGCGGTTTGGACGTCCGAGAGGGAGAGGGTAGCTTTGCTAAGGATCTCTTCAGTGATGCCCGACCATCTTGATGGGTGGTATTACTGGATCAGCTCGGTGTACGTCAACAGCGTACAGCCCACTCACTGGGTCTTGTAATCGACAACTGTGCCTTCGGGCTTGACGAGCTCATCATAGACCACCTTGCCCGTCGCATAATCGATCGCTGTCACTCTGGTCAACTCGTCGCCCTTGGTCGTCATGCACTGCGAAAAGCCACCCGAGCAACCACGATCGATGGTCAGCATCCAGCCAAGCCGTGCTCTCAGCGGTTCGACGATAGGGGAATGTTCAAACTCACCATCTCACAATCTACAGCCAAAACGGGATACTTTCCATCCTCCGGCGCCTTGTCGGCCCTCTTGGTCTCCTTCCATCCTTCCGGCAACGACGACCCCTTCTCCTGTCCACTTGCCGTGTCCGCGTGCTGCCAGGGCAAAAACACTTGATTCCCCCTCTCGATCGCCTCCTGGTCGCCCTTCATGAACGCCACGACCGTCACCGGAAAATAACTCGGGATGGGGTATTCGTTCTCAATCATTTGATTCGGGGTCAAGAGGAACAAGACCGGGTCGAAGGCGTCCTTCTCGCCGATTCCGTTGTTGGCCCCGGAAGCGTCGACCCTGCGCTTGAAATCTCGCTGCTTCTCCCGATTCCTCCTCTCCTTTTCTTTCGGCGGTACGACCGTGCTAAGAAACGTGTTCACGGCCGGGTGGAACCTGTATTGATCTCCCGGTGCGCGGGTCGGAAGGGCGTTGGAAAACAATTTCGCCATTTGTGGAATCTTCACTTTCGGTGTATCCGAGGTCATGTCTGAGTCTGAAGGTGGGGGCGGGGTGAGGGGGAAAGGTAGGATCTGGGATGGTTTGAGGGTATTCGAGGGGAGTCCTAGGTGGGTCGGGAGGAGACCTGGAATGAAAAGCGTGACGACATGATCGACGCTACTGCGGTTCTGCGTACAAATCGTATCAGACCGGTTGCTGCAGTAGATAGAGTCCGTAACGAAACTGCTCACTTCGACTTTCATCCAGTTGGGTTCAGGGATACTTCCTGTAACGAGGTGTTCCACCAGATCCCGTACGGACTATGTCGCAGCTCGATTAGCTCAACGGCGGCGATAGGTGAAAATGCTTTGTGAACTCACAGCGATGGTGATATTTTTCCCGCTCCTGAAGCCGGCTGTAGCGTAATTCAAGGTAGGTGGCTTTTTCTACCAGACCGAATAGACGATATTTGCAGCAGCGGAATAGGATGACATGGCGCATCAGCGAGAGCAACCAGAACACGAGCAGGAAACGACCCGACTTACAGCCTTCTGAGCCTCCTTGACGCTCGCCTTTTTCATCTTCCTCTTTGCGTCCCTCGACATGACCTGTTCGAACCCATCGGCGAGCACGATCGATTGCCCCTCCCGTTCGTCCATATCCATAGGATTCGGCTTAGGACTAGCCTCGCCATCGCTATCTTCGTCGTTCAACTTGGTCTTCTTCGATTGAGATGTACCGTTCGCGGCGTTGTTCTTACGAGACGGAGAGGGGGACGAGTCGGTAGTCTTCCGTTTGTGACCAACTTGAAGCCATGGTGGGTCCATCGGTGAGAAGCTCTTTTCGTGGGAGTTTTGGTGTCACGGAATCGTTTCTCTTTGGAGCAGCCTGGAAGTCTACAGATACGGCAGGAACAGTATATGTAGTCCCGAGTCTAGCTGTGCTGATTGGTTGTCCAGATCTGAACATGCTGCAACATGCAACATTGAATTGTCCATCAGGGGTTTGTCGCTTCCAAAGGGTTTGACCGATCTTTTTGGCTTAGTCAGCGAAAAAATAAACATTTCTCGGATCCGAAGGACTGCAGAAGGCGAGGTTGACAAACGAAACCAACGTCCCTTCGACCGATCAGTCTGGTGGTTGCGCAGACCCTTGTCTTATACCGCCCCAGTTACGGTCTTCATATTACTCGAGAGATAGACATCCTACTGGCCGCTATCTGCGCGGTACTGCGGTTCGGAACGATCGAACGGACAGGTCGTTCTCTGCGTTCCCGCATCCCGACCTCTCGTCAGGCTCTGGCGAGATTGGCCATCTGGACTGAAAGGGTGGCAGCTCAATCTCCACTCACCTAGAAACACGAGCTTCGGTTGAGAGATAAGAGGATCAAACTGAGCGGCACACTCGTACACGTACTCGGCGGACGCAACACGTCGCAGACATCACACAGTCGAGACCACGCAGGATGCCCACGGCGACTCCATCGACGCCTAAGGCCGGCCGGGCGAGTAGCTCGGTCCCGCCTGAGAGTCCGGGAAAGGCTGGGAAAGTACCGGGTGGTCAGTACAAGATCGAGGTGAGCTGGTTTAGAGATCATAACCTTGTGGCAGTCATGATGATGCTGACGAGATTCTATATGTGCATCTCTGACCCGGAATCTCGACCAATCTAAACAATGCAATGAAACACATCCCGTTCTTTGCATATTCAAAATCCTTCTCAGGACGTCGATATTGGAGTGAAAATCTTTGTCCGTAAACCAGGAACGAACGGTGACCCCGAAGAACGCTGGTCCGAGATCCTCTCCACCCGACCCAAACCGCGGTCCATCTACAACCCCAAGAAACCCACCGACGACCCCTTGGACGAGGTGGAATATTATGTGCATTACACCGAATTCAACAAACGTCTCGATGAATGGGTAGGCGGGACGAGGTTGGTCTTGGAGAGAGAGCTGGAATGGCCAAAAACGGCAGGGGAAAAGGAGAAGGAGCGGGAAAAGGAAAAGGAACCTAAAGAGAAGAAGACGCCAGGGTCGGCCAGGAAGGACAAGGACAAGCAGGGCAATGCGAATACGGGAAGAGGGGCCAGCCCGGCTAATGGTAGCTTGCGCAAGGTCGTCGGGATGAAGAGCGTCCGGGCTCAAGGTGGACCTGCGGGGAGGAAGGGTAAAGATGCTAGAAAGGCTACAACGGGAGGCAGGACGACAACGGGGCAAAAGAGCGTCTCTGGCAAGTCGTCCAGTAGCGGTGGAGGCGCCGACAAGATGGACGTCGATGGGGACGACGAGGATGAGGACGGATCGGGGAGTAGCGATGATGATGCCGAAGGCGAGGATGACGATGATCGGGATGCCGATGGGGATGTGGACATGGACGCTGCCGCTAATGGTGGAGATGTCAAGCCCATCAACAAAAAGTTGACAGACCGAACGACACCCGGTGAAGATCTCGACGTTGCCGCCCCGTCAAACCCGCTTGCCGCGCAGACGTTGAGCAAGGATGACGAGATCCGGCGATTACGAACGTCCGGATCGATGACACAACAACATTCCGAGGTCTCTAGGGTCAAGAACTTGAAATCCATTCAGATGGGCAAACACCGCGTCGAGTCCTGGTATTTTTCACCCTACCCGATCGAATACGCTCATATCGACATTCTCTACATCTGCGAGTACTGCCTCTCGTTCTATCCATCCCCGCTCATGCTCAAGCGGCACTTGACGAAATGTCAACTCCGGCACCCACCGGGTAACGAGATCTACCGGGACGACAAGGTCAGCTTCTTCGAGATCGATGGGAGGAGACAGAGGACGTGGTGTAGGAACCTGTCGCTGTTGTCGAAATGTTTCCTCGACCACAAGACGCTCTACTACGACGTCGACCCCTTCTTGTTCTACTGCATGGTGTCTAGGGACGAGAACGGGTGTCACCTCCTGGGATATTTCTCCAAGGAGAAGGAATCCGCCGACGGGTACAACGTGGCCTGTATCCTCACGTTACCGCAACATCAGAGGAAATCGTACGGGAAGTTGCTCATCGAATTCTCATACGAGTTGAGCAAAGTCGAGAAGAAGCATGGGAGTCCAGAGAAACCGCTCAGTGACTTGGGGCTGCTGAGTTATCGAGCGTATTGGGCCGAGGTCATCGTGGGGATGTTGTTGGAGACCAAGGAGGAGATCAGTATTGAGGAGATTGCCAACAAGACGTGCATCACCCCGGCGGATGTCATGCATACGTGAGTAGAAGGTTGCGTGCAGTATGGTCGCAATGGATTTTCCCCGAAAGAACACCCCTTTGAAGCTGACATCAAACTCCGAACTCGATTATTGTCAACGCAACAGATGTCAAGCTTTGCACATGATCAAACAGTATAAGAACGGATATATAATCAACTTGACGGACGCCGTCATCAGCCAGTACGAGGCTACCAAGAAGAAGAATCGACATACCCTTCGGTCGGAAAATCTGAAGTGGAAACCGTAAGTCCCGCGCTGTCTTTTTCGGTTTGTGACAAAGCAGCGAGGCTGATAGCAACGGTTCCCTGCTTGACAGACCCGTCTTCACGAGATCCCAACTGGCCTTCGGGTTCTAGGGAACTCCGGGACCAGCAGCTATTCCGCCTTTCGGTTCCTTATCTTCGAGATCTCCCGCACCTCACTACACCTCACGATGATGACAACTTTGTATTCAATTTCGGAGCATTCTGCGGTAATCTATTGTACCTACGCCAACAAGATAAATGGCAGTTATATCTGTTGTATCGATCCCAATTGTCAGATGTCTTCGGGTCCGATCAACGAGATTGCTGATTGCTTCCGTCGCGAGGGCAAGTTGAGAGTGACCAGCAGCTTGATCTTCTCTCGAAGTCAGATAGCAGCGACGTCGTGACCACTTCCCCACTCATAACTTGACACCCGTCGTAGCCACAACATGTCATCCATAGAATACGACAAGTACCTCATCGGTGTACCGGCCACCACTGCCAACGTCGGACCTGGATTCGACGTCGCCGGGATCGCCTTGACCCTCTCCCTCAAGCTCACCGTATCCATCCCTAAACAAAAGCCAGCCGAGCACTCTCTTCCCGTCATCGAGTACACCGGGCTCGACAGCGAAAACGTTCCCTTGTCTCCTTACAAGAACCTCCTCACACGGGTCGCTCTCTACGTCCTGAGATGTAACGATATCCCGACTTTCCCCTCGGGCGTGCACATCTTGGCCAACAACCAGATCCCTTTCGGACGTGGACTGGGTTCATCAGGAGCTGCGGTCATCGCCGGTGTCCTCCTAGGTGACCTCTTGGGAAACCTCAAACTCGACAAGTCCCGATTGCTGGATTTCGCTCTGATGGTAGAGAGACACCCAGACAATGTCACCGCGGCGCTCATCGGCGGGTTCGTGGGGTCTTACCTCAAAGAACTATCTCCGGAAGAGACCAACGCTTCTCAAATCCCCCTTGCCGAGGTCTTGCCGGAGTACCCTCCTGATGCTGGGGAGAACTGGGGTCAGGATCCTCCCAAGCCGCCCAAAGGAATCGGGCATTACGTCAGGTTCGGATGGGCACCCGAGATCAAGGCGGTCGCTGTGATGCCTCAATTCGAGTTGGCCACTGCGAAGGCTCGAGGAGTTTTGCCAGAAAGCTATTCTCGGAAAGATATGGTGCGTATGGGTCTTATACAGCAATAACTGACATCGTCGCTCTATGTGAGCTCATGTCATATCATTCGCTATTGTACGGTCTTTTAGGTATTCAACCTGCAACGACTGGCAGTCCTTACCACCGCCCTCTCACGATCACCTCCCGACCCAGAACTTATCTACGAAGCCATGAAGGACAGGATTCACCAGCCTTACCGGATGGCCTTGGTGAGTCCTTGAATCAGACTGACACAAACAACCCTGAGAAAGCAACGTCGAGCTGATCACATATAAATACCATGACCCCCTACAACTGTTCTGCTCGACAGATCCCTGGTCTCCCAGAGATCCTGGCCTCGTTGACACCGCAGACGCATGACGGGCTTCTCGGGATCTGTCTGTCAGGTGCAGGGCCAACAATCTTGGCTTTGGCCACGCACGACTTTGATGTAAGTCAGCCCTGGATCTATGCTTCAGGTATTCATCAGCATACTGATCTGTTCAACCTGGATTTTGTGACATGATCGCGCGTTATCAACCTTGACAGGACATTGCCAAGAAGATCAAACAGATCTTTTCGGAACACGGGGTGGAGGTCGCTTGGGAGTTGTTGAGCATAGACGAGAGGGGAGCCTATGTGGAGAAGCTAGAGTCGTAGGGCGAGATCTCGATCTGATCAGATAAAAGAGGCATTATTTGGACACATCTGTCATGGGAACACCTGTCATCTCCCTGTCGGATTCCAACAGACATTTCGTCTAGGCCGACCTACCACTCCCGTCTCGGTGACCGCCTACTTTGAAGCTTTACGACCTTTCTTAATTTGCGAATTGACAGCGTTAGCCGATATTCATCCATTTCGAGATGGCTACTCTCGCTATCTTGAGATTCGTCAGATTATTCGTTGCTTCATCTTGGTTTCACAACTTCGCAGCCTTTGAGATTTTAAGAGACCCGGGGTGTCAATGCCTGAGAGACGTCCGGGAAACGACTTGATGTCGATTTCAAAGTCGGTGGTATCTCGAACGCGCGGTTTCGAACGGGAAATCTCAAGCGTACTACACCATTGGGAACTGTACTGCTGGAATGGCCCGCCATGGCTGTCACCCGTGCATCTTCTATCATCTATTGCCGTGAAAAGCTCATTATAGACATTACCCCAAGCCATACAACCTCGATATAGATACAAAATACTGGCCCCTCGCCGCACTTCCATGACGCCTGCTGCTCTTCGTGCTCATAGAATAGCATTGATCTTGTTCCAGATCGTTGTCGTCTTGTAGAAATCGGACTGGTCCTTGTCCAGCTTGACCTGGTCGATATCGTTCTGCGTAGCTGCGGTCGGGATGACAAGGAAGTGTGAGGATTGGTTGACGTATTCTTATTTCGAAAGATGGCGAAGGACTTACTGATGAGGATTCCTTCCGCATCGCTGTCTAGTAGACGTAGACCGAGGTCCGTGAACGCCTTAAGACGGCGGCTGAGTCAAACAGATATTAGCCTGAATCTTTCGCCAAGATCTAATTCACGATCTTCAACTCACGCCTTTGAGTTGTCCTTAACGACTTCCTTCTCGACATTCCACTCCTTCGCTTGCTTATTCTCCTCCTCGCTCTCCTTGATCGCCATCTGCTTCTTGGTCATCAAATCCTCTTGCGCCTGCTTGCGTTTTGATCCAGAGTATACGTCCTCGATAAGCTTGGCGAGCTGGTCCTCATACTCTGCTTCTGTTCCTGCTGTAGCTGGCCGTCTAGCTGCCTGTCTCGCTTCGCGAAGCGTTTCTTGAAGTGCTATTTATCTTGACACGAGTCAGGTTCCTGGGCTCAGACGGTCGTGGAACGCTCGTCGAGCCGACTTGAAGGCTTACATTCGAGTTCCTCGTTATTCCTCCGGATCTGGTATTCTCGGGTCTCCTGCGACCCTTGCAAGATAGCCTCTGCAGTGTGGACGATTTTGAGATCGTCTTCCAGGTTAATTAAAGGTTTTAGTCTGATAAAGCTCTCTCTGAGGAGATGACAAAGTGCAGCCTGTCAGACGGAGTTAAGTCTCGAACTATAGCTCAGAAAACTCACCTAAGCTCTCCAAAATCTTTCTTGGTCTTGGCCATGACCCCTTCCAACGTTGTTGGCATCAGACCGTCCTCGTTCGGCAGCCCTTCGTCATATGGGTCTGCCATAGTTGGTGACAGGCGATTTCCGACGTAATTGAGCTGTTGTCGGTTCCGTCTGTGTTGCAAGGAATGTGTCTCGGCGGACACTCCAATTCAGCAGGTAATAGAGTCCTGGATAGCTAAGTTTGAGAATGCTACAGCTGGTCGACCGATCGACCGGGTTGTATTCGATGTCGAGCTCATGTTTGTTTACAATCTCATTGACCGAAGTGCAGAAGCTTATCAAGAAACTATGACGCGATAGAATGACGTGTATATTGTCACTATTTAGCATTGTTATTGATCGCAGAGCGCCTTAGTACCATCTATGCAGCAACGCTACCTTTCCTCCATGCCTTGTACACCCACACCGCAGCCTTCTTCAGATCCAAATCTCCCCTCAGTCTGCCCGCTCCGAGGTTGACCTCCATCTTGCCTTCCCACTTGTCCCCGTAATGCAATTCTTCTACTTCAAATCCCAGCGCTTCGACCCGCTTGAAGAAGTTCTCTACCGCTGGCCGTTTGGCGTAGTGTCCGGTCGTGAAGAATGCCACACCATCTTCGGATAGCGAGCTCGTTAATGTGTGGAGGAGATTGTCATGTTCGTCGTGTAGCCAGAGGTTGTCGGCGGAGATGAACAGGTCAAACTTTCTCTCCGGCTCAGGAAGGGTCGCGCTGTAATAACATGAACAAGACTCGTCAGATATGAGTCGGCCTACTCACCAATGAGATGATGATACGTACATTAATGGGCCGACATCGGCTCCCCATAGGTAGGGCATACATTGTACCTATGGAAGAATCTCACAAGAATTAGCTCGGCTGTCTTACACCTCCAGCGCAGCCACCGTGACTCACAGGACACCTAGCCAAAGCCTGGTTCATATCCACATTCCTCTGCAAATTCCTTCACAAGAACACTTTTGTCAGTAAACTACTCAAAGGGTTCCTAAGGTTGACCTTGGCGGGCGACTCACTTAATCAACGCCTCGTCGGGATAATCCGTTGTCAAGACCCTCTCTGGTGGATTCTCCGACGTACTCGCTAGTAAAGTTGGCAGAGATGTCGATGCGCCGATCTCCAATACTGTCATGAACATGAACGAGACAACATTTCGCTGCTGTTAGCAAACTCATCTCGCCAACCAACCAACAGGGAATGAGACGCTCTGTGCTTCTTCACTCACTTCGTTTCCCAGCAAACGGTACCCTGCCTAGCTCTACCAACTCCGTCATGACCTGTGAGAGATCCAAACGATCCCAGATTTCGTCGATTCATCATCTCTCTTCCATGACAACGAGCTCCTCCATGCCATGTCGTCTTCTTGCCGACTTTGGCGATAGAAAGCGCGGACTTACGAGCCCGCTGTTGAATATCTGCGAGGCAAGCTGAGTGAAAGCTTTTCCCTCCGCCTCGGGCTACTAGATCGGTGGAAATCGTATACGAATTTCCGATATTAGCTGTAAGAAATTTACAAGCCAGTCTGCAAGGTCTCCAAGAGGGGGAAAGAGCTCACAATGACGGTCCTGACAGGTCCATAACTGATCTCAGAGACGTCCGGAAGATACCCTTGATCGCCAAATAGCGTATCACATCCATCGCCCAGAAAGACTTCATGCTCTTGATCGATCTCGTCCGGCATCGTAACTTAAGTACTGTGGTCGGCTGCCGAGCTATCAGCAATTCCAATTAGAAGGTGAATGTTCCCAGACCAGACAGGACGATCGAGGTGGTATTGCAACTCGCAACATTGCATCTTCGAACACCCTAAATTCACGTTGCTAGCTTGGTTTCCGTTCCAGACCTCTGGCTGACGCGAGCGCACACGATAGTGCCAGTGAAACCCCCCTACATGGTCCTGCATGGCAAACAGCTCCAACTCATCAAGCTGTTAAGTCTCCGAAGCTTGATCACCCTCAAGAAATTCCGTATCTACAATCCTTGGGAGCTAAACGGTTGAACCATTCGATATTGGGTCAACAAAACCATCGTATATGACGTGTACGCGAGAATAGCTCAAAGCTGCTTGTACTTGATCGTAAAGGTTACAGAGCCTACAAACACCCTGATGACGTACGCCGTAAGGTTGATATGGGTGGTAGAAGATGTCGAAGCCGGCAAATCAGCTGTGGAGACGTTATATACCAACCTTGTGTTTGACAAGTCCTCGCAATCGCTGCGATTACTCGCTGTCTGGGCGTGATTGCCGCCGGTCTTGTCCAGCATGGTATCCAGCTGCTCAATTGGGAAAACATACAGTTCAATGAAGACACCGAAGAGGGTCAGTTGGTAGGAGCCATGTATGAAACGTTGTCGCGCAGAACAATAATGCGCTATCAGGCGGAGGAGCAGAGGCAGGCCTGTTGACCCCTCAACGTTTGGGCCCGACTTTCGAGTCAGTAATGGCCTCTTTCTTTGTCGTAGCACCGACCAATCGTGATCAGGGACGCTTCCGACAGCTCCGGTACAAAGAAGAGCCACCTCGTCAAGGTATGCGCCCCCAACGACAGCAATCGCCTGACACGGGCCCAAGCGCTTGATGACAAGGCAAGCAACCTATGCCAGGCCAAGGCAGGCTTGGTAGAGGTGGTGGCAGGGGAGGTGGCCCATCTGGCCCGTCTGGCTCGGGAAGCAAGTAGGCAGGTGTGCGATAATATCAGTTTCTTATAACATTCCGATCTTGGCCCTCCTGACGCTACCCGTATCCAACCGGTTTCGATGCAGCCAGCTTGCCGGCAATCACTACGGGGCTGTCGGCTGCGGTGTTGAACTCGACACCTTCTAACTCCAGAGTCTGGGACAGGTCGAACGATACCGTTGTTCTACCATAGCCAAGAAGATGAAGAAGCCCGTCGGATCCATCGGAACGTAAGCGCAAGATCACGAAGTCGCACGGGAGATACGTAAGGCTTTGAAAATCGCAAAGGATCCCGTCGACCGCGGTGCAGTTACTCCTCTCGCTGATGGCTAGAAAGTGTACGACCAGTCGAGGAGGTGCCACCCCAGGCCGGGCCATAGGATCAGTTGCGATAGCTGTCTGGAACCGTCGCCTGAATAATCGACGGAAAGCCTCGGGACAATCTTTAATACAGCCCTCAACGTTGTAAGATAGCGAAACCGACTGAAGTGGTCCGATCCACCTCTAGCCTTCGGGATACATGTCTGCCTGCCATGTTTACACATCTTCCGATCCGTGAAGCCGGGGCCGGCTACCTCGGCAACAAACGTCAAGCCAGAAGGGGCCGAGCGCAAGAGTAAGCTTGCGAAACCATCAACTCGTAATCGTGTTACAGTCTATTTCATTTTATCTCATCTGATGTCATGTTGTTATAGTATTGGGTATAAGAAGCGTCGCGGGAGAGGGGAGTTCGTCAAGAGTCGTGGTGTCGTGCCGTGATTGCGATCCGGGCGGGGGAGAACCCGCCATAGGAATTTGTGTCGTCCAGTTGTTGAAATGTCTGTTTTGTTTTGTTTCGAAATGCTTTTCTCGCCTCATCTCTCACTGCACTCTCCTCGGGCCACGAGTGGAGTATCGTCGGAGATCGAGTGGGGTCGAGTGTTGCTTGGGTTTCCGAGTTTGGCGGAGTTCGAAGCTGCACCTCTGTTCAGCTTGTGCCCACCTCTCCAAGCTCCGCCTTCCTCTCTTCCAACATCTTCTTCACCTCATCCAGCACCCCCGTGAAGCCCATCCGGCCCTTCTCCGCGTTCTCGCCGAATCGATCTACGCTCCCACTCTCCAGCTTGTTCCCCACGCGCTTGAGAACCTTGATCATCCCGTTCGACAGAGGTTCACCATCACCTGTAGTCGGAGCATATCCCGGACAGCCGGAGGGCGGCGAGGATATATGGGCGCGTTGTGAGAAGAGGGTTTGAGTTGTGGGTGAGGTGATGGAGGGGGTGTAGGAGATCATCTCGACGACTTGCCTATAGAGTGACATGATCGATGTTTCGTCAGAGTCAAGGTTCAGTTGTTGAGACCAGCAACGATACGAAGAGGCCGGAAAGTTGAACGTACATGTACTGTGACAACGAGAGGTTGATGGAAGCCATACTTGTGATCTGGTTGATAGGATCCACGTAGATGACTTCCCGAATGAAAGCCTCTTCTACCACCCCAAGTAGCTGACGAATAGCGAACGGCAAGGATCAGCATCCCTGAAGTCCTAAACTAATCGAGAAAAGCTGATGCCTACTCGCATGATCCATTTCTGATTTCCCCGAGAAACAAGTCGATTCCGAACAAAAGGAGGATACAAATTCAGCTCAACAACCTGATCAACCCATTCCGTGCCTCCCAAATCAATGAAACTCACCGGTATAGCCTGTTTCACGCCTACCAGACGTTCCGTTCTGAGTACCCCCGTATCCACGTTTACTGATCTCGATAGGACATCGATCGAGAGGACGTGTGGAGAGTATGGGTTTGGGTATTTCAGCCAGAGGCCTATTGTTGTTGTTGACCACGAGTGACTGAGAGTCGGACGGGAGTCACGGTCAGCTGGCTTTCCTGATCGGTAGTGTAAAATCCACAACAGGCCTCCGAGCTGCTTGAACTGACTCGTATGGGAACTGTTGCTCGAATAGCCGGACCATGATGGGTCAGAGTTGCGGTTCCGCGAGCGAGGTGAATGTAAGGGCGGGCGACGGCCGGACTTGTCCTAAAGTGCGCACTGCTCGGTGATCATCGAGCGTGGCCCGTGGTCTTCTTCCCTACGTTTTGACGAGTACAAGGGCGAGTGTTTGTAAATGAGAGTTGACCTGGTGGAAAGTGAAAGATGGAGGTACAAAGGTTGATCAAGTACAAGACCGACCGTACCAAGTGCCGAGCGAGTGAATCATTGAAATTTGCTTCCGCTCAACGAGAGCAAGCTCGTCACCTTTCGCCGGCTCCGCAGCAGCTCCATCGACATCCAACCATTCTCATGTCATCCCATGTTCCTAACCCCAAACCACCCGGCCAGTTCAGAGCATCATCCATCTGCCATCTTGCTCTTACAAGTCGACGTGAAAATGGGCTGGCAGACACATATCGTAACATGTTGCACATGCTTCTTGGCAGGCAAGTTACAGACGCCGGTCTGGATCGCTAGCCTACAAGCCTACTAACCCTGCTCTCACTAAATGCTTATAGGCTCGACCTTTCACCACTGGATAGCAGACCATAACACCCTCTGGACCAACCCCACAACGGAAGAAGCCGTCTCTCGAGCAGTCCGCTATTACACCCTACTCGGATCGGTACGGTATACGCCGTTACCGTACATATGGCTCGCGATCGCTTGTATCGCCGCGGGAACGATGGCATGGAGGTCTATTAGGGGTTTGACGAGTTCGAAGGGGGAGAAATTCAACGGAGGGTATCTGTTTGATGCGGCATGCTGTCGTGAGTGCCCGTGCTGGTTGTTGGAAGGTAGCCGAGATTGACCTGATAACCGGTTGGCACTGTCATTTCCTACAGTACTCCTCGTCCGAGTAATCGTCACTCAGGCTTCCGACGTATTCCCTGGTAAGTGCTCGCTCGCCTAGTAATACTCTGGCCCCATCTTCAGATGCTCGTTCGAAGCTAACTTTCGATCGCCCTTCCAATCCCCTCTTACAGCCGTCCTCGCCCTCTCCTCTTCATCCCCATCACCCTCAACACCCAACCCATTCATACCAGGTTCAAGGGAATATCAAGCCATAGAAAATTCAGTTCGAAGGCTGGCAGGAACGAACTTGACCATCTCGGTCCTCCTCACCGGAGTCGCTTGTCTACAGGTGAGTCGTGATTTCCGTTACTCTATCGCTTCGGGTATCGCGACGACATGTATCTGACTTGTCCTTATCGTCGTACCCTTGCGATGACGAACAGGCCGGAAGGTTCTACGCAGAACGTTCAGCTGCCAAAAAACGAGCTCAATACCTCTCGACCCAACCTGAATCCTCATCCGACTCCTCATCGTCAGGAACTCTAAAACAAGCAGCCGCCGCTGTCGAGGATGCTACCACTCCTGTCCCTGAGTACAGCTCAGGATCTGTAGGGTCGGCAGGTTCGTCGGCAGGTGGGAAGAAGACGAGGAGGAGAGCACAAACGCCTTATAGGGAGATGACGGAGGAAGAGTTGTTGGAGCTGAACCAGTCGGAAAAGCCGGCAAGATGAAAATGGGGACGGAATTTTTAACACAACTCACAGGCGATCTGTAGTCTGAAAGGGAGATGGGGAGTAGAGATCATACGCGAGGAGAAGGGAATAGGGGTCTTTCTTGCTCTGGATTTTCCGTCTGATGGGTTGGTCAGGACCATGGTGATTTCGAGTGCAACGTGTACGCAACAGATAATTTAATTGATCGATCGGTCAAAAGCGATTTCCTGATTGACAAGACGCCATGATATACCACAGTCGAATGTAATTGAATTCGAATGTACGTCGAGCGACAATACACCTCACACATGCATGTACTACAAAGTGATAATCACGCTATCAATAATAAATTGATCCAATACCTCGATCACAATGGACTAAGTGTCAGGTCGTCTTCCGCCTCGTTCTCTGAATCGCAGACGCAATCGTACTCCAACTCCCCCGCCTCGCCCCTCTTCCTTCGCCTCGTCTTCCTTCTCTTCTGCCTGATGATGTTCAACCCGACCTTGTTCTGAGCGACAGGCCCACCGCCTCTAACACCAGACACCGCGGCCCGGGACTCGGCAGGCTCGAGAACGACTATTCCCGTACATCGTCCCCAAAAGGTATCTGCACTGGCGTAAGTGATTCGACGTTTCGCGCCGCTTTCTTTTCGAGAACCGCGGCCTGAACATCGTCGGCCGTGAACCCTGGGATTGACATCGCCATTGTCGAGAAAGATGGGCAGAGCTAGTTTGACGGGCGGGGCGGATTCAGCGCGGGATTCGACGGGCATGGTTTGGTTTTTGTGGGAGGTGATAATTGGCTAATACCGACTTCGGAGACGAAATGGGTGGATGAATGGATCAGGAATAAGGGTTCAAGGGAGATAACTAGAATACAGAGATGGTCGAGATGCATCGTGATCGTCGCTTCTACTTCTTCTACTTTATATACATCGAGGACGATTCGATACGCCCACCTCCTGGTTCCGGCTTGACAAAGGAGGTCATTGTCGTTTCAGTCTCGCTTTGGGGATCACCCTTTCGCGATCATCCCCGAGGTTGCAACGCGCAGCAATGATGCATCACAGCTTTTGATTCCGAACACCACATCATCTCCGCTTGTTGCCGATCACCATATCCTTGACTCCACCTCGTTGCGAGGGCGAAGGTAAAGCGTCGTCGATCATCCGCATGATCCCGATCGCCTTCTCTTCCTGGAATGGTTTGGTGACCTGTGCGAGACGGCTATCAATACGTGTACCAGAACAAAATGCAACACAGAACAAGACTGACCACTTGTATGCCGACTGGTAGGCCTTTCATCTTTTCGGCATCATAGATGCCCTGATCGTATAGCGCCTTCGAGATCATCCAGCTGCCCCGCTGCGCATCTCGATCATCTCGCCACCTGTTAAAATCGGGTCCGTCTTCCCTCTCATGAGAATCCTTGATAGGATCGACACGAGTTACTGGTACGCAAGCGACGGGATATTCTAGGACGTTGAACATGACCGTCGCTGCGCAGATCATTGATACTTTGGCAGCGGCCCCATGAGGAACAGCGGGCGATGCTTGTACGGGACTGTCATACGTCGGGATCATCAGCCATAAGGAGAGATCTGACCTGGGGTATCGCGCGACCTACCAGATAATGGCATCCAGGTTCTCTGCGTTCCACACACGACGTTTCCAAGCTTCCCTGAATTCGTCCCGCTTGACAATCCACTTGAAGTAATCCCCTGCCGATTTTCTACCCGCTGCTTTCAAGATGATGGCCATCATCCAATCCGAAAGGAAATGGGCGGCGACGAACGACAAGATCGCCCTCAGGAAACCGGGGATCCGCGCCGATAACAACGGTAGCGTCAAGGTCGGATCCACCTTGTCTTTGCCCAAGTGCGGGTTGGTGAGCCTATCGTAACCATCCGCGCTCGACATGCCCAGGAAGATCTTGATCGCTTCTACTCCGCCCAATTCGTCGGGAAGGTACAGCCTCTTCAGTTCGACCTGTTCAGCGGGATACTTTTTCTTGATCGCCTCGACGGATTCTAAAACGGCTCTGTAGCACGCCGGGGACGTCTTGACGAACCCATCCGCCAGGAAGTATCCGATCCTAAGCGGTCGCTTTCGCTTCTCGACAACGCTCAAGGGGTCAAACCAGCCGGGATCGATTGGTTGAGACATGAACCCGATCGAGTCTATCTCATCTCGAAGTTTCACCTGCCGAGCATGGTCTTCTCCTCCGGCTGAATCCATATCGCTGTGTTCCCCGTTCATCCTGAGCGTATTGGTGAAGTGGGAAAAAACGAGCTCGAGGTCCTGTGCGGTCCGCGCCATAGGGCCATATACGCTGACCACTCCCTCGAACCCTTGAGCGAACTTGACCGAGCCTTCCACAGGCCATCGCCTAGCCGTCGTCTTCAACGAGTACAATCCGCAGTAACCCGCAGGAATACGTAGACTTCCGCCGATATCCGATCCCAAGCCGATGGGGGTACCTCCGCAAGCGAGTAGAGCAGCTTCTCCTCCTGACGAGCCACCCGAGGTGTACGCAGAGTTGTAAGGATTCGTCGTCCTTCCCCACAAAGGGTTGCAGGTTTCGAAGGCGAGCATCGTCTGGGGGATGTTGGTTTTAACGAACGGCACAGCCCCTAAATGTTTTGCGACTACAGCTAGAGCTCCATCGTGCTCGATGACCGGCCTGTCTAGCCACGAGGAGAAGCCGAGGGTGACCGAACTTCCCTTGACCTTGAAATGGTCTTTCAAACTGATCGGAACACCATGAAACGGCCCGACAAGCTCTCCCGTCTTTTCAAAGTATCGGTCCAGCTCTTTGGCCCTCTCGGTCGCCTCCTCAAACAGCACTATGGTCGAAGAGCAAGACTTGTCAAGTCGGAACCGCACCACGGGACCCATTTCGCGCTGCAAACTCACCTTCGGTCAAACAGTTGGTCTGTTCATGCGCTTCCTTTGCCTTCCTAATAAAAGCGTTCAATACCTGTACGGCTGTCCACTCCTTTTCTTGGATACCGTAGACGATACCGGAGATATCGCTAGTCAAGATGTCCTTGTCCAGACTTGTATCAGTCGACTCGAGCGGGAACGCTAACGCCTTGTCCCTGGCAGCGACGTGAGCTCGAGCTCGACTCGCAAGATCAGCACGTTGTTGAAGATCGAACGGCCACCACATTTTCGTCGGTGCAAGGTTGTGTGAGATGTGTGAGCTTGCAACTGTGACGATGTCGACGCTGACCGACGTGTAGCTCTGTCCCCCGCTCGTGCTTATATACTTCTGCAGAGCGCAGAGCGATGATCGACGTTTCCCCGGCAACCGAGGAGAGGTACGATCAACCCAGGCAGACGCGGAAGCAAATTCGAATAACCGGGTTGATTTATTTCCGGCGCCGGTTACAGAGGGGTATCATGTTCATGCTGCTCTACCTTGTACAATCCGATCGCACATATGCTACAGTAGTGATTGTGTGTATGTCTCTATCCTATTATCGGGTCTTCGATCACCTCTTCCTCTACCTTGTTCTGGTTCTCCCAGTACATCTCCTTGCCCTCGAACCTCCTGCCGAGCCATTCGTTCATCACGTTCGAGATCCTCTCTTCCTGGTTTCTCCTCGCGTCGTCGTTGAAACAGACCATCGCCATCGACGGGTCCGCATCGATCTTGGCCAACACCTTGCTTGCTTGGCTAGCCTGGTTCAGGGTGACGAAATGAGACGGCGTTCTGGTGACCATCCCGGAAGATCAGTCACGTGACGTCATGCCGAGGTCGGACATCTACTTACCCTCCTGTGACGTAGAGATACCTAGACAGCATCTTCATTGCCCATTCCCTAAGATTCAAGGTGATCGATGCGCTATCACCCCGCGTCACAGCTTCCAAGCTGAAGTCCGTATCCCGCCAATTCGAGGTCAAAGGTAGATGCGCGATCTCAGAGTCTACCGTGGCGTTCTCTACCTCGACGTCCTTTGCCGGGAAGAAGGCTGAAAGGCCGCTTCTTCCTGACTGGTTGATAAGCGCATTGATCACTACGAGATGACACCTGTCTGTATCAGTCTCACTGGTCCGATCTTCTGCAACCGACCTCGCTCTACTCACAACAATCCCCACATCGCCAATCTGCAAAGGCCAAATGCTTGAACATCTCCTCGGCAGGCACGTTCCGCGTCCCGTTCACAAACGTCTCGCCCAGACACTGCTCGACCTTGAACATGCACGTCTCGGGTCCTTCCCGTTCGTACAGTTGTATAGGCGGCACATGACCGTCCATGGAAGAGAAAGAGTAGGTTGTAGCTTTAGGTGTTTCCCAATTGCCTTTCTTGAACGTAGAGTCCATGTCCTTCAGGGTATCCCGGTCTAGTTTGACGACCAGCGTCGTCCCGCTCAAGGTCTCCAGATTGAGCAAAGACTTCAACTCGGCTCTCGCCGCTTCGCCCCAAGTACCGATCTCATCCGAGGGGTCCAAATTCCCCATCTTCCCTACGGCCCAAATCCATAGCAACGCCTCTCTCCACCTCTCGATTCTCAGATGGGTCACCATGAAACCCATCTCGATATCCCCGTTTCCAACGGTAACCTCTCTGAACGGCCTGCTGGAAGCCAGGGCGATCTCTTCGCCAAACATGTGCATGGCCTCGTGAATAATAGGTTTACTCAACGTCTTCGGAAGGTGATGCAAGTAATGTCGGCTCCTGTCCGGGAACCGACGGCTGAGTAGATAGTTGGCGTGTTGTAGTCCTCCCCATTCGCCCGTGTCTGTCACCTTGGTCGGATCGAAGATTGCGGGGACGCGCAGCTGGAAAGTATCGTCAACGCGTAATACGGAACCGAAGGGAATCGAGTAGAAATCCGAGGTCGTCAAAGGGGCCAAGAGGAGCATATCATCGTTCATATGTACGCTGGATAATGACGATGTATATCAGTCATCGGCCATGGGTTTGTGAAAAGGGAAGGCGACTCACCTCAAATCGCTAACACCCTTAAGCCAACCCATTTGCCACTCAATAGCAAACGAGTTGAAAGTAGGTACGGAATCACGCTTCCATTCATCGGCGTCCTTCCATCGGATATCCGATTGCGACTCGTTGGAGGGTTTAATCCCGCCAAAGCGAGATTCGGGAAGCTGAAAAGCCTCGGAGTGGAAGTGCATCTGCAGCTCGACCTGATCCGACCTTGTGGACACGTCATCGTCGAGCAGCGGGACGAGTTTGCCCTGATCCAGCCATGACGGCACCTGACCCATCGTCCACGGCCGATCTGGAGACGGCGTAACATCGCTCGTCGCATTGTTGGCGAATCCGATTCCATCCAATTGCATGTCTGCCGTGACGAGATGAATCCGTCTGAGACCGCTTCTCCCTTCAGGCTTGGAGAACGCATCGACAACGCTCCGAATAGGATAAGGGCCCATCCCATTATCCCTCCAATGTCTCGCCAAGTTTGATACCCTCTTACTGAGCCCGTACCTCTCCGCCTGTCTGTCCCGTTCGAGCGCCCAGAGCGGGTCAGACCCGTTCACCCAGGTCATGACCACGTCCAACTCGGGTGCTGGGGGCAATGAAGGTTTGGTCCAGCCGTTGTCGATGAACCCGTACATGAACCAAGTTACAAGCTGAGTACCACTAAGACCTGTGACTGGTCTCAAGGCAGGGTATGTTTTCGGTTGTCCTGGATGCTGATCTGGGTCGACGACCATGTACAGGTTCGATGCCTCGGTCGACGTTTCCAACTCGTCGCGGCCTTCCGCGTCGGTAGTTAGAGTCAAGCCGAGCATATCAGTTACCGCCTGATGCGATTCGTCAAGGGAGGTCAAGTTGTTGAACTCTAGGATGCCATCCCGAAACACACCCGATATGAAGCTCGAAGGTGATGGCGTCCCCGGTGGATCATCGATCAACATATCCTCATCAGCGACGGAGGTACTTGTTGTACCTGCTTCCGTGAGATTCGTGTTGATGATGACCGACGATGGACCTTGATCGACATCTTGAACTGTCCTCGATGTGAGCCGAAGACATAGGATGGTGACCAGTACGACTAGCATATTCAGTAGGGCAATCCACACCCTCAATCGTCGAATAATTCCCCGCCGTTCGGATTGCAAAGGTCGATGAAACGGCACCGGACGGCTATGTGATCCGCCCTCGAGCTTACTCGACAACGAGTCGAAAGCCGAGCCACCGACATCCTGAGACGATCTCGAGACTGGGCTGGATCCATCCGGGGACGAATCGTAATATCCATCTTCCTTATCCTCCTGATCGCTCGTACGCAGTTGGGTATATCTCGAGTTGTGCCCGAACGCGGCCAAGCCGGTGGTATGTATCTTGTTCAAGAGCCGGGATATCGACATGTCCGTAGGTCATAACTTGGCTGTCCAGAGAGCCTCGGTCGTAAACTATCTCGAACGCTGTGGGCCAGGCGTTGTCGTGAGGTATAAGAGGATAACTACTGCAACCGTGTTTGTACCTGCGAAACGGTCTTGACTGAATGTCGAACCCCGCAGTTTCCCTCCAGCCTCCAGCCTCCGATGTCGTGTGACCCGGCACATTCAATGTCGCAGGCCCGGTCGAGGGTTAGGAATAGGTATGTCCATCTTGATCACCGTCTCGCAGTCGTCTCCGGAAGAAAGGGGGTGTCAGACGACCTGCGATAAGTAGACGGACAAAGGGTGGGGGAAGAAGAGGAGGAAGGAGGAGAAGATGATGGAGGCCACGCGACAAGGACACGAGGAGGAGGCTGCCGCATACACACACGCTGCCGAGGGGAAAACAAAACTACCTGCTACTCCCCCGCAGCACAGACACGAATCTCAGACTATAATCAGGTCTCGATCTGACCGGTGGCCGCTGAATCGTAGTCAACATGTTTCGGCCAGGAAACAGGTAGGAACGTGATCAGGAATAGAAATTAGATACAGTTTTATAAAGTTCAAGAAGGCTCCGCTCCTCAGGGCAGAGTCAATTATAGCGATCGGGTCGCGCCGATCTAGATCTTTTATACAACTCCAGACTCTGTATTCGTCACCGCCTCGCTCCGGCGATTCGTCCGATACAGCGTCTTCCAAGTCCGGACCCCGTTCATCGAATCGTTCTGACGTTTATTCTCAGCCTTTTCCTCCTTTTCTTCTTGGTTCCTCGCCTTGCGTTCGGCGGCCCGTTCTTCCTCTTGGGCGGCATGCAAGATGTTGGATCCTCCCGGGTGAGAGACGAGGCTCTTTCCGCGCGTCCTCCTCCTACGAACAGCCGGGGTTCGAGACAGGGCAGAACCGGCTGACGGGGAAGCCTCGACTGTGCCAGATTGTGCGGCCCCATCGTCGGTCGTCCGATCCGTTCGGGTGAGCCTGTGCAGACGATGGTTGATGCGCTCCGCAAAGCTGACATCAGGATCGTCTGCCAGGTCGTAATCGTCGTCGACAGCTGCCCCAATCTTGGAAAGATGTCTCGCCTGCATTTGATCATCAGCAGTGGCGATCATCTTTTCGATATCCACGTGTTCCTCCCAGATGTCAGTGACATCCGTTTCCGAGGTGGTTATGCAGGCACGCACTGCAGGCACGGCTTCGGTCAGCGCGATGGCATCTCCCTCAGGGGACACAATCTGGCTCACTCTCAATCGTGTCTTCCAAATCCAAGGTAGACATGGGATCCCGCGGTAGCCAAAGGAACGTCTCCAGAGGATCGTGATACCACGGTTGATGCGAGTAACTCTGCATTCGAGACGGGGCCGGCAAGTCGTCCCAGTATGGATTATAGCTGTGCTGCTTGACGACCTGTATCGGGTGTCCGGAATGGCCCTTCTTTTCCAGACGTTCGCCTTCCAGCGGGGGAGCAGGGCAGGCGGGCATTATGGGTTTCTTCTCGCTAGTCAGGTAGCGGTCGAGAGCAGTGTCCACTTTTAGGGTGAACCAGCGGTCGAGGAAACGGCAAGGCTGCGCAAGGATTCGCCACAGCTTCGACTCCTCCATGACGACGTTGTCATCATCTTGGTCGGCCACGACAACTAGGCGACGGATAGCATCGATGCCGTCGCCCTCCTCGGTACGTAGCCTGTGGACGTCAACGACATCAGTATGAAGCGCATCATTTCAAGCCGTCTGTTCTAAGTCTCACCTAGCGAATCTGGCTTTAACTATTCGGGTTAGGCCAATTTTCACAAAGGCTAAAATCGGGAGTAAAAGGCCTGATAGGGCGGCCAGGGCCTTCTGTTTTGCGAGGATCCTATCGTCGCGACATCAGCTTGGAATTGTCGGGACACACGCAATGTCCTGCTCACATGAAGGCTAGCATCGAAAACTATCGCATACGAGTCAATTTAGTAAGATAAGGGAATTGCTTCAAGGACGAAGCATACTTACGCAAGTTACTGAGATGGCAAGGTTGGTACGATCAGATTCAGCGCAAGTATCTCCAACAAGAGATGTCTGACTCACAGAGCATAACGTCCAAACTATAGCGCAAGTATCGTATGCAGTTTCTCTTGCCGTTGTTCTCGTACTGAGGATAATTTGATATCAGTATTCAGTCGCAGATCGCCTCAGTCAGGTAACAGGCAAGCTCACTCTTCTACCGTAGATGTAGAGGTAACTGCGGCGGTAAGAGACTGACGGCAGGAGCATCGAACGTTAAACCCACTTCTACCCCGCCCCTAGTGAGAAACGTACCATTGGCAGCGAAGAAGTAGACGAAACAGAATGGCAACACGAGAGGGTTGTAAAGACAGAAAAGGTTGCAGATCGATATAGCGAGGACTGCGTTGGGAAGCTGCAAGAAGCGAAAAATCAACTCTGAGGTCTGCACCCACGCTGCAGACATACAGACTCCTCACCTGGAGGAACCACGACACGGTCGAATGGGCGAGGCGGAAATCTCGAGTACGAGGGGTAAAAGCCTTGCGCATGCTGAAGAGGTAGAAGATGAGGGGCAACTACAGGTGCACAGCACACGTCAGCAGGAATCGACTGAGACACTGGGAATTTGGTGCTTACTCCGACTCTGGCTAATTCCGCCATAGATTGGATGGACGTTTGACTGTGCAGAGAATGAAGCCGCCCGAACCAGTGTTAGCTCAGTCGATGTGTCGCCTGGAGCCCACGACTCACATGAGGAAATACGATGCGTAATAGGGAGCAGCGGCCGGGAACGAGTCTGCGACGTTGTTCAAAACGTTCTGTGGTCTGAACCGGGAAGTGATGTACGACTCGACAGCTGTTCGCCCGATGCAAAAGAAGATAACGATGTTGACCTGTCTCACAAAGACCGAAGAGGTCAGTAGCTATCGCCTGTCCGCCCCAACTACCAACTAGCCGTTTGCGTACCACTTGGAAGATCCAGAAACGGTGAATGACAGCGTTGTGCACATCATACCCTGTGACCAGTGTTTCTGCCTTGTTGGCCACGACCAAGAGGAGCGGACAGATGGACAACGAGATTGACGCTACAAGAATGACGGGTATAGTGTTGGTGATGAACGAGGCCAGCCTCTGGTGATCGACTAGGTAGTCGTTGAGTGCGGGAAAGATGCTGGCTAAAGTCCCTACAGAGGCCAAACTGATGACACCAGACACGGGAAAGCTGAAAGATCCAATGCAAGCGATGTTAGCTCGCGTGTTTCAGCGTATGTGTAAGAGTGGCCCAGCTTACATCCAGGCGACTGTCGTGATGAAGATGATCACGCCGATGACCCAACCACGAACAACTGCCGCGCGATAGACGGACTTGGATAGCCGCGGCCAGATCAGGTCCGAGTAATGCGGACAAGGTCGAGTTTGACATCCGAGAGGATACAGGTCAGATGAGGGAAGCTCCGCCAGAGCTCGACGCGCCAGTGCCGCCGTCCGAAACGTGACGAAAGCCGTTGACGATGGCTGATATTCGGACAGAGGCATCTCTTTGGCTTTTTCCAGCTTCTCTGTCAGGACGGCCAGTTTGGCCGAGAGATAATCGATAAGAGGAAGGTTGTCCTTGTGTAGGCTGTCGAAACGATGGGACAGAGGTTGATACGGATCGAGATACTCCCGGGGCACTGACAGAAGTGCTTCCCAAACGGTACCTGGGGTCGGTGCAAGTGTTTCGTTCCCGGTGGTACTGCGCTGATGTGTCTGACAGCCGGGCATGAAGGGTTCCAATGCCGTCAACAAGACGTTCTTGCCGATCAGTCCATCCTCGTCGGTCGAGCGGAGCTTTTCCAGCGACTCTCGTTTCGGGCCTTTCGGAGCCGAAATGGTGTCTCGAAATTCGGATATATCTTTCATGACCCGCTGAGCCAAACGTACGTGTGCCTAACAGCCGTGATACAACAGCCAATCAGTGACGTGCCGCCTGTACGTCAGGAAAGAAACGATTCTACTCACGCTTTCCAGCTGCTTGATCACCGCATCTCGCCTCTCCCGCAGCCGTCCCAGCTCTCCCAACTTGTGCACCAGGATGACATCCTCGATGATCTTGTTCCTCGCCGAACTGAGTGTCATTCCCGTGCTTACGGCAACATCGGTCACACCCATCACAACAGAGCCCATTGCGGTTCGAGTGATGTCCATGGACGGCTTTGGGGTCCCGGCAATAGCCTGAGCCCTCCCGGCTTGCTTCTTGACGAAATGCGTGGCCGCATGCTTCCACTGTTTCGGCGGTGCAGGCTTGTGCAGGTGTTCAGAAAAGTAGTAATGCAAGTGCTTCTCATCCCGCATAGCAGGCGGGATGTTGGTGACCATGATCGTACGGTATCGTTTCCACCCAGGGGCGTCGAGACCGAGGCTCTTTGCCGTCTTTTCAGTCTCGGTCGGGGACGGTTCTCCATCGCTGACCTGGGTCTGATCGACCCGGTCATCGCGCTGAGTGTTTGGATGTAGGTGTTCGCCCATAGGCCAACCGTTAACCGAGGATTTTCGACCGGGCAAGAGCTCGCTCATCTCGCGTTCTTCCGTCTCTTCCTGGATCGCCAAGACGTTCCGGTCCCCATGCTCATTTCGAAGGGCAACGATCCGTTTTCGAATCTCTTCCTTCCGATACATCAGCACACCCCAGATGACCCAGATTAGGTTGCCTATCCAAGTTATGACTAGCCAATAAAGCTACGGAAAGGGATCAGTCTTTCAGTGACCTGCCTTCTAAGTACGACTATCTCTCAACCTCTTCAACTCACCAGAACAACATGCACCCATAACCATCTCCTTTCATTCGGGTTCTGCGCCGATCGAATCCCCGCCTTGTTCATCGATTCGCTCTCAATATCATTAGGTGCGTAAATGATATGCAAGGGCGCGAGGACGACCATGGTCGTACACAGATGCAGGAATATATACCATACTATGCGCATGGCAACAGCTTTTTAGCTCCTTGCCCGTATTGAATGTGGACCAGGTGATGAGGAACAGATGACATAAGACTTACGACACCCGCGGAGGAACCGAGAATGGGCGGTACAGTCTAGGCCTACCCGGCCGGGAAGATCCTTCTCAGGGAACATGATGACAGAGTATATCCAGATCAGAGGCCACTTGCTGCGGGAATGAAGGTAAGCATCGTCGTTATCAGCGTCTTGTGATCTGGAGATGAGATCGGGCGTCAAGAGCTTACGGTAAAGGCTCTGCGGGATTGATCGCGTTCCAGCACCTATTCTCATACAAGCTAAGAATCGATCGCCGATGTGAAACGCCCTCAGCTATGAACCCGGTGATAATGACTACCTAACCACACTCACTAGCTAAACTCCCAACTCTCTCTCGAACCGAGCAGCCTCTGTACCATCCCAGCCCTTGCCGCCCTATCGTCGGTGAACCCTTCCTTGCCCATCGCCTTGAACCCTTGCCTGAAATGCCTCTCTTGCAGTTCATGTCCTTCATTCTCCTCGTGTACGGCGATGTTGTTATGCCTCCCCGCTCTCCAGTACGCCCAGCTGAATATCCTTCTCTTTGGCTTCTTGTGTGAAGGCTCGCCTTCTAATCTAGCCCGTCGAGCTGTCCGACGGTATATCCGGTGGTTCTTAGGAATCGGGGCTCCTTGTTGTCCCCTTCTTCGAGGCACATGTCGAAGGATCTCGAACCCCAGTAGACATAGTCCTCCTAGACCTAGCGTAAGGTAGAGGGAGGAGAGGAGACCAGAGTATTTGCCGGTAAAGTTGATACCCTCGAGATCGGACATGGTATTGTACGGCCGATCGACGCCAGGCTTATTGTATTATGTAGGACCCGTAAAGGGTGTGTATATTAAAGTACGAGTAGCAGGAGGAAAAATCCGGTGGCGTGGGAAACTTGGTTTAGATCAAAGGATATCGCAAAAGTCGGTCGTCCGATCACGTAGAGCGCCGTACGTCTACCACATGTTTACGCTCGCTGAGAGAGTGTGTTTCGATCGATAAGATGAGCAAGGAAGGTAGCCGGATCGCAAAGGCGAGGGAGATATCTAATCCTATAGCATCGACAGCCTGGTGCCTATTAGCTATTGAGCTAATACTGACTGAATAGTTGTGGCGACCATCGAACAAGAACGAAGTCATTATGATCGGGACGACAAGGACAAGGATGGAGGAAAGGCCCAAACCGCGCGGGGCTCCACACAAACCGAAAGCGAAGTAAACAAAAAAAATCGCAGCCCGTAGGATCCCGTCGGGATGCCCAGAAAGTGCATCATACTTTATAATAGAGATATATAACAATCGAGAGGCAGTAGGTAGCAGTGTCCATCAAGCGCATTGTCCGTATCATGTCGTTTTGTCCGTAAAGCAGAAAGTATTGTCCATTCCCATCACCTTCCCGCAAGCTCTGTCCATTTCGCGCCACCTGAGCGCCACGGCTGGTCGTCTGAGTTCCCTCTCGTCCGGAGAGGTGGATCTTGTTGTTACCCGTGTCCGTCACCATGTAGACGTTCTTCAAGAAGGGATCTGAGGTAGTTCAACCAAATGAGCTTGATCTCTGCCCTACGAGGTCTAGACTGGGTTGCTTACCGCCGATCAGCCAGGTGCCCTTGTCATCGATCGCAGAACCGGTGATCGAGCTCAAACACCTTCCCATGGGCTGGTTGACGTCGACCGGAAGCCAAGCTGCAAAGACAGCAATTTTATTTCAGCAAACAACTACGGGATTCGTGTTGACCAGTCAATGACTGAAAGGCGTACTGATATCCCGAGGATCGATGCTGAACGCTACCGACCCGAATTGAAGGTAGATGACTTCCGTCATCGTGCAAGGAACAGTATACCCGCCTTGACCGTCACTGAATTGATACCGCAGGACAAAGAACCTTGTTCGGTTAGACTTGTCACGTGACGCGACGCGTCTCGCGAGCGAGCTATAGTAGCGAAAAGACCCAAAAGCACTTACAAACTACTCTAGTATCAGTTACTATTGTTTCCCTAGTGATTTCTATGGGAAACAATAGGTATGTATCCTTTAGATATTTTAGAGTGCTTTTGAGACTTATGAGAGTGATTTCTATGGGAAACAATAGGTTATGAGCCCAGAGGGTCTCGCTCGTCGAATCTGAACGACTCCCGACTACGACGAACGACCGCTCTCGCTTTCGCATGTCGGATATCGGCGAACAGGATATAACAGATACCTGGCTCCCTCCCGACGCACCTATCCGCTACACATACCCATTCGATCGATTCACTCTACCACACTCGTTACCGAAACCTACGGACACCTATAATCCCGATTCATCTTACGATCACCTACTCAAATCGAGCGGATACCTACACGAGCTCGCAGCCAATCATAGTGACCGCTTCTCCGCGCGTCAAAACAAACCATCTTCACGACCTCCCTCACGACAAACAAAAGCGCGCGTCGCGCTTCTCACATCTGCATCCGATATGTCCGACTCCGACGATGACAAACGCTCGACGAAGACGCCGGTCTTAAACGAGATGGCAAGCAACTATCCGGACTGGAAAGAGGGTGTAACCGACGCACTCGCTGCCAAACGTTTACTGCGACTTTGCGTCAGAGCCGAAGGAAAGGCCGATGTCAAAAAGCCGCAACCAGCCGAATCGGGGGATGAGCAGGATGCTTGGGACGACAAGGCGATGCAGGCGATGGCGATTATCAGAAGGACGTTGGGAACTCATCGGGCTATGATCCGAGGATTGGAAACCCCCTACGAAGCCCTCGAGACCCTTCATAATCACTTCTCTCAAACTACCAAATACGATATCGCCACGCTACAATCACGATGGATCAACTCCAAACCGACCGGAAACCATTTCCCCGAATACATTACTCAAATGATCGAGCTCAAACGAGCGATGAAGGACTGCGGCTGCGTACCATCTGTTATAGCGACACGCGCGTACGCCGGACTCGAGTCGTACCAACTCCGGCGGAGTTGTTCAAGGAGCATATCGTATTGTATCACTTTGTATCAGCATTGTAGTATATAGTCTTTCATCTGTTATTACATCTATATACCCTAGTCCTACGTTCTACATTACTCCCGGATATGTCCTCGCAGGTATACATCGAGCCGGTCTTCCCTGGAGCCTTCTCGACGCCTAACAGAATAACAGATCATCCGAGTTCCCCGAGTAATGACTTGAACGTAGCAACTGGAGAACCGTTGGTGCTGAGCAGCATAGGTTCTCCCTCTCGGCCGGAGGCTCATATTACGGTCACCGGCACCTTCTACCCGAATGGTACTCCGACGGAGACGGTCTTGATGATCGACTCAGGAGCGACCAGTTTGTTTATAGACACCGAATTCGTCGAGCAACACGGATTCGACCTCATTCCTTTAGAACGACCCCGACCACTCCTGGTCATTGATGGGAGAGAGATCTCTTCCGGTGCAGTTACACACCGGGTACAAGCTAGACTACGTATCGGTAGACATACCGAAACGGCGTACTTCTACGTATGTAGCCTCGGAACTTTCACAACGGTGCTCGGCCTACCATGGTTGAAGGAGCACAACCCCCGAATTGACTGGGAAATGAGCGCAGTAGCGTTCGAAGATAAGTGCGTCCAGAACGGATGTACACCAGCAAAAGAAATAGTATACTCCCCCGTGGATTACGAAACGGAGGAGAAGGAGTTACGTTCAACGGACCGAATCAAAGGAGGGGTCACCGAAGAACTAGTAGTGGCCTACCTCAAGGCCAATGATGAAGAAGAAGAGAGGGTGAGGCGTCCCGACTTATGGGATTGGGACGACAAGCCAGCGGAGAGTTTCCCGGGAGACCTGGACCCTCCCGAATATATGGAGACGTTACGGAAGGTGGTACCGGAGAAGTACCACGCTTTCCTCGGAGCGTTCTCCAAGACCAAGGCCGACGAATTGCCGGCACATAGAGACTTCGATCACTCGATCGACGTAGAGGAAGGGAAAGTACCCCCCTTCGGAAAACTCTACAACCACTCCGAAAAGGAGAGCGCCGAATTGAAGCGCTGGATCAAGGAGAATCTTGATAAAGGTTTTATCAGGGCTTCGACGTCACCCGCCGCAAGTCCCGTATTGTTTGTCCCGAAGAAGGGAGGAGAGCTCAGGCTCTGTATTGATTACCGGCGTTTGAACGCCATTACCACAAAGGATCGGACCCCGTTACCGCTGATTTCCGAGACGCTCGATAAGTTAACGACAGCGAAGGTTTATACCAAGTTGGACCTCCGAGGAGCGTACAACTTGTTACGAGTAAAGGAAGGGGACGAATGGAAGACAGCTTTCCGTACTAGATACGGACTGTTCGAGTGTCTGGTGATGCCGTTCGGATTGACGAACGCTCCGGCGACGTTCCAAAGGTGGATGAACCATGTGTTCAGGGACCTTCTGGACGAGTCCGTCGTAGTGTACCTGGACGACATCCTCGTGTTCTCTCCCGACGAGACTGCGCACGAGAGACACGTGAAGGAGGTGTTGCGAAGGCTACAAGAAAATGGGCTGTACGCCAAAGCAGAGAAGTGTGAGTTCCACACAACAGACACGGAGTTCCTTGGATACGACGTGTCTCCGGGAGGGGTGAAGATGAACCCCTCCAAGGTGTCGTCCATAGAACAATGGGCGGCGCCTCGAAACCTGAAGGGACTACAGTCGTTCCTGGGTTTCGCCAACTACTATCGGAGGTTCATCACGAACTACTCCCAGAAGATACAGGGGATGACGAAGCTCCTGAAGAAAGGAGTGCGGTTTCAATGGAACGAATCCGCAGAGACTGCGTTCGTAACGCTGAAGAAGGCATTCACGCAGGCGCCTATACTGGCGCATTTCCAGGAAGATGCAGAGGTAACGTTGGAAACGGATGCCTCGGCCGGAGCGATTGGAGCAGTGATGTCGCAGAGAGGTCCGGACGGAAAACTCCGACCAGTAGCGTTCATGTCGAAGTCGTTGACTCCCGCAGAGCGGAACTACGACGTCCACGACAGAGAGATGCTGGCCATCGTCTACGCCTGCAAGATATGGCGACACTACCTGGAGGGACCTCACCCTATTCGGATCTTTACCGATCACAAGAACCTCGAGTACTTCCGAACGGAGAAGCTACTGTCGAGGCGACAAGCAAGATGGTCTCAGCTGTTGAACAGTCTGAGCTACACCCTGGAGTACAAGCCGGGGGTGATGAACGGCAAGGCCGACGCCTTGAGTCGGAAGGAGGAGCTCCTAGAAGAGAGCGAACCAAGACAGACCGAGACGATGCTACGGCCCATGAATTTCTCGGCTACAGCGCGGGAGATTCCTCCGCAGCTACAGATCAACGGTACCCTGCCAATTCCCGGCGAGGACCTCCGGAGAGACCTGTTGCAAGGTTACGAGGCGGACGAAGTAGTCAAGGCCATCTTGGAGAAGATGGAGAGGGAGCCCAACGAGCAGGGTCCCTACAAGAAGGATGGCGAGGGGTTCCTAATCTACAAGGGACTCCTGTACGTCCCTGATGTGGAGTCGGTAAGGGTCCGACTGATGAAGTACGTGCACGACGGCAAGCTCGCGGGGCACTACGGGCGAGACAAAACGGAGGACCTCCTCTCGAGAGACTTTTATTGGCCCCGAATGAGAGACTGGGTAGGCAACTACGTGGCCTCGTGCTTGACGTGCCAGAAGAACCGCCGTCCCCGACAAAAGCCGATCGGAGAATTGGCCCCTTTACCTGCGGCGAGGAAGCCGTGGTCGTCTATCACTTGGGACCACATCACGGACCTCCCCGAGTCATTGGGCCAGGATGCAATCCTGGTAATCGTCGACCGCTTCAGTAAGCGGGCACACTTCATCCCGTGTCGAAAGGATAACAACGCCTCGTACCTGGCGAAGTTATTCTTCTCCCATTACGTCAAGTTGCACGGGTTCCCTGATCAGATTATCTCGGACAGAGGAACATTGTTCATGTCTAGCTTCTGGCGGGATGTATGTGCTTTTGCGGGTGTCGAGAGGAGATTCTCGACGGCATACCACCCGGAGACTGACGGACAAACGGAGAGAAGCAACTCGACGTTGGAACAGTACCTGCGGAGTTACGTGAACTTCCAGCAAGACGACTGGGCGGAGTTGTTGCCTCTGGCGGAGTTCGCCTACAACAACTCCAAGCATTCCGCCATAGGGATGTCGCCTTTCATGGCCTCCGAGGGGACTGACCACAAGTTCACCATCCGGATGGCCGAAGTACCCAATGAAAGCGCGGATGAGTTCAGGGAGCGACTCTCGAACATCCACGAATCAGTAATCGGGGCGTTGGAGCAAGCAAGGGTGGATATGGCGAAATACGCCAACAGAAAGAGGCGACCCGTTCCCGACGAGGGAATGGAGGTCGGGGATCAAGTGATGTTGTCTACGGACCACATCAAGACGGTTCGTCCCAACAAGAAGTTGGACTACAAGACCCTCGGACCTTTCAAGATCACCGAGGTCGTGGGAGATGCGAAGATGGCGCGAAGGTTGGAGCTTCCCGAGCAACTGCGGTGGGTACACCCCGTGTTCCATGTCTCGATGCTGATTCCGTACAAGCGGAACGAGCTACCCTCGCGGGAACAGGTCCCGCCTCCTCCTCCAGAGGTGGTGGATAACGGTGATACCCAGTGGGTAGTATCTGAGATCGTAGACTCGCGGAGCAGGAAGCGGGGACGTCAGACGCGTACCCAATATCTGGTGCGGTGGGAAGGTTACGAGGATGAGTATAACGAGTGGGTACATCCGGAGGACTTCCACCATGACGACCAAGCGGTGCTGGATTATCATCGACGATACCCAAACAAGCCGAAACCTGCTTTCGAGGAGTACGGCGATGCCTAGGGCGTTCGGAGCTCGCCCGTAACGGGGGGATCCTGTTATAGCGACACGCGCGTACGCCGGACTCGAGTCGTACCAACTCCGGCGGAGTTGTTCAAGGAGCATATCGTATTGTATCACTTTGTATCAGCATTGTAGTATATAGTCTTTCATCTGTTATTACATCTATATACCCTAGTCCTACGTTCTACATTACTCCCGGATATGTCCTCGCAGGTATACATCGAGCCGGTCTTCCCTGGAGCCTTCTCGACGCCTAACACCATCTATCGAACCTACCGAAAATCAAATGGTGGTTCTTATGCACGCTCGCCTCCGAGAATACCCGACCGATCACCCATACCACCGCGCATTCAACCAGATCGATTTCAAATACAACGACAACCCAGGCGCCGTCGACCTCGACTACTTCCGACGATTCGTGATGAAAGCCCAGCATGAGGTGAATAACTCGAACATCGTTGAGGAGGAGGAGGAGAAGGCGTTTATGACCCAAGCTCAAAAACGTGGCCTCAACTACGCGAGCAAGAAGAAGAATCCCGGGCAGAGCCACGGTACAGTTACGAACTCTTTTACGACTACCCTCAGCAAAAACTTATCATCTCTCTCTATCGATCGTACCCGCGACCAACTTTACTGTCGTTTCGAACGCATCCCCGGCCATAGGACGGAAGATTGCAAGCATCCAAAGTTCGATATTAAAGTATGGGAAGCAAACAAAGCGAAGCGAAGGGAGAGGGAGAAAGCCATGATTGCGGAACCCGATCTCGGGAAGGGGGATAACGATGGACATGATAGATACGGAGGCCGGGCCGGAGATCGCAGCGGTTCCCGAAGCCCGACTTACCAGCAGAGTGCGCATGTAGCTAGCGTTTCGGATGACGTGATGACCAGCGAATTGGACCTTTACATATCGAGTCCACGAACGGGCGTGGGCAAATCGGACTCCAATCATCACGCCGCACTCATTGCCGACATTAAGAGCTACGAAACCTGCGCTGATTCCGGATGCACGAGGTGCATGTTTAACGATCAGACCATTTTCGAGAACTCCCCGAACTTCAAACCGTGCAACATAGCGGTACGTGTAGGTGACAACCGGGTCATCTGGGCAAAAGGTGTCGGGGATATCACGCTACAGACGAAGCTCGATGGAACTTGGCAACCTTACACCATTGTCCTACGAGGTTGTTTGTATGTTCCGGAACTGCACACCAACCTTATCTCGATATCGCATTTGGGAAAAGAAGGATTTACTACGGACTTCGACGCGAAAGGGGTAAAGGTCTTTCAGAACGGCAAAATGGTCATCACTGGATCGATCAAGAACAATCTATACTTGTTCGATCTGCGGCCGTTAGACCCTCATCACGCGAACATCGTATTGGATGCCACAATCTTACACAAACGATTCGGGCACTACCCCATGCGGAAGATGTCCAAACTACGGGACGTAGTCAACGGCCTCGACATTCCGCCATCTATGAAACTACCAACATGCGAAGCATGCGTTCAAGGGAAGGCTACGCGGTCTTCTTTCCCACTGCGACCTTTTCAACAACGAGAAATCCTAGAACTATTGTCCGTAGACCTCGCTGGCCCGTCGAAAGAAGAAAGTATCAACGGAGGGAGATACTTCATGGTAATAAAAGATCATGGCTCCGATCTCTATACCGTATTCATCTTACAGAAGAAGAGCGACGCGTTTGAGAACTTCAAACGGTTCGTTATCGAAAGCGAAACCCAAACCGGCAAGAGATGTCGCAACTTTCGATCCGACAACGGAGGCGAGTTCTTAGGCAGTAAATGGACTGACTTTCTCCAAGAGAAGGGTATTATCCATCAAACGACGACACCTTACACCCCGGAACAAAACGGTAGCGCTGAACGTGCTGTAAGAACAATCAAAGAGGGTGCTCGAACAGCGCTGTTACAATCCGGTTTATCCAGTCGATATTGGAGCGTCGCGGTGGAACATTTTGTCTATACACGCAACCGTACTCTCGTTAACGGGTCCACTACCACACCCTACGAACGGTTCTATCAGAAAAGGCCGGAGGTCGGGCACCTTCGTACTTTCGGGTGTGTCGCCTATGTACATATCCCGAAGGAGAAGCGAGTGTCAACCTGGGAACCTAAGGCTCGAAAGGCCGTATTCGTGGGCTATGGCGAGGACAAGGAACATAAGCGGGCGTGGATACTCTATGATCCTTACCATCGGAAGAAGATTATATCATGCCACGTAGTCTTCTGGGAAAACGAATTTTGGGCAAAGGGTAAACAGGGAACTGGAGAAACACTTCTTAACGAGGTCGACCGAGAATCCGGAGACAGGGAAGTATTTCTCGATGATGTCAGCTCAGACATCGAAGACACTCCCGATGATATTGATCCACCAAGACCACCACCTATACCCGCGCCGGAGCAGCCTCTTCCGGATAATGAGATTCCACCTCCGATCAATCAAGATGGTATCAGGAATCCGGAGGAAATCGTGCCCGAAGAGCGACGAGCACCGGCCGTACCACCAGCGATACCTCAGCCAGAATTAAGGGAAGCGAGACCGGTACGGGAAAAACGTAGACCTGTCAGGTACGGAGACTATGTGCAACTGGTGCAACACGAAGATCGATTGGATACACATATAGAAAGCGCTTTTCTGTCAAACGCGGAACAAGATCATCGGCAACCCCGATTCGACGAAGCGAAGCTAGAAGAGCTTAGATCTATGGCGGAGAACGAGGTATGGGAACTCGTTCCACCACAGAAGGGAAGGAAAGCTATCGGGTGCCGTTGGGTATGCACGGATAAACAACTGGTCGAAGGCACGAAGCCGAAAGCACGACTAGTCGCACAAGGTTTTTCCCAAATACCCGGAGTGGATTACAACGAGATCTTCTCCCCGGTTATACGCCTAGAATCGGTCCGTTTTATCGTCGCATTGGCCGCGATGTATGATCTCGAAATGATACAGGCCGACGTCAAAACAGCGTTCTTATACGGCGTACTAGAGGAGGACCAGGTATTTATGAAACAGCCACCGGGACATGAGGACAATACGCACCCGGACTGGTGGTGTTGCCTGAGAAAGGCAATCTACGGACTCCACCAATCGCCACGAGCCTTCTATCGACACATCAAAGGGGTCTTGAAAGGAATCGGACTGAAAGCACTGTTTTCTGACTACTCCGTATTCTCGTCAAAAGACCACAACGGAGTGATCACGATTTTGGGCCTCTACGTCGACGACGCCATACTCGTGTGCTCCTGCAAGAAACGCCTAGCCGAGGTACGATCCTACCTCTCCACACAATTCAAAATGACGTGGACCGAGGAACCGAAGATGCTTCTTGGTATCGAAATCGATCGCAACCGTACGGAAGGCACAATCAAGATATCTCAACGCAGACTCGTGGAAGACATCCTGCAACAATTCCAAATGTCTATGTGTGCGCCGGCTCGTACCCCCATGACAAACATCTACGAAGCGTATGAAAAAGATAAACGTCCGACTCCACAAACACAATACCCGTTTCTATCGTTTATCGGAAAAGCGAACTATCTCGCGAGAGGTACTCGACCCGACCTATCGTTCGCGATAAGCCATCTTGCAAGCTTCTGCGCTACCTATCAAGACATCCACTGGGAAGCGTGTAAGCACGTAATGCGATACCTCCGTGGAACTACCTCGTCTCACATCACCTATAAGAGAGGAGAACAACCCATCCGCGGCTACAGCGATGCCGATTGGGCGAACGATGCCGGAGACCGTCGTTCCATCGGCGGCTTTATCTATACGATGGCTAGCGGACCTATCTGCTGGGCGGCTAAGAAGCAAGCAGTCGTTTCCCGCTCCTCGACCGAAGCCGAGTACATCGCTCTCGGGAGCGCCAGCAAAGAAGCCCTTTGGCTAATCTCCCTCGCTAAAGAAGCCGGAGTCGAATCGGTCACTCCACTACCGATGGTGATTTACGAAGACAATCAGTCTAGCATCAAACTAGCTCGTAATCCGGTGAATCACAACCGTACCAAACACATTGACGTTACGCACCACGCGATCAGGGAAGCTATCGAGAACGGAACCCTAGAACTCGAGTACATCCCTACCAAAGACATGCTGGCCGACTGCATGACCAAGCCACTCAACGGGATTCAAATTCGCTACCTCTCGGACCTCATGGGTCTCTCGATATCTTAGGCTCGCCGGAGTCGACATCTTTCGAGTTCGCCGAAATCGTCATCAACATATTCGAAGAGACGTCGAAGGGAAGTGTCACGTGACGCGACGCGTCTCGCGAGCGAGCTATAGTAGCGAAAAGACCCAAAAGCACTTACAAACTACTCTAGTATCAGTTACTATTGTTTCCCTAGTGATTTCTATGGGAAACAATAGGTATGTATCCTTTAGATATTTTAGAGTGCTTTTGAGACTTATGAGAGTGATTTCTATGGGAAACAATAAGACTTGCGCAAGAAAGACAACTTCGGGACCGTCACTTACGGAGCGGCACCTTCGATAAGCAGGTGGATGGCATCGGCATCAGCGGGAGGAAGGTACATCAAGGTAGTTCCTGCAGCGCGTCCCACGATTAGCTAAAACCTGGTATAATACTCAATCAGTCGTTGCTCACCAGTATCTAAGATCACCACTCGGCCTTCCTGAACGGCTACGTCCCCATCGACCATGACGGCTCCCATTCGGGTGTTCCAGAATCCGCTCTTGTCCGCTACATCCAGAATCTGGGTTGTCGCCGCGTTCATTTTACCAGCATCGTAGCCACCGATAGTGAGTTGACCAGTATTCTCCCCGTCGGCTGAGGGGATTCTCGATATCAGTGAAGACACAATGAGGCTGTAAGGACGGCTTAACGTACCGACCCGGCCTAGCGCGTAGGCGACAACAGCGTTGGGAATGACACCGGTATCCATCAGACGCTCTGGCAGATTCCTGACACCCTGAGCGGTGAGGACCTGGTATACACGAGAGAGTAGTAGTATCACTAGTGAATTAGTGATCGATCCTTCCACATTCGACAAATGTATGATCAAGACTCACGCCTTGAGCGGTCCCGAGAATCCCGACAAAAGGCGTCGCAGGGTTTGCAAACTGGTCGTCCACCTAAAATATCCAACCAATACAGTCGTTGAAATCAATCAATATCAAGACACTTTCCTCCGCTTTTGTATCGCAAGAAAGAATGGAAACTTACCGTGTGAGCCGACCCGAAATCGAACTGGTCGACAAACATCCCGGCGATCCCGAACTTGTCGGTCGCGCTTGTCATTGCAGCGTAGCCGAGACCATAGGTGATGTCAAAGTTCTTGGTTCCGAGTTCTGGACATAAAGAAAAGGAGGTGTGCAATTCGTGATCAGCTTGGGTCCTTCAAATGGGCTTTTGAGGTGAGAACAGGAGGGTGCCTGGGCTACAGGACTCACTAAATGTAGAGCTGTCGTCAGAGGACAAGGTAACCCGGCAATTCTTGCAATCCCTACGAGCGAAACCACATGATGATCAGAGACATGAGAACCTCAAGCTCCACTCCGGAAGGCTGAACTTACTTGTTCCCGATCCAAGTATCAGCCCTCAAGTCGAACACCCACATCAGCTCAGCTTACACCGCCGCGTTGCAACAAGAACCGAACAACACCCGCTACTCACGATCCCGTATCGATCAACATCGGATACTTCTTGCCCGCACTCCCCACCTCGATCTCGGCGATATACCCCGTATCTACACTGAAAATGCTGTAATCCACGCTCTGAGCTGCAAGGCTACCGGAAGAATGGGTGACGACGTCTTGGTCGTCGGCGCGTTGAGATTGAGTTTTGAGAACGGCGAGAGAGTTGAGAGAATAGCCGGATGCAGTATTTCCTTTGGCTGTACGAGTATAGTAAACTGTTACTAAGGGTGCCTGAACGATGAGATGATGTACAGGAACGAGAAAGAAGCTTACGGTGCACAATGGTCTTCACCCCAGCTGGCCAAGCATCAAAGCCCACCGACTCATTACCCGCGGCCGCCTTTAGCCCCGCTTCCGCTACATTCGTAGTGTTTCCTGCCTCCTCGCCCACGACTGCGGCTTTCAACACTCCCGAGCTCGATCCTGAACCCGAGCTAGGTTTGACCTTGTGCGCAGCCTTCTGTTCTTCCGTCCATTCCAGGACTTTCGCGGATCCTTGTTTATATTCTTCCCTCAGGTGGTCGAGTAGAGGGTTGACATAGGCTCTTTTTGCGACCTCTACTTCGTTTTCGTTTGCGTTCGAGGGGGAGTGATGAGGATGGGAGGGTGAATGGGGAAGAAATCCGGGAGTATGGAAGGGGTTGTACCGCTTCAAAGGGGGGTTCTGGCGCTGTTCATCGACGGAGCGGGTCGTGCCCTGGTTGGATCGAATCGCACCAAGAAAAAAAGAATGAAACTGACAATCAGCTAATCACACGACCTGGGGATTGACCCACTCCGACTCACGTTAGTCCGCCTTCGAACAAAAGGAACGCTCTTCAGAACCAAGTTGACACCCTTTCCTTCCAGCTCTGTAGCGGAAACCTTTGCAAGGATATCCGGTCCTGAGTCCGAGCCCTGGGAGATGGAAACGGCGTTGGTGGTCGATGTAAGGAGGAGGGAGAGGGAAAGGAGGGTCAGGAGGAAGAGATTGGTCGGGCGAGGGGACATAATGGTATCTGTTGTGGGGAGGTAAGGCGTTTTGTGGTTGTGAAATCACTCGGTCCAGCCGTTGAAATGAAATGCTGCGACCAGAGGGAAGTAGAGGTATGAAGGTGATTGCGGTTGTGGTTGATGATCCGTGTAGATGAAAGGGCAGAAGGTATACGAAGATGTTGTGAAGGAAAGGTGGACCAAGACGAACGGTGAAGAGTGGAAAGGTATAAGATGAATGAAAAGACGGGCGAGTTGTGGAGTCGATATCGATCTGGACCGAACGGGGAATGTCGCGGTCGCGGGGAGGTCGAGTGACTTTAAATCGAACTGGACCAGGATCGAGAGGGAGATGGCTGACCGCGTCGCTGCGTCGCTGATGGTAGATGTTTGATCGTCTCCCATCGACCCCCCGGCGTCATCAATCAGTACGGTTCAGCTTCTCCTCTTTCCTTCTCCTACCTTTCGATCTCTTGAAACTTCACCATCATTTCATCAACACGGCACGGCGAGAGGGACGACGGACAACAAAACGATGGCGACAAGGGGTCAAGCTGAAACTCGAAACACAGACCCTCCCGCGCGCGCGCGAGCTGCCTAGAAGTCGCGTGGCAGAGAAAGTCCTTTTTCTTTTTCACTTGTTCCATGATCCACTCGACAATCAATCGCGCAAGCGATGGCGCCCGGCAACGTGGGAACGCCACTTTCCCTTTGTTCGAGTTGAAACTTCACATCATGGTTCCCTGTTGGAGCGAACCCGCAGGCTGCGGCATAAGGTGACTGGGCCAATAGCGCGCAGTCTCTAAGGGAGGCTACATGATGCAACCTAAGTGACCTCGATCGGGCAGCCTATCAGTCGGTCGTCCTGGATCCCAGAAGAAACATCGTTCTGGGAGTCGTAGAAATCGTGAAGTGATCGTGAAGGATGTTCTTCACCTGCCTTTACTATGAACTTGGGGCGGGTGTAGCGCTGCTAGTTCGTATATAGGGTTGATTGTGACCCTATATTCTGGCGTACAGAATTCACACGCTATTTGAGATTGAAAGCTAACGATATAGGTACAACTGGTTCAACACCCTACGACGCAGCAAGAGGTGCAGGAGGAAAAGATCAGGAATTGCCAATCGAGGCGGTTGACCCGACGGACTCGAGGTTCGAGGTCTCTGTACCGGGGCGATTCAAGTCGCTATCAACGGATGAGGTGGACTCGCGACGCAGACGTTTCTCGTCTGCACCGCGTGCAGGGTCGGTGAGCTGCCTCTTGAGAGATGGCCTTCCAATACTGCGATTCTCGCTTGGTATCTCTCCACTCCCAGCGGTATAATGAGAGTATCGATCGGAAAGATCGGACTCTCCATCCGATGATTGAGCTTCAGCGCTTTCATTCCCGCCAGCGTATACGGTGGGGTACGGTAGTCTGATCGTCCAGACCCCTGTCATGATAAGGAGCCCGACAATCGCTTTTCCCCTGGCCATCTTGACTTCCCTTTTCAATTGTACGAGATACACTCCCGCAAACAAGCCGTGCTCCAAGTCAAAGAATTCCCTCACCCTCTGGCCGTTGCCGTACACGTTCGACGCCAACAGAGACTTGCGCTTCTCGTTAGCATCGAAAACAATGGGCAAGAGTTCCTTTTCACTTTTCACAGCTTCTTTCACTTGGTGATAGAAGCCGCTGAGTTGTTTGAGGATCTCATCCTCCCCACCCAAGATGGGCTGGACGAATTTGCCATTCGGCGCCATGGCGTAATTTAGGAAGGACGCTTCTGTTGACGAGAAGCCCATCGGGAGTCTCTGCGTCCTTCTGGAACATCTCGAAATCCGCCTCTTCGTCGAGGGGCCGTGTGTCTACGTTACTGTGTTCGGTGGGCATCTTGTCAGTGGTGGATTTTGATTTATATTTGTTGTTTGACCGGGTGGCAAGGTTGTAGTCGACTTGGGTTGATTTGAGACGCAAGTAGAATGCTTCTCACAAGCGGAAAGGTAATGAGTCGACTTTTCTCCCTCGCCGAGTATATGTAGTCGCTACTGAAGCATGCGATGGCGTGGTAGCTGTGGGGGCGAGTTAGGGGTACAAGACAAAGGATGGCTGTTTCAAGCAGAACCTCACAAGATTGGTCATGCCACGGCCGGGCAGAATCTGCAGAGAGCGAGAAAGAACGCCCTTTTATGTAGATTTCCAGTATTTCGTACGACCATGTAAGACGGTATGAGCACGGCATCATGTGAGCAGATGGGCAGATGATCGAGAAGGCCGGCTTGCCAAACCACTGCACCGCGCGCCTATCTTCGATGGAGTTGCGGATCTCCTGACCAGCTGCATGATAGCGACGCGCCATTTGTTCGTCTATATCTTGGTGAATAGGCTTGGGTATCGTTGAGTCTTCCTGCTCATATTCAGCAGGCAAATACTCTCACCCTCTCGAGAGTGATGGGTTGTAGCCCCCGATCGCTGAAATCAGCCGAAGCTGATGAGCGCATCGAGCTGGTTTCGGGAAACGATAGAGACGAGTCGATCTCTATTCCATACCAGCGCACTGGCCGCGATATTCTACAAGTCTGACCACAAACGAGTCATGGTACAAAGCGGATCGACACGCGTGATCCAGATGTATTACCAACAATATAACTAGTACACATTCACGGGGAGGGCGATTTGAATTTGAGGGAGAGATTCAAACTGTTGGCAGCGTCGGTAAGACTGGGAGGAGCTGCAAGATCAGAGGAAGTTGACGAAGAGATCGATGTCGATAACATCGGTTTCTTCGACTCTGGATCCTCTGTGTCAATGGAATTGGCTTCGAAACGCCTCCTCTTGAGGGTTCCGTGCAGCGAGCTACCATCGGGCAGAGTCACAGGCGGTGTAGTTGGCTCCTCCTTGATGATCGACGAGCCAGTCTTGTCATCGTACTTCGTCTCCTCTGTCTGCTCGATGGGAGGCTCGAGCCGATCATGATAAGGAGCATTGATGATCAGTTCCATACGGAAGAGTGGGTCCTCGTCGGATTTTCTTCTGATAGACCGACCCAGACAGAAGTGGATCTCCATTTTGTACTTGTTCCAACCTAGACTGAGTCTATCGGTTGCCCAGAATGATTTGTACTTCGAGGCAAAAGACAGGGTCTCTTCTGTCTGTGATCGCAAGGCCTTTTCCAGCCCGTCAATCCTCTCCTGAAGCGTCAACGGACCTTCTTGCTTGAGAGATTCCATCGTTTTGTCATAAAGTTCCCAGAGCCTAGTGATAGGGCCTTCGCCACCCATCAGATCTTCCATGGTCCCGGTGTCTTTGAAAATCGCGGGCGATCTGCGTTTGGGTTTGGAAAAGTCGTAGACTACTCGGAACATGTAGAGCTCGCCTCTGTTGCTAATTTTTTTAGCTTCATAGCCGTCGACTTTGCGGAACAACTCCATGTGTGTTGCGTTCAGTAAGGGGTTATGAAACTTCTGGAGGCGATTGGTGGATGGTACGTGAGTTTGTGCAGATAGGGTATCTGAAAGGGCAAGGTCATGGAAGAAGATCCCCCATCCTGCTCAACCATTATAGTATCCGTTCCAGCTTCTTGCGAGCAGAGCTATCGCATTTATAGGGGCTCCGCGACAAAGGAGATATGCTTCATGGGAAACACGTCACCATTGATCATGTGACCAATGCATACGATACAAGAGAGAAAGGAAAGGGTCTTGACGAGCATACCGCGTGAGAAAGCGTATCCTCACGACTCGACACAAGAAGCAAGGCGGTAGTCCATATGTTCAATGCAACATGTTAAGAGAAAAAGAAAGAGACTCGGATCGCCATGTTTTCCCTCCGTGCCGACCTGTTATCGCTTCGTTCTGTTCTCGTTGACAGTTCGTTGTCAGTCCGATAGGCAACGGCGGGGTGACCAGACTCAAATACGCACTCAGCTTGAGATCTGAAACGTACCACAACCCCCTTTGACCGGAAGCTGATGAATGACGTAATGACATCGTCGGGACTATTTCGGTGATTCCCGAAGGAGCGAGCTGCGAGCATCGACCTTTGTCTACAACAAACAACCTTGGCATCGGAAACGACATCGACACCGCATCTGATACAGAAGTAGATCCTGATTCCATACTTGGGAAACCCTGAACGAATCGACGAGATATGCCTTCCGCTCAGATGTATCACCAGGTCCACCTGGCCTTGCTCGGTCTGATCATCCTCTTCTCCTTGCTTGGATGGACGATCTCGGCAGGTTTCGTCAACAAGAACTGTGAGTCCATCTTGGTTCAGGATTCCTATCCTACTGTCAGCTCGGTTTACGTGAGAGAGGCCTCCCCAACCGTAAGGCTGAGTCCATCCGTATCGCAGACTATATTCATCGAACGGCAGAGGGTCTCGAGGTAGCTGCAAACCTTCTGATATTCCTCGCCGCGTTAGCGTTGTGAGTTCCGATTGAGCTCGAGGCCGCACAGAATTTGAAGGCTCTTCCAAGATTCGTCTGATAAACATCTGCTGATCTCTACTGTTTCCTCTCGTCTTGCTTGTCCCTGTGAATGCCTCGCCGTCTCGCAGCCTCGTATTCTCCTTCACGAACATCGGACGTCCAGGATCTGCCATCAAATCGGTATGGGTTGAGCTGCTAGTTTTGGGTTTGCTCTGGATCGTGGTTGTTAGTGAGTACGCCCGGAATGCTATGTCTGTAACCTCGACCAATACTTCAGATTGCTCGAGCTGGACAGAAGGCTTGAGGTCACGTCATGGATATCTCCCTTTATCCCGAGCGGAAACTGACATACTCCTCTCTTCTCTCGTACGACAGGTGCGGCAGGAACACTATCGGACGACCTGGATCAGACCGATTGCGGAGACGGCTTCGCAAATTGCGAGTACGTCCCCCTGCAGCCATACCACTTTCTTGCTTTTTGGCTGGGGACTCCGCTTGCCTCTCGATGCGGTCCCCCAGGAATCGCATAAGATGAAGCTGATATACTGCTGTCGGATTTCCTGGCCTTATGGGAACAGCCTGGGGAGAGCTGCAGCGGCGTTTACCTGGTTGACGTGGATCGCTGTAAGTATCATGATGTCTGAACCTGATATCTCGACCGGCTTTCATTCCGCTCTTCCGGGTCGAAAGCTTAACAATCAACGTCCTTTCTCCCAACTGCATGACCGTGCTATCCTCCACTTTCTCGTTATTCCCGACATGCTGGACTCGCTGGACTCGAAACCGCAGGCGACCCTTCTTTGGGGCTGGTTGCTCACCTGGGCGATCGCAAACAGGTCGGCTCCGATGCAGTCCCATACAATCTGGAACGAGAACACTCGGGATCATGCTTGAACGCCATGGTCGGGCTTGAAAAGGCCAAGATGCAACAGGGAACACGAATTAGGTTAAAAGCGTATCAGGCGTACCTGTACCTAAGAGGCTAGAATCCTGACGACGGCCAATGCCTCGCGATATGCAGCTGTACTCGATCTTACAGGAAGTCGTTGAACATGGTATAAGTCGGCATAGGGACGTTCAGCATGTCAGCAAGACGAAAGGTATATCTCTCAGGCAAAGACGACCCACATGATTTCTCGGCTCATGCTGGATAGCTAATCTTTCCGCGCCCGCAAACCGGTGTTCAACCAGCTACATTCCGCTGCTGTCTCCTAGCGATGTTCGAGATCGATTTGGTGGGGAACTGGAACCCGGAAAGCACCTTCTTTCGAGATAAAACAGCGAGCAGCGTCCGCCGCATCTAGGCTCTCATCCTGACTGAGCCGATCATATGGCTTCTGTCAGGACCCAGGCAAGCTTTTTCATGATAGTTTGGCTGTGTTTGAGAACACGCCGGACCGCTCAAGGTCATGTTTGCGGTAGGCTTTACGCGCCTATAGATCCACCGATCAGGACAGGTAGTAAGGAGAGCATGAGAAGAACGTGGGTCATTCGGCTTGGCCTAAGTACTATGTCATCGAGCTTGTATCTGCTCGCTCGAGCGAGATCATGACAAAGATCGCCCGCAAGCATTTCGGTGCGAGTGGTCGTGATATCCCATCGATTTGGTGTAATCAGGATGATGGGTAGCCAAGGAAGCCCAGCCAATGCCATATATCGGACGACTTCGTGAGGTCATTGAAAGCTCTTTATTTAGGACTTCAGCTTATATAACCGTTTTGTAATGCACAGCACACGTTCACAAGCAGAAGGGTCATCGAGGGCGATATATCCGTAAACCAAGCAAATTGACAAAGCGAAGGACCTATCCTTTCGGTCTGCCTCCTCTTCACAGTACTGTAGCAGCGAACTTGAAGTGACGTTTTTCTGGTTTCCAACAAGTAAGTACGGTAACGTGGAAAGCGGACAAGATTATCGCAGGCATCTTTTTGTGGCGTCAAATTGTGCCCGTAATGTGCGCAGTTTGCTCTCGTTGTTCTCTCCGTATACAATCCGTGCTTTTGGGACAAATGAGGAAGAATGCTCCTGTCGAGGCGCTTGAGATGAAACAGATGGCGCGATTACCGGCGGCGTGGTGTGAATTCAGTGCAAGGAACGTTTTCCTCTCATGATTCCGACTAACCTCTCTCTCTGTGCCATCGAAGGCCAACTCTTCAACGACTTCGTCTCAGGAGCACGACTGACGTACTACAATGATATCCCCTGTCGCCCAAGAAGGCGATTTGATACGCCTAATGGCCATAGGTATCACTGGTAAGCGCTACTCGTCCTTTTCCCGAGATCGTAGCTGGCAATGACAGCGGTGGCAGGAGAATACGGCCTTGACGGGACTCACGAGAGCAGAGCAAGCCCGCGCATCTTGCGCCAGCTCTTCTGGAATATCCATCGAAGTCGGGATTGCGACAATTCGCTTTCATTGTCGCGGATTCGCTCGGCGGCTGGCGCGTGAGAAGGATAATACAAATATTTTCCTGCTGCTGATTACCCAACTGCGAGCTTTCAAGCTGTATCGACGCCAATGAGGACTGTGATCGCGCTTATGCTGAAACGCAGTCGATCTGAACAAAAAAAGGAAGCGCAAATCGGCCAAAAAGGATGTGGCACCCAGAAATCGAATCTGGGTCCTCTCGGTTTCGTCGAAACGCCACAACGAGAAGTACTAACCACTATACTAGTGCCACATTGATGCTCGGGTGGTCATTTAATCTTAATCATAATGAAGTATTGCAACTGGCGCGCATGCCGGAAGTACTTGAAGACCATATCGGAAGTGCAATATCAACCTACACGCGATTTGGACAGCTGCCTATGCAAATCTATACAACTCGCTGCAAAACTCGCTCGGCTTTCCCTTCATTCTGGCCCCCGCAACTTAATTCAACGGAGGACCCGAATATGCCACCTACCAAACCCCCTGCCTTTTCAGACCTCGCATACTGGGATAACCGTTTCTCAACAACCTCGACCCCTTTCGACTGGCTAGTCTCCGCCAATGCGCTCGACTCGCTCGTCGTCGCTTCTATCCGGTCGAGTTCGAGAGAACGGTGCAAGATTCTACATATCGGTTGCGGGAGCTCAGAATTGTCTTTCAGACTTGGGGAGCTGGCAGGGACGAGGGAGAATATCTGGAACACGGACTACTCCAGGGTGGTCATCGAGCAAGGCCGAGCGATCGAGGAGAAACGTATTCTACCTACACCTTCAGCATCAAGTTCTACGATAGTGGACGCCAGACCTCCCAAGATAGGACATGAAGAAGTCTCCGGTCGGATGAACTGGACAGTTCTCGACCTCCTCTCCGATGAATCGATTACCGCATTCCGCGCTGAAACCCAGTCCGAGTCATTCGACCTCATTGTCGATAAATCCACCAGCGATGCCATCTCTTGCGGCCCGGACCTTCCTCTTCCCGGTCATGGTGCCTCCATTCCTTCTCGGTCGACGCTTTCCATAATACTCCATCCACTGGAGGTTCTTGCTCTCAACCTGGCGCGCTTGACTAGGTCTGGTGGAAGATGGATATGTATCAGCTATTCTTCCGACCGGTTCGGCTTCTTGCACCCAGGTACCTCTTCCCGAACCCAGAGTGGGCATGACGGCTCGACCTTCTGTGAGCTCGAGGCTAGTCGGTATTGGAGGCTGGAGCATAAGGAAGAGATCGAGGTCGAGGCACAACCCGAGCGAGCGGTAGATTCAGGACTACCGGGAGGCGGCGTGACAGCGAAGACGCCGGTATTCAGGCCGAAAGAGGTGAACTATTCGTACATACTGGTACGCACCGATGTACTCCTCGAGCCGTAGACTATCCATCTCAAGCCACATGGTCGCAAGAGACGGCTTGAATAGACATTGAGGAATGTTACAGATGGATTGTAAGGACAGGGAGAGATTCGAATCCAAGAATAGCTGGATTCAGTCGAAGTCGCAGGCTTTGCAGCTGCAGTCAAGGTAGGGATGAGAGTTGAAGTCCTAGTAGTAAGGAAGGCCGTAGTGGACGAGCTCATTCGTTTGAACCAGAACGTTGAAGATCCCTAAGAGATGATTCGCTCCCATCAGCAGAAAAATTGCATGCCAGGTCGATATGGGTGCTTTATCGTCCTTATTCCTTCCTTCGTGATCTGTAGCGATGTTGTAGTTCAGATTATCCCCTGACCAGACCCGCTCGCGTCAGCAGTTACCAAGATCGCCCAAGCAGTGCATGTAGAGCAGAGTAGCACGGTCACCGAAGTCCGAGCCCCGAATCAGAGAAAGGGATGTTGCCTAGTCGGTAGAGCCTCTCAGCTTGAGCAGGATATGCTGCTGCTGGAAAGCCAAGCGGGTTGCCTTGTTTCCCTCTGCCCCGAGTCTAGCGGGTCTGCGATTGATGCTGAAGTTCGAAATTTCTCCTGAAAATCGGCCCTTGCATCGCTTGTATAGCTCGTATGGACGTTGACTGCGGTATTTGTGAAGCATAGTCGTCTGGCGTCGTGACATCGTCGTATAATGGTGCAATGCGGTACATCTTATGTGCGTGTAATGTACAAAGGATAAAAGACGAGTGGATCAAACGTGGTGGAAGAGAAAGTTTGTCCCGGTTGGCCTTATCGCTTGACCCATGTGTACTGCAATCAATTCGATGATATTCAGTTCGGATCGAGAGAACCACAATATGCCGGGAAATCGAGACTCACCCTCTTCCTGGCCTTTGCCAACCCAGTCTTCTTCCTCTCGACCATCCTGGGATCCCGGGTCAACAACCCGTCCCGTCGCAAGATATCCGCCATCTCGGGCAAGAAGGTGATGATCCCTCTCGAGATCGCCAACGCGGTCGCCCCTGCCTGTCCCGTCGTCCCGCCTCCGGAAGCCAGGGCAAAGATGTTGAAGTACCCTAGTGTCCCCGTCAGGCGAAGTGGACGGAGAACGAGCTCCCTATCAGATGGCCGGGGGAAGTGTTGATGGATGGGGAGATGGTTGACGAGGACCTCGGTAGTGGGTAAAGCAGGGTAGTCAGGCTCCTCCGTCGATTCGGGCTCGGCGACCTTTCTCGCATGGATCTCGAGGGCGGTCTGAATCCTGGAAGAAAAGTCCTCGGGCGTCTTGGTCTTGATCAACCAGACCTTGGCCGAACTCTCCTTTCTCCTCCCCATCGTCGTCGTCCTCCCGAACTCGTCAATCGGGCTCTTCTTGTCCTTCGTGGACTTTTGTCTGGCCTCTCGAGGTTGCTTGTATTGCTCGATGATCGAGTTGACGTTGAGCACAACCTCGCTCTGACCTGATCGCTGAGCGACTCGTCTCAACAGAGCCAAATCCTTCAACAACCCTGTCACCCGTTTGAACTGTGCTCGGTCCAGCGACGTCGCAAACTTGGTCTCCATCAACTTCCAATCGTTCTTGTCCCACCCCCCCGTCTCGGCCTCTAACCGCAGTCTCGGGGGAAGAGGCCAGATGTGCTTCCTCCTGAGTGCTTCCTCGTTCTCCTTGACCGCAGTTTCTAGCTGGACGACAGCATTGGCGTAAAGGGGTTTTCCGGTGAAAAAGGTAGAGAGGACGGGTTTTGGTCGAGCGGGAAGAGGTTGGATACGAGAGTTGGCTTGGTGAGGGACGTATGCGTTCGGCGTAGCGTATGATCGCTTGCTCTGCTTGAGCACGCTGCACGCCTGGCGTAATGATGGTCGGGCGACGGACTCCATCGTCGAGATATTGACGTCAAAATTCTATCTGGTTGTACTGAGGCTCCGACTGCAAGATGATGATCAACATGACACCAACCCTTGAACATGAATGTCCTTGGAGGTCCTGAAGGAACATCAAGCGCGCGTCAAGTGCGCTTCTACATGGCGCGATTCGCCACTATTGAATCTCGTATCGTAGTTGATGATATCCCTAACACAAACAGTCCGACACGGTACAGTTCCGATACAAGGATTACACGCCAGAAAGGCTGGATAGATTATGAGTCGCTTGGAGCTTATTAGAATCGGGCTATACCGGCAGGCCAAGGCGTTCGACGATGAGTCAAGTGGTGCACAGAACAGGAAACCGTGTATTGAGATGAAACGGATCGAATTGATTACTGGGGAGGTCCTGAACGCAACTGGTCGTATCTGGGCGGCATCTCACTGCCAAAACCAGATGCAAGTCAAGTCGGGATCAGCGAATGGACTCGTTGCACAGCACGACCGCACACGTCCGAGAACCGGTACTCACACCAACCCTTGATCGTCCGGCCGGATCGCCTCGGCGCTATCGACCACCCCAGCGTCTTGATGCAAGACAAACCTAGTCGGAGGTGGTACGGGAGCGTCATCCCCGTTCTGAGCCGTCAAAGGCCGTCTCTTTCTCGTCGAGTTGCTTCGACCCGTCGACCCCACGTTCGGAGTTCCTCCAACTCCAGGTTCTCCTCCAGCATGCGTCATCTCGGGGTTTCCTCGTGGAGAGACGGTCGCTCCCGAATGGCTCAACGTAGCGTCCGCCTCGGAACCCGGTTGATACGTCGTCTCGCTCGCCCTCCTCTGCCTATCCGACCCGGCTGTCATACCTGCCATACCTAGCCCTGCGCCCGTCCCAAAGTCGATGGGCGCCAACATGCCGCTCTCTCGGCTATATCGGTTCTGCCCGATCGTATTGGCACTCGTAATCTCGTCGCTCGTCCTAGGGAAGCTCGACCGAACCGCTCCGGGACTGGCCGTGTTGGCTCCAGAGGAAAAGTAGGGAGAAGGCTCGTATGTCGTCTCATCTGAATCCTGCCTCTCGATCGCTCCAGCGGTAGCCATCCCGTTCGCAGCCGAATGAGACCCGTTACGAGGTTTCTCCCCGGCCAGAAGGTCTACTACGCTACTCCTCCTTCGATCCTCCATCAACGCCGCACCTCCGACGACCGCCCCAGATCCTGTTCCACCACCAGAGCTTCCGTGTGAAGTTCCATATGACCCCATCAACTTGGTACGAGGATGTTGAGGGTCCTTGACTTGACGAGCTCGACGTCGAAGGAAGACGAAGAGGACGATCAGGGCGAGAACGACAAAGGCGACTCCACCGACGGCGCCGCCAACGATGGCTCCTGTGTTTGATCCCGAACCAGATCCAGAGCTAGAGGACGCAAAGTGAAATGCCGTTCTTGATTAGCGGATCCTCAATCGCCACAATAACGACGTTACAATCCGGCCCACCTGTTGTCGCCTGCCGAACCCGATCCACCACCCGGTCGACCGCCACCTCCACCGACCCCCGAGATTGTCGACGCCGGTGCACTTGGGGCGATCGAAGATGGCGAGCTGTCCGAGATACATCCTGATCCGCCAGCTCCGACCGTGAATAACGGGGTGCTGCTCGCCTCAACAACGACATCAGCAAACGTATCACCGAGATGAGCCTGAACCGCCCGATCGCGGCTCACCTTCCTCCACTTCCCACCGGTCCGTTATTCGGCATGTACATCAAAAACCTCGTCCCCTCCCTCACATTCACCTGCCACCCATACCCACTTCCCGCCGCGCCCTGTCCGCCACCCTGATCAGGCCCAGTGATCTCATGTACCGTCCAAATCTCTCCACCGGGAATCAGTCCTACGATACTAGCGGGCAGCGTATATGAATTCTGCCAGGTCACTTGAACGTTCCCACATTGCGGTACGGTAGTGGGCGCTTGAGGGTCGGTGTAAAAGAAGAAATCCGGGTTGGGCGCTGTGGAGAGACAAGAGGCCGACCCAGAGGAAGACGGGGATCCGACGGTGAGGATTTCGGTCACGCCAGTGCTGCCGTACCCGCCGCTGTCGATGAGGGAAGCGACGAATTCGAGTCCTTGTGGCTCGGAAAAGGTGGGGATCGTGTAGGGGGATGAGGCGGAGGAGGGGATGGTAATGTTAAGAATAATGGATTGAGGGGAGAATTCCGCTGCCTGTGCATGATGTCCCGACAGATCGCAAGAGGATTTATTACGCATCAGCATACGAAAAAAGCTTCCATCATCCCTGCGAAATGCAACGTTTCCCGATGTCTACCACCCTGCGAACAGGATTGTCGACATATCGATTGCCCCAGACCCCAAGACTCACGGGCATGATTAACAATCTCATATCCCCATCTCCCTGTTTCTCCTCCCAAGTGACCTCCAATGGCTCACATTGCATCGGCGTGGAGATGTTGAATCTGATCCCCCTGACCGTAGAAGTCAGCGCCAGCAACGTGATGAGCCGAAGCACAGTTGGGGTTGTCGAGAGCGGCATAATGGTAGATGGATGTGTCTGTTCGTTTTGATTCTGCCTTGTGATCGATGTTTTGATTGAGATTGCCCAGGTCAAAGTCGAGTGAAGGTCCTATTGTACTGAAGGTCGTGTATCTACTATCCGACTCCAAGTCCGTCGATATCTTTGAAGAGATCCCTCTGTGCCAAGTTCTATCCTATTCCTGCTCCTGGATTCAAAGTCCTCCTGCTCTCAAGGGCAGGACAGGGTCCTAGCTACAGCTATCGACTTGCGAGTTGGTGGGTTGGGGGTCGAAACCGATGTGACGTCCCCTTTTTTCTCGTGCGATGATTTGACAAAGGAACTCTAGGGCGGCAGATACGGCAACAGATCTGCTATGGTCGCTATAACGTTCCCGCTCCTTGCTGTTGGAGACCGGCCGCTTTTGCTTTTTGGTGTACTCCTTCCTGTCGATGTGGTTATTCGTAGACCGGGGTTTGTTTCGAGGGTCAACTACGACGACCAACCGAGCGACAGGTTGATCGATTGATCGAGTTCAACACCCTTGAAACGTCAAGGAGCAAGGAGGGGGGCGGGGGTGAAGGTGGGAAGAGATTGTGATGATGCGGCGATGATAACGAAGATGAGACGGATACGGTGCGATTCCAGGGTGGATCACTCTCGTCCTCTCTCTCTCTGTGGCTCTCGCTTCTTTTCGGGGGCGCGATGACGTCTTGAAATGGAAGATTCAACTATCTCAGGGTGCAGGGTGGGTCTTGCTCCCTCGGGCTGACGAGCGAGCGAGATGATGCGGTGTGTATGCTGAGGTGATCGAAAGGACCCCCTCTACTTCGCAAAGTGGCGACGACTTGGAATGTCAAAGGCATATTTGTTGTTCGTGGGTCGATCGGATATCTACGTATCTACAGCTCCCTTGCCTCTCGCACGTAATCAGAACCACGCCAAAGCCCGGTGTCATTACAACTTGGATCGAAGGGCGAGAGGGAGAGAAAGATATCGAGATCGCAATCAATCAAACCCCTGCCAAGGCGAGTGGAGGGGAGCAACAGCATCAGGGGCAGGCGTCGGGAACGCCGAGCAATCGAGCGGTCCGCCTCGCGCGCTAAGACGACACGGAAAGGAAGGTCAGAGGAATGTGATCGAGGCTGTGCCGATTTTTAACAGTGGTACGACCGTCGACGAGCAGCGTAACTCTCAATCCCCTTCGATTTCAGGACATGGTCTCGCAGTCTCCCGAGGGTGTCGCTGGTGGTTGCGTCCGGACGTAGATCCCACGTCGCACGGATCGTGAACCATGGTTTTCGCTCCAGACGAAAGCGACAGTGCGGGGTAACCGTCCAGGGGGCTGCGGGGTAATTAATCATCGGACGCTTCGGACGAAAACACAAAATAGCCGGAAGCAGACGGGGCATGTTTCAAGCTTGGCAGCCGCTGTCGAGTCGGACATGGGGGATGAGACGCCATGTCCATGTCCAGTAGACATCAAGAAGTACACGGGAACAAGATGTCCGCTCATGTAGCAGAGACGACAACGGGACGTCCTCGCTGCTCCGCTGGTGTCAGACGGGAAACGTCGGGTCGCTCTCCCGCAACGCGTTGTGGATATGCGTCGAGACGGCCCGCCCGACGTTTCTCTCGTTCTGCACGCCCGTCTTCAAGTGTCGGACCTGTCGATTCATGCCATAGAAATGTATCAGCCAAACGTCCTGTTAGTGCGGAAAGGCGACGGTTAGGACCCACCTTGCACCCCTCCAACAAGATCCTCGCACTCCCAACCCCTTCCTCCCTCGCCTTTTTCTCGAACCCCTCCATCAACCTGCGGAAAGACTTCCATTCTTCAGCGATCCCCACAGACCCGCTAGGCGTTACCCCGGGTATCTCTTGAAGCATGAGTTCGAGAGCGTGTTGTTTCGAGCTCGCCTTGAGGTTATTTTCCCGGCCGAGCGGGAGGGTGTGGGATTTCGAGATGAGTCTGAGCGTGGAATAGGGTCGATGTTAGCGTTCAGCAGGGAGCAAGGGGAAATGAAATGGTAGGCTAAGAAGAGATTTACTTGTACTATCGACGGGTACATCAGGATGCACGTAGTGGTTCGTCGGATGAGCTTCGTGTGAGAGAGATAGTGCGGCTCATCATGCGCTCACCGGTCGAATAGCAAGATCAGCCGACATGTTGTACAACCACTCCGAGATCTCTGCAGGCGTGTCGACTATGACACAACCAAAGTGAGACACGAATACACGATTCAGCGCCCGCACTACAGCGTTGCTCGCACTCCACCAGACTCACCTTGCACCTGTAACCAGCCGTGTCTCAGGTGGATGGCCACCAATTCTCTCTCGATATCCTCCTTTTCCAGCCTAGGCACCTGATTCTTCCCCTTGCCCGACGTCGCCTTTTTCTTGCCCTTATCCCCCGTGTCCGCTGCCGGAGCGTTTCCATTCCCTTCAATCTCCGCCAGAGCCGCCTTGGTCCTCGCCGCAAACTCTCTCTGAGCGGCGGATCTCGTCTTGGAGTGATAAGCCTTCATCCCGTGAATGACGAGCATGATGCCGGGAAGTCCTTCCCTGTCCCTAGGATACGTTGGCGGTTTCTGGCCCGGTGGCACTTCGGTCGTCAACCTAGACGGTTTACAGGTGACTTTCAGATCGTCTTTCAATTGCTCGATCCAGCCTTCGAGGGTCGTCTCGTGCGGTACATCGCCCGGTTGACTCTTGCCTGCCTTGATATCCAGGTGCAACCGTATCTTCTCGACCAGCTCGTCCGCTTTAATAAACACAATGACCAACCCCTCCTCGACCCACCCTTCCTTTTCCTGATCGACGGGTATCCAGATCCCTCGTCCCTCGTCCCAATTGGCTCGTACGATCCGTTTAAACTTGATCAGCCCTGGAAACCCTCCTTCCTCCAACGGCTCGATCTCGGAAAAGTACTCCCGGAACTTGTCCCGCAGCGCGGGCAGGACCACCGCTACGGGAGAAGGAGCGATGGTAAGATCGTGCGACAGGTACATCTTGATCTCGCGGAGAGTCTCGGATTTGGATGTTCGCAGCTGGAGAGGGACGATGTAATTCGTCAGCACGCAGCGTCGATCAGGCAGGGGACAGGAGCGCAAACCGACCTTGTTGACCTCCGTCGACCGCTTCTTGTTGACCTTTTCCGCCTGCTTCTCCGCTTGCAGCCTCGCTTTCGCCGCAGCCTTGTCGACCTTTTCCTGTTCCTTGTCCTTCGTCCGGCTCTTCTTGACAACCGGGTCGTCCGTCTCGAGGCCTAGATCCTTTTCTACCGGCCTAGTACGTTTCTTGACAAGGTTCTTCCGCAAAGGAATGGGGCTCGATGGAGGGTTGTAAGCCCGCTCAGGTTCGATTTCAGGTTCCGGGACGGGGGATAACGAGCTGGAAGATCTGTTGGTAGTCACGGTCGAACGTTGTCGATTCCGAGCGGGCATAGCTACATCCGCAGCTTTACGCTTGGCTTTGATTGGCGGCTGGATAGGTGAAGTGAACTGATCGATATCACTCGATTGCGTCGCGATCGGACCTCCGGACAAGACGGGTTGGTACGTCTTTGGCAAGATGGACCGGTTGGCAGTGAGGGTACGGAGATCGGGTAGGTCATCGAGACCATCTGAAGAGGGCAAGACTACGACTTCGTCATCATCACTATCACAAGATTTCAGTAGGTAAGCAGATCATGAGAAGATATGCCGCCAGACTAGATGACCCACAGAAAGGTCTGATACCCTAGACGGCTCGGTCCTGCGAACGGTGAATCCTCTCCGTCGGATATCTCGATGATCGAGTCCATCTTTGCTTCGCGCTTCGAGCTGATCTGGTGCGACTCGAAGGTAGAAGTGACTAGCTGGTTGATCTAGAGCAAGTGGTTTCGATCGATACCAACCAGGACGAAAGGACGGTATCGTATGCCATGTTACCGATACCAGGAGGTGAGGATGAGGAAGCTTCTGTTTACGAAGTGATGATGGGTGGACTACCGGTCCACGTCGAGTCTCAGCTTGTTGGATTTACTTCCGAAAGCTCATCCGGATGCTTTTCTTCTCGACGCGACGGCGGTCTTGACCTGAAATCTCTTGATCAAGTTCTCTCTTTCATTCTCTGAACTCTCTCTGTTCAACTTGCAACTCGCAAATCGTCAGGCTTCCTGCGCATCGCTCTCCACCGACATCGACCCCAAACGGACCACAGTCATGCCGCCCCAGCGCGAAACTCTTCTAGCCCCCGCGCCCGCCTCGGGCCTGCCACAACTCGCCCCGACCGCGCTCAACCTGATGCCTTTCCACCTAGACTATACCGGCCCGGCAGAGGTATCGACCTACTTTCAACCTCGTACCATCCCCGGTCCGCCCACATCCGAGGAAACTTCCGAGGAGAAGGTACAGAAACAGGGAGACGGATCGATCACCGTCGCTGCGTTTAGGGGGAGGAGGGTACAGGCCTATACGCTCGGACTGCCTGAAGGGTATACGGGCCTTGTGCTCACCGCTCCCTCTCTCGCATCAAGGATGAACCCTTCGGCCCCCCAAATTCAAGGACATGCTCAATCGAACACGGTCAAGAACCTCAAGAGGGAGGAATCCCCTTCATTGTCATTCGACGCCGCTCCTGGACTGAGACGGTCCCCACGTAAACGGAACAACGTGGACGTGCTCGAGTTGCCTGTTACGCGTCGGGTCAAGCCGAAGAGGGTCATGCAAAAGTTTAGCATGCATTCGGATTCGGAGGATGAGGAAGCTGCCGCCGATGACGAAGGTGTAGTTTTGCAGGAGACGGTCGAGAAGAAGGAGGAGAAAGTGGTAGTCAAGGAGGACATGTCAATGGTGATAGAAAGTAGCACGACCACGACAACCACTACGACCACAAACATCTCCAACCTCGACGTTCAGTCACTGCAACCTGATACTCTTCCTGAACTCGACCAGGACCACCACCTCGACCTTGACCTACTTCAACCCGCCCCACCCATCTTCTCCCGTACCCTCCTCCCAACGGCCTCCTTCTCCAGCCTGACCATCTGGAATCCCGATGGACCGCTCGACGAGGGCAAGGACGAGTACTGTAGGACCTTGGGAGAGTGGATGAGCTTGAACAGCGTGTTGCACCAGGAGTAGGTGAGGAGTAGGACGAGGGAATGAATCACGCTACATCTCATCGCGTTGCATTGACGACGAGATAAGGTAGATCTGCAGGAAGAGGGAAATGGTGGAGAGGGTTCCTTTCACTGCTCGTCCCTGAGGGGGGATGGGGAAGAAGTAAAGGGGGGCGTGGAGATGAAACCCGTTTTGCCAAACGGAAACCATTAGAGCGCCAAGGACTATATATTTGCATAGTCCAGATCAGATCTCCCTTGCTTGCCGAGATATTGCGAGGGGAGCAGCTCTTCAGTATTCCCATTCCAAGCATCTCATTGCGACAACGACAACCCACATACCAGCATCACGACCACATTTACGACCACACATCTGCGCATCATGACGGCTTCTCCCATCATCAAACCAAAGATCAATCCCACCAACACCAACGCGAAATCGACTCCTGTCACCAACCCGATCACCCTCGACGTCCAATCCCCCACGACGGACGATGTTACCCCGGAAGACATCCTCTCCGAGACCCAACGCCTGTCCGCAGCCCTGGAGACGTTCTGCGACCTCCTCAAGTCCAAGCAGAGCAATCTCGCTTCCGCTTATCAGACGTACGAGGCGTTGTGGAATCACTACATCTTGCTCTTGCGGCTGTTCGATGATTATCGTTGGAAGTCCCGGATGGGCAAGGAGGTGGCGAGGCAAGGACAGGGGCAACAGGAGAGAGGAGAGATGGTCAGACAGATCGAAAGCGGGTTCACCCGTCTGCTGCCCATCGTCAAGCAGGCCAAGATAGCGCTGAACATGAAGATGAAGAACGCCGCGCAGGTCTTGGCAGTTGTGCAGAGTACAGAGGGGGACAAGGGAAAGGACGCCACGGTCTCGGTTCACGATCTGCCAGAGACGGCCAAGAGCCCCGTCGCACCCAAATCGTCAAGGTTCAGCTTGTTCAGGATTGGCACCGCTCCTCGTCGCAAAGTTCAGGACGGCATCACCACCACCTCCTCTGGCGAAACCAACGCCTAGACCCGCATATCGTCCCTCATGTACACAATCCCTGCGATAGATACCTGTTCAAGCTCATGCATGTCTTTCCTTCACGCCCCTATTCGTTACAGTGTACGATTCCTGGTAGGATGACGCCCGACGATTATCAGTCTCTATTCCACGAAACGATGCTTTCCCCATCGTCATCAAAGTCGTCCCGGTCGACGTTGAGCTCGAGAGCCCAGACTCCGAGCGTGACAAATATGTTGACCCATCTGAAGACGATCAACAAACGATAAGCGTGGGGTTTGCAGAAATACACGACTCGACCCGCTTACCTCCACCATACTTGCGAGCCGTTGTCGAGCACTGCGTTGTAATTGCGTTTCCGTCAATCGAGAGACCGTGTGATTAGGCTTGAGCCAGGACTCACAGAGCAGGTGCGTATACACGGCTATCAAAATGGCTCGCCGGTACGATAACAAGATTGTTGTTACTCTCGAACTCTATCGAAGGGTAGAAAAGCTCTCATCAGTTTGAGCTCTGTTAGGGATTGCCGTTGATTCATCTCTGGCTCACCGCCCTCTCCTCGCTGAAACTCCTGCCATCGCTCCAAAAGCTCGAACTCTTCTCGCCTTCGCCTCCGGCCGGCGTGACCGGCTCGTCCCACCCGCTGGCCGCCCGCTTGATAGCAGGTATGAACCGGGCCGCGGTGTGTAGGACGAGCAACCGGTAACACAGCGAGATCAGCAAGGTCGGCGGGAGCGATTTCGCAATCTTGAGCATGGTCTCTGAGGCGTGATTCAGGATGTTCATGGCGAGTCCGACGACATCGAGATCGTGACCCGGCTTGATGAGCGGTGCAGCCGTGTCCATGCCGACGTATTGTCCGACTTTGTCTAGACCGCCTAGACCGGAAAGGAAGCCGATGTTGATCCCCAGTAGTCGGGCGAGGACCGCTCCAGCAAATCCGAGGGTGGAGAGCAGGGCCGTAAAGATGGATTTGGGTGAAGCTGTGTCCAAGTTGACGGACGAGATGGGGATCGAGGAGAAGGTAGGTTGGGACGATAGGATCTTGGCTTGGCCCCATCCAGTCGTCAACCAGCCCGAACCAAAGTCTCGCGGCCTGAGCAGACATAGAGAGATGAATATAAGCTCCTTGCTATCCACGCAACCATATGAAACAGGCTGCTCACTCCATCAACTCTTCTTTTCCGCTCATCCAAGCGCCATAGATAATGTAGAGGAAGATCAAGGACGTCTCGATCGACGTTGCACTCCTCCTCGAGAATGCGATCATGGTCAAGAAGAAGACCGTCGCGAGTGCCAGTCCAAGAAAGATGGGTGGAAGTTGGGTCTTGGAAAACGGCGGTGAGAGGGGGTGTGACTGCGCAGCGCGAATGTCGAATGAGGTTCTTGTCAGCTGTTGGCAATCATATGTGGTCAGAAACAATGGGTCGAACTGACTATGACAAGCCAGGTAGCTCCAGAACAGTAAATGATGGAGGATATCACGAGGAAAGACAGACGTCTCCATTCAAACTCTTCCTTCTCGTAAGCGATAGGTGAATCCTCGATGAACCCCTTGCTCATTCTTCCAACTAGTTGGGCGATCTGCATGACAACCACAGGCGACCATTAGCCTGGCGTGCTTGCATATGAATATATGATAGACTCACTAGTAGAGTCGAGAACCCCTCCAGTAAGCTGAAAACCGGGCTCACTAGCCTCAACGTCTGAGCGTAGAAGCCGGGAAGCACGACTCCCAACAGCCGTTTCCAGCCGACTCTCCAGAAGCTCGCCTGGACATCAGCGGCAGCCGGCGGGTAGAGGTACATCCAACATGTTGCCAGCGCACATAGTGTTGGCACGAACGGGTTGATCAAGTTCCACAGGCCCATAAGGCTCGCCAAAGGGGTGTTCTTCGTCAACAGTCGGAAGGTTGCATACGAGCATTGGTAGAGGAACAGCAAGAGCGAGAGGAAGAGGAATGAGGGGGGTCCTAGCCAGTCGAGAGTAAGGGGGAGTTGGTAGAGGACCTGGGTAAAGGTGGATAGCCCGAGCAGGCGGGATATCAGGTAGGACAACATGGTCGTTGTGTAGGTTGCATCCCCTGTCTATAGAGCTGAGTACTTCGTGGTCGTTTCTCCCGGTAACTCGATCGCTTCAAATCCTACGGCGCAAACAAGATGTATCTCTATTACTAGTTGGACCGACAATGTTGTGATGATGGATGCATGTGAAACGATATGGTCTGAGCAGGTCTGATCATGAAGTAGAGCCCGTTGACACCCCTCGGTCACCTTCCCCCAAACTGAGCATCCGGCGGGTGACGTTTCCGAACGTTTGTTTACAAAGTCCCCGCCTGAACCCACCCCCAAACCATAAACCTAGATTTCAACGTCGATCACCTCACAGCAAGAACATCATCGGCTACTGACTACGGATAGGGTAGCAGGCAGAAAGGTATACGTGTATTCAATATCCATCATTCAGTCGGTAACATCAAAGCGGAATCATCGGTCTAGGTCTCGTTTCGTTTCGGTTTCTCTTTGTGTTTCTCGTAGACGTCGAAAACGGTCGTCCTGGGGTCCTGATTGGCATGCGGTTTACATGAACTTGGAAGCCTAAGTACGAGCGCGTGACACCACATCAGCAAATCTACTCTTCGCATGGTACGGAAAGAGCCGACTCGCCATGCTCATCAATCCGCCCATAGCACCGCCTCCGGTTCCGGTAGAACCCGACATCTGGGACTAAAGATGGCAAAGAAAAGTACGTTAGTCACTTCAATCTCTCGCTCGACCGTCAAGGATACTTCGCTCACCTTGAGCATCATCTCTGTAAGCAAGGTCGCAAAAGAAAAGAATATCGTGTTGTCAGCAAACTCTGCGTAGTTCCAAGTAGGAATCGATCCGCGTTTATCCCCAGGACGCACTCATGATCTCTATAAACGACGAGCCATCAACGTATAGAGTAGACAGACTGTCAGCTTCCACAGGGATCGGCAAGTAGGAAGTGCAAAGGAACGAAGACTCACGCTTTCCAGCAGCATTGACGACATCCTGTTGCCCACCTCCGTTGGAAGTCTGACCTCCGGACGAGCTGAACAACTGTAGACCACGACCGAGAAATAACAGCATCAAGCTCGCCCGGCGTGAGCTGATCTCATATGGGATACGAAAGAAGGACAGAAGAGGACTGACCTTCATGGCCTCGGCCATGGCCATTCCGATCAACTTGGATTGCATGTCCCCACCTCCCGAACTCTGAGCCTTTTGAGCGTCGTTGCCTCCCATGAATTTCTTGAAGGCCTGCGCGAAAGAAAAACGTCACACGAAAGAAAAGGTAGAGGGGGAGTGAGCGATGCGATCAAAGTCCAACATTGCGAGGTGGGACTCACCGACATGGCCGCAGCAGTACCCATGCTCTCGCTGCTCATTTGACCCTTCTGAGCCTCGCCCCTCGAGTAAGCTCGCTCGTAGTCATCGATAATGCCGTCTTCGTTCAAGTCGACGGCACCTCCTTGTTGCACAGCATTGGACCCGTAAGCTTGGGTCTGGGCGAACCCCTGGGCGAGGATCGATTGAGTCTGAGGGTCGGTCTGGTGGCCAAGTTCTTGTTGAGCACCCGAGACGGCGGATCCTTGGTTGACTGATAAGACAGAATAGGGTCGTAGTTATAGGACAGTGATCAGGGAAGGGTCCCACATATCGAAGGATGGGGTAGCCATGACTCACACATGGAGAGGATGTCCCCGAATCCACCAGAAGAACCGCCGGAACCGTGAGGAGCGTTGAACTGAGGTCCTCCCTGGTTACCAAAGTTCTGTCCCTGCTGTTGATGCTGTTGCTCGTTGTTGCCACCGGCGAACTGCTTGGCGAGGTTGACGAATTGATCCATGTTGTCTTTACGTGTCGTGTTTTGTGGGTAGCTGAGGGGTCAAGGTCGGTCAAGGTCCGCACAACACGGAAACTGATTTAGGGCTGACTTACGAGTTTGTTGTCGGGAATGTGAATCTGAGATGTAGGTATGATATCGAAGTGAGATGTGGTCGAATAGCCTGTTGATCTGTTGATCGCTATCGAGCTGCTGGCTTTATGGGTTTGATCAACGGAATGCTCGTGGCAGCAACAGCCACGAAGAGAGAGAGCGTGACGTCATCAAGAAAGTTGAGCTATCCGCGGTGCGACGATGCCAACGCGGTCGGTAAGGTGGCTTTACGAGCAGCAACAACCTGAAACATGAAACGTTGGGGTTTGTCAGCTGATTTCATGAGGCGATCAAAGGAAGCGATATCGCTACGAGGGGTAGCTTCTTACTGCGGGATAGAGATATATACCCCTCTGTTCCCCCTACATGGGGATATTTGCGTTGAGTATCTTGGATTACCCGGCATATCGACAACAAAGCGAAACGTCTTGCCCTGTCTCGTTGTCAGATAATATCGACCTGTACTGGTGTCAGAACAAATATGAGTTCTTCGAATCAAGCTCTTGGGCCTCAAACGCTAAGAATGCAGTCGGAGGACATATTCAAGCCACACATCCATCTTGTTCACACCAAACAACTCGATACTGCAAAGAGGGTCACCCAGCAGTTGTCCACTTACATGGAAGTGAACGAGATCACGGAAGAGGGGAGCGGTGAAGGCTTATTTCTGAATCACTATGGAAAGGTTCTAGATAAGTTCATAGCACTCGAACAGAGGGAGACAGTCGAAAAAGTTATTCGGGACACAGCTATAAGTCCGTTCATCCGGCAACTCTCTTATAGATTGATCGCAAGATCTGGCAAAGATCGAAGGATCTGGTTGAGTGAGCTAATGAAACATTTGAGAGAAGGCCCGAGGGGGGTCTCATATTACGATCGTCTGGAAAGACTGCGAGAGACATATGCTGGTCACGGATGGGGGGTGAGCTACCGATTTTAACTTTGACAGGCGACTCAATTTCGCAATCTTACTTCGTGCTTTCATGAAGTTCACAGACCTGGCGACACTGCTCAATAACTGCAGGAGTGAACTATACTTCCCGCCCGAAGATGTGAAGAGGTGGGCGCAGGTAAGTCTCTGGCATGTATAAAATTCAGCCATGATGCTGACTGGTGGCCACATGAGTAGGCAGCTGTGGCACGTCAATCGCCACTTGATTCTCAGAGCGATGTTGGGATCATCCCATCTGTTACCGGCACAGGTCCGTCGGACAATCTTACTGTGACAAACCCAGGCTCTCTGTACGAGAGCGGAACAGTAAGTCTGTGAATGTATATTGACCGGTCGCCTTCAAGCTTGTTCATCATGGTTCCATTCCACAGAACGCCGCGTCTGCCGCAGCTTCTGGGACGAGCACAAGTGGGAAACGCCGGTACAGCGAAGATGGCTCCGAGGCAGAGACTCAACCGAGCAAGAAACAATTCAGTGACGACGGTAAGTAATACGCAGTGAGATGGTTCGAATTCTTTGGTCGCTGAAATCGTTGTTCGCGTTCGAATCTCGCTCCTGCACGGTATGCTATCTTGATCGGATAGACCCCGCCTTCGAGTTCTTGAATTTCGAGTGACTTTGATTCAACTGTATGGACATGACTGGCGAATCGCAATTTATTTTTCCTTGCTACCGAGATCTGCCGGTCTTTGCCAGATTCAGATACAGTCCCTGACGCAACTTCGCTCTGATCATGGAGTATGATTCGAAGGTCGTGATGAGCAGGATTTGATACGCAGAAAGGATTCCTTGACTAGTGCAAATCGTACCCGAAACTTTTATCGCGGTGTGCTGGGTAATGATCATACAAATGCAACCAGTTCCTTTTGTGCAAATTCAATATTGACGATCCCTCAAAGTTTGTGCCTCAACATTCGCGTCATCCCCGCGATTTACCGTTGTGTTCCAGCCTGATTCATGCCAACTCGAAAGCTCTGGAAGAACACCGTATGTCAGAAGCTTTTCAATTGATACGAGCTCCCACGACATCAAAACTCGCACTGTTTGCTCTAGACTCTTTTAGCCAGCTTGAGATTGGTCGATATCAGTTCTTCTCTTTATGTTGGAAAAGGATGATACAGACGCTTGACCAAAAGGGACTCGCAAGCTGCACCGGGATTCTGGTGGGAGTAACTATAGCGAAGATTGGCGCTTACCCCATTGATATCGGGTATTCCAGGGTGATAACGCTGAGCCTAGGGATTATGAAGGAACAGGATCCGACAACCCTATCAAATCACTTGCTTGAAATCCAGTAAGTGTTCTGTAGTCTCAACATATGCATCGAGAATCTCTATATCTCGATGTCCCCCATCGAGGTCCGGTCCCTCACAGTCAAGTTTCGATCAAAAAACCAGAAGATTCAGGCCAAGACCCGGAGTATACTCTAGGTTTGCCTTGCCTATTGTCCAGCGTCTGTGCGCGGTCTTTCCACTACTCATAGATCTAGATTTCACATCATATGCCAGATTGAAGAGGTACTGACGTAGTAGGGTTATGGGATTACGTCAGGTCAGCTATCGAAATCGCGTTACCCCATCAGAATACGTCAATGATACCCTGGAGAGATCAGGAACCGATAGAAAAGCTTGCAGTTGCGTGATCAATCAAAACAATAGAGCTTTCTAGATAATGCTCTTTGTCTCGCAAATAATTGAAATTTCACCGTGATGGCATGAATGCTAAGCACAATCATATGAAGGTTCCCACTCCCCGGCTGTGTCGGGAAGCCACAGGATTCTCCGTTCAATCGACAAAGCTCACTGTGCTCTGATGTGTCGTTCGTGCCCACTTCCACCTTGGAGCATGCGCCAAGCTTGTGGCACCTACGATAAGTGAACGATGTGTCTCCGGTATCAAACAATTCTTTGTTGTTCCTCTCCCTAGGACTCCTCCTAATGATTTGAGCCGGGATATGTAATACTCTCAAGAGCCAAGCGCTCCACTTGCTGGAAAGCTTCCTCTCAATCGGCGTGACTTGCATCAGGCGCAAACCGATCTACTGGTCCGCCGCCACTTTGATTTTGAGCACAATATGCCGGAGATCGCTCTCTGACCGTGACGTCCGAATCCATGCTATACAAGGGGATAGCAAGAACGACAAAGGTGTTGAAGCGATCAGGATGACATGGTGAGGCGAAGATGCCGGGCTGATTTTCGCGACCAAAGAGCCTTTCATAATCAAATTGAAACCGCTTGACCGCTTTACTATTTGGTAATGTGATTCCGCAAATTTCCCTTGCTTGCAAAGTTCTAACAATCAGAATCTGCTCTCACGAGTTAGCAAATGCACGAGCTACGGCTTCATCTCGATCTTCATCTCTGCTACTGTAGCGCGTATGGATACAGATCCTATTCTGACTACGTGCCAGATTTAACCAATACCTTCTCTACATCAAGGGTTATGGAAGAAAGCATCAAGGACCTTGTCAACCTCTTCGGCCGTCATTTCTTCTCGGGGACTCGCCTGCATTGTACCGCCACAATTGTAGTAATAATGTAACGTTTCAGTTTCTGATTCGACAGCGCGTTGACTTTACGACACAAAACGCTCACAAAAAAGTTGACCGATTCAGGCTTCCAATTCTGAACCAGCTTGTAAGCCCCTTCCATGTTCGAGAACTGTGACGGTGTCCCGAATCGCTAGTCAGGCGGAGTCCCGTAATCTTTCAGTGGTGAACGGTCAACTCACGTCGGATGCGTTCAGTGGCTTCATTTCTGACCGGGCTGATTTGATTTTCGTAGCTTCTATGAAGAGACTGATTTTCTCACCGAAATCTGGATTCATGAGCCATGGATCCCAGTGTTGATTCAATCCACTAGGGTCGTGAGGCTCGCACATCTTCCGAGAGAGAGCGGTCACAATGGCATGGGATAAATTCCGAACATCGCCTCGGATTCCGGTTGCTTGAGGCAACTTGTCGAAAATGTTGTTGAAACCCGTCTCAATCAAGAGCAGTAATTTGACGAACTGGGTTTCAGCGGACAATTTCTTCTCCGCGCAATACCATAACCTCAATTTCTCTAGATTGTCTATACTCTTTGTTGACTTGGTCCCTGCCTTGAGGGGGAACGACGGCGAGTCATCTCCGGCAGGCGCATTGGAGGAGCTCGCACCTGTCGCCGATGAAGGCGGTACACCAGCCGAGGAGCCAGTGCTTCCAGCGGTGATTGGAGCGAAGGACCCCCTGCTCGAATCCGTTGCGTTTGTAGTGGAATGGACGGAATTTGTATGGTCAGACATGTTGTAGCGATTTCCTATTCTAGAATGTAGATCTCAATTTGCTGAAAGGACTTTTGCTACGACTGCATGAAGAGGCTGCGCAGTCTTCATTCTCTGCTCACCCTATATAGGTGTCTCGCCGACAACACTGAACGACAGTCCCTTTGTCCTATTTGACCATCGGAGTCTCCGTATAACGCCTTTCTAGGCTCCGCGCTGAACTCTCTGCAGCAAGGGCATCAGCGATACGGTTTTGGGTATGCCTTCCTTTCGTCTCCTCGGTACATTCTCAGCAAGTGTGTAGCTCGGCTTGTGGTCGGCTCAGATCGTCGGCTTCTTCTTGGCCGGTAGATGCCGATAGGCGAAGGAGATGAGTCTAGTCGTATATACGGGCGATCCCATTTTATCTTGACATGTCTCGATGCCTGGCAACGCATGCATCAATCTGATTGTTTGTGCTTGCGGTCGGTCACGTCGAGTCGATTCCAGAGGTCACACAGGGGCAATTGCATCTGTCGACAGTCTGTCTTAGAATTATTGATTGAAATTTGGATCATTGCCTATACCGGTAGACAACCATTCCTTTGAGTATCCATCAATTTGAGCATTACTGTAATCATGCTAAATCCGACTATAGCCGCCGACAAAGGCTCGGTACACTGGTAGAGTCATTTTCAAGTCCGTTGTCTGCATACGCAAAGGGTTGATGCGAAAGCAGGCATGGCTGTTTCTGCACAAGCTGGGAACGTCACGATGACGCAGCAGATGCTCGATCATAGACGATACGTACAGGGATAAAAACGTTACTTATCTCGATATGTCTTATGTCTGACTTGGTAAAAAAAGTTGTGACTTTGATATCGAGGTGAGATGTGATGAAACCAACACAATATCACAAGCTTTATGGAATCGTGGGTTTGATGAGCGGACTTGCTCGTGGCAGCAACAGCAACGATGCACCGGGGGGAAAGGGAGGGAGGTGGAACGTCACGTGATCAAAAAAGTTCAATTATCCGCGGAGCGATGCCATACAAGTGGTACGCGAGCTTGCGCGTCCTCAACAAAATACAAACAGCGACAATTATACGGTCCTTCAAAGGCTAGCTTTCAGCTTCACAGCCAAGTACCAAAGGAGCTACGAGCCCCAGAGAAACCACCCTATGTCGTCAGCGAACTGTTCGAATTTCATCCCAGATCATATATCTGTGATTAGCAAGCCGCGGGTGGCGAGATACCTGTTGGTCCACGGCGCCGTTCCGCGCGGCCGGTAAAAGTGAAACAGGTGAGGCTTTTCAGCCGCTTTGGTGAGCAATGAAAGGAAGCAACACAAGCTGGTATAACGACACGACAGTCATCGTGTATCAAGAACTCTTCATCAAGACTAGCAAGGTTGTTACCGACGTAGTAGTTCGACAAGCATGTACCTGTTCCAAAGGCGAATACCGTTCTACAACTCTGTATCCAGGCGATGTCCTCATACGCAGATACAGCGGATCGTTACAAAATACCCTGGCGTCGCAGCTCATCCTGTAGTAGCAATGAGATTCATGAGATGGACGCTTCACTTAGACTACGTCGGTGCTCACCTCGATGGTTCTAGCTTCTAGCAACTGATCGCGAAGATCATGAATGTCATACGAAGATGTATCCCTTCCCTCACTATCGGAAGCGGCTGTTGTCTCGCTGAATTTGGCTTCCAAATTCTCTCCCTCGAGACTGCGATCCCTGTTCAATGTGTTATTAGGGCCTTCTTTGATTGTCTGCTCTTCCGAGTCAGCCGAACAAGCCGTGGTCGAATGCGAGTTGAGCGATAACCTTGTAGACATGCCAGTCTGCCAAGACTGGCACAGCTTCTGCATTTCCTGAAGCTGTTGCAACTATATACGACGACGTGTATGTCAGTCATCCTCGGTATAGCTATATACAGAAGCTTTGCACATACATCAGCCACACATAGCGGATTCGAAGACTCATCCTTTGCGAGGTCCGTCAGAGCGACCAAGATGGTGCTAAGATACTCGGTGCAATCCTGTTTGATCCACCTATCCCAGATGTTGTCCGTTGAACATTTGCTGTGATGTCCTGGCACGAGTCTTAATGAGACCGATTCGCACAGGGATCGAAGAATCGAGTGAATCCTGGTTGAAACCTTACCGTGTGCCGCCATTTTGCCGCGATCGATGACACTGCTCATACCCTCTACTAGCCCGTAAAGAGCATGGCCCAACAAACCATCTGAGGGAATGTTGAACGAGGTTAGGTAGGAATCGATCATATCTCGGAGGCGACCTAAGCTCCTGGTCTTTGTTGTCGCTTGAGACGATGCGGACATCTTTGCTTGGAATGGCTTCACTGATGTTAACTAGCGAGGTCGTTATCAATCGGACGTAGTGCGAAATGTGATGCGGGTTCAGATAGTTCTTCTTCTCCTATACCTTACGTTCGGCTGGTACCCCAAGTGAGGTAGCGATCCTTCCCAGCTGAACTGCCTCTTGTCTGCTGGGATATTTAGGCTCATCTGAGCGTTCCGATTGCATGATGCTTACCTCCTTTATCCATACCGCACGAAATCCAGTAGGTGTGAGGCAGTGTCTGGGCGCCAAAGTCGGACCCAGGCGCGATACCTGTAGAGACCGTTTCGGCCGAAATCTCAACAGGCCGGACTTTCAGAATCATACTCATGTGCGTTCCGCGGTCAGTTTCAAGAGGAAAGCCAAGCCAAGTAAGATTTGGTTCCGCGCCACGTAGCGTGTCAAGCCACTGAAACCGGTGAGCATCAGGGAAGCCTTGAAGCTGAAAGATCGTTCGTCCCTCGCACAGGAGCTCAAAGCCTTGCGCGATGTTGTCTGTATCCTAGCGAGCGTAAGCGTAATCGATAACCATTTTGTGCGAGCATTCGACCGCCAAGCACGACCATGCAAGGCTACAAAGGAAGCGTTACAGTCTCCGCCGTTACAGCTGGCAACTCCCTAAACATAAGTACCCTGAAAGCGCGAACCTCGAACTCGCGGGAAGTTTACCTTTCAATCTAAAGTCGTGATCATGATCATTGAGAAATTCATGAGCGATAGAGGTTCGCGATCCAAAGCAAAGAAACGGTTTCCAGCCATTGTCCCCTCAGCTGTGTCGCGTGACAGTACTCTGCAGAATTCTGTCAAGGAGGCCACTAAATTGGAGCTTTTTATATAGCTTTCTTCGATAGCACCGACCCACCCTGAGATCCTTTGTATCTGAAAACGCACACCATCTGTGAGCTTCTCCGCGGGCGGTCTAAGGCATTGATGTCTCGTGTGGGCATGATGATGGGGGTTCTCCATTCCTTATTGATCGGTACATTTATAGCATTTCAGAAGCTCGACTTTTGACCACCTCATCTCTTCAGGACTTTCTTGGGTTGCGTATAAGTCGACAGGCTGAAAGGTGGGAGGACAAGCCTAGACCAACATACATTTGGGCGAATGTCACCACAAATCCGACTGTTGCCGCTGGCAAGATCGGTCAGCTGGCACAGCGAAGCCTTAATCGGATTCGCAGCCTGAAATTGGCAGAACGGATCGGATCAAAGTCTTTGCAACCTCTCGATCATCTAGAAAAGGTACTGGCATGCGGCCTTAGCATCTCAGCGGATGGAGGGACTCTCTCGTATGCTCTAAATCGACTTAGAGCTCGAAATCGTCCGTACCTGGACCTACAGGACGTCATGCCTGAAAGGTGCCACGACCGACAGGAACACTCACGCTCAGATGGAACGGTGAGCCTGGTAATTTACTAGCAACCTATTCCGTCTTTACGCGGGCCTCATTGTACAGGACCTTATGTGCCGAGCCGAAACGGCCGGGAAGCCACGATAGAGCAGCACACACTTGTATCACAACGAAACGAACAGAAATGATACCGAGACCTATCGTTACATGCGCATTGATGGACTTTGTCGTTTGGTGATTATACTTGGGTCTACCCAGTCATACGATAATCCTCCCGCCGCTGATCCACATACGCCTTGAACGGCGCGCTCAAGGACTCGTGCACGATAATGATACCTGAAAACACCTTGTCGATTCCGCCCGCGTTCTCCATCGAGGTCGTCGTCCAGAGGAGCGCTGCGATCGTCTGCGCGTATGCGAGCGAGTCTTCGTACATGTCCTTTCTCCAGAACCGGAATAGTGCGGCTGCAAGCATGGCATGAGAGGTCAGGATGTTGCTTCATTTGCTCGAGAAGCGGGCATCAGCCTACCTTGATTTTTGTCAAGTCGATTCCGTTCCCGGTCCCACAAATGCAATTGGTCCACGACCGTGATCGGCAGTAACGGATTCTGTCATTGGGGTCTGATCAGCTGGATTGACCCGTTATCAGTATGATCATGATGCGCACATTCTTGAACATTTGCGGATGTGCATGTGTCGTCAAATAGCTAATGATCTGCAAAGGCATACAAGAGGATTAGTATTTCGTTGCAGGTACGCCTATCGAAATGGTATACGCACTTGAGCAGCGGTGATCCCATTCTTCATAGCCTCCTTGACCGTATCCCTTTCTAATCGCCCGACGATCAGGTTCGGATACCGCGTCCGGATATCGATAAACAGGTTCAGAATTGCTATCTCCAGCTCGTTCGCTTATCCAGGTCCAACCTTGCTTCAGCTCAGGAAGGTTTTGTAGGGGAACAATGAGCTAAACTCACAGGTATACGCGTAGATCTTATAATTCGTCTCGAGCACCAAGAACCCTTTTCTCGTCTCCCCCGCCCCTCCCATAGCTCCATCTCCCCCGGAAGCAACGTTACCGGAACACAGGTTTGTTGCCAATCGTGTTGGGTAAAATTGATCGTGTTTACCCGTTGGTACGTTCTGTATCGTCGCATTTTCAGACTGCGGTCAAGGTCGAACTTGTGACTGGAAAACTCACTGCTCTTTTGTATATCAGCCCAAAGGCTTCGAGCTCGTCCAGCACTCTTCTCTGGACCGACGGTAATCGTGAAGCATCGTACGCCTATGAACCGACACATTGCGAGTTTGCGACTTCAGCTGCATGCAACATTGACAGGCGAAAGATGACTTACCCTGCCCAGATGCATATTACTCAGCGAGAATAACAGCTTCAATACCTCTACCCCATCCAGACCCGCCCCTCCTCCTTCCTCCTGCAGGAGTAAACGTTGAATACCCTTATCAGTCCCAACCTTTGACCATAGAATTGATACGCAGGAAAGGGAAGATAGAGAACTGACCATTCCCTGTTGTATATAATACATCAAGATCTGCCAGATCTGCGCCGATCGATCTTCTAGCAGAAACTGGAACCCCTTGGACGTGATCTTCAAAAGGTCTGTCAAGTAGTGATGGTCGTCGTACCTAAGAAACCGAAATCGGCCATCATCGAATAAGCTGTCTTTCAAATCGATCGATTCGATGTGATTTGAAGAGGCAGGCAAGACTCACACGCGCTCCATCAGCCCGCACTGTAGTAACAAGTCCAACACTCGCTTTTCCGGCGTCTCGTCCTCTCTTGCGGCCCGTTTTTGGGAAGATACCATGTACTTCAACAAAGCCTGCGACGATCACCATAAATCGCAAACCGACCGTCTTAGTAACGCTGCCTACTCGCTCTCAGCCGCAACTGTCTCAACGAACCCGACTGGACTTACCTCCCACTTCCCATCCCCGTAGTCCACCAACTCGTCTACATCTAAGTGAATTGACCCGTCCGATCCGCCCGCCACGGGTTTGTAAGTTACTCCGAACGCTTGATTTGAGCCCCTATGACGGTCCAAGGAGTATGCAGATCTCGATTATGAGCTTCTGTCCCGAAAGCGCACCGAATACCGTCCTCGCATCCACTAAGGGAGGATGAAGGATTCTGAGCAAGTGGTGTTTCGAGAATAATGACTTACCCGCCTGTAAGAGCCCCCCTCAACCCCTTCTTGAACGATTCGTGCAAGACATAATAGATCAGGCCTTTGTGCTTGATGGATTGTAGGATAAGCAGGTCATGTATGAGAGGGTGTTGTGACGTTATTCTGCAGTTGCCAATGACAGTATGTCAGTAGCGGAACAAACTGAGGAGCTAACTCAGGCGGAATTGCGGGACGACGTGATCTTACAGGTCGTTAGGCGCTTTCGGATCCATCCCCAGGAACAGTTTCAGGTGACTGGCTTTCATCTCGTTTGACATCCAGAGTAAGTTCATTATGATCTGTCTGGACATTGGGGGTAGCAGGCTGTTTGAAGTCGGGGAAACGGATTCGATTCATGAGCATCAGGAGTCAAGTCACTTAGACGGTCAATCGTGTATACGGCGACCTGACGAGCTGAGGTTATCGCTTACCGGAACAGACCCAGACACACCGCCTCGCTCTGATACAGCTTCGCAAAGAAATTATCACTCTTGCCATCTTGCAAGAACTCCATCAACGGTTTCGTCGCCGGATGGTCTTCGTAAATGGGCCGGGGAGTCGTACCGGGAATGGCAGACGTCGAGTTGGTCGTCATGACGGGCGTTGACTCAGGGAGTCGAGGAGCGGGAAAGGGTGGTAGGGAATTCTGGCTATATAGATACTTCCTGCATGAAGGTACTCGCCGATGACGCAGAGGTCGTGAAATAGAAAGTTGTCAACGGTGCAGGAGCAAATCGAGCACTGACCCCACTGCCTGATATCGAACGAGGTCTTACTCATGAGTCCACCCCTCGGAGATCGATCGAGCGGACATCTGACTTCTAGGGCGGATTTACTTCCGACGTCGCCGGAACCAGATAATCTGGCCAGAAACAGCTTGATGTCCGTCTAGTCGTTCGAGATTTCGAAAGAGTTCGAGCTGCATATGCATCAAATGCTATCTTCGATTTAGACATGCAGATCACTACTTCATCCGACAGGTCTGGCACTGAACAACTGTACTCGACATCGTCATGGACTCGCTACTAGCATCAGCAGGTCCCATTGAGGCCTCGTCTTCCTCCTCGAAACCGAAATTCCGCAAACCCCTCCCTCACCAGACCGTCAACCGCGGCAAGTCGAAACCCGCCATCGATCCGTCCCTCCACTCGATCCTCAGCAATACCCGTCTCTCTTCTTCCCTTCAATCCGCTCACCAGGATGTCAAACCTTCGATCCATCTCAACAAGATCGGGGACAAGAAGCTGCGAGCCAAACTGGCTGGACAACAGGTAGCGCAGAAACGAAGCAACATCGAGAGGGAGCAGGTTCAAGAGTATCTTAACAATACAGGAGAAGACGGCGGGATCGAAGTGGATCTCGAGGCGGGGGAGAGAACCTGGAGAGTAGGACAAGATGAGATCGTAGAGGCTGTCGGAGCCGGGAGTGCTGGGAAGAAGTTTGATCTGAAATTGGAAACTGTCGGAGGAGGGGGCTATCGGATAGATTATACTCGGAACGGACGGTGAGTCTTAGTGTCCTTTCCTGACTACCCTATACTCGCGCTCACTGCCATCATCTTTCTCTTGCTTCTGCACACCCCATATTCCGCTTCTAACGCTCAACATAACAGACACCTAGCCCTAGCAGGCTCTCACGGCCACGTCGCCACGTTCGACTGGCAAGCCGGTCGATTACACTCGGAGATCCAGTTGGGCGAGACTGTCAGGGATATCAAGTAAGCTCTCTGTCTATCTTTGCTTTCGTACTTCCTTCCATATCCACCTGCCTGCCGGCTCTCGCTCAGCCAGAGAATTGATCCGCCATGGCCTTTGATCAAAATCGCAGATTCTTACACTCGGAAGCGTTCTATGCGGTCGCCCAGAAGAAATACGTCTTTATCTATGATCAATTCGGAACGGAGGTGCAGTGAGTGTCTATCCTGGCTGTCGCCACTTTCATCATCTTGTCTCCCTTCTCTCGATCGGCGCCTCAGGGGCATTTTTGCTGATCCTTGTACGGATTGCGCCTGATGCTTGTTCACAGCAAGATGAAGCAGCATTTGGATGTAACACGGATGGAATTTCTGCCCTATCATTACCTGTTGGCTACGATCGTAAGTCTCTGACAGTCCTGGATCATCTGCAATTCGAGCCACATCGACTGATCAGATGCGGGCGCGGTGGCCATTGTAGGGCAATCAAGGAATTCTGCGGTACCACGATACGTCGACGGGAACAATGGTCGCCGAGCACAAGAGCCGGATGGGAAGCGTACAGGCCATGGCGCAGAACCGACATAATGCGATCGTACATCTCGGTCATCAGAATGGTAGGTCAACATGGAGCAAAGGATCATGATGCCGAGCTTTTGTGATCTGATCGACCGATTTGACAACATGCAGGTCAAGTGACATTGTGGTCACCTAGCATGTCGACTCCTCATGTCAAGCTGCTCGCTCATATGGGTCCCGTCCAATCTATCTCGGTCGACCCATCGTCATCTTCCTGCGGCCGGTACATGTCGACCTCGGGTGCGGACGGGAGCGTCAAGATCTGGGATTGCCGGAACTGGGGTCAGACGGTACGAGAGTGGAACGAACGCGGGCATGGGCAACGCGAGGTGGATTGGAGCATGAAGGGAATGCTCGCCGTGAGCAACAAGGGATACGTCAATGTCTACCGGGATTGTCATTCCCCCTCAGTCGAGGGCAAGGCCTCTCCACCCAGACTCTACCAGAAGTTGAACCTCCCTAGTCGGACACCGAAGGGGATCAGGTTCGTTCCATTCGAAGACATTCTTGGGGTTGGGCATGATGCCGGCTTTTCCTCATTGCTCGTTCCCGGGTCCGGTCTCGCCCAATTCGATTCCAACGAAGCCGACGTGTACGAGAGCAAGACGAGGAGGAGGGAACGCGAAGTTCGTGGTGTTTTGGAAAAGATCAAGCCGGATCTCATCACCATGGACGCGGACTTCCTGGGAAGGATGGCCGATCCGAAGAAGGAAGCGTACAGCGAAAAGGAGACGCCGTTCTACAAGAAACCGAGGGTGGAACGGCTGAGGTTGTTGGGCAAGTCTGGAGAAGAGGTGGACGCGGCGATCAAGGCCGAGCAGGAAGAGGCTGGGGACGACAGCGACGATGCGGATGGGGTACAGGTGGGGAAGAAGTTGAAGGTGGAAAAGCTCAAGCACAAGATGAGGGGGAGAGACAAGGGAGTCAAGAAGTTTTTGCGAAAGAAGAGAAAGAATGTGGTCGACCCTGCGCTCGTGAGTTGCTGCATTCCTAGACCATTGCGAAGCCTATTACCGATGTCAAGTTTGAAGCTAACAATGCTGGATAATGCTGCGCTCACAGGTTGCCGCCAAAGAAAAGGTGCAAAACCAGCGTGCCAAATTGGAGCGGGAAAAGAAGATCGCGTCAGGAGAGATCAAGGTCGAGACTGGGGCACTCGCGAGGTTCGGTTGAGCGCCGTTTGGGACGGCCTGTATATATTTACGTGCATGACGAGTGGATCGATATGGGATTGCACTTCAATGCAAGCAGGCTGTTTTTGGTGACCTTTCTCAGCGCCATCTCCGGCTCCTCATGATTCTTCAGCTCTGCAATGCTATCTCCGCGAGTTTGAGCTTGCACGGCTTGGCCTCAGTCGTCCCGAGTGAGATGAGCGGGAAACGTCATCATCTCGTCACGTGACACGAATTGGATGATCGAATGATGAGATCGAGCGATCGATGGGGATCTTTGAGCTTTGAGATTAAGCTTGCTCTTACAGTACCCTGAAGCTGCTCTGATTTAGTCAAGTCAAGATAATCCAGCTCATACCGAACCTAGAGCTCCCCTTCTGATCCGGCTTGAGCAACGATGCAGACACCTCGACTCGCCAAAGCCCTGCCGCGGGCGACTTCGGCTTGCCGACCCACTGCTCTCTTGACGAATGCCCAGTTCCGTAGAGTTCCCCCCGTCGTCACTTTCAGTCAGCCACCAGCGCGACCACAACTACAAGCAAGACGATGGTACAGCGGACCAGTACTGGATGAGTTGGACGCAAAAGCAAAGGACCGACCGAGGGGTCTTCGGATATCCCACTTGTTCGGGGCGTTGGCGCTGATGGGCATGTTTGTAACGACTTATGGTCTGTGAGTCTAGACGTTCCTGGCTTCCTTGAGCCTTTCGACTCCAGACGTAGACTAATACTCAGAGCTTCTTTGATTATACTGTAGATTGGAGTGGTATTTTGCTTTCAGTACATGGCCGCCGGAGGTACGGGATGATCTGAAGAGAGCTATCAAGGCGAGAAATAGGGGGGACATTGGAGGTAGCGAAAAGTTGTTTCAGAGGTACGCTCTTGACCCTCCTATTTATCTGGTCACATCGACCTCTTTCTCTCAATCTTCTTACATTAAAATTCGCCGTTCCTTCCACACAGCGCCATCGATAAAGCCCGTGCGCTTCCCCTACCTACCCTTGGTCAAGACCCGCTCTTGAAGCTCACTGGACTGTATATCACCCTGGCGGCGATGCATGAATCCGCTGGACAGCCGAGAAAGGCGTTCAGGATGTTGCAGGCGGGGCTGGGGATCATCGATCGGTACTCGGATTCCGCTTCAGATCATACATCAACATTGACTACAGCGCGAAGATCAAGCCCAGATCCGGCCGCTGCCTCAAATGCGGATGAGGACGCCTACGTCTTGACATCAAAAGACCATACTCGGGCTATAGCGATCTGTCAAAAGCTAGGATCCTTGGCTCTCCAAGCTAGCGAGCCCGGGCAGATCACACGACCTTATACACCCGGGGCTTCATCGTCTTCAGGGGGCCAAAGAACAGCGATGGATAGGGAATGGGAGGGCTTGGCAGAGAAATATCTCGTCAGGGCTCTGGAGGGAATGATCAGCTTGGGAGCGCCTCGAGAGTTGGTTTCTGCTACACCTTCGAAGACAAACTCGGAGACGACCAAGGTCGTGGGCCGGGACTTTATCTTCCCGGACGAGCAAGATTCTCCGTCGGAGAAGGAACAGGACAAGGGAGACCGAGAGATCAGTGGAGAGTCGATCGCCAAGGTGACCAGGAAGAGTATGGGTCTGACCATGGAGAGCTTGGCAGACCTTTACGCTAGGCAGGGCAAATTCGAGTGAGTTGATCCCGGTGTGACGGTCTCAACAATCGAGACCGAGATTGGGTTCTGATCGCACGATAACATCTCTCGATCGGGCAGTCGAGCGAACCCGCTATACGTCCAGGCCGTGAGCACGTTGTTGCCTCCGGATACGCCCGAGAAGAAATCGGTCGTCAGCGTGGCGGATCGGTGTCAAGGTGAGCTTTGTGGTGGATTACGTCTATGTGGCGGATGTTGATGGAATGTTGTGTATTGTTGTAATTGTATCGTTTGCGATCGTGATCTTGCGGTGGGTGACTTGATCTAGCCGCTATGGTAAGCCAGATCATTCGTCCCCAGTTTCGCCAGAATGCTGATCAACCTCTCATTCGATCATCAGCTCATCAACACCCTCTCGTCATCGCTCTTGAACCCGCCTACGTCTCAGAACATCACCGCCTCGAAAGCTTGGTCGTTACGATCCCTTCAGCTGGCTGATCGGGCCCTAGAGGAGGAAGCGAGCGATATCAAGGGGAGTGGTGCGGTGAAGAGCATCTGTGAGCGGGCGAGGATCGTTGCCGAATTCAATATGGGTGCATTGTTGGAGGTGAGTTTGCGGTTTCTCGACTACACAAAAGCGAATATCGCCAGAATCACTGATCCGATTCAACCCCTCTTGTAGATGGAAAAAGACGTGCCAGGCGCGATCAAGTATATGAAACAGAGCGTAGCCCATGCTAAGGCGGCTGGGTTCAGGGAAGGGGTGAGGGAAGGAGGGGATGCGTTGGAGAGGTTGTCACTGATGAAACGTAGTTGAAGAGGGTGAAGGGGTTGTTGTATCACGTGACCCCCATCCTTTTTACGTAATCGCGTCATCCCAACCAACAACAAACAAACAAACAAATCCGAGCGAGTTGTTTGAACTTCTACTACTCTACATATGCATCATCTACTCTACCTTGCATTCATACACTCATCCTCCTTCTCACTTCTCATACGATACCTTCACATCTCATGCCCTCGATGAAGGACCTCATTCAACTCTCGAGACACGACGACCACGACAATCCATTCTTGCAAAAACAAGCGACACCGGGACCTTCGAGACAACGACCACAACAACAAACACATCAACAACGACAATACACGCAACAAACTTTCGGACACGACACGTCCCACGGCAACGACCGAAACAGGATGAACATGATGAACAACAATAACGAGGCGGACATATCTTTCCCCATGCCTTCGCCCATCCCCGCTTCGAAATACGCTGAACAACGACGTCAGGTCGAATCTGATCTCGACCGGGACCTCGGTCTGGGCGGGTTGACGGACGACGACGAATTCGACAGCAATCACACTTTCAGCCGACTGGGAGGGTTCGGAAAGGATACGGTCGCCAACACTCGGTCGTTGATCCAGTCCAGGTCGATGTTGGATAGGCAGATGGGGTTCGATACGGATAGCGAGGGAGACGACGGGATGAACATTTCGAGAGGGACGGAGCAGTCTAGCTTTGATGCGCATGCGAGACGGTCCGGCCTGAAACTTCAACAGCCTCACCATAATCTCGACCTCGAGAGGAGAGACCAACTTCCGACCAGTGCAACCGAATCCTCCTCTTCCCTCTCGACCGCTTCCATCGAATTCGCACGTACCGCACCCGCTCAACAACATCAGAACCACGGGTTTTCCCACAACATGGACCTGAATGATTTCGAAAAGAGTCTCTTCGTCGGGGGTTCGCCCGTCTCTACCCTCGGACATCACGCTTCTGCGGTGACTTTCGGCGCTGGGATCTTTGCGAATAACAACAACAAGGGTGGGTATGCTGGATACGATGATGCGGAGGGAGAAGGGGCTGGAGAGTATGACCCGGAGAGGGGGATCGAGGGCTTGATTGCCGCTGCCAAGATTGTCCCGCCATCAGATAAGGGGGAGAAGAACGTGTTCCAGCACGACAGGTTAGTTCTGGCACACGCTCTCGTCCCCGATTCTATATGTGCGGTGTGGGCTGATCCAATCATGCTTTTGTTATCGTTGTATCACGTACGCAGCTACCAAAACCCACCTACGCAAAGGTCCATCTTTGGTCCGACCATCCCGAACCCTTCTCAGCGACATCTCCACCGACCAGTTCAACCTTCTCCGTTGAGGGTACAAGCCAACTCTCCCTTGAACACCTTGTCGACTACTACGTTTGGATCTCGGTCGGGTTCGGGTTCCCAAAAACAACAGGATGTGAGGAGGGCTTCTAGCGGAGGTGCTCTCCCCGAACAGGCCGAGGCGAAAAAGAACAACAATCAGAGCCAGGGTGGCCGGAGGATCTCGGAGGGAAGGAAGGTAATGAGCCCCATTGACGGGTTCGACAACGCCCGTCCCGCATCTAGCCAACGTCGGGTGTCAGACAAAAAGGGCGAGAGTAACACTCCCACTGCTAGCGCTACCACATCGCGAAAGACCCATCACCTGGATCTTATGGAAGGGGCCAACCCGAAAGTCCGGATCGTATCTGCCTCGAGCACTCAGCTGGACCATCGCCAGAGGCCCGAGAGGAGCTTGTCGGCTTCCAATAGCAGGTCATTCGTCGGCAATGGAACGGGAATGGGGGATCTGACGGGGTTGACGGGGATGTTGGCTACACCTGCCAAGGGTCTCTTGCATCGACGGGTGGGCGATGATGGGGAACGTCGGCAGTCTGGAGGTAAATCTTCTCTCGGTAACACTGCAATCGGTCCGGCCAGTTTAACTGATCACCAATCCCACTCCTCTTGAAATAGCCAATATCGACGGAGCGCTGCGCAAGATGGAGTCCGATATGCAGGTCATGAGGAAGGAGACCGAACAGTCACGATTGAGAATCAGGGATCTGGAGCTCGAGCTGGAGCAAGCTAGAATCGCGGCGTCAAGGGCTGAACGAGAGGCGGAAAGGTATAAGGGTGAAAAGGTGGAATTGCAAGATGCCGTGGACAGGTTGAAGGATGAAAAGACGGGTATGTTTTCGGTGACTTGGTGGTCGAGTTTATGCAAAGAGCGCTTATACTGATGGCCTGGCTCTTGTTCTCTTTCCGTAGCCCTCGAGTCTCTGGTAGAAGCGCTGAAGGACGACGTCTTCCGTCTCGAAGCCAACTTGGACAAGGAGATGGGCCGAGTCCACATGATCCAGCAAGAAGTACAAAAACGTACTCCCGCTCGACCATTGCGAAACAAGGCCAACGAGGTGCCATCGCAAGCGATCGAATTGGGCGATCTCTTGCCACTGGTCAACCATCTGACGCGTAAAGTTGACGGGCTCGAGACAGAGGTGGCTAGGCTCAAGGACGTTGTCGAAGGTGCTTATGAGAGGACTGTGGGTGAGATCAACTTGCCCTTGAAGACCAAGCAGTCGATTGGCCAGGAAGATCAGGTTAGTCGAAGTCGGTGATTTCGCGTCAGAGATAAGCTTGGCTGACACCGTATCTGGTTGCAGCGTCCGCCTAGCCGAGCTCATACCGACCCCGGTCGCAAGTCGCAATACGCTGAAGGCGTACAGACTGCCGCCTATTATGACATCCGCTCGGACATTTCGGACGCTCCTCAGACTGCGCCGATCAGATCCAAGGACGAAGCCAAGTCTCGCAAGACGATGATGATGACTGAAGCCGCTCAGGACGACGGTGACTCATCGCCCACCCCTCGATCTCGCGTTTATAGCGATTCTCGTTCGTTGTCTGCGCAGCGCAACCGAGACGGCGAGGATGAGGATGCAGAGGGACATCGACCGGGTCGAAAGAGCGTGCACGACTCCAGGTCAGACGAGCCACAGGAAGACCCGGCGTCCTCACCCTTCCCGGCCATTCGGGGCAACAAGCTCGAACGAGAGTTCTTTTCTCCCGCACCAAAAGCAGCGAGAGATCAGACCAAGCCCAGGCAGACAAAGGACTTGGCCGCCCGAGTTGAGGACGCAGAGGACGTCGATGAAGGATACGGTGGCGAGGAAATCATTCATACGGCTGTTATAAGCAAAACCGCTGTTCGGCCTAACAAGGACTCGGCCAAACGAGTCGCTCAGGAGATTGAGCACGAGCTTGACGGCGGCAAGGTCCCACCGCAGACCAATGTAATGAAAGTCTTGCGCGAGTTGGAAGACGATTACAAGCACTATCTGAGGTGAGTTTTGCGTCGTCCTGGCCTGAGAATTCATCTTGAGAGGCTGAGCGGCTCTGCTATATACAGCATCTATACCGATCTTGCCGAGCAGTACCGTCGGATGAGTCCCTTGTCCACCAAGCGCAACGTCTTGGCTGAACACCTCAAAGAGGTCATCGATACTATGGAGCAGAAGGTGAGCTTAGCGCGGAGTGCAGCGCGACAACAGCGAGTTTGCTAATGATTCTGCCGTGTCGTTTCCAGGCCAACCAAGTCGCTTGCTTGACCGAAGTCTTGGAAGTCCGCGACAAGCCGTACATGGCTCCGGTCATCAAGGCCGCTCGAGCTTCCAAGGCAAGGATGAGCGTCCCCGAGACTGTCCGAGCGATTCGCAAGGACCTCGGACCGGGTGCCATCGCCACTCCTCAGCTCAAAATTACGCCCAGACGTCGATCGGGCCGCCACGTTGCCATGTAGATTTTAACGACGTCTTGTCTCTCCGTGTTCTCTTACCCATTATAATGCCGTCCGAGTTCTCTCTTGTAAATATACCTGTTTGCTCTTGACGATGAACTGAACCAATCCCGATCCCGATTTCGACATGAACAGAGCCTGCATATGACGCTCCCATACAACATATATGGCTTGTACAACCTTTCCCCGCAAGGATATTCCAGGCCGTGCTGGATACGATTGTCGGTAATACACGTCTAATCAGACTCGTCCCCCAAATCGCTCAGCTCCGACTCTTCCTCCTCGCTCGACTCGGCCTTTCTCTTCTTTCCCTTGGAAGAATTCTTGGTCGCCCTCGGCTTGGCCGCCGTCTTTTTCTTGCGCTTGCCGCCCTCTTCGGGCTGTTTCCTGCCCCCGTTGGCCTTGATCAAGTCGTCGATCGGGCAGACCATCTGCTCATGTTGTGGCCGATCCTTGACGGGGATCATTCGACATTTCGGGCTGATCCCAGAAAGTTTGCGTGGCATAGAAGATCAGCCTTCGGGAACAAACGCAGACCTGGTCGACGTAACACTCACCAGTACTTTCCGTGCTTCCAAAACAACCCATGCAAATCATACTTCATCTCATCCGGTATCCTCACGTCGCAATGAGAATACGTCTGATTCCTCGTCGCATAACCCGGAACCCATCCCAACCACCTACACAACCTCCACACGTGGGTGTCTACGGCGAAGCTCCCTCGACCGAAATTGAACAGGATGACGCAGGAAGCGGTTTTTACCCCCACGCCAGGGTAGGAGGTGAGTTTGGACATGGCTTCGTCGGTGGAGAGGGCGTGGAGGTAATTGAGGGAGAGGACGTTGGCGTCGGCAGTATAAATCTCGTCAGAAAGTTCTTGAGAGGTCTCTCGCTTGACGCCGGGAGGGAGGTGGGAAGATTCGCCGGCGGTCTCCTTTGGCGTTTCCTTCTTGGCGGCGAGGATGGCTTCCCGTCGCTCTTGGTTCTCCTCGTGAACCATATCCAGCACAGCCTTGATGTTTTTGCTCTTGTTCTGCGCCAGACCTCCACACTGGATAGCCTTGAACAACTCTTGCTGCGTCCCCAGCCGAACCTTGTCCCAATCAACGCTCCCTTTCCCGATCCCTTCCGTCAACAGTCCGTACTTTTCGACAATGTTCTGGAAAGCGCGGGACGAGTTGGCCGTCGTCGTCGCTGCAGACAACATGGTCCTCATCAAGGAATCGAGTACTGCCGGGACCTCTCCGCATCCGGGGACTGTCACTGAGGGTAACATGGTCCGTTCGGGTTTCTCGTGGACGGTGGACAAGAGGTCGATGACGTTTTGACATTCTTCCCGGGTGGGGTGAGGGTAGTCAGGGAAGGGGGTCTGACCAGGGGTGAGGTTGTATTTGTTCTTGTTTTTCGGGGCCGTCTTGGGCTTGGACTCGGCGGCGGAACCGGTACTACGACCAGACGGGGGGTTCTCGACCAATTCGCCGATCGCATCGTCGAGCTCGTCGACTTCGTCCTCGGCTTCGAGCTTGGCCGAGCGTTTCGAGCGGGTCGATCGTCGCATCGGCCTGGATGCAGCAGGTGCGCGGTCCTCCTCCATCTCGTTCTCATCTCCCCTGGCCTGAACAGTTCCCTCTCCGACTCCTGGTTTTACCTCGTCTTCCACCTTTGGTCTGACACCCCTCAACTCCTCCATCTTCGGGTTGACTTCCGCCGATGGCTCCTCCTCTGCTCCAGGCTTGACTTCCGGCTCCGCCTTTACCCTATTCGCTTCACCACCCTGCTCAGCCTTGACTTTAGGCTTAGTTTCAGCCTCATCTTCTTTGACACTGTTCGACGTTGAGTTCGAAACGTCTTCATCCTTGACGACTGCCTCTTCGGTTTTTCTCCGCTTGGATGATCGGCTGGCTGGTGCGGCCGATCGAGTGCTTGGTGGTGCTCGTGCCATGTCGTCCGGAATTCCTTTTGATTTCAGGTGGATGTCCACTATTGAACCGTCTACTCGATATGTCCTAGAGCAGTGTGTGCTGCGTAAGACACATCAACTATATATGCACCTATGAGAAACAGTAGTGAGTAGTGACCAAGTAAGTGGGTAATGAAAACGTCTCGAACACGATCGAGGTCGTCATCATCGATCATCCGATCATACTTCGGAAGCAGATAGACCAGTGGATCGGAAGCAAATGACGTAAGCGTCGTTCTGCTGGGGTGTGGTCGTTGATGAGCAGATGTCGTCGAACGAGCAGTAACTGGTAGATGTCGACCAGGATCGTGTTCTTGCGTTCTTGTATCATCTCGGTCGAATGCTCAGGTCACAGCCTAGAACATTCCTAGCATCCATTCGCAACGTCTACTGCGCTTCGCCCATCATGCCCAAACGAGCCGCACCTGCCTCCTCCTCTTCTTCCGCACCTGCAGCTACGGCCTCGAACCCCCTCTCGATCGATTATGCCCAGAACCCTACAGCCTACCGCATCCTACGGGGAGAGATGAACGTGTTCAAGACGAACCCTTATTCGGCCGACTTGAAACCGTTGTGGAGGTTCAAGGATGAGGCGGCGGCGAGGAAGAGCTCGGAGGCTCTGTGGGAGAGGTTCGTCGGGTATCGGTGGGTCGCTGGGCAGCTTTCCAAGATGCATCGATTCACGGCGACTGACTGTATTTACGATTTACCGTTGTGCAGTGACAAGAGCGATTTCGTCGGGTAAGTCCGCGCTGCCTCCTACCGTCCTCTTCAAAGTCCATCCTGATACGACAAACCCTTGGTACCTCGCACAGCATGGATGTTACCCGCAAATTCCTCCAAATGGGCTATACCCGCTCAACTCGGTACGCTCTTCGCCCCTCTGGACGTAAATACAACCCATCGACGGGGGCAGAAATGTCCCGCACGGGAGAGATTTGGGACGAGGAAAAGTACCGGGGAGCGAGTGTCTTCAAAGATGCTTGGAAGAGGGTCGAGGGGGATGAGATGTACGCGTCGGAGAGAGCGAGATGGGAGGTCGAAGTCGAGGGGAAGAGACCGAAGGCCATATTGAAGACGGGATTGAAATCGGAACCGGAACCGATCGGTGCGACTGGAAACAGGCCCCATGTGGAGACTGAGGACAGGAACAAAGTCGAGAGTATGCATTCACACGAGGACGACGCATCAACAGGGTCACATTCGAGAAAGAGAGAGAGAAATATCAAAGTCGAACCCTCGGACCTAGAGCAAGAGCAAGACCAAGACCTCCTCCGGTCGATCAAAGAGGACGAGAATGACGAGCTCGGCAGGATCAAAGGTCGAAACGAAGCGGGTGATGACGAGGTAGCCGAAGACGTCAAACCGGCTAAAAGGCAAAAGACCTCGCAATCATGCTCCAGCTCGAAACCCTCGCCAAAGCATGAGACGCCGATGAAAGCAAAGACAAGGGAGGTTGCGAAACCGAGACGTATCCAGGACGGGCCGAAGCGACGGACGAGGAGCGATGGGCCTGTTAAATTCGAACCGGATGTATAGAGGACGAACGAGGACGTAATATACATAGTCGGGCTGTTTGTTCTTCGCAACAGATTCACGCTGTCAAGGGTATGTAGCCATGAATTCAACACTACTGTATTCGTAATTTATGACTCGATAGTCAGCTCGATCTCGATATGATATGTTTCAACAAGAACCCGCACCAGGATACGCCCGGCGCTCGTTGTGGTTGATGGAGAGACTGATAAAATCGTAGATGGTTCTATGCTGTAGCAAACCACCTCACCCTATAGGCGGTGAAGCCGACGTGTATATGTACAAACGAGAAGATCGAGAGAATACGTTGAGAAACGAGGACAGGCGAGACAGGTCGTTGTAACACAAAAAACAGACATGCTTCGTAAAGTGATGCGTAAAGCATCGGCGTCGTTCTACTAGGAGGTAGGTAGATTGCTGGCTGGTGGCCCTGAGCTGGGCTGGACTATTCCGACGCGGATGGGTTCTGTGATTATTGCCCGATGTCCAGCTTGTCGAACCCGGGGACGGGCTGCGATGCGCCCGACATCTGCTGACCGTCCGGCGTCGCTTGGTCGTCCGACTTCTGCTGTTCGTTGGACTTTGGCTGCTTGTCCGACTTCTTGTCGTCCGGCTCCTTCGTAGGAACGGCCGACCTTTTCACGACTCGTTCCGGCAGTTTCCCATTGCGAGGCGTCAACCCGCCATGCTCCTTTTCCTAGACTCGACAACAAAAATCAGCTCAGATGCAGGAGCCCGAGTGTTCTGAGACCGTTCGCTCACTTTGCCTTCCCTGGCCTTCATGTCCGCCACGATCACCCTCAAGCACGAGACGAACAGCTTGACAGTATGGTCGAGCATGATCTGGTGCATAGTCAATACCGCGCCGATGAACGTCTTCGGGTCGTCCACCCAGTTCCCTTCCACCGCTTTACAGTAGACCTGTAGAGAAAGAAAGCTAAGCGTCAGTGTCCCTGGCATGTAAAGGAGAGCCTGACGTTCTTTGACCCACAAAATCGACTTTTTCGTGGAGCGGGTTGATTGCGATGCCATGAATCTGCCATTGGGGTCCCGCGATGACCATGGTGAGGCAGCATGGATCCAAGGTCCTGAAATCCGGGTCAATCGAGGTAGCATAATTGATCAAGTCCTGCTGTTTGCCGCACTATGAACGACATCAAGGTCAGACGATCAGTCTTTCGCTGTGAGATTCCTGCATTGCCCAGTTGTATCTACTCACAATGAATGCTCCGGCGTTGACTGCTTGGTTCTCGCCTTGTTGCAACATAGCCAACGTCCCGGAGTTTTTCAATTCGAGGATGTCAATCACGATGTTTCCATGCATTCCTGCAACGGTGGTGCAGCAGTACGAAACCTGATGAAATTCGGAGTTCAACAGCTGCATGAGCGATAATTCTTGCGAGGAAGCCGGGCAGGGAAACTGACTTCGGCCGTCTCTACGTATTTGTGCAACGTGTCCAAGGTGGCCTTCGATAGCAGCTCGATGATCTCGGAGAGGTCAGAAGTATCGACCTTGGCGACATCGTGTTGCCGAGGCATATGAAAGTAATCCTGGTTGGCGACCTGCTCGCAAATGACGTAGAGGGGGCTCGCCGGCTGACATTTGCCTTGATCAACGCAGATGAGGAAGGAAGTATCTACTTTCGGTTGGGAGAGATCCTCGAATCGTTCGAAACATTTCGGAGCGTAGTTCCAGGTGCTAGCCCTGTGAGGGTTGTAAATGAGGCACCATGTCCTATTGCGGTTCATGGACGGCTCGATAATCTTGGAAATGTGCAGATGCATGTGTAGGTGGAGCGACCATTCGTTGTTATCGAAAAGGCCCTTTGTCTGCGCTTGACCAAATTGCTTTAGGCCATCCAGGCAGTCGGCATATGCTACCTGCACATCTGGCTTTGCAAGAGCTTTCTCGGCGGTCTTTTCGAAAGCCTAGATAAGGCGTTCGCTTCTTTGTCAGTACAAGAATACTTCGAAAGGAGGTTATGGTGTTGATTCACTTGCTGAGAAAGGTCCGACGGCTTGAACGGGAACTTGTATAGCGAGAAAAGCCTATCGTTGATGAACGGCTCGGGCTTGATCTCGTTCCTCTCCATTTGGGCTCGATAGTGGCGAGCAGAACCCTGACCGGCACTAACGTAAGACGGTGATAAGGAAGCCGAATCGCTCATGTCGGAATCACGGTCGAAGTCGTATTCGGGTTCTCCGTAGCCAAAGTTTTGTTGGAAACTGTCTGGTGTTGCCGGTCGAGAGCCATCGTATGGGTCCGGATGGCAAGAAGCGTTCGCAAAGGAATCAGAGACCGCCTCGGCTTCATGAAGGGCGCTTTTCGTTCCGTTATTCATGGCATTAGATTGAGAGGGCAAAGGCGTGAGTAGCTTGGGACTATGCTCGAGGCGACAGTGCCAGGTCCTTTGAGATGCGCCTTTCGTACGAAGCTTCAGTTCTGAGGTGGTCGAGGGATTCGAGAGACGGAAATACGCACCTGAGAGGCTCGAGTGAAGTTAGGTATCTTGATACCAAAATTCGGTTGGCCGCCCTTGAGGCGAAATGGAGGACAGAGCCAGATTCTTGAACCATTTCATGAATTGCCATCAGCATCAATCAGCCATCGATCGGTCTTGACCGTTGCGGATGTAAATATGCTTCCGAGAGGACAAGCATGTAAGCGGACGTCGAAGTTAGTAGAAGATGTCCGTTCATCACCCGGGGCCGCCTTGAATCGTCGTGAAGGGTGTTCTCTGGGCCAGGGCAAAGTCGCCTGACGTCGTTGGCACGCATAGACCCGAACCGACCTGTACCCTACATGGCTTGCGAAACGTTGTTGGGTCTTCAGTTGGCGTTCTGCTTCTTCAGACGCGTGACTTGGAATCGCGTACCAGTCTCGAAGCTCGACGGTTTCATCAGTGTAATTGCACCGCGCACAGAACACCACAAGGAACCGTTTCGACGAGCGACGAGCGAACAGGACAATAATAATATAGCAACAGATATGCTGTGTAGGACGTGTAGGCGCATTGGTTTCGTATCGTTCGGAAAAATCGTGACCCCTTGTTTCCGCACTCGCCCTCGCTCCGATCGCAAATGAAGACAAGAAGGACGCCATCAGGGCAAAACGCCGAGATGGGTCCGGAAATCGGTACTCGGAAGGTCGGGATCGACGGAGGTCCAAACAAGTCAGCTTCTCCCTTCTCGAGGTGAACGCTCAGCTTCCAGGTTCACTGGCTACTGGCCACTGATGGAGGACACGGCTTGGGCTACGAAAAATCTATGCTGTACCCTGTATGCGAAGTCCGCCGTCACTGCATGCTGCATGCTGTGAGGTTGCCATCCGGGACGCATGATTCACGCATGGGAATCGGGAGAGGTGACTACTCCGGCTATGGCAAGCGAGCGAAAGGGGCGCTCATTCTGTTCAACGTGATGCGCACATGCGATAGAACGTCGAGAGGGTTTGCTCTATTCCTGGGATGCTGCTAGCTGCTAGCTACAGCTGCTTGAGGCTGATCTTATTTGATGTGCAGAGCCACAAGCTGCGAGGAGTCAAACGCCGTAGGATGCCGTGCCATACCATGCCATGCCATTGAGTTCGCGCTACTTCGTGATCGACCTCCCTCGCGCCTTCTCTCCCTTTCACCTTCACAGCCGAGGGGTTGCGGTTGTCTCGCATCCCTACAGCGCTACAGCGATATCCACCTCTCGCCTCACGGTACTGCTATGATTGCAATTGCACTCCGGAAGTAGGGTTCATATGGGTCCGGTCATTTGAGCGCCATACGCGTCGTATGGCTTGAAAATAGCCGACATATCAATAAAAGAATGGCTGGCTGATATGACGTGCCAAAGTTCGAGTATTACTGTAAAATACGCGTGACGCGTTCGACACGTCATTAAAATCACGTGATACGACCATCATACGACCCCTCGATCACAACAATACGACGTCGATTCTGATTCATCAACCTGCCATCTTTGATGTATATTCCGCCACCGATATGCCACACGATACCACCAGCTCCCGTTCGGAACGGCCAGTTTGATAACCGATTACGGTATAATCGATATAATTGCGTAATACACCGAGATATCTAATCTAATCTAGTCGACAAATCGCGCATCGCCGGCCAGCTACCCTCCTTTGGGCCTTGAGGTCTCCCGCCAATCCGTCGACATGGCCCCGCAACCTGGCGGTCAACTCACATCGACTGGCTATGTTCCCTCCCCACTGTCGGCAGAGGCAGCCTCTCGTTCTGAAACAGTGTCTCCTAATGCACGAGTGCAAGCAAGCCATCACCGCATGAACGAGATGATGTCGGCGTCGGGCTCTGATCAGCCGAGAACGGGTAGCAACGGTACGAGCAGTCAGACTTACCGGGGAACGTCAATCGATCGCAGCTGATGTTTCTACTTGCACTGCTACGCCCACATAACTCTAGGTCAACCCGCACGCTCTATGGTCAACCGGATTGGTCTCGCCGATCGCGACTTACCTCCCATCAATTCTCCATCCCAAAGGACACCCACTCCCATCTCTCGACAGAACTCCGGCTCTTCGTCCTCTGTCCTCCCAATCTCCATGAGACCCCAAACCACCGTAGGAAGGAAACAGCGAACAGAAGGACAGCAAGCACAGAACGAGCAGATCAGCAGCCTTCAAAGCCAGTCGAACGTACAGTCGCAACTCACCACGTTGCAAACAAAGCTGGATACCCTAATCAGCCGATTCGACAGCTATGTGCGAGAGCGAGATCAGCAAGATGAGCTGCGAGATCAGGAACTGAAGTCGTTGAAACAAGAGATGGCAGATATGAAGGAGAAGGAGAGAGAAGATGGATCGTCGACGGATGCGGAGGTTCGGCCCAGCAACGCCCCGACCGAGACCCAGAAGAGGGACATCTCCCGGCTCGTCAAGAGTGCCATCCAAGCTCTTTACGGCCAGGCGAAGCCGTCCGTAGGATCCGATCGATGCGAAGGAGACGATATGCGCTGGAACTACCTGGAAGAGCCAACATCGACTCACAATCATAACCAGAGTCTCAGGGTGATCGCCGCCGTTGTCGAACAACGAGAGTCGCTATCCCTTCCATACGATACCAATCGGGCCTCGATCCTCGAGTACAAGGATGCAACAGATCTGTACTGGTCCGCGATTAAGGCGCAATTCGCCAAGCATCAGTCGACCTTCAGAAAACAAGCGATCAAGGATTGGGGAACGGGAGGTGAAGACGGACCTCGAGCTGCGGCCGTAGCTAATCTGGCGGCAAAGGAGGAAGAGCTCCAGGCTTTGGAGGAGGAGGGAGGCGCGACAGTAGATATCATCAGCTTGCAGCAAGAGATCGACACACTGAGGGAGAAGATTGAGTCGAACGACGACAAGTATGAGGCTTACCTGGAGAACAAGTCGAATGGGGTCCGGAGCAAGTTGACGGCAGTGAGTACCTTTTCGCACCTCCCACTTGCCAGGCGTGTATAAGCTGAACCTTGGACGGTCCAGATGGAGAAACTTATGCAGAACCGACGTACTTTCACGGCATATTCCTCGCCCCAATACGAAGGACTGGAATGCTGTTACTGGTTGCCGGCGTTGTATCCTGTCATCTCTGGTGACGAGACCAAATGGTATCGTCCCAATACCAAACCGGTTCTGTCGGAGAAGGTCAGTCGACCAGTCGAGGGCCATTCCTATAATCACCACTCACCCACGAAACCTTTTGACGTTCAGTTCATGAAGCTGTACAACACTATCAAGGACACAAAAGTCGTCAGTGCGGGCTCTCGTCAAGGCGGCAAACCACCTAGCGGACCTACCTTTGAAGCAGAGGAGTCGTACCCCGAAGGTTTCGAGCCCCGCGTCGTCCAGATGTATCCCGTCCCGAATCACAGCTTCCTACATCAGGCCCCGCAGCGATGGATCTTCACCAGCGCCTTCCTAGAGGATCCCGAGAACGAGGATGCTGTTCGGAACATCGTCCCGGTTGACGTACCGACTTCGTTCGAAGACGTCAAGCAGCTCGAATGGTACAAGAACCATCCCTGGGTTTTGCAGAAGGCTCGAAACGAAGCCAGGAAAGCCAAGGTCGCTGCTGCTGGAGGCAAGAAGGCCGCTGCCGGAAGCAAGAAGGCTTCCAAGGCTGTTGCTGGAGATAAACGCCGCCGACAGGGGTCTAGTCAGCCTACCGATACCGACCGATCTCAATCGGCAACTGCCGGTCCCAGCAACCCTCACCGAGCCCGTGCCGCCCAGTCCGCCCAACGTACCATCAAGAAGGCGAGAGCCGCCCCCAACGATACCGGCACCGGCTCGGAGTCCACGACCTACCCGTTCAGTCCCGACGGCGGAACCGATACAGAGGGTTACAAGTCCCCGCCCCCGGCAACTACACTTGGTCTGGATCAGCCGGGCTTGTCCAACACCACCTGGATGTCGGGACAGGCATACGCACCGCACAATCCCGACCCGTACTCCCGTCCTACTGCCACGCCCTTTCAATATGTCTCCAATCATCAGCCTGCGCAACAGCAGCAGCAGCAGCGCTTTCACTTACCCGCTCAGCCAACTTCGAATCCGATCAGTCCGGAAATGATGATGCAGTTTCAGCAATGGCAACATCTCCAACAAAACGGCGGACAGAACACCCAGCCTACTCACAATTCACGCTACCAACCTCAACCCCCAACCTCGACTCTTTCCCACTACGCCACCATGATGTCCACGCCTTTGAACGGAGGTCCTGCCCAGCATCTCCCGTTCAACGGGGGTGGTCGCTCTCCTTTGCCTGGTCCCCAACACCAGTTCATCAATTACGAACAATGCGACCCATCCACCAAGACTTACTCACACGAATCCACCGGGGATCCTTTCTTTGATTATAACAACCGAGCCAGCAGTTCCGGTGCCCGCGCTCCTCCCGGTCGATGATGTTTGAATTGTTTAGAAGCGCCGTTTGGTCTGATGTATATAGCCAACCTAATGTCATGTCAGGCTAGATTCTCATGATCGCCAATCGCAGCCGCGTCGTCCTGAGGCCCATCCGATTCGAGCCAGAACTCTGGCTCCTCGCCGTCCCGATCACAGGATACGGCGACGATGACGTTCCCATCTGCGCAGCTGACAGATTTTGAGGTGATGACCGATGCACTCAGTGCAGATATGGGGATGAACCGGGCCTCGGGAAGAGCTTCCTGGTGATAGACCTTGTAACCAAGGTCGATGTTCCTATAGCTCCATGGATATGAGTCCGGTCCGGCTGGTCGATAGACATCCACTAAGACCAATTCGAGGTCCAGCTGAGGCATGTCCCGCACGACGAGGGTGGCTGTTAGGAACAGGCGTAGGCGAACGAGATCTCTGGTACCCTCCGTTACCGTTGCCAGTGCGAATTGATCTCGTACACTGCGGTTGTATAGTGCAGAGCAGAATCTAGTACGTTGGAAACGATCAGTTGTCGGGTAACGTACGAGAGCATAGGACATGGACGGGTACCTACTTGAAGCCGTGGAACACCACATGAGTGTGGAGGCTGTAACGCTCCGAGCTTGCGGGCAGATAAGGTCTCCTGTCTAGCATTGCGAGGTTCCCGACGAATCGATATTCGGGGTGAGCCAACGTCACGTACCGCAGCAGGGCCGCGTATGCTTGATCGTGAACGCGCAAGTCCACGCCTACTTTGACAGGGGGTGGAAGTCGTGCAGTGCGGTTGGCTTCTCGGACTTCGGCGAGCATGACTGTCCCACGTGCCTTCTCTTTATCTGCCAACAACCTCTCGATCGCTCGCCTTTCGGTGGGAGTGATATCCGGAGCGGGGTTGTGGAGTAGAGCGGCGAGACATGCCTCCCTGATCCATGCTCTCAACAGGGTGGTGGGTATATCGCGTTCCTTGGTATTGTGGTTGACGTTGGCTAGGCTGCCGTTATTCCTCTCGAATGCGAAACATGCGAATCCTGAGATCGGTCCGTAAAGCTTGACGTGGCTGAAGACATGGCCGAGAGCGAGGTAGAGTTAGATGACTGGTCTGGAGCTACCGCCGAACAGGGAAGGATCACTCACTCCGCGTAATGCATGGCGTTATGCCAGTTGATCGTCAACTTTCCGCCAAGGCAAAGCACCGTTCGAGCGCAAATCGCTAAGTCCTCCGTCGCATCTTGTGCATCCGAGAGGCTGATAAAATGAGAATCCAGCACCCGGATTCCGCTGCAGAGCGAAACTGCAGCAGCGTACCAGAGCGCTCTGTTGCGTCTGAAAGGAACATCGTCCTCGCCTTCCCTAGATCTCCTCTGCTTCTTCTTTTTGCGAGGTCGGCCAGCTGGTCCACGCTGGATCTCAAAACCTGGCGTGTCTTCTCGTTGACCGTCTTCGGCCTTGACCTCAGGATCGAGGTCGACGTCGTCTATGCCATCGGAGTCCTCCTTTCGCCACGCGATCGACAGCGCCAGGACGAGTAGTTGTGAGATTCGCTTCCATTGGTCGGCCTTCAATCCAGCTGCACGTCCAGCGAATACCTGTCTAGTAACATTCGAGGGAAGACGGCCTAGATGTCCCGGATACTGGGCCTTGTTAAAAACCTGGGCGAACAAGTCCATTCGAGAGACGCCCTCGAGCTCCCCTTCAAACATGTCGTTATCACATAGAGTGTTGACGAACGACTTCACCAATCCCAGGTATAAATTGTGAAGGTGATCCACTGGCGCCGTTTTGGAGTGTGCCATCCCGGTCAGAGTGTTTAGGATAGAAAATCGAACGCCGAATCTGTCTTCGATCGCTTTCGCAGTACGTCCAGACTCGGCGTCCTCGTGGTGGAAAGATTGCTGTAGCAAGGCCTCCGGGTTGACTTCCTTTGCCGGCAAGTGACGCCAATCGTATCCTCGTGCGGTATTGACGTCGACCAGCGGAATCCCGCAGTGATGACAGGGATGCTTGCCGTGGGCATGGCTGACGGCACCGATCACTTTCTTTGTAGCGGGGAGGTCACAGGCCGTAAGTAAGAGACGAGCGCTCACCAACTCGAGATCTTCGCCCCGTCCCATAGCGGTCTTGCCAATCGGATGCGTAGGGATGTACAGCCCTTCCTCGCAGTGTCGAAAATCTCGGACAATGGGCTCGAGGATTCTGTTCAAGAACGTCAGAGAAGGTTCCTCAGGGCCTGGTATTACGCACAACAACGCCGTCCACTTTTTGCGGAACATCATATGGCGGGGGAGGTTGGCGATGGAGGCATATACAGCGCCTACCGAGTATCCAGGCATGTTTTTGACTCGAAACCTATTCGACCAGCGCAATCAACACGAGGTTCGTCCGACTATAGCACCCTAACCAGGCTGATTCGCTAGGTTCCACTCACCAGTCGACGTTCAAGATGATGTGGAGACCGTACGCCAGATATGTATGACGGAACAGAGGATCTGGATTGTCTTCCACCTGCTCGTCCCGGACAGTGTTGTCGCCGTAGACCGACCGCAAGACATTGCCAGCGAATGATCTCCACGCCGAGCCGTCCGAAATACCGCGCATGACTTCATCTGGATGCACGACGGGATCGTTGATATCCAGAACGTCGGGCTGCCAATCACCGAGAGACTCGTCGCGCCAATGCTGCAGGTTTCGTACGAATTCTGCATCTTGCATGTAGAGAGCGAGCCACGTAGAGAGCGGTACGTAGGGTGCGACCTTTATCGGAGTTTTAGCCTTGTTGATGGTGGAATAGATTGAACCCTCGCACGTCTGAGCATCGCTAAGAGGAGCACCGCATCGAGCGCTATCCAGATCATTAAGCCGGTCGTAGGACGTGAGCCACCAACAGTCAGGACAACAAATGTAACGTTTGATGTAGTTGTCGCCAATGACGCCGAGCCTTGACATTGCTGTTCGCCAATTGTTTGTGGTACGACTGTCGGAACCGAGGTAGTCTACGAGATCGTCTGGCCCGGCCGGTTCCGGTTCGCCTCCTCGTGCTTCGACAGCGATCTGAGCCGTGGCGGTTAGCTGTTCAAGCAGTTGATCGGCCTGCCGGTCGGGTGTCCCAGACATTTTGGCGTATGCTATCGTGATGTAGGCGGACCGGGTCGCAGGAGTGAGGTCGTGGTGTTTCCTTAAACTCTCGACACGAACCACACGATGACCATCTACTTGCTCGACGTCTTGGTTAGCGTCGTCGTTACCTTCGTCCTCATCGAGATCGAATGGATCTTCCAGCCGTTCAGCTTGTTCTCCGTCATGGTCTGAATGCTGGTCTGAAAGGGCTGCGTCCCATTCCGCAGGCTCGATCTCACTCGCTGAGTCTGGGTCAAAATCGTAGTCAAAGTTTTCGTCGGCGAAGAGAGGCTCTGGGGATATGCTGGCGGGAGACCTGGAACCGATCGGCTCTTGGTTTAGCTCAATCTCCTGGAACGGCTGATGTTGAAGCTCGAATCGCTGCTGTACTGCGACCCCCGAGTTGTGTCGCCTCCAGGAGGTATAGGAGATGATACGAAAGCCGAGTTCCCACTTGGAGCATTCCCGACACCGACATTCCCGAGGAGGTGGCATCGTGCCAGCTAAAAACGAGGATGGGATTGAAGGAACCGAAGAGAGCCGAGGCGGATGTAGTGGGACTAAAGGTTGAACGAATGATTGGTATTTTGAGAGCGGCAGCTGCTAGAGGCTGGGTGAGATTATACAAGTCTGGATCGACGATAGATCGATAGATGCGGGACGTAGAGTGTATCAAGCTAGGATCCTGGATTCGAGATTGCTGGAGCAGCGAAGTTGGTATCTTAGGTCTCGCAGCATCTAGCATGCAGGATGTTGGGACGAGGCAACGTTGTTGTTCGGCCCGTTTGGTCGCATCTTACAAACGAACACAATACGACATCTATATGACACACGGACATCACCTCGTTTTCATGTCCGCTCGTATGGCAATGATATGATCGTCATATGAGCGCCAGCGATCACGTGAAGTCGATACGACCTCTATACGAGCCATATGGCAGTGAAATTGCCGGATCCATACGATCGAATCTCCCGGAGTGGCAATTGACTGCTGGCTGCTGGCTACTGGTCGAACTGGTCGGACTGACACGTTTGTTTCTCGTCGTCTCGTCTCTTCCTTTTGTTCTCGGCCCGAGGTGGATCACGTATAGCACTTATCGTATCGCACCGCCATATTCATCCGAACGTGTTGCCATACCGACATACCCCGTAACCTTCGCCGACCTCATCCTCGCTTTATCCCGCTTTAGCTAGTCTCGTCTCCCAAGACTGACGAGGACAACAAGGAGACGGCGACGATCAGCGACAACGTCGATCCTTCTTCTGCTGGAAGCTCGGCGGAATTCGAGATCAAACGAAACGAGACGTCGACAACGACTGCAACAACGGAACGTACGGGATCACAATCGAACCCGGAATCCCTCTTCTGAACTTCTGTCTCACATTCTCGAGCCGACTTCGACAACAGCGCTTCGGCCTCTGATCCGTGATCTTGTTGTCCGGCCCCCGAATCGTATTCGATCAAAGGACCTCTACGTCGTCGTTGGGCTATTCGGTGGTGGATCGAGCTCGTTGGCTCCGCCGTGGCACAGGTTACAGAACCCCTTCCTTTGGCGACAGACGTTCTCCCATCGACATCAGAGGACCTAACATCATCGTGGTCGATACGGGCACGACCTCGGATTGATCCTCCTTATCCGTTCAACCTCTCCATCCCTCTTCATCTCGATCAGAGCACAATTCATACTAGCTACCACATCATCATCATCACCACAAACATCGACCATACTACTCGGGGCGACCTTCCCAGTTCTATCATCAGCCGACCTAACGTTTCGCGGCAAGGTCCTCTGGACGAAATGTTGTCCGCCCCACGCATGACCACCTCGTCCTCGACGAATCCTGACAACGGCGAACGGACAGGAACAACGAATACAGCGGTACTCGATTCGACATCAATAGGAGGGTTCGATAGGCACCTCTTGAGCTTGTTGAAGAGTACCGAGCGGAACGCACGTCGAGATGATCCGGAAGTGATGATCCCTGCCACCGACAACGAGTCGCTATCGATCTCATCGTCCATCCGGCCTCCGACGCATCATATCGTAGACGGCAGCACCGAGAACGACGAAGAAGCCCGTCAAGCTTCCTATGCGCTGGACGAGATCGACTACAAGATGGGCGTCTTCCCCTTCTACCCTGGTCAAGGCAAAACTCGGGGTCAGACCGAGATTGAGCTAGCAACCGTGGACTTGTTGAACGGGCTTTGGATCAAGGAAAGAGAGAACAACCGGTTAAAGGCCGAGTTGAAGGCTGCTCAGGGTTATATTCAGAACCAGAATACAAACCAGAATTCGGCAGCGGGGTTACAGGCCCCGGGGACGGGGGGGATGATGGGTTATGTAGCCAACTCGATGTTGACACCGGACGAGACGCCTCCTTTGCCAGAGGGTGTCAAGACGGTCGAAGAAGGGTTGGTGAAAGAGGCCGAGATGGCCAACGATAAAGACAGGCAGAGGAATGAGGTCATGGATCAGACGTGTAGGACCTGCGGTCGTGCTGGCGGGTCAAGCTCGCAGTCGCCATCATCAGCAACGGCCTTGACCGTTTCGACTTCGACCCGACCGTCGACAGAGCTCGACCGGGAAAGGGACTCCGACTCCTCCCCGCCCCTCTCGCCAGAAAAGGAGCTGGAACTCCTTCGAGCGCAAGTGAGGGATATCGCCAGGGTATGTAGGGCGGTCGCCATGGGTAACCTAGAGAACAAGATCACCGTTCCCGTCGAAGGGCCGATCATGAGCGAGTTAAAGGAGGTGATCAACGGGATGGTGGATCAGCTGAAGAGTTTCGCTGGAGAGGTCGAGAGGGTGGCTACCGAGGGTGAGTCGCAGCGAGTTTTCTTCTCGGGTACGAAGTCGATTTGACTGATCGACCTGGCACGTTTGCTTGTCGACGATCGCAGTCGGCACGGAAGGTCGTCTCGGGGGACAAGCCGTCGTCGAAGGAGTCCAGGGGACATGGCGTGACCTGACTTTCGTCGTCAACAAGCTCGCTGCCAACCTGACTCAACAAGTCAGGGCCATCAGCGAGGTCACCACTGCCATCTCCAAGGGAGACCTGTCACGCACCATCGAGGTCCCGGCCGAGGGTGAACTGCTCGAACTCAAATTGACCATTAACAACATGGTCAAGATGTTGCGAAACTTGGCCGACGAGGTCAGTATCGTCAGTCTCGAGGTCGGAAGTCAGGGAAAATTGGGTCGGACGGCGAACGTGCCTGATGTCCAGGGGGTTTGGAGCGAGTTGGTCTTGAACGTCAATCGTGAGTCGTCCTGGACGGGTCAGTATCCGGCACTCCAGGCTTATCCGGAAGTGGACATCGGCAGGAATGTGCTCGTCCCTCACGGACCAAGTGCGAAGTATCGGGTATGTCGCTACGGCCATCGCCAATGGGGACTTGTCGCAAAAGGTCGAAATCGAGGCTGCAGGAGAGATTGCCATCTTGAAAGATACCGTGAGTAGCACTTTCGACGTTCATATGCTCCGCGTCGCTCAATCTCGCAATCTACTTCTTCAAATTAGGTCAATAACATGGTCGCTCAATTGACCGTCTTCGCGCGAGAAGTTTCGAGGGTCGCCTTGGAGGTAGGGACCAAGGGAATTCTTGGAGGTTCTGCTCAGGTTGAGGGGGTCGGCGGGGTCTGGTTGGAATTGACGACCAACGTCAATCAGTGAGTGACGCTCTGCCTCTGACGTCGGATCGGGTCTCGTGAGCTGACAAATCTGGTGGTCTAGAATGGCGCAAAACTTGACCGAGCAGTGAGTGCAGAGACGTATACAGAATACCAGGGTAGACATGGCTAATTCCCTATCGTTACGTAGAGTTCGAGAGATCGCCCAAGTGACTAGTGCCGTAGCAGCAGGTGATTTGACCAAGCTGCTGACGACACAACGAAGCGCCGGAGAGATCCTCAGCTTGAAGCAGACCGTCAACGGAATGGTGGGCTTCGACTGTGCTCCAAGATCGTTCAACATTCGGACTCTGAACGCATTTCTATTTCGCAGGTCTCCCAACTGCGAATCTTTACAGCCGAAGTAACAAAGGTCGCTATCGCCGTCGGCACTGAGGGCCGTCTTGGAGGTCAAGCCGTCGTACCTGACGCCTTGGGAGAATGGAAGGACCTGCTCGATAACGTCAACTTGATGGCAGGAAACCTGACGACCCAGGTCAGGGGTATTGCTACCGTGACGAGAGCTATCGCTCGAGGTGATCTCTCGCAGAAGTACGTCTGACTAGCGCTTCCGGTATTCGAATCAGACAGTTGGCTTACCATTCTGGTCGTTTCAACAGGATCGATGTTGTGGTACATGGGGAAATTCAGTTGCTTAAAATCGACGTCAACGGCATGGTAGATTCGCTTCGATCGTTCTCGTCGGAGGTAGTCCGGGTAGCCCAACAAGTGGGTCTTGAAGGAAAACTCGGTATACAAGCTCAAGTGCAAGACGTCGAGGGGGTGTGGAAAGAGATCACGTAGGTCTTCGACAAGTGTGCTGGACCTTTCTTGCTTGTCGGCTAATATATCGATAACTCTCGACCCATTAGCACGAACGTAAACGCCATGGCTGCCAACCTGACAAGTCAAGTGCGAGCCTTTGCTCAGATTTCGGCCGCGGCAACCGACGGAGACTTCACCAAATTCATCACGGTCGAGGCCAGTGGAGAAATGGATTCGCTCAAGACCAAGATCAATCAAATGGTATACACGCTGCGAGAGTCCATATCGAAGAACACGCAGGCGAGACAGGCAGCCGAACTCGCCAACAGATCGAAGAGCGAGTTCTTGGCAAATATGAGCCATGAGATCCGTACTCCCATGAATGGAATCATTGGAATGACCGTATTGACTCTGGAAACCGAGCTCACGAGGCAGCAGAGGTAAGTACAAGCGCCGTTTCTTCTTCCAACTGCTTTATCCTCTTTTCCTTTGATTGTTGACTGACTGGACCAATTCGATAGGGAGAATCTGATGATCGTATCGCAATTAGCCGGGTCTCTGTTGACCATTATCGACGACATTCTCGATATTTCTAAGAGTGAGTTAAAACGGGACGTCGATCTCGTGCATCTATACTGACTCTGTGCTTCGTGGTCTGTAGTCGAGGCGGGTCGCATGACCATGGAGGAAATTCCGTTCTCGCTCCGAACAACGTTATTTGGCGTCCTCAAGACCCTTTGCGTCAAGGCCGCTCAGAACAGTCTGGACTTGATTGCCAACGTAGATCCGACGATTCCGGACCACATCATCGGAGATACGCTACGTCTGCGACAGATCATCACAAATTTGATCGGGAACGCCGTCAAGTTTACGACCAAGGGTCAAGTCGCCCTCAGCTGTCGATGCGTGAAAGATTACGAGGATGCCGTCGAGCTGGAATTCTGCGTTGCCGATACGGGTATCGGTATCAAGCAAGACAAGCTCGACCTGATCTTTGATACGTTTGCACAAGCAGACGGGTCGACGACGAGAAAGTACGGAGGAACCGGTCTCGGACTGTCGATTTCGAAAAGACTGGTCAGCTTGATGGGAGGCAAGCTCTGGGTGCAGAGCATTTACGGCAAGGGTAGTCGCTTCTACTTTACGATGATGGCCAAAAAGACGGCCAGGACGACGCTGCAGGTCTTGGACCGATTGGCACCGTGGGCGAAACGGCACGTCCTCTTTATCAACACTTTGGGCGACACCTCTCGTATACCCGAAACATTGATGGAGCTCAACTTGCAACCGGTCGTCATCAACTCTGTACAAGGAGTGTGGGAGCCTGCTATCTCCGGTGACAAGGCGCCGGCCTTCCACGCCGTCATTGTGGACACTCTGATGACGGCTGAAAAGCTGAGAGAGGTCGAGCACTTGCGATTCATGCCGATCGTCCTGCTTGCGCCTACCAATGTTCCTCCTGGACCTGACAACCCGAGGTACTTGCACCTGTCCGAATCGAGACGACGATTGCTCGCCCTTCCGAACGAAGAGGACGAGATCCTTTCCCCCGTTCCCGTCAAGACGTGCCTGGACATGGGTATCACGTCCTATTTCACGACCCCGCTCAACATGGCGGACCTATCCAGCGCCCTCTTGCCCGCACTCGAGAGCCATCAGTTACAACCGACCGATCCGGGCAAGAACAACTCGCTCGACATCTTGCTGGCGGAAGACAACTTTGTCAATCAAAAGCTCGCCGTCAAGCTGCTCGAGGGCGGCGGACACCGAGTGGATGTGGCGGACAATGGACAGGTGGCGTTTGAAAAGTACAGGGACGCGATGTTGGCCAAGAAGCCCTATGCCGTCATCCTGATGGATGTCTCGATGCCCGTCGTGGGAGGACTCGAATCGACGAGCATGATCCGGAACTTGGAGGATCAGGAAGGGTATAAACGGGTCCCGATCATCGCGTTGACAGCACATGCCATGTTGGGTGACAAGGAACGGTGCCTAGCCGCAGGGATGGTGAGTCTGTCTGGATCGATCTCGTCTGAGGACTTCCGACTGATCACTGGTTGCCCTGCCCCCGTTGTAGGACGACTTCGTCTCGAAACCCGTCCGACGTACAGACCTCTTGTCAACGATCGCCAAGGTAATCCGGGCGGGCATCACCGTGGCGAGTCTGGCAAACGAACAACGAGTATGACCTTCGACCTGAACAGGTCGCTCTCCTTTTCTGGGGGACCGCTGGAGAATCGCTTTGGATACACTGGACCTTGGGCTTCGGGGGTATCATAGTATCAGTATCGCTCCGGCTTGCTATTGTCTTCCACTTTCCCATGTTTTACGCTTTCACGACGGTTTTTGATATCGACTTTGACTGCTTGTACCACTGTACATTGACGACACCTTTGTAAATATAGTATCACGAAAACAGGATTCGATATGATTGACTGCTTGCTCTCAATGGCAGCCGATGGTCAATTCTCGCGCTCATGGAAATTGGTCGATGCACGGGGCGGTCAAAACTTCGATCTTCCGGATCAAGTCCTCGGGCCTGGACGGACGAGCAAAAACACGGGGGAGTGAGACGCGCGTGGCGGAAAGTTCACGGAAGGCGGGTGCGTTTCATCATCGGGAAAGGGGGAAAGATCATCAAGCGGGGGTTTCGCACGGAAGGCAGCGCGCGGATGCGAGAGAGGGGGCGGCGAGGCGGGGAGGAGTCGAAGGAATCAAAGGAGGGGGGCGGGGATGGCCATGATGACTGTCTACTACGCGTTTCACAATTCGTCTTTCCATCAAAATTCCTTTCCTTTTTGTTCCCGAGATGCCGGCGATGCGATGCCGGTCTTTGATCTCTTTCGTCGCGTTTCGTCGTCTTTTGTTCGAATTGGATTGAATTCTCTAGGATATCCTGGTCGCGATCGACTTGGTCATACGTGACCACGGAAAACATGCTCGTACTGCTCGATGACGATGACTCTCAGCGAGATCAGATCAAGCCTAGCAGGGAGTCTCCGTCAGACACCGATTCGGATCGGACGTCGAAAGGATGGCACTGAGCATCGGATCGCCATCGAAGCAGAGTTAGCGGTCAGGTCGAGGCGGTCGAGAGGCATATAGATAGGTTCGTTTCAAAGTGAGCTATCGTCCTTTGTCTCGATGTCCTTATTGTCTCTCACATCCCTACCCGTGGCCCTTCGACAGCCTTTTACCTCCGGCCGCTTTACTCGATAGATCCATCATCGCTTTCACTTGCATCCAAAAGTATACCACCTCGAAATCGCCTCACCTGGAGTGACAACCTCATTGCCTCGGTATACCTCGATAGGACACACACATCGACATACACTCGCTATACCTAATCGGATGAAGTTCTCCACTAGCAGCATCTTCTGTTCCGGACTCTGCCTCGCGGCCACCATCCACGCCGCTCCCGTCCAGAATGGAGACCATCGGGATCTCTCAGTCGAAAGCAAGAGACACGCCCGGAGCGTCAAGGGTCTTGGTTCAAGTCAGTTCCGCTCAGACTCATCAGGGATGGGACCACAGGTCAGGGTTTATGCTGACGATCATCTCGTTCTTCTGCATGTTCATAGATCTGTTCAGGCGTGAGGCGCAGTCTGAGTCGGAAACGGATAGGCTTATCGACTTCTTGGAAGGACTAGGGCAAGGGGGACAGGAGGGCTCTTCGGTAGCTGCAAGCACTTCGAGTATCACCAGCGCTGATCTGCAGGCACAGCCAACTCAGAGCACACTGGTACGGACATCTACGACCCTGCTGAGCAGTAGTAGTCATACCACCTCGCTCGCCTCATCTTCAGCGTCGATCGCCACCCCCTCATCCACCCTGACCATCGATTTTACTACCTCACCCTTACCGACGCTCTCCCTACCCCCTTCGCTGGCCACCAACCCTAACAAATCTTCCTCCCATCCCCGCCTAGTGTTCGCTCACTTTATGGTCGGCATCGTTTCCACCTACCAACCCTCCAATTGGGAACGAGACATGAACCTGGCGAAGTCGTACGGGATTGACGGATTCGCACTGAACGTGGGCAAGGATAGTTATACGGAGAGCCAGTTGAGGATGGCTTATGACGCTGCGGCGAAGGTCGGATTCGAAGTGTTTATCAGTTTCGATGTGAGTCGGGAAGAGGAAATAGGAATTTCGCCGTGAGATGGGGGTCAAGGATGCTGAGTATATCGGAATGGTTTTTGTGGCAGTTCAATTGGTTCTCAACTTCGGATACCGCGGCTGTGATCAACATCATGAAACCCCTCATCGGTCTCCCTGCACAACACCGTGTGGCTGGATCCAACGCCGCTTTCGTCTCCACCTTCTCCGGTGACGGCTTCGATTGGTCCGCCGTTCGTTCTGCCTTTCCCTCTACCCCTCTATATATCGTTCCCAATTGGCAACCTTCGTCAGACAACGCAAGGAACGCTGGAGTGGATGGGCTGTTTAGCTGGTACGCTTGGCCGAGCGTCGATAATGGACCCGTGGATAGAAAGATGTCTACAGATAAGGATCAAGAATATATCGGTCAGCTGAGTGGGGCGGGAAAAGCATACATGGCACCGGTTTCCCCTTGGTGTGAGTCTGTACTCCGTCTTTGTTTTCCTTCCACGAACCAAAACCTCTAGCTGATGATACCTTTTCGAATCGACAGTCTTTACTCACTTTGGCAAGGAAGTGTCGTACAGCAAGAACTGGTTGTTCAAATCCGAGACTCTCTGGTACGAGAGGTGGGAGCAGATTCTCGACCTCGCTGATCGGTCTCCAGAACTTCGGTACCTTGAGATCATCACCTGGAATGATTACGGCGAGTCTCACTATGTCGGACCCTCCAACAATGGGCACAGTGACGACGGCTCGGGACCGTGGACGGACGGGTTGTCCCACGACGCTCTCCTCGAGTTCGCTCGACCTTATATCACCGCCTTCAAAACTGGTTCCAGGAGACCGGTTATCGATCGGGATATGCTGGTCTATTGGTACCGACCTCACCTCAAGGGCGTCTCTTCATGCGATGACACGGACAACTGCGGAGCGAGGCCTGCTGGTTGGGACATCGTCTCCGACAGCGTGTTTGTCGCCAGTTTCAGTTCCAGCGGAGGTTCCGTCACCGTCAAGAGCGGGAACAAGGGAGAAGCCACCAAGAGTATCGGGGCTGGCGTCAGCATGATGCAATTCGACATGGGCGCGGGAGAGCAGGTCTTTTCCTTGTCGAGTAGCACAAAGAAGGTTTCGGGGTCAGGAAGTAGCGCTGTGCTCAATAGCTGCTGGGTGAGTTGCGTCAATTTGATCATTAGGGGTTAACGGCGCTGAATACAATTTGCTTTCGGCTACCTCACAGAAAGGGCTGTATAACTTCAATATCCAATCAGGGTTGCTACTGTGAAACGTAGAAACACACCAGGTTGTACCGAGCTTTACTTCAATCCCATCAGGAAAACACGATTATTGTACACAAAGATCAAATTCATACAGCGGCGTATCGTTCTATGCCGTTACCGTCTTCCAAGTTCATATGTCTTAGCCAAAATCCTTGGAACGCTCATTTCGCTGAATCTATAACATTCCGGGACAGGGAAATCATAGCACTCCTGAACCGAACTTGTCTTTACCTGGCCGATGCATAAGAACTGTGGAGGGGGCTGGAATGGCAAAAAGGAATACTCCCGCTGAGGCTTGAACTCAGGACCTTATGCGCTTTACAAGTTATGGCTTGTTAAGCATACGCGCTACCAACTGCGCCACAAGAGCGGTTATGCTAAAAAGAAAATTGTAGCATGTATGTCAACGATACAGCGATATCTACCGCAAGAACTTGTTACCCTCAAGGTCGATCAGCCATCACGCTCCACTCGAAGGAAGAATTCATGCCTATCCTGCAATCTTTGCCGTCATATAGCATCTTACGGCATGACTGAATGCTCTCTGCTGTACCAGGTGAAGCAGTGTACGTTCGAAGAGCCTCAGTCAATCCGTAATCGACTTCCCGTCTACCTCAGCCCGGTTCTATGAGGCGATGTCGGCGTTCTAGCACTGTGCGCCTTAGTCGCATGGCCGATTAAGTCTTCCAGCTTTTGATCATCGTTCTAATCGTACTTCGTTTACAGGAACAGCACCTCTTCGGCTCGAGAACCCTTCAGCTGGTCAGCGGTTATCTCCTTCATAAGTTCATCCTCGTAATCGTCCAATCCCAGGTCAAAGTACCCCCTCGGGGCCCATTTCCTTGGTGAGAGGAAAAGAGAGTGACCGTTCAGGCTCTTGTCGGATACGATGCGGAGCAGGCATTGTCCAGCGTCTTCCAATGTAGCGAATTCGACTCCGAGACTCTTGACCTCGTCGAACGCCGCTTTCGACAAGATTTTCGTCTCGACGTACCTGTCCACATCAAAACATCAGGCCTCGAAGAGACGCAGAAAATCAGAGCAATGGCGCGAACTGACCAGGGCGCGATGATGTTGACCCGACTACCGTAATGATGGACCACCCTCCTCAAAGAATGCATGATCCCCCTCATCCCGTATTTCGAAGCCTGATACTGAGGAGCCCGCGGACAATCCAAGTAACCAGCTCCGCTGCTGATAAGGACGAGACAAGTATCCTCCTGCTGGCGCGTTTCGACCTGGCCGTTTTGAGTGACAAAGTGATGCGAAGCCAGCTTGGCAGTGTACATCACGCCGTGGATGTTGACGTCGATGATCTTCAGATCAGGCTTCTTGGGTCCTGATTCGTCGTAAGCGAAGACGTCGTCCTGCTTCGTGATCCCCGCATTCGCGACGACGTAGTGAATGCCGCCGTTGTTCGAAAAGGATTTGGCTTCGTCGAACAGCTTCACTTGGTCTTCCCAGAAGGTCGTGTCGCATTTCACAAATTTTGTTCTATATGGAAAGGCGACCATTTGGCTATGTTGCGGGTATTTGCACCACAGGTCGACTCACCCAGACAGCTCCTTCTCTAACTCACGGCCACTCTCGACGTCTAGGTCGCCGAAGCATACGCGCACGCTGTTGCAATGCACGTAAGGTCGTGAACGCGTTTTGCATATAGACCACAAACATACCCTGCGTCAACAAGAGCCCGTACGTATGCCTCTCCGATTCCATTTGCACCTGTGAATGATTCACTTCAATCATCACTTGTATACTGCATGATCGAAGGCTGCTGACATACCTCCGGTCACGACCGCGGTCTTGCCACTCAGCCCAGAGAGGTCAAGATCCATGTCGCAATCAGCACGTCCATCATATCGGTAGGCAGGCATCTTGTTCGTGATATCTCTCTAGGGTGAATGATTCGATCGGTACCAGCATCGTGGATTGAGTCTTTCTGCCATTCTCAACCGAAACTTATATACCTATGATGGCTGATGTGGAGGCGCGGATTGCGACCCGCAAGCGATATTCAATCTGCCTCCGCCAACTTACCTTCCGTTTCATTCGAGAGGATGGAAATCAGCGCGGCCGAATCCCGCATCCTTCACATGTACTTGGCTCCAGTTGACATCACAGAAGCCCCTAGGCAATCAATCGCAGTCTGATCACCGGTTCAAACGCCCTCTGTTTGTCTCCATGGTACTCAGGTCGCCCATCTCCACACCTCTTATCATGCACTTCGTAAAACGAGCATACTCGGCAGAGGGGCAACTATAGACTCAACCTCGAGTGAATATCCAGATAAGTGAATACATGGTACCCTTTCTCATCTCAAGCAAGACCAAGAAAATTGCTCTAGCTCAAAGCACGCTCGCTTATAGATGAACAACACATGCCCATGCAACAACATATGCCCATGCAAGTAGACATTGTATTACCATGAAAGTAGTCGGACAAGGGCTACTACGAGCTACGATAGACAGGTACTGAGAGAAGCAGAAACAAGCTCTTCCAAAAGCGGGAGGCAGCGATACAACGTCGCCGTCCGACTTAATCGATCGGACAGTAAGAACGATCGTCAACGCTAGATTGCCTGCATTTGGTTCGTTGACAGCGGGCATGCAGCGCGAATAGTCATCATGTCATATTTCTCTCAAAGAGGAAGCTGTACACAAGCCGTTTATCATTCTCGCTCGAAGCTCCAGAGTTCGAGGAGTTGGGTCGTGTTTGTCCTCAGCCGATCATCTACATCCAAGATGAAGTTGTAAATTCACCCGACGGCCGTTTCTACTCGTCATGCCTAGTCGACTCGCCACCAGCGAGACCCTCGACGGCCTTTGCGGTGCCTGATGAAGTACTGGACGAACCCTCGGGACCTCTCTTGCCTGTGTATTGAGTGTTGCACATGAGGGCCGTGTTACGTTTTAGTCTTGCAGCTTCACCGCCGGCGGACTTACCGACGAACCATGACGGCACCCAGCCTCGTTCACCCGTCTCCTTGACACTGTAAGACCAATGGGCGTAACGTTTGCTGTGATTAAACTGAGAGTGAGCCGCGGTCCGAAAGCACAGCAACAACGAGTAGTACATACAATACGCGAAGCTGCTCATCCTTGCGCATGCTCAGTTCGTCCTCGCCCTTGGCATCATATTGCATGAGAGCGACACCCTGGAAAGAGCTCGACACGATGTATGAGGGGAGAATGGGCTGCTTTGCCAGTGCACCCAAGTCGCCCGCTACGCGGGTTGCTGGGGGGCCTATCGGTCGATTTGTCTCTAGCAGACAACCTGGATCCGATACGTGTCAGATTCAGTTCGTGACGTGGCCATGCTACCCTGAACTCACCGGCAGGAACCCAGCCGCTCTGGCTGTCATCAACGACAATGTCTCCAGTACCTTCTCCGTCCTTCTGTACGACCCACCACCCCTTGGCTTTGCTGAGAATGACAAAGGCCGTTCCGCTGTACCAATACGAAGCCGTTTCAATACAAGGGTCCACTAAATCCAATCGTCAGTCAACTCACATGACCACATCAAACTCGTCCTCCCTCTCGGCAGCATAAGGATAGATAGCGACCGCATACCCAATCTTTTTGAACTCGCGATTCCCATCCGTCTGTTCTCCAGCTTGACCCATGAGCGGGCCTCTCAGACCGGGACTCGGCAAATCTGGAAAAGCTCCATGACCTGCACTTCCTGGCGTCGTCTTCCCGCTTCCGGCTGCGTTGCTTCCCGTCCCAGCGGCCTTGGCTTTGGCGGAGATGGGCTGGAGAACGGGAGGACGATGGAGACGAGTGTCCGATCCGGCAGACTTGGTTGCTGTGGTCGGACTCGTGCCGGGTTTACTGGGATCATTAGAGGCATTTGCCCCACCTTCCGCAGGGGGTTTCCCTTTCCGGGAGGCTTGCTTGCTCGCCGCAATCGCTGTAGGTGATCGGATGTCTTTCTGGATACGTGACCAATCTGCTCAGCAACTAATTGTAGCATTGCGATCTTCTTGCAAGAGCTCACGATATGTCTCAACATGAAGACCGGTTTCTGACCCGACTCTTTCAGCTTTTGGAACAGGAGCAACGGCATCTCGTCGTAGCTCAGACACCGCTCTGTCACGTTGAATCGGAAAGACATCAAGATCAGCCTGAGATCCGAATCGCCCGTCCGACTCGACTCGCCTGTATCTCCATAGCAGATAAACATGGCGTACATCCTCCAATCGTCGTTGATGTTGTACTTCTTGAGCGCGGCAGGCAAGACCTTGAAACATGGGTCTTCCAAGGTGACCCTGAAACTCTTTGCGGCGGCTCCAGCAGCGTCTTTGGCACTCTTCTGTGCCGAGGCGGAGATGACCTGTTTGTCTTGGTGACTCGCTCCCGAGACGTGTGAGACCGGTGTTTCTGCTGAAGTCGGTGCGAGGGCTGTACCAGGAGTGGTCCGGTGCGAAGTCGTCGCCGATCTCAACAACGCACTCGCCGGGGTCCGTACGCCTAAACTCTGTATATGTTCAGAGGTACCGGTCGGAACGGGCGTAGAAGCTTGTGATGATCCTAAATTCGGGCTTGACAGGGTCAACCCGCTCGGGTTGTTCGTATGCGATTGAGAATGTGAATGTCCGTGTCCGTCCACTCCGCCCCCAATCATCGTTGTCGTTGTCATCATCCTCGTCAAAGAAGGAGGCGTCGCGTGAGTCCCGCTCGTAGCGATCCCTCGACTGAGGGGGACCGGTGCTGTTGATGTAGCAGGATCTGATGGTGGGTAATCTTGGAATCCAGGCGACAGAGCTGGAGTGTGAGGATCGCCGAGCCTCGACTCTTCGCCAGGACGAGAACGATAGGGTTGCATTCGAGAGACCGCGGCTTGCGTTCGGACCGTGTTCTGTAAACGTCGGACAATTGGATCAGTTGAGGTCTGGTCGTCGAGCTAAACCATTGACACTTACCGTCTCATCCTCGTGCTTATCCGTCGACCGCTCTCGATTCCTCGCCTCTGGTTGTAACCCCCGGTCCTAATTCCCACATAAATATATTATCAACGCCCACCCCACCGCAGAACCGGCCTCGCAGTCGCTGACTAACCTTGCTCGTTCCCGCGACCGCCGCAGCCAACCTCCTGTACTCCCTCTCCAGATTCGCGATTCTCTCGTTCTGCTCTTGTATCACGTCCCACAACCTGTCTTCCAGCGCTTTGTCCAGGCTCGACTGAGATTGCGCTTGAAACTGTGATTGTGGTTGCTGGGAATGTGAATGCACCACACCATCCAAGCTGAGGTTGCCTGTACTTCCGTTCCGGTGGGTCATCTGCATGAACGACAGAGCGGTGGGGGAGAGAGCTTGGGAGTGAGATAGTTGCGCTTGGGAAGGGGTCGTCAATAAGGAGGAGAGTGTGGATTGAGAGGCTTGGTGCATCGGATGTCGATGATGCGGGATGCCTTCGTCTGTCATCGATAATCGAGAAGCCGATCAACCAATCCCGACTAGCATCAGCATAGACATCATACCTCTGGGTTCCAACTGAACACCTGTGAGAGAGCTTACCAGCAGGTCTCCAATCCTCTTCGGTCCAATCCCACCCGACCAGCCCATCCTCCGGATCCGCCTCGGCCGCAGCCATGGTCAACTCCACCTTGAGGTTGTAGATGGCTTTACATATCGATAACCGGTGACCGAGCTTGTCTATCCCGAGATCTTGTAGAGCGGGTGGATCGAGGTAGGGGAGAGCGTCGCCTGTGATTCCTTCGTCTGAGATACGGATGTAAGGTGAAAGGTGGTACAGGTTCAGCCTCGGGCATCGAGCTAGTCGTCGTCGGTTTACAACTTAACCGACTCACCGAGGATTAGCTGAGCATACTGTTCGAAACCCTGACGAGACAGCCATGATTTCACATCGTGCTCGTCCCATTCCAAGAACGACAAGGTGCTCTTCTGGTCGGTCATCGGTAGAGTCGGCTGTGTCTACGTCTTGCGGACAGACGAGATGTCGACGTGGTCCACTGCTATGCGGTTTCGGGACCGACGTGATGAAGAACCTCGATAACGAACAGAAACTTGTCTCCTGAGATGTCCAGATTGACCGAGTTGGCGTTGATGAGGGAAGATGCGATATGCCCTGTCAAGATGCTTGAATTCCTCTCAAAGTCCCTTTATCTCGTTCACAGTGTGGTTCGAGTGAAGCTGCTTTATATACAGCGCAGCTGTGTCGTGTCCGAGTAGCTATTTGGCATGATCTCTTCACAAACTCAGGGCCAGTTCAGAACCTTGAACATGACCTCGCAACGACTGATCGGTCGATTGACATGATCTCTCCTCAACAGCAGCGGGTTTGAATAACATGGGCACATGGCATGGGGAATATGACGAAAGCTCGGGCTCCGCGCGCGTTTCACACTGTCGATGATATTCAAGTATCAAAGACATCGTCAGATGGTTCTCGTGTACAAATGAGCTATACCTCTCAGTAGTACAGTAGCAGTGATTGTGCTTGATCGATCGATCGTGTGACTGCTGCAATCGTTGAAGAACGCCGACGAACAACTGCGATCTACCTGTTTAAAGCATATTGACACGTCATCGGCTACCGACAAGAGTATCAAATTGTTTGATAAGCTGATCGCCGCCTGTGGCCGCCGCAGTCATGTCCCAATTCGTCACCCTCGACCTATCTAGCCTATGTGTTACTCCTGTCTCCATTCCACATTCAACCCCGACATCCACCCTCGTACCTGTCGAGCTTTAACAAATCCACCAAACAGATCATCGCTCGACGTCTATCATGGGTCTCGAATTCGTAGTCACCCTCGTGGCGGCGCTCATCGTCCTCATCGTGGCCATGTTCATCGGGACGGCGTTCACCACGCCCTTCCACGGGGCGGTCATCAGGTAAGGGACACGTCTCCAACGACACAATCGACTGCTGCAATACTCACTGAAGCTGATCAATATCGAAACGCTCTAGGTTACGTGCGAATTATAATCCGAAAGGTGTCGGTTTAGAAGAAGGCCAGGAGAACAGGTAAGCCACTGCGTGGCATCAGCGTTCTATGGGAGCACAGCATAGCCCAGCCCTTCGCGCTGATAACCTGTCCTCAATCGTTGAACAGGGTCGGGCCCACATTGACTACCGTGCTAGGAACGCTTCAGAGGACTAAACGGGTAGAAGGATGGGTCGGGTTATGGAAAGGCGAGTCTGCCTCTCCTCTCATAACGCAGTCCCCATGTCCCTATTCGACAACAATTCGAGCTGACGCTTACACATCCCCATTGCTGTCCACCTGATCCGGAAACAACTTCCACTTGGAGCAGGTGCCTACCCCTCGCTATGTTACACCTCTCTGCTCTCCCTCGTATCCATCTTGTTTATCGGGGCGGCGAGTACAAAGGGACCTAAGGGCGCTTATACCGTACCGGAGGCGAGCGGGCTCAAGTGAGCCGACTCGTGTTTTCCCTGTATGCGTGCGTACTTCGGGAAGAGTTGTTGGCTCATGGATCTCCGTTCGTTGCAGGATGGCGCTCTTCACCGTCGTGTTGACTTTGATCAGCTTGCCCTTTACTGTCATCATCAACCGGTGAGCCACTACCGGCAGCGTGTCTCATTTACCTCGTACTGATAAAACCTTTTTCACCGAATCTCAACTCAAACATAGATGCATCATCACTCCCTACGCCCTGCCCATGAAGCCAACGATCGCCAATGCCAAGCTCTCCCTCCGCCTGCTCCTCACGCCGGACGAGTATGCCAAGCCCTGGACGCTGTATATCGCACCTGGCTTGATGGCAAGTGTCGGGATCCACGCTATTTGGGTAACCATAGTAGCGAGAGGAGTCAAGTGGCTGCTGGTCTCGTACGACGAATTAGGTGAATCCGAGGCATCAGACTCCAGCAATACTTCAATCAAAGTACTGACGATTTTGTCATCGTCCTCGTTCATCTCGCAGGCATGATCAACAGCCCCGTCCTGTTCTGCCTTTTCCTCATCTTTCAACTCGCCTCTTCGATCTTCCTCACCCCGCTCGAAGTCCTTTCCACTCGACTATCCATCCAGAGAAACTCCTACAGTCCTTATGCCGTCGCCTCGCAGCACGAGAGCGGGATGGGAGCTGCAGGGGCCGTTTTGCCTGATGGAGTTGGGTGGGCAGGGTTGGAGGAGGATGTCATCGGTCTGAGGCCCGAGGAGGAGCCTTATGAAGGGTGAGTTCAAGAAGTGGTCTGATTTCAGCTAATTACGAGTGTTGGGTTACTGATGAAGCGATTTCATGTCACCAGTTTCGTCGACGCTGCGAGGAAGATTGTCGAAGAAGAAGGTGCCCCTGCGCTGTGGCGGGCGTGGTGGTTGACGGCACTTGGGAATGTGCTCTCGGCGTTCTCGTAGTCTTTCTGAAATCGAAATCTTGCGGCATCAGGAAATATACCAGTAGAGTGAAAATCATGTCATTGGCATTTAGTGGTTCATGTGAAGATAGCAATTCGATCCTGAGCAGTGACGATACATGGGGAACGTGCGAGACGTGAGCGCCTCAATGCAAGATGCTACACGGATAATGGGTGATGGACGTTGGATGATGAACGGATGGCGGTGGTGCGCAGCTCTACTTGTGCAGCCCGTTCAGAACCTTGAAAGACGCATAAGCAAAGATGGTACCCCCAACATAGATGGCCAGACGGATGGGCATCGACGCGGCAGGGAGGAAGGGGTAAGGGACTGTTCACGCCGGTATCGATCGTCGGTCAGCCCTAATGCCAACCACGGAATCAAACGTCGACTTGGCGTTGACCCACATTTCCCATCCAATCCCCTGTACTCGATCCAACTGGTATAAGACAAGCTGAAGAGGGCAGTGAAGACCACCGCACCGATAGTAGAGACGGGCGCTCGGTATTTCCGCTCCCTGACGAAGAATTCTATTCGGGGTCGTCACGTCGCGAGTTTGATCCTCATCAGTAATCGAATATGGGGCGCCATTTGCACCATTGATCAACGCCTTTGATTGACGCGCGTCGTCTCTGTTGGTCCGATTTGGTCTCTCTTGGTCCAATTTGGTCTCTCTTGGTCTCGCGGAGTCTTTGCTGGCCGTCTTTGGTCTTTTGTTCGCGTCTTTACCTCCATTTTAGTCGTATTTACCCCTATCTCAACGATTTTCGTCCATACACGACCAATAAATTTACAGAACGACCGCCGTGCTCTAGTAGACATACAAGAAAGGACTCTAGATGTTCAAAATCATACTATGCATGACTCCAACAGTCTAGTAATGGTCTCTAGTGGTTGTGGGGGGAGGTGTACATGTCTTAACGCGACTCATTGATCGATTCTAAGTACAAACAACTCATCGTGAGTGATCCTGCAACGTATTACATAGACGATGAACCACCTTCCTGTTGTTACAGCCTTAGTCGAGCAGACATTACACCCTGCTAGACTATATTTGAGTCAAGACCCGGCCACACGCAATGTGTTCTTGCTTCCCAACCTCATCACTGCTCTGGACGACCTTGCTCACCTCCTCGAACACACTGTGAGGACCAGGATTCCCCATTCGGCATACATCACCCACATCCAGTCTACTACATCCCTTCATGAACGTCTCTGCGCCTATGAAAGATCCCTGGCGTCCAACGTCATCGTTCGTCAGACTGTTACTCGTATTAGCAACCCAAACGGAGGTCGTCCGGTGATCGAATTAGCTCCAGGTCTGCTCGACTTTTACACCAATCTTGGCTATGCAGACCGTGAGATAGCTCTTCATCTAGGGATATCAAGGGGTACGGTCACTAGGAGACGGAGAGCGTTTGGGCAAGGCAAACGAGCAGTTAAACATATGGTCGCTCCGTATCAATTGCATTGTGTGAGTCTTCTCTTGGTCTCATTTGGTCTCGTTTGGTCTTTTTTGGTCTTTTCTCGTCCAATTTGGTCTTATCTGGACTGTTCATCACCTCTCAAGTCTAATCTTGACTTGATTTCACTTGATCACCAGCTCGTAGCATCAATTTTGAACTTGGTCGACAAGCAGAACACTGGAGAACGTCTTGTAATGGGGCTACTGTTATAGCCGTCACGTGACGCGTCGCTACTCCCGCGAGAGACCCCCTCGGAGGTCCCCTCGGAGACACCCCTCGACACCCCCACAGGGGTCTACTTTTACATCTCCCGTAGGTGCTTATTATAATAGGCTCATTGTAGGTATATACTTCATCCGTTATTACACCATTACCCTTAGACCTAGCCCCGCGTAGACTATTAGTCCTTCCTCCTAATAGAATAACGGATCATCCTCTTCTACCCCGGCTAGCAAATTTTCCTTCCCTCGTCTCTTCCTTTTTTCACGTCCTTTTTCACCCTCCTTTCGACACTCCTTTCATCATGTCCGACGACGGCCATATTCCTTCTCCTCCTGTTCCTCCCCCCGCACCTTCTCCTATGGAGGAGGCACTCCGACAGATGGCGCAGGCCATGACGCTCTTCGCTCAGAGCCAGCAGCAGCCTGTCGGGGGTCAGGGATCGAACCCCTTTCGGCTCGCCCCGCCGGGACCCTTTGATGGGACTGACACCCCGGACAAACGGGAGAAGGCCACCACCTTCATTCATCAGTGCGAGATGCACTTTGAGACCGCACCAGCGGTCTACTCTTTGGATCGGATCAAGATCATCTTCGCGTCGACCCACCTTCAAGGTCGCGCTGCTTTATGGGCCCGGTCGTACACGTCCCCGGAGGCTGCACAACAGTGTACCTGGGATGTCTTCCGGACTCTCTTTCTTACTTCTTTTGGGTTAGCATCCCGAGAGTACCTTGCCGAAGGGGAACTCTTAGGGTTGCGACAAGGGAACACCTCGGTCGGCGAGTACACCGCGAGGTTCAACTCCCTTGTGGGTCTTATGCCGGGATGGAACAACGCCGCTCTCCGGGGAGTCTTTCGTCATGGACTCCGGTCGGATGTTGAGCTGTCGGTTCGTGCCCACGATGGGTACACGGAGATGTCCCTCTTGGACATCCAGAACTTGGCCGCTCGATACGATCGACCCGCAATCCCCGCTGAACGACCTCGCCGGGAAACTCCCCGCGCACCCACTTTTCAGCCTGCCGAGATGGCAGCTCCTTTTCCTTTTGCCCCGGGACCTCCCCCGGTTCCTTCTTCTCTTCCTCCTCCTCCTGTGGACCAAGGTGGTCCTATGGATCTTTCGGCCGCCCGGCAACCTAACCCCACCGTCCCCTGCTTCAAGTGCTACCAGATGGGACACTTCGCGAACCAGTGCCCGAATCCCCGGGCACCTCCCGAATCGGCCCCAGCCTGGATCAAGGCAGCCAAGCAGAGGCATTCCATGCAGGTTGCCGGCGCCACCCTTCAACCTTCCTCTTCCGCTGCGCCAGCCGGGGCTGCGTACGACCTCTCGGCGTACGATGATGTCCCGCTGTGGACCCCCAACTAGGCGTGCCGGTGTCTCTTTTCTTTTCTTGTTCATGGTACCCAGGCCGGGTTTATTACATTCATTTATGGTCCCTCAGTCCGAGGTGTTTCTCTTTACGGCTGCTCAGTCCGAGCGTTTCTTTACGGGGATCACCATCCCCCTCACCCGACTACATGTCGGTATGGCACCCAGTCCGGGATTCTTTTACGGTGGCTCAGTCCGAGTCTTTTATGGTGCCCAGTCCGGGTGTTTCCTACGTCTCTTGGGGTCGGGTTGGCTACGTCTTCTACGAGTCGTTTGGGGTTACGATACCCCCCCTCCATCGCGTGGATTCTTTTCTTTCCCCCTTTGGGGTTTTACGGTTGCTCAGTCCGAGCATTTCCTTTCGGGAGTCACCCCCCTTCGCCTCGACATCTCTTCTCCGAGGGCAGAGCCCAGCTGGGCAGGTTCTTATTACACCCCTTTGGGGGTTACGGTCGTGTTCCTTTTTCGGAGTTGGTCATCGGGACGATGACCTAGGGGGGGGATCCTGTTATAGCCGTCACGTGACGCGTCGCTACTCCCGCGAGAGACCCCCTCGGAGGTCCCCTCGGAGACACCCCTCGACACCCCCACAGGGGTCTACTTTTACATCTCCCGTAGGTGCTTATTATAATAGGCTCATTGTAGGTATATACTTCATCCGTTATTACACCATTACCCTTAGACCTAGCCCCGCGTAGACTATTAGTCCTTCCTCCTAATAGCTACTCTCCGCTCAGCAAGTCAAAGTCACTCGAGCACAGCTGCGAGCTACCCTGCGAGCTCAAGATCCTCATGGCAACATGGTCCGAAGTGGGAGAGTACTACATCGTAGGGACTATGATGTACCCTTTGTCAACTCCGTATGGCATATGGACGGGCAACACAAGTTGATCAACTGGAAGTTCGTTATACACGGTGCTGTCGACGGCAAGAGTCGATTGATCGTGTTCATGCTTGCGTCTGACAACAACAAGTCCGAAACTGTGGAAGACTCTTTCTTACAAGCGACTCAGCAGTGGGGCTGGCCATCAAGAGTCAGGGCAGACTATGGTGGGGAGAATCTAGGTGTTCGTACGTTGATGAACGCGGTGAGAGGTATGTGATCGATCTCATCGGTCTCGCGCAAGACCGATTTGCTCCACCACAAGACTAAGTTGGACCAATTTCGTCTCTCTTGCTCCTGTCACATACCTGCGAGCTCCTCTATAGGTGAGAATCGGGGTTCCTTCATGCAAGGACCATCTACACGGAACGTACGGATCGAGAGGCAATGGCGACAAGTTGGAGAAACAGTAACACAGCAATTCACTCGTCATTTCCTGGAGATGGAACGTGTTCACCACCTCTATCGTGAAGATCCTATTGACATCTACTGTCTACACTATGTCTTCTTACCCTACATCAACTTCGTGTTGGGGTATTACGTCGACATGTGGAACTATCATGGCATGTCCAATCAAGGACTCAAAGGACTTAGCCCAGCGCAGATGTGGTATCGAGGTCAGTTTTGGTCGAAATTGGTCTTGCGTTGGTCCATCGTACACTAAAATCGACCAAATCGGACTTCCAAACTGCTACAGGAGTCGTAGATGCAGCTGCAAGCGGCTTTGATCTCAATCTCTTCCCCCTCGAAAGTCAAGATGAGGCTATCTTACGACAAAATCGTCCTGAACAGCTCAATATCATGGATATGGATGCTACCGACCCCATCGCCGATCAAATAAGAGCACCTAGGGTTCGAGATCCGCACGTCATAGTGCCTCGCTACATGGATCATGTACCACCACTGCTCTCGACATACGAATTCAGGCAAGGTCTGGAACAGCGTTTCCCTATTCAGCAATGGGTCTCCATCGTCGACGCAACACAGTACTATCTCGCTGTACGAGAGTTCGTCTATGACACCATCAACATTTCATGAGCGTCATCGCTATGATGTCATAGACAACTCGTCATACCTGGTGTCCCCATCTCTATTGTGCTGCGAGTTGCGCGTGAGAAAGACTTTATTGGACTAACAAACAAGTGTTTCATCTTTTTTTCTTTGTTCGCCATCAAAAAACAACAAAACAACAAAGTCCTTTGGTCCTTTCGTATGTATATATGTAAGCAGCTAGACCTATTTCCTCTCTCTCGTACTTCTCTACACTTTCACTGACCTACTCGAATACTCTCATATCACTTTTATCACCTCTTAACCCTACTCGTACTCTAAATCTCTCCATTCAAATCAAAATGTCCGGCCTTCCTCCCAACAACGACAAGAACAAGAAGAGCGGTGGTGAGAAGAGGAAGTCGACGGCGCCCGACGACGTTGCGGGGAAGAAGAGGAAGACGAGGGCCGACTCCAGGAAGGAGAGAGACGGGTCCTCTCTCACACCGCTTCCTGTAAGTCCTTTGTGGTCTTGTTTAGTCTTTCTTGGTCTTGTTTAGTCTCGTTCGGTCTCGTTTGGTCTTATCAACTCGTACTGACATCGATTATGTTGTGTTTTTGTCTTGACCTGATAGCTATCCCCCGAGGAGATGAAGGCGGAGGTCGCGCGTTTGGTCGAGGAGGGGGTGAAGGCGAGGATGGCGGAGGAGAAGAAGAAGGAGGCGGCCGAGAAGAGGAAGAAGGAGGCGGCCGAGAAGAAGGCGAGGGCGGAGAAGGAGTCGGAGAGGATCCGGGATTTGGAGAAGGGGAGGAAGAGGAAGCAGGCCGAGGTAAGTCTTGCTTGCGTTAGAACGTCTCTACAGCTATCGTTCGGAAGTCTTAGAAGCTCTTCGTTCGCTGACTCGACAACGTTGTTGTACCTCTTACCTCGATCAGGACCAGCAGGCCGAGATCGCCCGGCAGGTGGACCTGGCGTTGGCGAGGGATGGGAAGAAGAAGGAGGTCGAGGGGAAGGAGGAGAAGAAGGAGAAGAAGGAGGAGGAGAAGGACGAGCGCGGGGTGAGTTTAGTCTTGTCTATTCGTCTTCGAGTCTACGTGTTCTATCTTTACTCGAGTACAAGTAACATCTTGCTGATTCATATTCAACGTTTGCATATACACAGCGTTCGTCGAGCAAGATGGAGAGCGGGGAGCCCCTTGAGGGGGTCTCCCAATACAAGATGGACTTGGCAAAGGTATGTCTATCGTCCGAGTTAGACCTCGTTGGACTAAAATAGTCTTGCTTACACTTGATATATATTTGATCGTGTTCTCAGTCCATCCGCCAGTGGAAGGAGAACCACGGGGAGAGCGTGGTGGAGTTGTTGGGGGACGACCGGTGCGAGCCGTGCCAGAAGGGGCACCGAACGACCTCCGGGAAGCACGGGCCGCCATCGGAGGCCTTGAAGGCGTTGAACAAGGAGTTCAACCGTTGTGTGATCGGGTCGAGCGGGAGATGCTCGGGGTGCCAGTGGAACGGTGGGGTGAAGGAGAAGTGCAAGTACCGGCGACCACCACCCGCCCCCCCCGCCGACGTCAAGCCCGACCTCCCGCTGGCAGGTCCCTACAGCCGATTCGGCTCGGGACATGGCTTTGGGGCCAACTTCGACGCTCCCCCGGCGCCCCCTGGTGGCTACTTGGCCGCCCCCCTCCTCCCCACCACCCCCCACCGCCGACCTGGTCTTACCGGCCTCGGCCTCCCCCTCTCCCCCGCCTCCCCCTCCACCACCGCCTCGACCTCGAGGATCGCCAACATCGGCGATCGACTCACCGGGTTCAACGAGGAGCTCCAGCGGGCGATGGAGAACGCCCAGTGGGCTCTCCATGAGCAAAATATTGCTCATTACTTCCCCTCGGTGCACGACCTCGTGCGGTGGTTCGTTGATGCTGCGAATCGCATCACGGAGTCCGGCCAGGACTTGGGGAGGTTGACCAACCCCCGCCCGGACTTCTCTCGACGTTGATCGTCGAGTTTTTACTTCTTGTTTTTGACTTCGTTCTCTTTTTTTTGTTGTACAATAATATTGAATATGTCTATGCATGCCGGCGCGAGAACAACTTGGACTTGATAAAGACTTAAAACCCAACAACGAACACTAATCTAAGAACGTAACCCATAGAAAGAACTTCGAAACTCCAATCACGACTCGCGTCAACACGAGTCGGTCTAAAACACATGTTCCAAATCCCAGATAAGACTAAGGAAGACTAAAGAGAAGCCAAGAAGAGCAAGAACGACGAAACAAGACCAAAAAGGACCAGCAGAGACGAAGCAAGACCAACAAAGACGAACGAAGACCAAAAGAGACCAAAAAAGTCTAACGAAGACCAAATGAGAACAGCAAAGACTATCAAAGACTAAAGAACATTGACGGCAATGATATTCAGTGTTAGAAGTTGTAAGCTTGCCATTACATCGTCCAACTCACAGAGACGACATCATTTGCGACCAGCCTTGGCGTAGTTATCAAGGTCTAAACGTTGAGTTTGGATCCTTCGCCTTTTGTTTGGGCGCTCAAGGGCCTCCGAATCATCTGCAGGGCTTGCAACTGGTGTGACTGGAGCAACGACTTCTTTGCCTTTGCCTTTTCCGTTGCTCGTCTTTCGAGGTCTTCCTCTTCCCCGCTTGACAGGTGCCGAAGTAGACGCCTCCTCTACACCTTGTACCGTTGCCTCGACTTCCCTAGGACCACCCTCTTCAACAGTAGCCGTTGACGGACCTCCCACATCTTCGACAGTCGACTCGGGCATGCCTCCCGACCAATCCATGTGGGTCTCCAAGTGGCTGTACAGTTCAGCTGCCAACGCATTGGGATCTTGGTCGAAGGGATCGTTGATCCACTGCTCCTGCTCATGATTCTCGTCCCCAAATCCTTCCTGTACCCCTCGTTCTTCCCCATCCTCGTCTTCACTGTAGAACAGTGGTTCTTCTTGGACTCCCGTTAGACCAAGACCATCGACAGCAGAGGTTCCAGCGTCAGCCAAAGCCATGAGTTGGGTTTGACGTTGCAACCACTCTTCCCCAAATCCTGGCTGCTGTGCTAGCTGAGCGAGAAGTTGTTGGGTAGAGAGAGGAGGTTGGTCGACAGAGGTGATCCTGGGCTTGACATCTTCATCGTCGGTATTATCGATGAGCTCGATGACTTCGCCTTGGATGGGATTGGGCACCTTCAGCTCCTCGGTCGGCTCGTCTTTGACGATTGTGGACTTGGAGAGTGGTGCGACAGCCTTGCCTGGTCTCTTTTTCGACGTGAGAAGGACTCTCTTGGTCTTCTTTTGACCTCCCGAGGTCTTTTTTGGTCTCCCTTGCACCGGCGGCAGGTTCCTTAATGACTCCAAGTCTGAATCAGACTCCGACTCCTCGAGCAATTGACGCCTTTGTTGGTCCAACCATGCCTGACACTTCCCCTGATGAGCGGCTAGCATCTCAGGGGGGTATCGTCTACTGCATCCTTGGCAACTCCTTAGTCCATCAACATCATCCTCATCCTCCTCGGTCGTCTTCTCCCAAGGGTCGTGGTCTTCGCCCATCTCACCCGCTACCTGTAATCTCCACTCTGGATTGTCGTTCTCTGGCAAGTCCCACCCTTCCTCAAAGATGCAAATGTAGTAGGAGTTGCGAAACTTGTCCTTCAAGTCTTCAATCGGAGTGGTGAAGCCTGGCCAAGTCATCCTTCCGTCGAATTTGGTAGATCCTTGTCCACATTTGGCCCAGACGAAAGGCGTGGAGAGGAATTGAGGTCCATGAACAGATCGGAAGACTCTTAGCACCTCATTGCCCACGTCCCGAGGCGTCATGTTGCTAGTAACGACGATTGATTGCATATAACCAAGCAGCTCGACAGCTTCTAGGAATTTGGGACCTCCTCCCGACTGCCATAACTTGATCTTCGTGCGCAAGATAGAGCCACAGCCAATGAAGATGACCTAGAGATTACCAAGCACGAACGAACCCAGCGTTGGCAAGACTTCATCAGACCAATTTGGACCAAATAAGACCAAATGAGACCAAGAGTAGTCGAAATAAGACTTGCCTTGTTTTGCCCTCGACCGAGCGTAACCTTGCTAATCTTGGGAACCTTCTCAACGCCTCTACTGGTCGCTTGCTGGTATCCTCCTCCTGGCAGTCTCTTCGTAGCTGCAATAGCAGAGCTGCTTGGAGCTAGACCACTCGCGAAGGTGGTGAAAGATGGCTGAGGAGCAAGCTGCAGGGGGTGAGGGAAGGGGGTTTGACGTCCGATGAACTGAGATGGGTAGCGCGATTGATAAGAGTTGAGATCGAGTTGGGAGGACGGACGACCAGCTGTACTGGATACAGCTGAGAAGGAAGTGGTACCGGGAGTCGAAGGAGGAGGTCGATTGTTGATTGATTCATCGATTGAATCGATCGTGGCACTTGGGGAGACGAGGTTGCGGGCAGTTTGGGACGAAGGGGGGGCCTGCAGTGGAGCAGCCTGCCCATAAACTCCAGCATTGACACCGGGAGCGTTCATTCTGGACAAGATTTGGTCCAGTCCATGCTTGTCCTGTAACATCCTCTGGTTGAGGATGGCAAAAAGCTCTTCGTCGGAGGGAATTTGGCTCATCTCGATGAATTTGAGAGGTACGTAGAGCACTTGAGACTAGGTAATGTCAAGGAGGGAGATAGGTAGTATCGATACGACTTGTTCGGTCTTTGTCAGTCTCCCTTGGTCTTCGTTGGTCCAATTTGGTCTTCGTTGGTCTAATTTGGACCAATTTGGACCAATTTGGACTATTTGCCTCCGGCCGGGTGCAATCAAGACACGCGAAGCAAAGACGCGGACCAAAGACGCTGAAATGAGGCCAAGACAACACAAATCTCGACGAAAAGGCTACAAACACGTCCATAGGCGACCCCCAAAGACGATTGGTGCTTTCGGCGCGTCATAATCGAATGCATACGTCATCAAGAAATCAGCTCGACGAACCGACAAAGAGTACGGCTGTGGGTAAGGCGTGCAAACTAAGGTCGATCCAGAGAGGGAGACGGAACATCTCGGGAGTGTCCGGAGAGGAAGAAGGTTCTCCTACGATACCCGAGGAGGAGCCGATGGATGATTTTTGGGGTAGAATGAGGTACGGGGCGATGAGGACCAACGGCCACTGAATTTCGAGAAGTAGAGAGGTCGCGTGACAGGGCAAGACATAACGAAAATTCAGCGATCGATTTGTGCAGCCAGCGGCTACGGAGAACTACTCACGTAAATCGAAGAGATGGTGATAGCCAAGGGGAATGCGATCAAGAGGAAAGCCCGTTTGACACTCCTGATCGCGGTGACGCCGGGAAGGACGTCAGAGAGGACGCCGAGAGAGGTGGTTATGATGGCCATGACGAGGCCCCAGTTGGTCAAGAACCTATCGAAACCTGATATGGCATTCGCCAATAAGCTCAATAGCGATATCGTCCTCTGAGCTATTAGTACGCACCGATCCCCTAATCCGCCAGATCGAGATGGACTCCCGTTTAGCAAAACGTAACGAACGCGATTTCTCGAAAAGCTATGACGGACCTTTGGCACCAGGTAATCGGGGATATCGATATGACCCAAACCTTTGTAGCCATTGATCATCAGCATCGTCGAGATGAACTGAAAGACGACTCCTCCGATCCTGGGCTTTGATCGAGCCGGTCGAGCCGATGCTGGCGGGTTCGGCAGTGTCGTCTGGGTGTGCATGTCATTGACCATCTTGAAGGATCGCTGGATGGGAAAGTCGTCGACAGAGGAAGAGGTGCGAGATCGGCGGGCTTCTATGAGCTGAATGACGAGCTACAGGTATTGTATGTCTGTGTCGATCGAGGTTACGACGAACGACGTCGCTAGCTAAGAATGGAGGAGGGATGGGGGGGAGGCACTTGCCTGAATCTCGCTCGAGCTGAGATTTCTCGCGATCGCCATGTTCGCCGAGGCGGATCTACACCGCTACACTTTGCAAACCATGTCAAGTCTGTTGTGCAGTTCATGAGCCAATGTGAATTACATTATAGATCTCATCACCTACTCACTCGGATAGCGCTTGAGCTCTAGCTGCTTTTTCTGCTAAGCAGCGATATGTCCACGTACGTTGCGCGACGACATCATGCATGTTAGTTTCAATGCTGAAGAAGGGTGAGCTTTTTGGGTCCAACAGTCCAGGTATACTTCGACAGGAAAAGCCATGCGTAGCTTGCAAGACGAGCAAAGTCAAATGTGACTATGGTTCACCATGTGTCCGTTGCGAGAGGAGATCGATCCCGTGCACGTACGCTTTCAATACGGATGGTCGGATCAGACGATATCATAAACGGTCCACCGCGGGCTGTGTTTGCTGCAAGACTCGACATGTGAGGTGTGATGAGAAACGACCGATCTGTGGAAATTGCACCGTCAGGGCAGAAGAGGTGAGTACTATTGACGAGATTCCGCTGCACATGAAGCTGAAATGACCACTGCTCCACATGCTGTCGATTTCTAGTGCGTCTACCCTCCACGTGCGAACAAGGGTGCGACCAGATCTCGAACGAGATCAGCCTCTCCTCGAGCGAGGCAGTCCTCCAATGCATCTGAATTCGAGGACATTAGACGTCCTCGGGTGAGCCGGGCATGCATCGAAGCTACAAATCTGTCCAGACCACAGGAGATCATGTCGGTGACACCAGTCGAGGATCCCTCTACCTTTCTTCCTCATGCAACTCCGTCAGGGTATCACCGTCAGCCATCGTCTACTGGACTGGAAGGAGTCTCTGTCTCCCGATCATCTCGCGATCACCAGGTCGAGCACTACCAATACCCACTCGTTGCGCAACCTTGCGCAAGTGTCCCGCAAGAGTTTGACTCGGCTGTGCAGCTGTATGGCCGTTCGGCCTTAACCTCCAACGCGATGGCGCCTGGACCTTCCAGGCAGCCACGTCACCGGGACGATCAATCTCTCGTGCATGTCCCGACATTCGGGCTCGACTTTGCCCAGAATGACGCACGTTTCTCGTTGCTCGACGACGACCTTGACCCTCGTCAGCCCAACCAGCACGAAGGAGGGGACCCCAGTCCGGCTGTGGCGGTTCTGCCGATTCTATCTCGTAATCTCTTCAACACATCGAACCCCCCTGAAGCGAGACAATCGACGGTACCGCAGTTCGGACCCTCTCCACTGCACCCGTATGCGGGTACGGGTGCGAGGCAGACAGCTCATGAAGCGTGGATGAAATCGCTATGGATAAATGGAGAACTAACTCGGATGCCCAAGATGACCAGGACAATCGATGTGGACAATCTCGAGGGCTTCTTCCCGAATACCGAACAGCGGCATCAGGTGAGATCTAGATCGTCTTGGCTGCGTTAGCGCCAAAGCGTCTGGTCTTGAGCATTCTTGTTTGATTACAGTTCAAGCACTTCACGACGCATACCTGCAATATCATCTTGACCATCCCCACGACAGCGACATGTAATCCCTGGTTGAACCTCTTCGTTCCCCTCGCCTTATCATACCCTCACGGCACATCCCTTACGTGCGATGCTTTCCGTCTAGGTATCCTCAGTATCGCCACGTTCGACATCGGTTTCCGCATGGCAAAAGCGCAAGGCGAAGGTGCCAAACAGAACGATAATGCAATGTACGAACTGAGCCGGGCTCAACGGGGCAGAGCGTTGGAGCTTTTAAGGGTCGCCAAGATTGCGGGACACTTGGAACCGGAAAAGGCGGGATCAGTGGAGATGGACATGAGTTTAGGAGCGGTGTTGATGCTGTCCATCCGCGATGTAAGGATCATCCCGCCCCGCCCACAGCTCCGTTACACGACTACAACCATCTGACGTGTGCTGTGCTCGCATGACAGAGGCTCGCTGGCCATACTGAATGGATGGATCCGATGGACTTGGCAGTCCGCCTGATCAACAGTATGGGGGGACCAAACACATTCCTCAATGCGCGGTATTCGCAGGAGAGAAGGTTTATACTGGAACAGACCGTTACCGTCGAGATTATCGGTAAGGATGTCACCCCATATCCAACACGGCGACCGATCACGTGGCTGACGGACTATCGAATCGATACCTGCTAGCCTGTCTGTCGGTCCTGACACCGACCAGGTTGCTACGCCGTGATCAAGCTTGGTTTTTAACACCCTTTCAAGGTCAGTCTTGTTCGTATACCCGTGCGGCGCGCTAGCTCACCGACCGACGGCTACGTGCGGATCTGCAGCTGATGAGACTGGACACGACCATATCGAGCTCGTTTATGGCCTCGACAGGTGAGTCTACTCTCGTCATCTTGGCCTAGTCGTTGAGCTCACTACGATTACGTACTCAGGGATACACTAGCGTACATTGCCGAGGTAAGCCGCTCTTTCGGCTCCCTGATATCGGACCGCGCTCAAGTACCACACTCCGTTGTCCTTCAGGGCCTGTATCTTTCCGACATCAAACGCTCGGTCGAGATACTCCGAGTCAAGGCCAAGGACATGAAGGGATATCCTGAGTTCCATCGGGCTTTGCTCGAAAGAGAACAAGAAATGCAGGCATTCGGACAGACACTCTTGGACAGAGTCGGTGCGTTGAGGATGTCGACCCTGGTAAGACTGCCGTCAGTACCTGTCGACCGATCGTCATGCTAAGCAGGATCTCTGTTGGTAGATGACACCGCACCACACCCGAGTTGTCGTTGGCAACCTCTTGTTTCAGGCGTTCATGGAACTATGGATCGTTGCCGAGATTGTGGAAGATCCTTTCAATAGCCCAAGGGTACAGGGTGCGGTGGACGCCATCTTTGAGATCGTTACGGAAGCCATGAGTCGGGGCATGTTTACTGGGTAGGTCGTTCTCGCAATTGTCCTCTGACCGTGAGACCGATCGAGGCTTACACACTATCATGCACTCCCCCCCCCTCTGGCAGCTTTCTCCTACCGTGCTCCTGGGCAGCGACGTTCGCAGCGACCAAAGAATCCCGCGAAAGATCCACCCGCATCCTCGATCTCCTCAAGCCTGGCTACCACCTCGACTACGACTTGACGACCCGTCTGATTCAGGTCATCTGGACGAAATTCGATCTCGAAGAAGGGCAGAGTTGGACCAATTGTGGGCCCGCGACGGGAAGTGATCTTGCCATGGGCAAAGACTCTGGTGGGCAATTGATGAGCTATGAGGGCTGGGAGAGTTTCATGAAGGAGGAAGGCCTGTATGTGCCGATCTTTTGAGCGCGTCTTGGTTGTATCCGTGTAGTACGTGGGCGTTTCAGATTGACATACCCATTTCGGTTGCACCGCGGATGATCGACAATGCCGCCGAGACTTGCGGTACTCTTGATGCTTCGTCAGATCCGGAATCGCGGGGCGCGGACGCGAACGGATTCGGGCTTGGCGGTCTCGTCGTCGTCTGCGAGTTGGTCCGGAGATGACGATGCTTGTAGGGCGATCGATAGATGATTGTGTCTGAACGAGGGGTCGTTTTTCGCTAGATATTGCGGCGATCTATCAACTGTCAGAATAGATATTGTGTGCTAATTGATACTAGGAGAGACGAAGTTACGAACAGGATAGGATACTTTACTCAGGGTCTGCTCGTAGGATTTGCCCGAACCGGATAACTTGCAAGAAGCAAGAAATTGACATCGAGAAACCAGGACGACCAGTCTCGCAAGCAACACCACCAAGTAGATAATAATAAGACCACAAGAGGTAGCCATTAGAAGAGATGTCGTTGCATAGACATTCTGTCGATGGCGATATGGTTGAGAGGCTCACTGCCATGGGAATCTCGGAGAAGAGCGCCAAGTATGCTCTAAGGGTGAGTCCCTGGGGGTCAGGGGGTTCCGCTGGATGACAGGACTCGTAGCCCGGTCGTCTCAGTTGTGCTTTTGTCGTGAGAGAGTCTGCTGACTTGGAGGTGGAATGGGGAAGTAGAAGACGAACGGGGATGTAGAACGGGCGGCCAACTTTGGTAAGTCTTGATTATCTGGTAGCCGGTAGCGAGATGTGACGTTTCAGGATATCTCAAAGGAGGGGAGGGGGGCAGGGGGAAGGACGCAGCATTGATGAAAGGGAGATCCACTGATGATCGGCTCCGCAAAGCGCACAGCGAATAGAAGGAAGGCGTGCGCGACGATCATCAGAGACATTCTGCCCGATTCCAAAGGGGAAGAAGGGGGTTCGAGGTGGATCGATCACATGATGAGACACGAAAGGGTGGGAGAGGGAGAGGGAGAAACGTGATGACGAAAACGTGTGATCAAGGGAAAACTTTCATGGTCGACCTGGGAGAGAGAGGAACAGTTAGGCATCGGGATAGTTGTTGCTACTTGACGACCTGCATGATCGAAAGGATCCTTGAAGCTGATCGTGGAACTACCACTCTTTGCTTGACTTCTTCTCGCTCGACGTCGACCTCCACGACCCACACCACCCCCTTTCAATCGCTTACCCGCACAAACAAACCTCCTTTGACCGCACGACGATAACCCGCATCCTCGAAATACCCCCCATTTCACCTCTCGACCCGCTATCGGACCATCCTCCACCCTGCGTCGGACCTCGAACCGACACCCGCCTCGCACCTCCTCTTTCCTCGAACAATAATGCCCAAACTCACTCGTTCCTTTTCGCTCCCGGTAACGTTTTCGCTCAAACCGAAATCGAAACGACGTCGTCAACACGAACGCGATGCGTCTACCGGGTCGGGGAACGCAGTGTTCAGCGGAGAGGCTAATAAAGAGGAGGTGAGTCGAGTCGTCTATTAGAATTCCGACTCGGTTGTGAGGCTAGAAGCTGACAAGCACCTTCTCGATTGCCGTTGCAGGTAAGCAAATCAAAGTCTGGTTCGGGTCGTTTCGGTCGGGTCTCGAGCGTTCGGTCGACAGTAGGGTCCGTCTCTACGTCGACATCTGGATCTGGTTCTGGGTTCGTCACGGCGAGCGAGGGGTCTTGGGGCCTCATCACGGAAGGCAAACCACAATCCGGTCAGGAGGAAGGAACGGGTCAACTGGATGGGAATGCACCTCAAGATCAAAGGGAGGTACGGGACGATGAGACGCCTCGGGCTCCAGGCTTGGTTCCCGTGGATGCTGTCATGGTGACGAGTCCGACTCGTCCAGATGGTCTCGCTATCAAAACGGTTCAAGAGGCCGAACAAGATTCAGGGTACCTATCTCCATTGATGATCGCCCCGGCGTCCGCCTCGGCCCCGAGCCCGATGAAGGGCGAGACCGTCGTATCCCTTCAAAGTCAAAGTAATAATAACAATATCAACCCAAGCGGCCTCGCCCCGCCCTTGGGAGTTGGCGCAAGGAGCCCTAGTACGTTGCCGAGTACTATGGGAAACCCCAGCGGTTTGGACGTGATACACGAGCACGAGGTACATCATGCGGATGGGCAAGCTGTCCCGCCGCTCGAGTTGAACGTGCACGAGACTGCGGCCAAGGATCGCCCTGCTACAACCTTCCCGCTTCAGGAAGGTCTAGACGGGTTAGGGTTGAGCAGGTCAAGCATGGCAGCGCCTTCGGGGGATATGGTCGGGTTCCCGAAGAGTCCGGTGGCACAAAGCGAACAAATCCATTCGTCACAGAATGACCTTGACCAGGACAAGCTCTCTGTCGCCATGACGCCCGCTATCGGCACCTCGCCCTCTTCCAGACGCAGCAGCGTTACATTCAACGAGCCTCCAATCCTCCGCCCTACCATGTCTCGTCAGAATTCGGACTCACCCGAGATCTTCAAGACGCCCCAGACGACCGGAATGACCACGCCCTCGAGGGTGACCTCGACTTCGAGCTCGATCTCCGACAGGAGCCGGAAGAACAGTCAAGGCAAAGAGAGAGACCTGCCCAGGACCGAGACAAAGACCAGTTTCGAGCTGGGTGATGGATCCGATGGTGACGAGGCGAGAGGGAGGTCGAAGAGCGTAAAACGGGTCGGGTTGTTCCGGCGGAAAAAGAAGGACAAGGAAGACAAGCGCGACTTGTCCGCTGGGGAACCTGCTCTGAGCGAGCATGGTAGACAGCCGAGTTTCACCAAGGATGACGGGCCGGGAAGAAGATCTGCGGGGAACAAGCGAATGAGCTTGTTTGACATGGGGAGCAAGATCAAGGATCTCATGTCGACACGAAGAAAAGATACCGCGCCAATTTCTGAGCCAGAGGATATTGGATCCGGGGATATCTCGACGGGACCGGAAGCTACCGAGACGGAGATGACACCCGAACGTGCCGAGCTAGAAAGCAAAATCGCACATGTCATCCGCAGAGCGCGGACTTCGGACAGCCAGACCGGGGAGAGGGAACAGATGCAGACGCCCATACAGAACCAGAACCAAATCAAGACGCAGACCCCGGGCTCGAAACCGAGTCGACAAGATTCGGAGCCCTCGTCGACCTCGAGCCCGATCCAAAAGACCCCTACGAGGGGTATATTGAAGATTACTAACGATGCTATTGATCCTTCTTTTGCTTATGATGCCTCCCAATCCGTTTATTCCCCTTCCCGGCCTGGTTCCGTCTTCTTCGCTTCGCCTGCCGCGTCCGTCTTCGTCTCTCCGAATAATTCTCCAACTGGTTTAATGCTGCCTCTACCCATTTTGGACGACGGTGATAACGACATGGTGACCGTACCGGAACCGTCTTCTTCGACACTGACGCGGTCGTCCGACACCCCTGGTGGTGACGAAACTGAACATACGTTGGGTTCGCCTTTCACCCCGCGACCGACCGGCACTGCGACTGGAAACGGCGATGATGACCACGATGGGGATTCCAACTCGACTCGCACGGTCACGCCAACGTCTTCCAAACCCGCTGGTTTCGGTGGACTGGCAATGACGTCCATCTCCGCGACCGGGCCTACCGACGCTAAAAACCTCATTCCTACCTCTACTTCTGGCGAATCGACATCGTCCGGCGGGACCGTCGTTTCCCCGACTTCCGACAAACAGGCTAATGACCTGATCATGGGAGCTCTGAACCGCAAGAGCGGTGGCGGTGGTCATCTCATGCACAAGTCGCCCAGCGCAACTTCTCTTGGGTCGACCAAGACTACCGGAGCTCTCGCGGCCCTGGGTATGAAAGCGATGGGTCCCGGACTTGGAGGCTTCAGTGCTGCAGAGCCCACTGTCGTCCGAAGCCAACCGGTCGGAGCGTCTTCGTTCGAGTTGCATAGGGCAAAGACTGTCGACTTTGACACTTCGCCCCAGAAAGATACGGGTGGACTCTTTTCTGCATTTGGTGGGACGAAGGAAAAGGAACGAGGGAGATCATCCTCGAAATCGAAACGGGACAAGTACAAGATCTTTAGTCGTCGAAGTCTTGCCGCCGGATCTGCTGGTCTTGGGGGACCTCGATCGAGGGAGACCTCCCCGGTCGGGGCCTTGTCTGAACACGCCGAATCGGATGGGGAGAGCGTTACCAGTAGTTCGCGAGGCTATCGGCCTAAATCGACCGCGTTCTCGGCCAAGCGACGTGTCGGTGACAATGCCGAAGACAGCGATGAAGACGACGCGTCGGACGAGGACACCGATGGCGAGACTGAAACGGATCTGGATTACGACGAATCGTCCTTGAGTCACGAGATTGTTGGCGAGGACGGATGGGTGGAAGATGTGTTCGACGAAGAGACGGAGAAAAATACCGAAGCAAACGCCATCTACTTTGAGGGAGATGCCGCTGGGTTGGGTGGAACTGGGGTCCTCGAAGACGCTAACGGTGAAGCGGTCGAAGTCGAAGTTGATGTTCTGGGCGAGGGTGAGTGCAAGCTCATCACCCGTAGATGTGATAAGAAGCTTGATCGACTTTTCGTTCCCAGGGCCCAACGTGATTCGACCACCCGAACCCGTGTTCCAGCAATCCACCATGACACGTCGAGCGCCTTCCCCAGAGGACGAAGGCGGGAAGCGGAAAAAGGCGACCAAATTTGAGCCCGAGCCCCTCGAGACCAGCCGACCCGAGTTTGGCAGGAACCGATGTACAATCAGGATGACTCAAGGCGACCCCGATGAAGCGCTCGAGCAGACTGGGACGAAGCTGAGGTCGTATGTGGTGCTGAGTGATCTGTCGGAGGAGGCCGGATACGCTTTGCAGTGGGCGATAGGTGAGCGTGACCTTCTGCACCTCGATGTGGAAATGACACTGATCCAAGTCTTCCACAGGTACGGTCGCTCGAGATGGTGACGAATTGCTCGTTACCACTGTCATCGAGACCGATTCAAAGAGCAAGTCTTGCTCACTGTTCGGCCACTGAAAAGAAAACTTTGATCTGATCAAGGGTCCGCTTTGCAGTCGACCCTAAAAACCCCAACGAACAAGACCGAGTTGCTAAGCTCCGCGTACAGAAAGAACGACAGGGTATCGCTCTTCAGCTTGTTCGACAAGTTACCGGTCTATTGCAGAGGACCAAGTTGAACGTGACCGTCACTTGCCAAGCGATCCATTCCAAGAACGCTAGACACATGCTTTTGGGTGAGATCGAACGCTGTTCGTAGCTATGGTCTTTTTGCTGCTAAAAGGTTTGTCCATCAGACTTGATCGACTACCTGGAACCGACTATGGTGATTGTTGGATCGCGAGGTCTTGGTAAACTACAGGGGTATGTGGCAGGAGGATCCCCTTTCGTCTGCGCTCGAGAAGCGTTGCTAATGACATATGCGTTCTGCTCAAAGTATCCTCTTGGGATCGACCTCGCACTACCTCGTGCAAAAGAGCAGCGTGCCAGTCATGGTCAGTCAAGCTTGTCCAGTACAGTGGCATATCGTCGAACGCTAAAGTTGTTGATTCATCTCGATGCAGGTCGCCCGTCGCCGACTCAAGAAACCCTTGCGAAAGACCGACCCGGCTCTTTTGCGTCACGCTCCTCGTGTCTCGCTCGCAGGTGCCTCTATCGAAAAGAGTGCCTCGACGAAACAAGAGGACGAGATCCTTGACGCTGAACAGCTCGAAAGGGAGGGTGAGATGGCGGACCAAGACAAGAAGGAGTCGACGGGCGCATTCAGTACCGCCTCGTAGACCTGCTCGTCATACCGAATCTCATCTCGAGATGATTGTAACGTTGTGTGCTGTTCCATTGATGTAGCCTACCTGGTGAATTGTATTGCATGTTTAGCTTTATACACTGGTCAATCTAAGCGCTACATGTGACTGCGCAACATTCAGCAAGAAAACTCTTGCGTCTGATGTGTTGTAGAGCGGAGTAGCGAGTTGCAAGGTTGTCACATCGGTATCAAACGAACGAGGCAGAATTTTACGCAGTGAGGGAACGTCGGTCAGAGACCAACGCTTGGTTCACAGTAGAGTTGCATGAGCTATATCCTATTGCGGTGAACTTTGGCCTTCGTGTGGAGTTGCGTTTGACTCCACTTCGCTATGGGCTTCGACAAGTATCCTCGAGCAGATCTGGTATCTATGGTCACAGAGCCATGATATGTGGTGGCGAGACTGATTAAGGGCTGGACAACGTCTCCTGGATGAGCGGTAATTGGCCTGCCGCTCAAGCTCTTGTCGCCAGACCCTCCAGAGCCGCTGTTGGTGAACCATCCAGGGCTGAAGCGAAGGCTCGAGTCACCGAAGTTAAGGAATCCGTATGATGCCAAGCCGGTCCACTTTCTAACCGCCAATATCGCTCAGAAACCGACTCGTACCAACGTCATCGTCGTGTTGTCTTTTCGAGCTTTTCAACGTGAATGATATTTTATTGGATCCATCCCGAACCTCTTTACGCGAAACCCTTGTATTCGAAAAGGTCCGGTATGCGAAAAACAATTACAACCCGCGACTGCTCTGCCTCTAGTGTCCACCGGCCTGCTGGGCGAGGATGTGGTGGCCCTAGAGATCGCAAAAGAAACGATGAGCTTCTTGACTCTTGGTACGGAATCCTCGAAGCTCGAGAGGCTAGGGAAGAGAAGGAACAAGGGGGGGAGGGGGTTCTAGCAATAGTAGACGCGCAACTCACCTCTTTCGAGTTGTTCCACTCGTACTTGGTCTTGGCCCACGAGTAGACCGAGTAACCTGCGATTCGCAAAGAGACGATCAAGGTCGAGGCCCATCCGTCAAGAGAAAACGCAAGGTCGATTGAGGCCGAGGTAGATATCCGTCAAGGGTATTGGATTGAGTTATAGTTCCAGGTTCATGTTGATTCGAGAGCGAGGTTTCGAACATCCCCCACAGCATAGCACAATCGGACATAAAAAGCAAACCATCGACATCAGCCTTCGAATTGAATCCCCAGCGCCGCGACCCTCGAAATCCAGACCCAGCACTGACCGACACTAGCGGGCAACAAGACATAAGGCGCCTGCCTCATGAACCTGCTGAATCCGTTGAATATGTATCCGTGGAAGACACCCTTCATGGCTCGCTGACGCGAGGGGGAAACGGCTGGAAGATCAGAACGAGGTGGATTTGGAGGTTCAAGGTGATGCGAGATATGATTGAGGGGTAGGTTGTGGGTAGATTATTGTTGCACAATCGATGCGTTGTTACGACCATGAAATCCAGCCGACACGATGTTTCCAGGATCACATGGTATGTTGTAAATGACCGTGATCAGTCCTACACCTTGCGATTGAACGCTCAGAACCTGTGAAGCGGCTTACCGTAGGTGATGACACCCTTCTGCTTGGGTCCACCCATGTTACCCCACCATCCGATCTATTTATCCGCAATCCGATGTCCGGCATCAAGGTCGAGTTGAATAAATCAGAAAATAGGAACGGATGTTCGTCAGTCTGGGAGTCCTTGGCTTCGGTATTTCATGGGACGAAGAACTGACGTAGGCCTTGCCTGGTAACAAGAGTAACAGCGGCAAACGGTCAGTCCCTATTCCCCGGTGGAAGGCTCTACCCTATAATGCAACCCTGCGACATACCGGTAGGCATCAAACTCTCGACCTGGGCAGTGGGACGCATCTTGATCTGCTCTTGTGGTAATGGGCGGTAGCGGTCTGTGGTATATTAGATGGGCGGATCGGGGGTATGTCAAGCTTTGAACGATGTCGAAGGTCGGGGTACTTTGCTCGAGTTGTGGTTGGGTAAACGGGAGAGATGAGACGAGGGGGAAGGGTAGTTGCACCGCGGATATCACAGCACCACGACGAAATGCCCGGCTTACCTAATAATCATTATTATTAGTCGACTAGAGCATGGACCCTCAGTAAACCGCAACTCTGGAATCTTGGACGAGGAAGTGACAATTACGACTTCATGGTAACTTCATATCGACATGTCAAAGGTGTTCGCAGTCGCATGTCTCTGCGAGCTACAGCGGCCCTAAGGGAACAGATAGATCCCTCAGTCGATCTAGCAAAGTATGAGTCACCTGCGATCTAGCCGACTGACGCGGTCGTGCACGCAGTGCTGCTCGACATGCGGCACTCGGCCCTTGCTGAGCAGAGAGACGGTGGTAAGCCGTCGCACCGCATGACAACGTGGTTTAGTTCTTGAGAGCTCATGTCAATGATTTGATTACATAGCCCAGATTCAACATCGAAGATGTGCGGAACCGCTCGGCGCGGTGGAACGATCGTCACAATCACAGGCGAACAGCAGCGAAACAGACGTCGACTCGTCATTTTACGACATCCGCCTCGTCCTTCTCGGCATTCTCCTCGTTCTTCGAACGCAACAAACCAGCAACATTGGATAGCAACAAGACCGTCACCCCAGTCCTTACGGCTACTGCTGTACCTACCACAGCCTCGAGTTCAGCCTCGGGCTCATCTGCCACGAACACCATCCTCTTGAACGATTTCGAGCGTGCCCTGTCTACCAACAACCTTCCTCTCCTCCGAACAACGTACAAAAGACTCCTCCTCCTGCCCGCGACGAATACGAATTCATCGTCCGACACACCTCCGGATCTGGTAGTACCTATTCCGCTACTCGAAAAAGGCCTCCACCTCCTCTCCACCTCCAACAACCAGAAGGATCTACAAGAGGCCCTCCGTTTGACGTTTACCAACCCTCATGTCACTCCTCGTCAGCTTGGACTCGTAGGAACGCTTGCCTGGGTTAAAAGCGCGTATCATCTGCACCAACATATCAACTTCAAGAGGACGTTCTTCACTTTGAAAGACAAGAAGGAAATCTACCCGGACTTGTTGACCCTGCCAGGGGAGGTGGTATCACTCGTACTCCGGGGATTGTTACGAGGAGGAAAGACACGGTATTCGGATAAAGAGAGGGAATGGGTCGTGCGCACCGTCTTGGAGACGCTGGCCAAGTATGAAGGATCGGGACCGGAAGAACGGCTGGCGGTTTTCAGGGGTGTGATAGGAGATTTTCCCCGAGCAGGGGATAATAAAAGGTTTTACGACGTGGCGCAAGGTGCCGGGCTGGATACAGATGAAGAGCTCATAGTGGGAGTTTTGAATTCCGTTCATCTTGGCGCTTCGGTCGGCGAGCAGGATGGGATGTACGACGAATTACGGCGGAATTTGGAAACCAGAAAGAAGGAGGGTACACTAGGTGTGAAAGGATGGAATTGGCATATTCGGGAACGGATACGAGTGGGCCAGGTTGAGGGTCCTTCCGGGAATGCGGCCATCGAGGAGACTGTCAAAGATATGAGGCAAGCGGGGATCTCTCCGAATCAGGAAACCTTTGAGCTGCTTCTCTTCTCCAAGCTCGACCATGACGCAGAGACTTCGACTACCTCGATTCAAAGCTTGCCGGACGGGTATATCGACAAGGTCTGGGAGACGACGGCGCTCCTAGGCTTGGATCCGGAGGATCAAACTTGGGAACGAGCGTTTGAAAAGGTGGTACGAACGGTAGATCGCGCGGAGGAGCTGGGAGAGGAAGAACGGAGGGAACTTGTCTATACGGCGTACGAAAACGCTGTCAGGGCAGGTGCGAGGGTGTCGATTCCCTTGGCGAGACAGGTCGTAGACCGATTGGAGGATTCAAGCAGAGCGAGGACGCCGGACTATACGCGGATCAACAATGTTCGGTCGGATCTAGGAGCGGCGATGGACGAGTCGGACGAGATCTTGCGGGGTGGGCAGATGACGATAGTCGATCGGGATGAAGCATTGCAGTCGATCTATGCGGTCTGTCTGGAAGGTGCGGTCGTTGGGAACAACGCTGTACCGGATGCTATCTCCTTGCTGGACGAGATGCGTCGGCGGCACGTCGTTCTTGGTCAAACGACCGCTATGAGATTGACATTCGACCTAATGGATCGGGCTCAAACGCACCACGATGCCTTTCGAGCGTATTCCTACGTTCGCGCTCTGGACCCGATGATGATGGACGAACAAGATTATCTCGATATCATCCTCCATTTCATCCGGCTCGTCTTGCCCAAAAGTCCGTCGCCACTGCCTAAGCTCACTTTCGAGTTTCTGCGAGACATGCGGGACGCTGCGATCCCTCCTCAGGCCCGGGTATACACGATGATGGTCAACGAGTATACGCGGTACCTGCGTCGAAGGAGAAAGGAGCGAGCGAGCGGGTCGGGCGAGTCGACGGGATTGGACGAGAAGATCGCGGGGAATACGATCCAGACGATTCAAAAGATCCATTCGATCGTCAAGTTGGACAGTTTCCTCGACGTCGACCTGCCCCTCTTGATCGCGCTCATGGACGCTTACAATCAGCTCCAGCTCTGGCCAGAGACGTTCGAACTCTGGAACGAGATTGTCGCTCGACACCGGATGGAGAGGGAATCTTCGGCCGACGGGAGGCAGACGAGCTTGCAACGCGTAGCTTATCGTCCGGCGCTCAGCGTTATTCTCGATGCTTGTGGGTATTCGGGGAACCTATCTCGGGCGAGAAAGATCTGGGAGTGGGCCCATGGGCGGGACATGATCCGGTGCAGCTATGGCAACTGGAAATCATGGATCGAGTGTCTGTGTCGATGCGGCAGACTGACCGAAGCGTGCGACGTCGTCAGGGGTCCCTTCAAGAGAAGCTGGTCGGACGGCATGTTGGGCCCGGACGAGAGGACGACCTTGCTTTCCCGTGTAGATCAGGACGAGTTACCAGTGCTCGAGATGCTCGTCAAGTTTAGCTGGAGGAGCAAGTCGGAGTGGATCGAGGTGAGGAGGATGATCGAGAGCGAGTTTCCCGAGCAGTGGGAGGTGCTCAAGCGCAAGGGCAAAGTCAAGGGGAGAGAGCTCGCGTCGCAGCAGAGCGGGGCGTAGAGTGTGATGTCCTTGTTATGAATGTAGATGTCCGTCCCGCTAGATGCAACATCACATCAAACACCGGGTCTTCTATTGTTATCCATGCTCGTCCTCGATAGTACGAGAGTAGTGCTACAGTACTACAGTAGCAAATTGAACCCATATCTCGACAAGACTCGGCACGTCCATCGGCATCAGGTATGACATCATTTTGGAGAAGCAGTCGAGATCGTCGCTAGCGCCGACCTATGCGCGGTAGAAGCCTCCGGTCCCTCGTCGGTCTCCTGCCATATTCCCTCACGTGAGGGCTAGAGAGCGGGTAAAGACCTGTCGTCATCGCCGCCCCTGTCTCTGTCCGGTGATTGTCACGCGAGGACGACGTAAGCAGCTCCAGATCGAGCCAAGAGGCGCGAGAGAGAGAGGGACGGCTCGATCCGCCTCTTGGTTGTGTTTCGGTTCGTCGTCGTCGTCGGTCATCGCGAGCGAGGTCAATTTCTATTTTCTATCCAACCAGCTGACATCCTCGATCGTCATCAGCCACACTACTCACTCCTCTCCCCCTCGCGGTATCAACCCTGAGTCGTCTACGTCAGCTCTCCGAAAAAACTGCCTAGGCCGCTGCTAGCTACCAGCTGCTGGGGCACACGTATATAGATCACAGCCGTCGATCTGGTCGGGTCAGGAGAACCTGGACGATCCCACTTGCCACCACCAACTAGTCTGATCAATCTCGCTACACTCGACCACACTTCTCACCCAAACCAAGTCGATAGCAAACACATCCTTGCAAGATGGTCAACCGAGCACTCGAGGTCAACCCTCCCAATGCGGACATCGTAGGTGGTCCCGATCCATCTGGAATAATCGAAGTCGGTCGGTTTGACTGACGATCTGGTCTAATCTTTGCTGCCTACAGAACATCAACTACAAGGCGTCCAACTTTTTGTGGGCGATCTTTGCCGCCATGCTGTTCACCGACATCCTCATGATGGCTTGGTGCTTCACCCTCCCCAAGGGTAGGAGGACCTTCCATTACTTGAGCATCATCATCTTGACCACGGCGTCCATCGTGAGTGTTCGCGGTGCGAATTCTCCTGCAGAACGGACCGGGCTGATCTTTTTCCGCCTTTCTGGCCCCGACTTGACCATTTCCAGGCATACTTCTCCATGGCGTCCGATCTCGGTGCCACTCCCGTCTATGTCGAGTTCTACGACGTTGGCTACACCCGACAGATCTGGTATGTCAGGTACATCGACTGGGTCATCACCACCCCCTGCCTCTTGCTCGAGCTCGTCCTCGCCACCGGACTCCCCCTGTCGGACATCATCGCCTTGATCTTCTTCGACGAGGTCATGATCATCACCGGTCTTGTCGGAGGTCTGGTCGTCAGCTCGTACAAGTGGGGCTACTTTGCCTTTGGATGCGCCGCCTTGGTCTACATCTGGTTCATCCTCTTGTGGCCGGCCATGCGATCGGTTACCTTGCTCGGACCTGGTACGTCATTTACGCAGCGCCCATGCTCTAGTCGAAGATCCGTTGCTCATCACCTTGTCACTCCCTGTCCTCTCTTTCTCCGCTCTCAGACTTCAAGCGAGCCTACGTTACCTCGGCTGTCATCCTCTCGGTCGTCTGGACTGGTTACCCCATCGCCTGGGGTCTTGCCGACGGTGGCAACTACATCACCCCTACCTCCGAGATGGTCTTTTACGGAGTGCTCGACTTTGTCGCCAAGCCCGTCTTCACCTTGTTCCACGTCTACATGTTGTCCAAGGTCGACTACACCAAGATGCAGCTCCAGTCGTGAGTATCGTCAGGGCGCATGTGTAGTCACACGGGCAGATCACTGATCGGGATTATCTTTCGTTGCTTGTATTTTGCAGTGGTAAATTCTCCGAGGGTGCTTCGCTCATCTCGCACCCTGCCCAGCACGCCGAGTTGGACTCCATGAGGAAGAACGCCAGGGCCGACTCGACCGCCGTCGGTGTCGCCGAGCCCCGACACAGCACCGCTACCGCTGTCGGCCGTGAGGTCTAAGCGACGAGCAACATATAGCGCAGTGGAAGGAAGGCTAGAGGAGCAGACGGAATCGTTGATTGATTCGCCAAACTGGAAGGAGAATTTAGATGCTTCAAGTGCAAATGTCAAATTGACGGGGTCACTGCAGCAGACTTGCGATTTTTTAGATTGATAATCATGTAGCCAGTACACATACGCAAACATCCAATATTATAATTCACCATATTTGCTGTCGCGATTGCATCGTTGTTCACTGAACGAGTCATATTCTCACGATCGATCTTGTTTTCGCAGTGCGAATACATTCCCACTTTCTATACCCTTGAGCGTTTTCATGGACGCGCTATACTTAACGGTTGAGCTCTTCTTTGGCTCACCAGAATGTTGGGGTACCACAGCAGTTTGGGCTTGCTATACTGGGCCGTAGGATCACGACCGGGCCGAATTCGTTGTTAGGGATTCTGCGCGATAATCATCGACATCGAAGAGGGACCAGCATTCGGTATGAGAGGGTATCTTTCGAGCCGCAAAGTTCGTTCTGGAAAGTTTCCGCCTCGCAGCAGATCGAGCTTGACAGAGCGGGTCATTAGACACCTTACGACGTTCTTGAAGTGACGAAAGTCTTTGGGGACAATACGTAGGATTCGAGTGTGTGTGCTAGTGCGTCCCAACGCTTCACAAGGCGTTTCCTCCGCAACTCCTTTACATCTTTGCCAAACGAGGTCTGTGCGACCCGGTCATTTGACAGGGCGACAGTGTTTGCGTTTCGAGATCTGTTGCGTACGAGAGATTTGCGTGTGGCTAAGGCAGGCCAGACCTGAGGATGCTGCAGATCGGGGGAGTGACGAGGCAAAGGGCAACAGGAAGCATCACCTCGATATCGCCCTGCAGTCTAGACCCTCAAACGTTGACGAGCGCGTCTTCGACACGATGAGAGATGACAGATAGACCGCTTTGATGAAACACGGCTGCATCATTGTGTCGAGAGTCTGTTCGTACATATCGACCCTAGCCGCTCCGGTCCCCTCGGTGCTGGCTTGCTTTGATGACAAGGCTCTTGATCAAGTTCCCAATGTCGAAGATCACCAAGATGGGCCACTATGAGGTCACGGAGAAGGTTCTGGCTCCCCTGTTTGTGTGGGAACCCTACCTACCCGCTCTCGGTTACCGAAACGAAGGAGGATCTATTTGTGGTCGAGTTCGTATGATACAAAATTCTCAATTTCAGGACGATAGGTTTGTACATCGATCGGAATGCGGGTACGATTGGTGAACCTCCTTCTAGTTTCAGGCTTCCCGTCCAGCCTGATGAATCGGAACACTTGCCCCTACTGGAACATATACGTTAGAGCAGACAAGTTTGGACGTATGAGCCGGTCTCTCGAGCTCACCGCCAAGATAGCGACATGTATAGCGATCTAGCGGACGTCGACATGAAACGCGTTTGGATGCGTGAAATCAAGGTTTATCGTGCCAAAAAGAAGCGCACGATTATCACGGGGGTGGCGTTCGTGTTTCGTCATCTTCTTCGCTGCGCTTCGTTCAATTACCCCGCGCGGATGTTTCCCGAGGGTAGCTGGGGTGAATTCGGGAACGTTCTTGGAAGCAACACATCAGGTGGAAGTCGATAGTCATGGCAGCTACCGGCATGCTAGTCTTTATGCTGTAAATGCGAGTGTAGCCTAGCAAGATCGAGGGATTACTCGCATGTACCTGTGTCTTCGAGAGGTTGCTCGCCCATTGTATGGCCACATCTTTCTCGAGAATGCTCGAATATGCTAGCAAGTTCGATGCCGTCAGCCTCGCTCTCGCGCGGAAAATCGCCCCAACCGCTCCCTAGGGCGGATGCTCCTTTATAAGAATCACACACACCACACCATCCCTCGACAAGAACCTTTCGATGTCCCGTTTGAAGTCTCTCAAGTAAAGTCTCTCATACAGACCAAACAAATAAAAAGACAACTCAACCAGGCAACGAAAGTAGATCGTTACAAGCCTCTTTACAACAAACCCCTTTTACCACAAACCTACCAAACGAAAACTCAGTCAAAATGGTCGCTGCCGTCGGAATCGATCTCGGAACCACCTACTCTTGTGTTGCCGTCTTCAGGCAAGACAGGTGAGTCGGCTTGGCTTTTGCTAATACACTGCTGAGGGGCGCTTGCTGACTTGTTGCTCCTCGATATGAACTTCAGGGTGGAAATCATTGCCAACGACCAGGGTAACCGAACCACCCCTTCTTACGTCGCTTTCAACGATACTGAGCGACTCATCGGTGATGCCGCCAAGAACCAGGTGAATTACTTCTCCTGACACTTGAGCTTGGCCGCGACATCCTTGCTAACTTTCCTGACTCGCATTCGCCAGGTCGCCATGAACCCCTACAACACCGTCTTCGACGCCAAGCGATTGATTGGCCGAAAGTTCGCCGACGAGGAGGTCCAGGCCGACATGAAGCACTGGCCTTACAAGATCATCGACAAGGCCGGCAAGCCCGTCATCCAGGTCGAGTACAAGGGAGAGGAGAAGCAGTTCGTGAGTCGCCTCGGACTTGTTTTATATTCCCTACCGAGCGTCTCGCTAACCCTTGACCTCTCGTCCATCGCCTGTAGACCCCCGAGGAAATCTCTTCCATGGTTCTCGTCAAGATGAAGGAGACCGCCGAGGCCTACCTTGGAGGTGACGTCAAGGACGCCGTCGTCACCGTCCCTGCCTACTTCAACGACTCGCAGAGGCAGGCCACCAAGGACGCCGGTGCCATCGCCGGATTGAACGTCCTCCGAATCATCAACGAGCCTACCGCCGCCGCTATCGCTTACGGTTTGGACAAGAAGAGCGAGGGCGAGAAGAACGTCTTGATCTTCGACTTGGGTGGTGGTACTTTCGACGTTTCGTTGTTGACCATCGAGGAGGGTATCTTCGAGGTGAGTCGCGGGGACTTGGGTCGAGATGTCGCGCGATTGGAATCGCGTTGCTGATGTACTCGCTCTTGGACATCGCAGGTCAAGGCTACTGCCGGAGACACCCACTTGGGTGGTGAGGACTTTGACAACCGTCTCGTCAACCACTTTGTCCAGGAGTTCAAGAGGAAGAACAAGAAGGGTGAGTCGATGTCGATGGTATTGACGGCTCGATGTCCGTAACTAAAGCGTTTGTGATCTCTGCCAGACTTGTCCCCCAACGCCCGAGCCGTTCGACGACTCCGAACCGCATGTGAGCGAGCCAAGCGAACCCTCTCTTCCGCCGCCCAGACTTCGATCGAGATCGACTCCTTGTTCGACGGAATCGACTTCTACACCTCGATCACCCGTGCCCGATTCGAGGAGCTCTGCCAGGACCTCTTCCGATCCACCATGGACCCCGTCGAGAAGGTCTTGAGGGACGCCAAGATGGACAAGTCGACCGTCAACGAGATTGTCTTGGTCGGAGGTTCTACCCGTATCCCCAAGATCCAGAAGTTGGTCTCCGACTTCTTCTCTGGCCGAGAGCCCAACCGATCGGTGAGTTTGAGCATGTTCTGCGTTTAGTGTTTCATGGACGACATCGCTGACCAATCTTCATCTCATCACAGATCAACCCCGACGAGGCCGTTGCCTACGGTGCCGCCGTTCAGGCCGCCATCTTGACCGGTGACACTTCTTCCAAGACCCAGGACTTGCTCCTCTTGGACGTTGCCCCCTTGTCCATGGGTATCGAGACCGCCGGAGGTGTCATGACCCCCTTGATCAAGAGGAACACCACCGTTCCCACCAAGAAGTCCGAGACCTTCTCAACTTATGCTGACAACCAGCCCGGAGTTTTGAGTGAGTTTGCTGTTCCCTTCCAACATTACTATCAGAACTCGTGCTGATCCATTATCGACCTCGATCATGCAGTCCAAGTCTTCGAGGGAGAGCGAGCCAGGACCAAGGACTGCAACTTGCTCGGAAAGTTCGACCTTTCGGGTATCCCCCCTGCTCCTCGAGGAGTTCCTCAAATCGAGGTCACCTTCGACGTCGACGCCAACGGTATCTTGAACGTCTCGGCCCTCGAGAAGGGAACCGGAAAGACCCAAAAGGTACGTAGCATAACCGTGAATGCGTTCCGCGTACCCTTGGCTTATATCTTACGCCTTCCGACAGATCACCATCACCAACGACAAGGGCAGGCTCTCTAAAGAGGACATCGAAAGGGGCGCATTTTTCCACCGGAAGCAAATTTGCTTCCGGTTCCCCTCGGAGGCAAATTCATATGCTAACCTTATGCCTCTCATTGCAGGATGGTTGCTGACGCCGAGAAGTACGCCGCCGAGGACGAGCAGATCAAGGAGAGGACAGCTGCCAAGAACTCATTGGAGAGTTACGCCTATAGGTGAGCCGATTCACATTCCCCTGTATGTTGCGTACGTACTGACCAGGCCCGCCATCACAGCTTGAAGCAGACTCTTGAGAGCCCCGAGACCGGCGACAAGCTCAGCGACGCCGACAAGGGTCCCGTGAAGGAGAAGCTCGACGAGGTCCTCAAGTTCTTGGAGGAGTCTTCCGAGTCCGCTTCCATCGAGGAGATCAAGGAGAGGCAGACCGAGTTGGAGGGTCTCGCCAACCCCATGATGCAGAAGTTGTACGCTCAGGGAGGTGCCCCCGGCGGCATGCCCGGTGGTGCCCCTGGTGCCGGTGCCGGCGACGCCAGCGGTCCCGAGGTCGAGGAGGGTGAGTTAACTAGGTCACGTCTTGATTACTGAATCCGATAGCTGATTCTTCCTCTTGCGAAACGATAGTCGACTAAACGAGGACTTGCAATCTTTAGTTTCCTGGATAGACGCATTTCGTTGACTTTTGTAGCGAACAATATTAATGACGATTGATGTGATTACGTTTCTGTTGTCTCCTGTTTGGCTGGCCTGCTTTCAATTGCGTCGTGTCGAGCTATCATCGCGGTACGCGGTGCGCTGTTTCAAGCTGACGTCTATCGTGACCAGGTCTTATGTCGCAGATAGTTCGATGTGGCAAAATCGGGCGTCAGCTGTCCTCTATCTTGCCAGTGGCTCGCACGGTGGTCATGCGCGTACTGCAATGGCCTGTGTGTTCTTTTGCGGTTTGCAATTTAGCAAGGATCTTGATCTCCGGTCTGCGACCTCCTGGCGGGCAACACTGGCCCTTCCCATTGTTGAAAATGCAGCCTCGTCGCTGATTGCGACATCACTTTAATTGGATTATCCACCGGAGGAACCACGGACACATTGGCCGAAAGTTCATCTAATCAACACATGATGACGGGTCTGAATACACAAGGCGTTTCGAATATCGAGCTCTTATCGATATGTGTCCATTTGATATCCACGGTGCTCCCAACAAAGTTCAACCAATGATATAAGTGTCAGAGAATGCTATCATATGGCCATATTGGGTAAAAGGTAGTCGTGTCGTGACGGGCTTGTTACACCTACAGACAGTCAGATTGGGTAGAAGAGCGCCCTAAGACTCTGCTTCATTCCGCCTTGGGGAACCATTTCACAACTCTGGCGGGAACACCAGCAACAAGGCATCGACTCTCAACATCCTTGTTGACAACCGCTCCAGCAGCAACTGTGACATCATTCCCAATTGTGACACCTGGCAATATGATTGCTCCTCCACCAATCCAACAGTTGTTACCAATTGTGACTGGGTATCGATACTCGCTGTTTGCCTGATTGTCTTGCAGGCGCTCATCAGGATTGGAAGCATGGGTAAGAGTGTAGATCTTGACATCAGTTGCTAAGAGGGAACCACATCCAATAGTGACTGCTTGGGGCTGTCAGTGAGTCCCAATGCAGTCATCAAGAGAAGCAGATTCACCCTTGGCATCATCAAGAATTGTAGCATTCCGGTTGATTATGCTGCCATCCCCAATACAAATATTGTAGCCCTGTTTGCCAAATATCAGCTTGATATCGTCCTTGGGGATCACATCTCACATACGTAGTGACAACGGAAGGGCAAACGGATGTCAAAATTGCCTTGACTGTCTGAGCTGACAAACCTGGCCATCATTTCACGCATACGTTGAGGGTTGCGCTCGTCATGGATTGCTTTTAGCATGGCAGCGCGATCTTGAGTGATGCGGTGCCAATTTGCGTCATTGTCGTATATGACTTTGCCGGGTGTATGGTCTAGCTGGTCTTTCGAAGGATCGGTTGTTGACATTTTGTAATTCGCTTGGTGGTCGTCGGTCGAGTCTATCATACGATCACACTTGTTCGCAAACAGTTGCCGAGTAGGTTTATATATCAGGTCGTTCCCCGCGACATAGACAAAGGGCCATTGGCTCGTGAACTACCCTTTGTTTTGGCGACGACCCTTTGGCCGGACAGCCATTCAGAAGCTCTCGCATCCACTCACACATACAACCAGATTGCAGTGGCCCCGCATTACGACTGTTCATAGCAGATGAACCGCTAATGCAGACATCCTATAGGACATCGAAGAGATCAATATCAACCAAACCTCAAGGAAGCGGCGGAGTGGTTCCCTGTCCCAAAGCGCCTTGACTGAAGGCATCAACCTGTCGACGCGATTCGAGCGCTTCCAGTCCGGCGATCACTTCTGATACCACCTATTATCAAAGACGGTGTTTTGATTCTCGTCAGTAACGATATCCGTCTGAGCCGATGATCGATAACGATTGTCGAAACGGCGTATATGCTCCCGACGTCGAATCCGGAAGTTGCCGATTACCCTTTTCCGTTCTGTACCGGCCAGAGGTGAGTCTCAACGGTTTTCCGTTTTCATCTCGGAGCGTTGTGCCAATGGCAAATGCCAAGTCTGCCTGGCGCACGACGGTCACACCCGTTGAGCGATCGCTACGCGTATGAGACTGTGACAGCGATCGGCTGGCTGCATTCCAAGCAGCTCCTTGCGGTACTCGGTGGCGTTGGTGACTTGAGACCGGTTGATGCGCAAAGCCGTAACCTTTCCCCAGATCATGGCAGCCACCATAAGTAGGCGCGCTAAACACGACATTGTTTCGACAACGGCCGCCATGGGATCAGATACGCAATAACTCAGACACCAAAATCCTGTCGTCCCCCCTCCCCCACCCTTTTTCCCATATTCCTTACCGTGTACTTCCCCATGCGACGCCAGGACCGACCGTCTGAAACAGCACGAAGCCTGATACTCCTCCGACGTGAGACTGACTTATCGTATCACATAATCAAATCCTTCTCTAAAACTCGATCTTTCGACTGCTCCGATTGTTACGATATTCCGGTTGGGGATTTGATATTTGTTTTGCGGGGCATATAATGCTCGATGGATTGCGAGTCATCGCGGCTTCTACCTCGGGACTTCCTCTGATTCAGGTTCTTCCTCTTCCCGGATAAGTCCGCTAAGACGTCTCCATATCCCGGAGCCAGGAAACCTGGACGCTTGGCTCAGCGGGATCGATCGGCGGCTTCTTTCTGTCCATCAGGTTTCTTGAATGAAGCGTCTATAAGAGCACGCGGATCACGATTGAACGGATGGAACGGTCGACGAGCAGCTCACCGATAGAGGTGAGGGGAGTATTCATAAAGGGGTCGTCTGTTACAAGTGGGCCAAGAGCAGTGCGCGTATTCTAATTTACAGTCTAGGTCGTGAGGACTCGTAAAATATTCGTACTTTTGCATATTTCCTTCCGTTCAGCGCAGTGTTGCCAAACGAGACGCCAGCGGCGCCTCGACGACAAGAGGTGGGCAGGCCTCGACTAGTCTATGGCTACATTTAGAGTTGGTATGAGTTAAGGACTACGCAGCAAGCGTCTAATACGAAGCCTGACTCACCATCGAGTCCTTCTGCTTCTTCTTCTCGAGCGAGCGAAGCCGCTCACGCTCCCGTCTGGCCTCAGATCTCCTTGCGGCTTCTGGTCGCTCGGCCTTTTCCTTGTTCCAGGCTCGGATAGCGTGTTTCAAGCACAGTTTGCGGTACTCAATGTCCCCGAGCGGGTAGTTCGCTAAACGTGCGTTATTGATGTCCTTTTCACATTCCACAATCTCTCGCATTAGGCGTGTGTGGAGTCTTCTTTGCGCGTATATTGCTTGAAGTACGCTTGGCCTTGCTCGCTGTGGTAATAACGCCTCCTCGCTTCCAATTCGTGAGCAGGGGTCTTGAAGGCCTTATAGACCTTACGGCTTTCCGGAGTGAGGGGGTTCGTCGAAGCTATGGGCGTCGAAGCGAATGTAGGCTTGACGGAAGTTGTAGTTGTCGTCGTGATGATGTCGGTAATGTAGCGAACGAGCCTTTGCGATAATGGAAACATTTCTGACGAGCCAGCATCGAACGTGGTCAGTTCATCTTCACTATAAGCCGCGCAGCATCGATTTACCTTTGGAAAGATCAGGTAAAAAGAGGCCCGGACCTCAATCTGGGACGTCAGGTCTAGTTGACAAACCGAAAGAACCGCGGCTCGATCCGATTCGCGACTGTCGGTAGATCCTGGATTGTTGTGGGTCAGGCCGCTATCACAACGAGACGACAGCAAGAGCTTACAGGATGAGTACGAGCTGCCTCTTAAGCTGGTGAATTTGAAGACCTGTTTATATGACAAACAACAGGGTGTCTTGGTGTGCTTCTCAGTGACATCGATCTTCAGAGGTAACAACACACCTTATTGTTCGTCAACTGTGTCACGTGACGTCGCGAAAGACGCGCCACCGACCTTGAAACGCTTGAGAGCTTCCGTGACTTCGAGAGATCGTTTGAAAGGACAAGCGCGAGTCGAAAATCGAGAGACTCGACCCAGATCTCTATGCTCACTCTGTGCTTGTTACTGATGGAGGTCAGAGCTTATGCCTAGTAGCTCACAGACGGATGTGTTTGCTTTGAGCACCATCAACGGTGACCTCGTCTGAAAAAGTGGTCGCTGGTGATAGACGTCATGCCTGAGTATTACTCTCGCCGGCACGATTGGTTGCAAAAGCCGCGTGTGGGGACAAGCATCCATTCGATATTATTTTCGTTTCGGATGGGCGAGATGAATAGGCGGGATTGGGCGAAACGAAAGTCAGAGGCGGGCGCTGAATGTTCCTACCATGAGGAACGAGCGAGCGGAGACAGCCTGTGGTCGCGCGGCAAGGTGTCGGCGTTCTGTGCTCAGCTGGAATGGCAAAATCAGGGAAGAACTTGGACATCTGCTCCTCTGACAATTCCCTTCAGCCTCTGATCTCAGATATCCTTCCCACGAGGGAAGTTCCGTACAAGCGTCGATGACCAGCGGGTACAACAATGAGAATGCGTCGGCGATAGGATTGGAGCAAAGTAGCAATGGCCCACTGTGTAGATACTGGGCTCTGCAGATTACTGATTGCGTCGATCGCCCTATACTGCTCTCATAGAGATATGGTGTCGCTGAATCCTCTTCCGCACGTCGGTTGCACCGAGGTTCCGTGGTTGTCGTTGCTAACGTGTATGACATATCCTGACCCCCGAAGCAACGACAGTATCCGCGCTATGGCATTGGCGACAATATGCAGTGAACGTGAGTGCATGACGGATTCGGGCTTTCCTCATACGCTTTGGCTACCAGCGTGGTTGAACACGAAATCCAGAGCGACATGACCATTGCCGGCTTCTTGAGCAGATGTTAATTGGAAGGTAAAGGAGCCCTTTGGTGCACCTGTCGCAAAATATCCATCCATTTATCCCATCGTCAGTAGGACAGAGTTGCAGTTTCGGATCAGACTTCCTGCTTGATAACGTCTGGAGGGCGCGAGAGAGAACGTGGCTGTGGGATGGTGTTATCTTGGAAAGTGACCGCGCGGGTCTGATGGCTGGGTGCAGCAAGATATCTGGACTCAGGGCCTAGACCAATGGGGGTCAAGCGTAGCGTCTCTGGCGTTGTGAGAGGGAACGATGGGTCATGACAGGGTGTCAAGCAGCTGGCAAGGCGTTGATGGACTGATTGAACGATAATACTGCGCACTGCGGCGGCAACAAAGTGCCGGGTCCGATCGTGTTGTAAACAGGAAGAGGTCAAGCTAGCCGGACGAGTGCAAGTGTCCAATCAGTCCCGCAGAACAGGGTCGCATGTCAGTGTCATTTCTGGCAGAGGTTGTGTCAAAAACCCGGATTGAGCGAGCGGCGAGTGCGCATCCCTGATGAGTGTATCGATCGAGTGAGGCGGGGGCCAGATGTGATTTCTGGCAGAGGTCATGCCACCAAAGACTAGGATTGAACAAGCAGCCGTTGTGAGAGCATGTCGCCGATACAATGAACCTGACGATCGAATCTTATGTTTGTCCTTACAGTGTCAGCCATCGGGCGTGGACCGAGCCTCCATAGAGCGCATAACGTCTTTGGGTCACCAGACCCAGTCGCTGACGAGTCCAGGAACACTGGTACGTGTTCACTACCGCTACGAGTAGACCACCCATTATCAAGGAAGCGCGTGGAACGACGCCTTGTCAGGCGCGGCAGATCGTACAAGTCGGACATGTGGACCGCGCGGCAAATACATGTGGATCAGCATGGGGATAGATGGTTCGTAGATGGGGGAAAGAGGGATAGAGACGTATAGTGGTCATAAAACGCGGTACTGATAGGTGTCCTTCAGTACCCAGTATCGTGAATCGTAAAGAAGTGGTTGGAGAAAGTATTTGTTGTTGAGAGATGTCGTCACGTGCGATGCCCGGCGGTATCAATTCATTGTCTGGGTCGGGATGCATGGTTCAGGGCATTTCTGTAGTTCTGAACTACCCTCTGTTGCAAAGCTGCTAGCGGAACTTCTATATCGTCCGTGTTATTCTTGTTGTAGTGCTCCAGGCCGTCGTTGTCCCTTGTTTCCTCGACTCATGCCAGTTGCGTGGTGACTAATAGAAAGGCGAGCCGAAGTGAATTTACTGGAATGATCGGTATTGATTGTCCAAGAGGGCGCTGAAGCGATAGCAAAGGCCAAACGGGTAGGTGACAGTGAATTTCGGCTGATTAGGCCTGCGCCAATGCACAACGCCGAGATGCGGTGTACTTCTGCTCCACTCTTTTCTGGTATTGGAGGAGCGGGACTTCAATGGCCAGATTGTCTGTCACCTGTTCCTCTGGATCATAGACTTTTGGATGATCCAAGGTTTAATGATTGCACATACAGGCAGCGGGGACTTGTATGGGAGGAGACCAGCCTGCGCTTCCTTAGTATGGGAAGGACAATTGATTGAAGTGGTGGAACCTTTCCAGAGCAGCTCAGGCATTTGGGAAAAAGATCAGTGAACGGTGAGATGGGGCCAGACATCGAGTCTGGGAGAGGTCTTGCCGCCCAAGACCAGAGTAGGATCGGGAGGAAACCACCAGGGCCAGCCGATTCGATGTGTTTACGGCTGATAAGGTTGTCAATCGAAACCCGAAAAAACAGCAGGCACTATGCCGGAGTGGGACGGGGGCCAGACATCGAGTCTGGGAGAGGTCTTGCCGCCCAAGACCAGAGTAGGATCGGGAGGAAACCACCAGGGCCAGCCGAGACCAGAGTAGGATCGGGAGGAAACCACCAGGGCCAGCCGATTCGATGTGTTTACGTGTAAGGCCCGGGAGCGACCCCCGACGGGGATCCCCCTGGACAGGCTGACGGGACGCAGGAATGAGGCAAGGTACGGGTAGACATCTAAACGTAATAACGGATGTAGAGCTATTACAAGGGTACTAGTTCTACATCAACATAACAATACCGAAAAGTACCCCCGACGGGAGTCGCATACGGGAGTCGCGTACGACGCGTCCGACGCGTCACGTGACCGCTATAACAGGATCCCCCTCCTAGATGCGGACTCCGAACGCATCAAGCGTCGGCGTACTCTTGTCGACCGGGCTGGGGTAGATGGGGGTAGCGCTTGTGGAACGCCGCAACGACTTTGTCGTCGTGGTCAAACTCGGCGGGGCTGACCCACTCGTTTGACTCGTCTCCGTACCCTTCGAACCGTACCAGGTATTGGGTCTTCTTCCCGGACCTTCCGGATCGTAACGCCTTCGAATGTACGATCTCGGACACAACATACCCCAAGTCGCCGTTGTCGAGGACTTCGGGGGTAGGTGGCTCAACCAACTCTCTTCCTTCCAGCTCGTTGGCCCGATAGGGGATAAGCAACGACACGTGGAACACGGGGTGCACCCGGCGTAACTGCGCGGGGAGTTCCAGCCTCCTCGCCATCTTGCTTTGGCCGATGACCTCCGTGATTCGGAAGGGCCCCAGCGTCTTCATCGAGAGCTTCTGGCTGGGGCGCACCGATGTCAAGTTCTTGGTAGATAACATTACCAAGTCCCCTACGTTGTAACCCTCGTCAGGGACGGCGGTACGCTTCCGATTGGCGTACTTCGCCATGTCCTTCCGCGCCTGTTCCAGCGCCTCCTTCACCGACTTATAGATCCCGTCGAGTCGGTCTCGGTACTCCCCCGCCGACTCCACCGCCTCTTCCCTAGTGCCGGGCACTGGCAGGGAGAAGGTATGCTCCCTTCCCTCGGACGCCATAAATGGCGACATCCCGATGGCAGAGTGCTTCGCGTTGTTGTACGCAAACTCCGCCATGGAGAGTAACTCCGCCCAATCGTCCTGGAGGAAGTTGACGTACGACCGCAAGTACTGCTCCAAAGTGGAGTTACTTCGCTCGGTCTGTCCGTCCGTCTCCGGGTGAAACGCCGTGGAGTAACTGTTCTCCACGTTTGCCATGCGGCACAAATCTTTCCAGAATCGCGAGGTGAACAACGTACCTCGATCCGAAATGATCTGCTTCGGGAACCCATGCAAACACACCCATCGGTCAAGGAACAACCGCGCCAAGAATGTGGCGTCGTTATCCTTTCGGCAAGCGACGAAGTGCGCTCGTTTGCTGAACCGATCGACGATCACCAAGATCGAGTTGGACCCCATAGACTCGGGCAGGTCCGTGATGTGATCCCAAGTGATCGATTCGTATGGTCCCGCCGGTACCGGTAGCGGCGCTAGCTCGCCGACAGGCTTCATCCGGGGCCGCCGATTGCGCTGGCATATGCTGCAGCTAGCGACGTACTCCCCGATCCACTTCGCCATCCCAGGCCAGTAGAAGTCCCTACTGGTCAGCTCCACGGTCTTGTCCCGCCCCCAATGGCCGGCGGCCTTCCCGTCATGTAGACGCTTCATCAGCTCTACCTTGATGTTCCCTGCGTTGGGGACATACACCAACCCGTTGTACAGGAGAACCCCAGTGGGGCTCAAGCTGTATCGCTCGTTTGCCAAGGTTCCCGCCTTGAGCTGCGCTACGAGCTCTTTCGCCACCGGGTCGTCCTGCGCCGCCGGTATCAGCGCTTTCACCATCCAGTCGCCCAGTGCGGGGATGGTGCCATTCAACCGCAAAGGCGGTCGCTCAACCGAACTACACCCCTCAGAGGGTGCGTCTTCGACAGGTCGGAGCAGAGTCTCCGCTCGCTTCGGTTCTGTCTCCTCCATCAACTCTTCCCGCCGACTCAACGCGTCGGCCTTCCCGTTCTCCGTCCCCGGTTTGTACTCCAGGGTGTAGGAGATCTGGTTCAACAGCTGCGACCATCGCGCCTGCCGTTGAGACAGTACCTTGTCCCTCTTGAAGTACTCCAGGTTCTTGTGGTCCGTCAGGATCCGAACGGGGTACTTGTTGTCGAGATAATGTCGCCATATCCGACTGCAATAAACGATGGCCAGCAGCTCCCTGTCGTGCACATCGTAGTTCCTCTCGGCGGGCGTCAGACTCTTCGACATGAACGCCACCGGGTGGAGCTTCCCATCGTCCCCTACCTGGGACATCACCGCGCCGATCGCTCCAGAGGAAGCGTCGGTCTCGAGCACCACTTGGCGCTCCTCGTTGTAATGCGCCAATATAGGCGCTTGGGTGAAGGACTCTTTCAATTCCCGGAACGCAGCGTCAGCGGCTGCCGTCCAGGAGTACTTCACCCCTTTCTTCGTCAGGGCCGTCATTCCCTGAATCTTCTTGGAGTAGTTCTGAATGAACCTCCGATAGTAATTTGCGAATCCTAGAAAGGACTGCAGTCCCCGAATGTTCTTCGGGGGGGCCCAGTCCAAAACGGACTTGACCTTGGAGGGGTTCATACTGACCCCCGTCGGGGCAATATCGTACCCCAAGAATTCGGTAGCCACCGTATCGAACTCACACTTCTCCGCTTTCGCATACAGGCCATTTGCCTGCAGCCTCTTCATAACCTCCTTGACCTGACCATCATGGGTCTCCTGGTCGGAGGAGTAAATAAGTATGTCGTCGAGGTAGACGACGACGCACACATCCAAAAGGTCTTGGAAGACCTCGTTCATCCACCGCTGAAAAGTAGCGGGGGCGTTGGTCAGGCCGAACGGCATGACCAAACATTCGAACAGACCGAAACGTGTAGTAAACGCGGTCTTCCAAATGTCTTCTTCTTTTACGCGTAGCAGGTTGTACGCGCCTCGGAGGTCCATCTTCGTGTAGACCTTCGCGCCCTTCAACCTGTCTAGCGTCTCTGAGATGAGGGGTAGGGGCGTCCTATCCTTCACCGTAATGTCGTTAAGGCGACGGTAGTCGATGCACATACGCATCTCGCCGCCTTTCTTCGGTACAAACAGTACCGGGCTCGAGCAGGGCGACTTCGACGGCCTGATGAACCCCTTCTCCAGATTCTCCTTCAACCACTTCTTTAGCTCCTCACTCTCCCGCTGGGAGTGATTATAGAGCTTCTGATACGTCGGCGACGTACCGGGCTTGAGTTCGATCGCATGGTCGATCGATCGCTTCGGGGGCAGTGTATCTGCCTTCGTCTTGGAGAACGCTCCAAGATGTTCATGATACTTCTCCGGTACCATGTCCCTCAGCTTCTCCATATACTCGGGAGGGTCCAGGTCATCCTGGAACGAGTCTGTAGGTTTGACGTCCCAATCCCACAGGTCCGGGCGCCTCGCCCGCTCGTCGTCCTCCCGGGTCATCTGCATTTGTGCGACGACCAAATCCTCCGTGATAGACCCCTTCATCTTCTTGAACGGGTCGATCCCTCGTGTCTCCACCTCTACTTCGTCCGGAGCATACACCGTCTCGGGCCTCTTGAGGCATCCCGTGCTGATGCAGACATCCCCGAACGTCACCGCGTTGGAGTCCCATTGGATATGCGGATTGTGTCTCCGCAGCCAAGGGATACCTAGTACGACCGGGTACCCACTCAAATCGGTGAGGTGGAACTCGGTCAGCTCCAGGTGCACTCCCGTACGTACCAGCGTACGAGCCTTCTGGGTGATCCTTCCTCCCTGGATCTCCCGACCATCAATCACCGTTACTACCCGCGGTGTCTCGAGGTCCGTTACGTCGAATCCATGTAGCGACGCGAATGTCCGATCCATGAACATCCCGGTCGCTCCCGAATCCAACAACATGAGTGCTTGGACCGGCACTCCTTCCGGGTAGAACACTCCTACCAACGTCAGATGGCTATCTGGACCGTTGGGTACTCCGCTTGCACCCAACTGCAAGGGGATCCGGCTACCTCCCTGTGCTCCCCCATTCGGGGTCCTTTGATGATCCGTTATTCTGTAAGGCCCGGGAGCGACCCCCGACGGGGATCCCCCTGGACAGGCTGACGGGACGCAGGAATGAGGCAAGGTACGGGTAGACATCTAAACGTAATAACGGATGTAGAGCTATTACAAGGGTACTAGTTCTACATCAACATAACAATACCGAAAAGTACCCCCGACGGGAGTCGCATACGGGAGTCGCGTACGACGCGTCCGACGCGTCACGTGACCGCTATAACATTACGGCTGATAAGGTTGTCAATCGAAACCCGAAAAAACAGCAGGCACTATGCCGGAGTGGTTAACGGGTGCCCCTGCTATCATGCATTGAGGGTATGGCATTTGTCGCGTGTGTTCGAATCACACTGGTGTCGAAATATTTTTTTTTGCCTCGTTTTCGCGCTTTTCACCCCTCGATCGGCCCTTGCATCTTCGCTAGTGTTACGCTCGCTGGCTCGAGAGCTGCTCACGCTGATGAGATAGGACAAGGGTCTCTCTCGCCGAAAGCACACTCAACATGGGCCCCGGCTGATCATGTTGTCTTCGACACGACATGAGCGATGAAAGCCTCTGTCCCGTCTCGCACCCTAGTCCGTTCGTCCAATGGCTACCTCGGGGGAACCCTGGTTCTTTGAGACCTCTCCAGCTCGATCTTACTGGAACATCCCCTGGCCCTCGGTATCAGACCTTTGTATCGCGGCTTCTCTTCTCCCTTTTCTCTCCGGCCGCTCATCGATATTCCCCAACGAGTTTCGTAGGAATCGAACCCTCGGCGATCGCGTTCCCTACGCTCAACACACGTCTTCCAGGCTTCACAAACATTTATCTCCAATCAAGGAGCTGGTGCCTAACCTCATCTGGATGCACTCTCAGACTCGTCGCTGCGACACTCGCCGTCGTTATAGCTATGTATCGGTCCCCCCTCAGATATCTGCACGTCGCATATCCGACCTGTTTTGGCGCGCAACACAGTCGTCGCCCAGGCGTGTCCAGGTAGATTACAGGACCTTCCGTGAAAGCAAGCGATTCTATCTTAAGAGCCATTCCTGCTCGTCCTCTTTCATGTCTATGTAGCGCTTCGTCCTTGTCACTCTCTGTTGTCGAAAGACGAGACGCAGTTTCACCGGAACTAAAACCTGTGACGTTTGCCTCCGCCGTGATCATCGTCCATCACGATCATCATCCAACGTCCAGCTTCATCAACAAACAATTCCACTTCAAGGTTTCCTTTACCTCGACATACCCATCTCTCTCCCTTGGCGATACCAATCTCCCAAACATAGCTCACACTTTCACTTACGACACACTCATGACCCGTTAAACGACGCATTAAGGTGACCATCCCTCGGTGTCGTCGCCGGAACAAAGGACAACCCAGTACAGACCATCGCACTTGATCAACAACCTCGAGCGACTTTTTCGGAAACGACATGATCGTTACGCCCTCGTACCACCAGTACCACGACAATCTGGACGCCATGCACCTCAGCGGAACTACTCACGACGCACCGGGTACCATCCGCCCAGATACCCTCGCGGTACCGCTCAACGTCGTCTCGAGGATCCCGGTACCGGCAACCCGTTCGACCATCAAATCGACGAGCCCATCGACCTCACGCATCTCTCCCTCCTCGTCAACTCACACCAGCCCGCTGATCACGAGGAAACGATCTGGCACCCTCGGAGAAGGTTTAACGACCCCGACCCCGTCCTACCCGTCCCCTTCATCAACATCCCCTTCGCCCCGCATCGACCGGGACGCCTCGAGCACACGCCGAGCTCGGACCCGATCCACCCCGCTGAGACCGACCTCGACCGACTTTTCATCTTCTCCCAGCACCAAGATCCCGGTCCCGAGCAAACGTACCCCACTCCGCTCGCAAACCGGCTTCTCCCCCGAGTCGAATGCATCCGAGACGTACCGCTTTCCCACTCCCAGCCCAGACCTCGGCGCCTCTTCCAACAGGTCCTCGCACTTGTTTGTCGACCACAACCCGTCACGAGACAGCCTCAACCCTGCCGACCTCGACTTGAAGCTGTCGAGATCGTTGTCGAGCGACGTTCCCGATCTACATGTCGTCGACCACAACATCAAGGACGAACCTGCGCCGTTCTTGGTCGAGCGGGACAGTCTGCATGGGAACTCGGTCGGGGGAAATGATACGAGCTTGCCAAGTCGATCTGACTCGCCAGCAGATTCGACAAACATACCGTCAGCAGTGGCTGCACAGTCCCCCGCCGAGGTGCCTGCCGTGCGGAGACGAGCCGAAACGATGGCTCCTACGACCTCGTCCAGTCGAAATATAAGCAACCAGGCTTCCACGCCTACGCCCACAGCCAAAGACAGGACCACTCGGGTCCGGCAGACCGGCTCGAAAACCTCGACTCCGGTCAAAAGTTCGCTATCCACAAAGTCACGGAACAACGCATCAAATTCGCCATCCCCCTCGACACTGACGCCGACCCCTACAGCTTCGACACGAACCACCCGTCAATCTACCGCCAGCAGGACAACCACACCGGTCACCCGCCGTCTGAGTCGAGGTCCCGACTCGACCCTCGCTCGCGGCTCTCCTCGAGCCGTATCTCCCGGTGGTCTGAACGAGTTCGGCAAAATCACCAACTCTCCCTCAACTACTAGTAACCTGGCCGAGTTCCCCGAAGCCTTCCTCGTGCCGTATATCCCACAGCAGACCCTGCCTAAAGGGGTGCGGCCGGACGAGGTGCCTATCCCCGCAGTCGAACGCCGATTAATGAGGGAAAGAATGGCAAAGGACGGTCTGAGAGACGACGAATTGGTGACCGTATGGGGCCTTGACGGGACACCTTTGATGGTCAGCAAGGCTAGTATCGCGGGAGGTCTGCCGAGTGGGATCACAGAAATTCAGGTGAGTCCGTACGCGGTCGCTCGTTGCCGACAGGTAGGATACTAACTACTGGAGCTTCTCCACAGCCTGCCAAGCAAACTAGCGACCCGACAACGTCACTCGCCCAGCCCATTCCTCAAGACGGTCTCCCTCGAAGATCCAGCTCGAAACGATCCGTACGACGTCCTTCCAATACAGCCGAACCCGAGACCGCCACTCAACCTCGGCCCCAGACGCAAACCCCGCCTGTCGACCCACCTATTCACCTCGGACCACCCATGCTAGACTCCGAACGTTGCAAACCGTCCTTGACTTTCGCCCACTCGGGGTACCTCTCGCCGGACGTTCCCGATTCTCCAGCTCCGTTCCAGTCGGACCGGTTCGTGCCCTTCGATCAGCCGCTACCCACCTCTCGCCAGCCCTCACCGTCGCAGGCGGAAGTCCGAAGGAAACCATCGCTATTGAGGAAACCTTCCGTCTCGTCTCGACAACGCTCCTTGCAATCCTTGCGAGAACGCGAACGCGAGCGCGGAGACGAGAGGGATCTGACGACCATCCGATTGGAGGACCTGCGACCGTCACCGTCGCCTAGTCGAGGACAGCGACAGCCTTGGGAAGCTAGCGTTGTCGCTGGACCTCCTCCGGGCGGCAAGACGCAGGCTTCTGGGGGCAAAAGAATACGCGCGGAGCCCGAGGGGCACGGAAAGAAGGAAGGGTGCAAGTGCGTGATCATGTGAGGCTGGCTAGGAAGTCGGCTTCGGTTAACACGACATGGCGAAGCACGGATCTGGTGACTGGTTGGAAATGGAATGGCAGTGAACGACGGGAACGACGATTATCACCCCAGACGATTATAGATTTGATCCTGGGGCACGACACAGACGATTATACGGCTCTATATGTTTCTCCTCTCATTTCGATCATATTTCTTAGAACTTTACGAAAACATACGATGCGAACAATTTCGACTAGCCTTTTCGCGTATTCTCATCACGACCCATGTAACTTTGTCTCTACCGATACCTATCGATCGTAGCATAGCAGTGTAGATCCTGCTTGACATTCTACACAGCTGAGAAAAACTCATTCCCCTAGAGCTCAATCGTGGACGCGTTAGTCAAAGGCCCTCGTAGGGCAATACCTCGTCTCATCAATAATGCTATGGTCTCCACACTATCAGTGGACTTGGCCGGAGCGCGGTCCCGTCACAACGAGATCCGCAATCGCCTTCGCCAACCTCATGAAGGAATAGCCGAGCTGCCTGCCGCAAGCCCATCAAAAGTCCAGCGCTGGACATTTACACCTGCTCAATATGTGTAATATTACTGGCAGAGGCATTCTGACCAAAGCAGAAAGGAACGCAGTTTCGTTCGGTGGAGCGATGGGAGCCTAACAGGGTTTCTCAAGAATCACATTTTTTGCGAGACAATCAAGGGATTATTGATGGTCAAGCCGGTGTAATGCAGGGAGACATGTAACAACCCATTCGATGCGCAACGACCTTCCGGTGTGTTCAGATCAATGTACGTTGTAGTATGAGATCTGAAACGGGGTACTACCTGCTACCTCTGTCGTTCCAACTACTAGAAGCGCAAAACTCGCGCTTGATGACGAGTTCACTCACCCATCGATGTGTTTCGATCGACCCATCGAGATTTCAAAGTTTGTTCGAGTCTCGCTCTTCAAGATGGGATCGACCAACGACGACCGTGGCAGTTCAAGACGACTAATAGAATAGATCAAGATGAAGGTTGCTACCCATCCTGCTAGCTCGCTGCTCGCTACCGCTTCGAGGACCGGTCGAATGTCGAAAACTGTGCGATGCTACGCCACGACCTCCACTTCGCCTGCACCGGCACCACTACCACAGTCGGGCAAGATCTCGACTCCTTCAGAGTATTGTGAAGACCTGGTCCGGCGTCTGGATCCAGATGCGTGGATGACCGCACACTTCTGGCCTCGACATGCTGTCAAGAGCAAATCGCCTGATGGAAAGGATACCGAGTTGCGGGACATGTGGTTGGCATGGCGGGCTTTCAACGTAGGTTCGCCTGACCCAGGAATAGACAAGTGAGGGGTTAACGAATCGTTTGATCTCGAATCGACTGGTAGCTAGAATTACATCAAGTTCAAGTAAACGTAAAACAACCAACGATCGCGCTCATGCGGTATCAGTTCTGGCGGGATGCTCTGAAAGGCATCTGGGAGGTGAGCTTTTTATGCTTTAGACGTTGTAAACTGTCATGGCCCCGATGCTGATGTTACTTTCCTGCCTTGGGACATTTAGGACAAACCGCCAAACCATCCGGTGGCTCTCATGCTGCATCAAGCCAAGCTAGCGAGGCCAGTTCAGAGGTACTACTTGAAACAGATGATTGACGTCCGGGTGAGCTACCTTATTACCTGCACGCTGCATCTGCGAGCGGTAACCTCTGACTCTGGACACGTATCATGAACACACTCTGCAGGCCAATTCTCTTTCGGCACCTACATCTCATCCCACGCTCCAAGCTCATCTGGATCACCACGCTCCGCTTCAAAACGCACTCTTGCTCGGTCCTCTCCCGCTCCTCCTTCCGCCTACCCACCCATCTACCTCTGCTCATTCGCACACTTTGACACATCTCTCTTCCCTCTTAACAACTACCTCGCTTCTCCGAGGACTTCCTCTTCATGTCTCTAACCGCCGGTTCACATTACCGAGGGACATCGCCCTGAAGAACGGGCTGGTAGAAGAACAAGTCTTCCGGGACGGAGGGGAGACGAAAGGGTTGAGGGATGCGTGTTTCGAGATTGGGACTAGGGGGATGGACGAGCTCATCACTGCTAGGAGCCATCTGAAGGAAACGGGTGGAAAGGTGGTCCCGGGGGAAGTTATGCCATTGTTCCTGAGTGCCGTGAGTTCGATATCCGGTCGTCACCGTATCCTTTCATCACGTTTTCATACCGCTGATCCCCTGACGCGGCTCAAATTCCTTGCGTGCAGGTCCCAGCTGAGCGTTACCTCAAACGCCTCGAAGCTCTGGATTTCAATCCGTTCCACCCGGATCTGCAAAAGGCTGATTGGAAATTGGCACCTGGAGTTTGGTGGTCGAACTGGACGGGGAAGCTGTAACACGGACGGCCATGACAAGACTCAGGCTGTCCGGCATGACGTACACTTCTGCCTTAGCATCGTATGCATAAACGATAAAGCATAGCTGGTGAAAGGCTGCGAGCGCTCAACCTACAGATCCTACGGTCGAAGACAAGCGGGAGGTCGAAACAAGATTGCCTGAAATCGCATGTCGTGGGCCCGGGCGTCTAGCAGGATGCCTTTGGAAAGCTTCGCTGTATATACTCGTCTCATTGAACACCCAGCTTGGGCGCACGGATCCGCTCATGGAACAGAGACAATGTCAGAGGGAAACTGCTCATAAGGCTGAGGATCGCTGGCTCGGCTCCGCCTGCGCGCTTATGTCGACGCCACCGTCGACAATGCTGGCATCATAGGCATCATGATGACCTTCTTCTTTACCGCAGTCACTTCCTGCACGATCTGCTTTTTTGCTACTTTCCGTTTGATCTGCTTGCCATTTCCCTTGGCCCCAGTCCAGGGATTCGTCGTTCCTTTCAAGAGTTCCCACATCTTCTTGACCCCGGTGCCCACGTTGGCCTGTTTCAGCCCTTCAGCTGTTAGCCATACGACCTCGGTAGCGGTCTTGCCTTTTGGTAATCTGATCGCCGGGATCGGTCCACCGATCGTGACTTCCCATAAGCGATAGGTCATGCGTATATGCGAGAAGACGTGTACGTATTCGCCTTGTTGTGTCGGTGTCTCGCATGTATCGAATGCGCCCTTCTCGAGATAAGTCTTGGCATGACGCAACGCCGTCTCGACTGCCTGCTCGTCGTCCGTATCGTCATCCAGAGCGATACAGGGTGGTTCAAACAGGCCTGCCAGTAGACCTGAACAAGCGCCGTACATCGGGATCAGTATGTGGCACCTGACCCGCGATCTCGCGGTGCTCACCTTCTTCAGGCCGTTTGACGAATAACCACCTCGGCTCATCGTCCTCGTCATCCTCGGGCTCCCATTTGACGACCAAGACCGCCGAAGATTCTTCTCTTTGCGCTTTGGCCACCTTTTTCATTGGAAATACCGTGACGTCCATAGATCCAGCTACAGGTATTGGTGCACAGATTGAGCATTCGTCCTCCTCGGCTGATGATTCTGGTTTGCGCGCTAGTTTGGCCTGTTTCATAGATGAGTAAAAAGCAGTGCCCAGATATGAATCGGTCTTGGCTTACTTCGGCATATGCTCGACAGCCGGCACGAATCGGACATGCCGCGCAATCCGGTGCAGCGGGCTTGCAGACCTGACTACCGAGTTCCATCAAAGCCTAAGAAAAAGAAATTCTCAGCTTGAGCCTAGACCACGGGGTGCCGTCACGGCATCGGGCAACAGGACTGACCTGATTCAAATCCCCCGCTAGACCAGGCGGGACGTCTTCGAGATTATCCACAAGCTCCTGCGCGCTAGCCCACAAAGTTTTGATCAAAGCCGGACTGGTGGGCGGAGCGTGCAGAGCCAATAGGCGGCACATCAATCGATGCACGTTCCCATCGACCTGTCGGAGATTGCGGCACACATCAGCCCGACTGCCAGGTTCCCAAATGATACAACAAAAACGCATGCTGACAATCGGGGTTTTGACGCCATAAGCCATCGAAGTGATCGCTCCTGCGGTGTACCTGCCTACACCTTCCACGTCCTTTTCCAGGATGGCCGGATCATCAGGCAGTCTACCTGTTCACATGCCATCGCAAGAGATCAGCTTCAATGTTCTTTCAGGTTATCTCCTCAGACATCGGGGATTCCACTTCTACTCACCGTGGTACTTCCTCGGGTCCTTTACGATCCTCTGAGCGCCCAGCAACAAGTTTTTCGCTCTTCGGTAATATCCCAATCCGCGCCAGATCGAATTGACTTCCTGATTAAACGATGTCAAGGTGGACTTGGTCAGGCTTGATATAATTGGCCCATGGTGGATCAGAGCGGAAGGGCCTGACTTCGATATCCGCTTGAGCCAGGTCTTGTATTGTTGGCCACCTATGTCGATCGGAAGATGAATCGAATCAGATCGCTCGGATCTCATCGACAGCGACGGAAATGAGACTGACTTTTCCAACCACCGATTCCAATACGGGATGACTGTCGTCACCTGTACATTCACAAAAATTTCTGAATTAGCATATCGCGAATTCACGTCCACACGGATTTTCCGTTAGTGTGGGACGTCAAGAGATGCTAACCTGCGTTTGTTGCAACATCACCTCGCTAACTGAGTTCCACGTCGATTTCATCAACCAACAGCAGATGCGTTGGAAACGATAAGCTCGGCTGTCTCGCCTGGAGGAGAAGAAAGAAGCGAGACTTTGCACTCACCCCATATCTGCGGGTATGGACCGAACCCCATCAAGGCCGATACCGTTAATGCGATCCTTCCACCTCTATTGTTGGCATTCAGCCGATGCTGGAACAGCAGGGACGACGTACCTCATAAGCCCTCTGCCCCTTCGTTTCCATCGAAGCACTATCGTCGTATTCCTTTCTCCAGGGCATCTTTCTCTTTTCCCTCACTTCTTCGAACCAGGCTAACAAGTCCGGTAAGATGGGGATAAGGGTTGTTGTGTCGTGGTAGGATTTCGGATGGGGCCGATTCGCAATCGACGTTGACGATACATCTTCATCTTGAACGTCAGGATTGTCTCCATTCGTACGATTTACAAGCTTGCCGGTGGTCGTTTTCTGTCGCTTGATACCAGCTGAAGGTCCTGCTCTTGCGTTCCCTCCACTGACACTTCCGACCTTCCGTTTCCCTGCTGCACCCGCATTCGCTTTCCCCGCTACCTTCTTTGCCGGCCTCTTCCTGCCCGTACTCGAAGACGAAGTCCCGACTATCTCAAAGTCCGAGTCTGAATCCGAATCGATCACGGTGGTCACGGGTTCGTGGTAAGACGAAGAGGAGGACGCCGAGGAGGCTGTTACGGGCGGTAAGCTGGATGGAGAGGGAGTGAGTGGCGAGGTTGCGGTCATGGCTATCGAGACTGGCCAGTAAATAGTTGGAATCGAGCTCCGATAGTTTTGCACAGACAAGCATTCGAGCATGCCGATACGCTCTGATAGCGCTCTGAATCGTCGGTCACGAAGCTCGAATCACACCGATCCCCATCGATCCCATCTCATCAAACGCGTCGAATTACGCGACGCGTTTTTACTTACGTAATCACCGAGATTCCCTACACTGGTGCGATCCGCGGTGCACGTCGCCCCTCGACTCTCCCCTAGGAAACGCTGCGTCAGCATCACACTACTCTCTGGAGTTGTAGAGATCTGTAGCACAACTAGCTATTCATCCATCATCTATCACTCTCTTTCAATCAGATCCCAACCTCGAGACCCCAGCATAGTCGATCTCATCTGATAGATACCTGCCTGTTTGACCACACATCATGTCCGCTCCTGCGCCCGATCCACCCAACCCAAACTCGAACGAAGCTCCGAAACCTGAAGACTCGTCATCCTCGACAACACCTGCCGCACCGACCGATGACGATGTACAGATGAAGGACGAGCCGGAGAAGGCTGAAGAAGAGGTGAAGGAGCCCGAGGACAAGTATGAGGACATTCCGGATCATGTGATGAGCGTGAGTATTCAGGCGGGCGGCTGAAGGACGGGAAGAAGGCAAGGTAGTCTAGGACCGGAAGCTGAGATTGAGAGGCCGTCTTTGCGGGATTGGTAGCAAGATCCGGATGGGATCCGATTACAGACCCGGTTGATCGACAACGAAGTCAAGGTGAGCCTTTCACACTGTGCTCTGAAGCTTATTCATACACTCGATATTGTACTCACACTTACCTCACAATCCCTTCGCTTTGCTTCATTCCTCCTTCTGTCCCGATCCACTTCTTAGATGATGCGCCAAGAGAACCTCCGTCTCCTACACGAACAGAACCAGATGAAGGAAAAGATCGCCGAGAATGCGCAAAAGATCAAGCAGAACAAGGTCTTGCCGTACTTGGTCGGGAACGTCGTCGAGGTGGGTCATCACCGTATCTTGGCTCGCCTCCCAAAATCCGCTCCCTTCAGCTTGCTCAGATCGTTAGTACTCACACATCGTTCGCTCTATCACGAACCACCGGCAGATCCTGGACGTGCCGGACGAATCGACCTCGGAACAAGGCGCCGCTCAAAACACCTCGACGTCCACGGCGCCCAATTCGAAATGCGCCGTCATCAAGACGTCTTCCCGACAGACCGTCTTTTTGCCGATGATCGGGTTGGTACCCGCGGACAAGCTCAAACCGAGCGATCTGATCGGGGTGAATAAGGATAGTTATTTGGTCTTGGATACTCTGCCTGCAGGTCAGTTTTGGGTTTCCATCCTCAAAGCCAGCAATGCAATAGAGAAGCTGACGATAGGAGGGTGATTCTTCTCGATCGCACAGAATACGACTCGAGAGTCAAGGCGATGGAGGTGGACGAGAAGCCGACGGATACTTATACGGATATCGGAGGGTTGGACAAGCAGATCGAAGAGCTGGTCGAGGCCATGTGAGTCGAGATGAGGCGTCGTCTTTTGCAACTGCTCGAGTCTAACAACTGTCTCTTCTCGGGTTTCTCGCCATATCAGCGTACTGCCAATGCAACAGTCCGAAAAGTTCAAAAAGCTCGGGATCAGGCCGCCCAAGGGTTGTCTCATGTACGGTCCTCCGGGGACAGGGAAGACGCTGCTGGCGAGGGCTTGTGCGGCGCAGACGAATGCTTGTTATTTGAAACTGGCCGGTCCTTCGTTGGTCCAGGTGAGTGGCGGGTCGACTAGCACAGTGTTGATGGCGAATATGGGTAGCTAACAAGAGATCTACGCATTGCAGATGTTTATCGGAGACGGAGCCAAGCTCATCAGGGACGCGTTCGAGCTCGCCAAGGAAAAGGCCCCGGCCATCATCTTTATCGACGAGTTGGACGCCATCGGGACCAAGAGGTTCGATTCGGACAAGAGCGGAGATAGAGAAGTACAGAGGACCATGTTGGAATTGCTCAACCAGTTGGATGGATTTAGTAGTGATGAGCGGATCAAGGCGAGTTCGATGTTATGCGCCCGTTGCGAGCGATATCTAGGCTAATGACGCCTGTCATTCCCCCCTCGCTCTTCCACAGGTCATCGCGGCGACGAACCGAATCGATATTCTCGACCCGGCGCTCCTCCGATCAGGTCGACTGGATAGAAAGATCGAGTTCCCCTTGCCGAACGAGGAGGCTCGGGCGAGGATCATGCAGATTCATGCGAGGAAGATGACTGTTAGCCCGAAAGTGAACTTTGAAGAATTGGCCAGGTCGACGGACGAGTTTAACGGGTGCGTTTGGTCTCACTCTGCTGAAATGCTAAGCAGGGAGACTGAGCGCTGATCTCGTTCTGGGTCGAATACTGAAATAGAGCGCAACTGAAAGCGGTGTGTGTCGAGGCCGGGATGATCGCACTACGGGAAGGATCGAAAGAGCTTTCGCACGAGCATTTCCATGGGTGAGTCAGGCGATGTCGCGCTTTCATCTGGTACTCTCGAGAATGGAAGCCTGATCGATCGGCTTGTTTGCACTCATAGTGGAATCTTGGAGGTGGCATCGAAGAAAAAGTCGGACCACTTCGTGGGTACAACACTCCCCATGTGCGTTATTCTGCATCGTACTGACTCTTATCCCGCTCTTCGCTTGACAGTACTTTGCATAATTCTCTCACTTTCAATCCCTCCTACTCGCCTGCTGGGCGAAACGCAATCTCATGTAACGAAACGACCGGCTTCCTATCTCCATCGGGCCCAAACGTGCCACGATCTTCTCATTGTATTACTTTTTGCTTCGGCCGATCTCATCATGACCCACAGTTCTCGTCTCAGGATGGTCGCGCGGCGTTTGTCTTGACGTGTTTGAGACTTTGGTTCCGTGTTGAGAGCGCGTTTCAGATCCGGCAGGCCGACGACCGTTTTGAATTTGAGCACGATTTCTGAGGTGTCGCCTGTGAGAATTGCATCCAGTAGATTTTTTAAAGGGATCGGCATCAAGACCTCATCCTATAGTCATCGTCCGGACGACAAGAGACGGGGAACAAGACTTATAAGCGCAGTGTTAGGCTCCAGCTTGGATTTAGCATTGGATGTCAAGTCAGCGTCAGTGTGTATGTCAATGATCAAGTTCGAGTTGGAGCTGAAGCCGGAGTCAAGCTTCGGAGGACCAGAAGGAACAGGAATACGTGGGATGCGTAGTTGATGATGGGTTTTACAATCTTTCAAGAGCTGGCTGGAACCCAGACTCGATCTGTATATTCGATTCAGAACAAAGCCTCGACAGTATCAGTATGAAATCGAAACGTGATCGTAGGCCCAGCCGATAAAGAACATGCCTCCTAGGTAGAGTGAGAGATCAACCTACTTCTAAAATGGCTAGCTGTTGCTTGGCCCACATGACATATCGCTCTAGCAACCACATATGGTGCACTTCTGACCTGATAAACCTCATTGCCACCTCGGTAGTGGCACCTCGATCACCTCCTGCGAAAGTTTCTATAGCCCAGGGGATCTGCTTGAAAACGAGAGATCGTCTAGGCCCTACAATTATTTGCCTGTTGTGAGCCGGTCGAGGTCCAGTTCGGAACCACACGGACTAGTGCAAACTGCAGGCAGGATAGATTGCTTAGATTCTGCGGCTGGAGGTCCTATCCATCGTCTCGAATGACTCGAAGTTGATGATGGCTAGCATGTCCAATGCCCGTAACGGACACTTTCATCCTCTAGCCTCGAAAGGCTGTGAAGGACATCGTCGATGCGCGCTACAGATCGATGATCGATGATCAACAACGACTAAATAGCCGAGTGCGAGGCCGTATCTGATGGTCCCTTGACGAGGAAGTTACGGTTTGAGGGGCGCGAGCGACTTAGAGAAGTTTGATATGGGATTATCAGCTGTGAGCCTGTAAGATTAGGAAGATACGGGTCGCATACAACGAACGAATGTAGATCAGGACTGATGAGTGATTTCGATCGATTTGCAGGCGGATTTCGCCGCACCCCAAGAAACGCTCTATTTGACCGGTTCTAGCGACAAGTGATGCGGAGGCCTCTTGACCTGTCTCGGAGCAACAGTAGGCAGCTGTTCCATCGTGGTCTGTCGTTGTTTAAATCCTAGAGACGGTCTCTCTTCAGCGATCCCCCCCCCCTCACATCCTCAGTCTACCAAGTCCAGAAATCTAGCTGCCTATAAGGTGAACCCACCCTGAAAGCGCATTTTCTCCTTCTGATTAGGTGTTTCTCAGATCCTGGCCTCAATATGAAAGTCCAGTCTTGTGGCAGTGCAGAACCGATTCCTCTGCATGTCTTCGATTTCAGCCAGAAACTGAACCGGCGGATTTGCCTGTTGGAGCGAGAAGGGCTTGTTTGTAGCCTGCATGAGAACTTCATGATTGTGATCGTTACCGGTATTGGCGAAGGGCCGCCTTTTCATATAGATACATAGGGTTTGCTACGCTACCATGCATGTTGATTCGATTGCACCGGGCGAGATTATACAGGCTTAGATACTGTCCTTACATCCAGAATTTTATTAGACGCGGCCGCCCAACCAGGCTGGCCGTTCCAGAATCGATTGGGAGATTGACTCGGATCCCTGTCGAGGCTCGAGCATGACTGAAATCAGAAGATATGTCAGTCATGCCTTTTTTCGGGAGTCCGCGCCATCTACCGACTTACGACTTCTTCGATATAGCGCGTCGAGGGACCCGCTACCCTTCTCGGCAAGCACGCTAGTTAACCAATTCTGTACGTCTTGGAGAATGGCAAGGTTGTAAGGTTGTTGATAACGGGTAAATTCGGTCACAACCTTGGCGAGTTTGACTTGTCGATCGAAGTTGATGAGCTTGGTGTTTGGATCCATGGGTGATGGCCGGGTGCTTGGGTTTCCTTCTGCTGTGAAGGTTATACTGTTTGGGAAAGGTCTATGAGTAACGGTCATTGTCGATCGATGCAAACGGTCAAGTCACTCACTCGCTCAAAATCTGACCCAAGAAGGGTAATACTGGACCCTCAGCCATTCGGAGGCGGGTCCGATAGACATGAAAGTTCTATAGAAGGCAATGTTAATGTCTGCAGCACAGCGTATCAACAGCTGGCTTCAGACTCACCTTGGTGTGTTCCACCAATGTGCGCAGATCGTCCATGATATTACGATACTTGACAGGCAGTCCCTGTGGGTCATCCCGATCAGTGCACTGCCAACATGTACCAAGAGCTACGGTCGACTTACATCCCATGTCTTCTTCAAGCGGATGATAGTACTGCTATTGAGAGCTGCGAGGATAGCAAACAGCGTCGAGAAGTTTTGCAGATCCAGACATCGCTACATATTGATAGCCATGAGTCAGTCAAGTGTAACTGTCGTGATTTCTCTCTCCCGAATGCTCACGTTGGACAGCTTGATGAAGTACTTCAGCAAGGCTGTGCGGCGTTTCAAATCGGTCTCTTCTAGAATACGATCCATGACCCAGCCATGGATCCGGGTCGACAGAGTGCTCATCGTTTTGAGACTGTCCGCCTTTGGCTTGCCAAGCCGGATCAACTCTTGAGGATCGATGGCGCAGAACAGCTTTGATTCCAACAAGGTGAGTTGCCGAGCGAGTTCCAAAGCGTGAAAGTCGGTCACGTGTATATGCGAAGACCCGCTTTTAAGCGAACTGAAGAGTTGCTTGTTCATGATGGGCGTCGGCGGCAGAGCCGAATTGGAGGACGACATGCTGAACGAGGGGCGGTGGTAAGGAGTGCCCATGATCGAAGCCGAAGAGCTCGAGCGGAGTTGTCGGACACGAGCGACCGGCGAGGACTCGGGCAGGTTGGTTCGAGCATGCCTGTCGAGCAGATCCAATAAACGCGGGTACTCTACCGGGAAGGCTTTGGCAATGCGATCTTCCAAGAATAATCGCATCGGTTGCGTGATGCCGTTGTCTGCAACTGGGTCCCAATAGTTTGCCAGCCAGCTCTTGATGAAGCCCAACAATTGCCGCCTAATAGGCGCGACCTTCATTTCGTTCCACATTCGCACCGTTTCCTGTTGTAAAGGCATTCTTACGGGTGGCGTAACGTCGAATCGCGCTTCGATGGCTTCGAGAAGCAGTTTCGGTTCGGTGAACAGGCGGAACGTCAGGAAGAACGTCTCCCACAGAGCCGGGTCGACGGATCCATCGTGAGGCGTCATCTTCTCGACCAAGACCGGAAGAGTTGCCCCGATCAGCGCGCCATCCGTGTTGTACGCAATGTCCTTGGGATTATAGTCGTGGGATACCAAAAACATGCGCATGTCGGCTGCCGTGACTTCCTTTGGCGCCGGCTTGTTCTTCTGAGGGGTAGGTGCATCCTCAAAGCGGACGTCCCGAGGAACCAGTTGGTGCTCCTGCGTTGGGAATGAAGGGGTAGGTGGCGGTTGCTGGCCTTCTCCTGACCACCAACGTGGAGGTCGAGGTGTCGCTTGCACGCTTCCATGTTCGGACCCCACACTCTCCGGAATACTCGGTCTTCGAGTAAAGGTCTCTTCGCCCGCCCTAGGCGTGCTCAAGAATGAAAGATCGCTCGGCGTGCCTCCACCCAAATCCACCGATCTCGACGGTGGCCGAGGCGACCGCTCTTGGCTCAAACGTGGTGTATGGCCGGGCGACGTGAAGCTCGATGCTCTACCCCTTCGACGGGGTCCAGAAGGCGTTGCCAACGGGTTGCCACTGCCAAAGTCTGCAGAAGTCTGCAGTAGAGGCGAAGAATGTACCGATGCAAGAGATGGCCGCTATGGTGCAGATTCGACTGATCAGTTGGGAGCTGCCAATTACTCACGTCAGCAAACTCACATGAGGACGATTCCGTGCGGCTTGCTCCGCGGGTGTCATCATGATCTCCTGCTCGTCATCCAAAGGAACTCGGTATGCCCTATCCAGGGGTGCCGACCTTGGTCCCGAATAGTCTTGTACGTACGCTTCCAGCAGGCTGCTATGACCCGCTCCGCTCTCGGAACCGGAAGACTCTTCCCGACTTTGGCGCGATGCCGAGGACATCGAGCTGGCATGGGACGATCTCTTGCTCGAGTCCCGCCGGCTTCCCTCGTCATCGCGCTCGTCCTCAGCCTTGCCGTTGACTTCGAACCGACCCTGATCTGTGCCGTTGGTATCGATCCGGATGCCCAGTCCGAGGGTCTCCATCGCTTCTCTTCTGTTCCCGCATATCTTGACCAAGCGGACACACTCCCTCGCCGGTCGCATTATGATCGATGCGGCACTCAATAATCTCTCCTTATTCACGTCGTCCTCCTCTGAAGGGATGTCTGTATGCGGCGTGCTTGCCACCCTGTCTGCCGCCTCGACCAGTGCAGACGTCGTCTGGTACATCTGGTCCTTTGCCTGGACCAGCGCAACGATCTCCCTCCCATGGTTCCTAGCGGTTGGCTTGTGACCGATGACCAGTTCGACGATCGCCAACAAATCCCGGATCTTATCTATGGTTTCTCGCGAAAGATCCACCAAGAGGGCAACCGAAGAAGGATGAGAAGCGGCAGTGTGGCATTGCACATGACCGATCAAAGCCGCAGCGACAGACAGCAACGAGTCGAATGTCATCCCAATTCCTACGACGATGTCCACCGTCTCGAGTGCCGGCTGTCTGACTTCGTTCGAGACAGCTCGCCGGTGTACGGTCGGATGATAGTCGTTTGACGATCCCACGGATGAGACCGAGCTGATCGATCCCGCATCTGGACCCAATCGACTCCGACCCCTCTTGAAATCTGAACCAGACCCGGCGCTGACTTCTTCGACGGCAACGTCGAAACGGGCCGAGACCGGCGAACTGCTCTGTTGCTGGTGAAATCGAGGGTCACGACCTTGATCCGTCGAACCCGGTCGAAGACCCCGTGTGTTTATCTTGAGGTTGCCCATGCTCTTAGCTTGCAGAGCCATCCGCCGCTCCTGGTCAGATCGTGTCATCCCCAAAGAATTCACCGAGCTCTGCCTCGATCTGCCGTTGCCGACCGTGTCTCCCGGCGACGAGTTTCCTCTCGCATGCTGCTGTTGCTGTTGCTGCAACGTTCCTCCTGCGGGGATTAACCCTCCGCCCGACTCTCCCCGCAATCCTTCCGACGCATCCTTTCTCTCTGGTAGATCGATGCCACACTTGACAAGCGCTTTCAAGAATACCCTGACATTCTCCAAGGTCTCTTCGCTCGACTTTAACATACCCTCCAGCTCGGCCTCTTTGAACTCTTCCAGCCCGTCACCCTGCGGTTCCCCGAGTTGCGGGGTGTAAGGCTGGCTAGCGCTTCGGGCCAGCGCGACTAGCTCGGCCAGGTTGGCGAGGATCGTTTTTCTGATCTTTGCCAGTGCAGGAAACCGGGTCAGAAGCTCTGATTCTCTCGACAGACAGTCGGTCGCGAGGAGTAATGACCGAATGGCTGAGATGGCACAGGCGGTCGAGGGCTGCAAGTGCGAGATCTTCCTCGACCCCACAGCCGAGCGGATCAAGCCCATAGCTTGGTGGATCGGTTCGAGGGTCACCGTGATCTCGGTCTCGATCTTCCAATCGATGGCGGCAAAGTTCTTTTTGCCTGTATACGATGAGGACGAGTGGTGATGCTGATGCTGGTGCTGTTGCGGGTACTGCTGTGAGGAAAAGCCTTGAGAATGATGATGTCGATGGTGTGGGTTGGCAATGGGTTCTGAATGCGTGACGGTATGCTGGTTCGGACGAGGTGCTTCACGCCAATGTGACATGTGATTTCCCCCTGTTCGTTTTGACGTCGGAGCCGAGGTTGGAGTGGACGGTTGACCGCTGTTCCGTCGACTCTCATCAATGGATGAGCTTGATGTCGAGGTCCCTGAGCGATACGACAACATGCTCATCTCGGATGCCCGTCGAGGATCGAGTCGTGGACGCTAACGTTTGAGAGAACAGTGACAAAGCCTCAGCCAAGAGCATACCACATCAGCAGACAGTGAACTGACCCTCGGATCCGGTCCTTCCTCTTCGACGAAATTACTCGGAAACCATCCTCGCCCATCCCCCGTTTTGCCAAACTGTTCCCCATACGTCGCATCGACCTCCCTTCCTTCCGGATCGTTGACGACCTCGCCGTCCCACCACCCGCTCTCGTCCCGGTTCCACACCCTGATCCTGCATCCAACCTGGAACGAAAGGTAGATGTGCGTCCTGCTCGACGGCGGGGCCGTATAGTCGTGTAGAGCGATGACGAAATCGTCCGGAGGTGCTTCGAAGAGAGAAGGCAAGAGGTGACTTGAGCCAGGTTGAGAGGCGATCGAGGCGGATGAAGACGACTGCATGACGGATCGGTAGGCGAAGGGTATGTCGCTTTAGGGTGATCGAGGTCGTGACTGCTTCGCTACTTGTGGAGGTGTGCCTGTTAGGCTCGTGAATTCGTTTTCACAGCTTCAATTCCCGCATAATTGATCGCCTAACTCGTGTTAATTGTTGGGAGAGTATGGTATGATGTACGAACGAGCGACATTCCACATCGTCTGAACGCTACCATCATCTTCTACCAACCTGCTAGCTGCTAGCTAGCTCTTGGTGACGTTTCGGTTGTTTACCTTTTCGCAGGCAGGCAAGAGCGGGGCGACGCGCACCAGAGAGAAGAGCAACATCGACCTTGATCTCGATCTCCACACTGCACTTGACTGGCACTGCCCTGCCGACTCTCTGCTATACGAGTCCGAAGAGACAGCCCTATCTTGCATGTTTATTCATCTACATCATCACGGTCTCAAGCGCTCTTGGGGATCAACTCCTCCTTCTCCAAGTAATCGACGATGATCCTGACGGCCTGAGCGACGTCGACCTCGTCGGTCTTGATGTGGATCTCGGGGCTCGAGGGAGCCTCGTAAGGTGCAGAGATACCGGTGAACTCTGTCGCCGAGAGTAATATTGAAATCAGTCTGAGTCTTGTGATTCAGGTCGACCGAACGACCCACCCTTGATCTCCCCAGCCCTGGCCTTCTGGTAAAGACCCTTGGGGTCCCTCTTCTCCACGACGCTCAGAGGAGCATCAACAAAGACCTCGATAAACCTGATTGAAGGCTTGTGGTCCTCGTGAAGCTTCCTCGCCAACTGTCGATCAGAGACGTAAGGGCTGATGAAGGCCGTGATCGTCAAGGTGGCCGAAGAGCTGAAGAGGAGGGAGACCTCCCCGATCCGTCGGATGTTCTCGACTCGGTCGGTGGGGCCGAATCCGAGGTCCTGCGAGGTCAGCAACAGGTAATATCGTCAACGTCTGATGACCTCCCTATACATCCTTTTTACCGAAGATCAAGAACACACCTTGTTCAACCCGAACCTGACGTTGTCTCCATCCAACCTGAAAGCGTGCAACTTGCGCTGCAACAAGTGTTGCTCCAAAGCAGTGGCAATGGTCGACTACACACACACACACACACACACATACAAAAATACTTGTGATGAGCATTCACTTGATGATCACACATCGTCTCATACCCGGACCTGGCAATCGTAAAGTGGGAACTGACCTTTCCACTGGCACTGAGTCCGGTCAACCAGATGGTCGCCCCTTGCTGACCCAACAACTGGGTACGTTCCTGGTGCGAGACCGAGCCTGCGAGGACATCAGCCGGAGTAAAAAGGAGCAGTGAGATCAGTATGCCGCGTTTCGCTTGATGGCATATGGGCTCCCGGTGCGAGCTGCGGTAACTGACCTTCGTGAAAGGTGATGTTGGTAGCCATTTTTTCTTGTATTGTTCCTGTCAAGAATGTTCTATAGGAGGAGGTATAGAGGTATAGGTGTGATATATCGGCCTTGTAGCTCCATGGATGCTAGAATTGCGATGTGCTAGTTGTATCGTCAATCGGACGGCCGAGTGTCTCGTCGGAAGCAGATTCCAGAAAAAGTCGATCCGGCGCCAGAAGCTGATTGCATCATCATATCGTTGGTGCATCACGAATTGATTGCAAGCGAAGGCGCGCGTTTCATCGGAGAGAGGAGGTGCATGAGCCAGAGGTAGGGACGATCAAGTCATCAGGCTGCAGTTCAACTCGGCATGGTGAAAATTTATCTGTCAGTAAACAAATAAACGAGACTTTCGCAGTACTGCTGGAGCGGTCGGTTTGCGCTGTATATTATTTGTTGACGTTTGATTGTGATGATTCAGGAGGTGATCGTGACGTGAAGCCCGGAAATGTCGGTCGGATCATGTCTTCGGGCATGATACGACTTACGGCCATCTACGAGCCAAGTGAAGGTCGCTTCGCTGAACAACGCCGAATTTCGGATCGCTCAGAGAGTTGCCGGCTTTGTGACAAGTCGAATGGCATGACACATGAAGCCGGAAGATCCGATTCCCTGCCACGGAATTACAATTCCGACTCAGCGGATGCAGGTGGCGAGGTGTTTCGTCCTTTGAAAGCCTCGTCGACAAGTATATAAGAAGAGGACTTATCAACCGGTCGTCTCGATCGTTGAGTGTTCAGTCTTGCAACATCTTCCGATCACTCCGAATTTCCCCCTGTACCTGAAGTCACTTCATCACATCGACCCAAGCCGCCTTCACGATCATGATGCCCTCCAAGATATTTGACATTCTCATCATCGGTTCCGGCCCAGCCGGTCTCTCCGCCGCCGCCTCTGCCTGTCGACAGTTCCGAACGATCCTCGTTCTCTCCTCCGCCACTCAACCTTACCGCAACGCCGCCGCGCATCACATGCACAACGTGCCCGGTTTCGACCATGTGCCCCCCAAGCTCTATCGGGAGCACGTAGTCATGCAGTTGAAGGATCGGTATTCGCCGTACGTCGACTTCGTGGACGATGCCAATGTCGGCAGCGTCAGAAAGGCTGGAGAGGGTGGAGTAGAGGGGTTCATCGTTGAGGATGATAAGGGCAGGAGCTGGAAAGGAAAGAAAGTCATCCTGGCCACCGGGTCGAGAGACGTCTTCCCCGATATCCGAGGGTATGCCGATGTCTGGGGCAACGGAATGTAAGTCGAAGCTGTTGTCCGGATTGATGATAAGGATTCGCCTCGCTCACACTGAGGCATGAATCACAGCTTTCACTGCCCCTTCTGCCATGGATACGAACAACGCGGAAGTCTTAGCGCAGGGTTCCTCTACCTGAACCAAGATCCCAAGATGATCGGTCCTTTTACCGGGGTCATGGCCTTTGTCCTCCGATTCCCCAAGGCGCCTCCTCCAGGCTCGGGCACCAGTTACAACTTTACCATTTTCACTCATGGCGCTCCGGAGTCTTTCCTTGACGCGTTGAAGGCGAACGAGGACGTCCAGTTGATGCTCAAGAAGGGAGCTCGGATCGAAAACCGCAAAATCGCCGCGTTTGCAATGATCGATTCACAGGAAGGCAAGATGACCCCGGACGACAAAGGTCAAGATCTCGAGATCACCTTTGAAGATGGAACTACGGCGACAACGAAGTTTTTGCTTCATCATCCCAAGACCCGACTCTCCCCGCTCGGAGCCACTGTGGCGAAAGAGTTCCAGATCGAACTGAACGCGATGGGTGATATCCCTCCCATCTCGCCTATGCAAGATACTCAAGTTCCCGGCCTGTACGTAGCTGGAGACATGTCCAACGCGATGAAGGCCGTCACTACGGCTATTTATCAGGGGACTTTGGCCGGGGTGACGGCAAGTCGAGCTTTGGCGATGGAGGATTTAAGAGCGGAGGTCGACGTGAAGGGTGAAGGGGATGAAGTGGCGGTCCAGCAGGCCGAGTTAGGGTTAGGAGCCAGCTTGAATATCGGGATGGCTCAAGTCAAGGAGCTCTGAGCGCATTGACCGCTGCTATCACTTTATTACTGAATTACTGTAGTTGAAGATTTTGTTCTTTCCTGATTGTTTCTGTCGTACCTATTCAGCATAAGTGACGAATCAGCGGCTTATTGGTCACGTGATCGAGCACGGAGACCATGATCGATATCGATGTCCGCTAGCTCCGGTAATAATGCCCGACCCCGCCATGCCCGTCATCGACCGTACGAATCATGAATCTCACACTCTTCAAAACACAAACGTGAATCTATTGCGCACTGATACTGATTTAAATTTACTGATGAACAACTAGCATCGTAAAACTAAGTGTATGGTCATATGGTCAACTGGCACCGAATATGCATATAGCTTTTATACGCTCAAGCTCTGAATTCCCTGGTAGTTAGAGTGATCGTCGTCCGTAATGGAACGACTGAAACATCGGCGTTGGGACACCTGGTCGAATACCTGAATGCCAAATTCCGGCACGCACGTATAAAGCCAACGTTCGCAAAGAGATCTTCGAAATGTTAGATGGAATACGAGACAAGAAAAATGCAAAATCGTGGGACGAGGAGATTGGGGTGATCATCGGACACCGAGGCTTGTGGTCCTCTTTGTTCGCCGGCGCGGGGTGATCCCAATCTGGTGATATCTGCGAGACGACAACAACAATAACAACGACAAGGCAGCTGGCGCATTTGTGTAGCTCAGCAGGGTCTAAGGTTAGAAGCATGCAACCTGCCGGCAGAGTCTAAGTCCGATCGCCATCTGGAAGGATAGCGGCCTGGGCCATCTGAGACCACAAAAGGAGGGCGATCTCGCCTGATCAGCGATTTGAAGTGATGTGACAGATGATCGGACGACCAGGATAGCAACAACAAATGAGTGCGGTAACGACGACGACGACGATGAAACAAGGACATGACGACGACAACGGCGAAGATCGTGCCATTGTGTAAGCCTGTGTGCGCGATGGAACAACCCTAGAATCGCAAGATCGCCGTTGTATTCACAGGTAAACCCTTTTCAAGAGGCAAGAGGGCGGCCAGGAACGACTGCGCACCGTTGGCACGGACGACGATGACGATCATTTGTTGTCGTTATCGTCATCACTGAAGGTGGATCTGGTCGGTCGTCGGTCGCCGTCATGTTGGTCGCTATCGCGATGCTTCCAGATGGATCAGCAAACAAAGCGAGCCGCGAGCCGAATCTTTTCTCGGAAAATTTACCAGGGACTTACGGAGAAGCTATAAGATACGGAAGGACGAAAATGCACATTTTATGCACCTACACCTCATGTAAGTGAACAGCAGATCACTTTGCTCGAACCCCTTCCCTACCTTGCGACACCTTCTTGCACGACATCCCTAAAAACTCGCACATCTTCCTGGGGTACACATTGCCCATATCATAAATCTTGCACCTTCTTGGAACAACATCTTCACCACATACACCTTTCTCGCCTACTTGAACCGCACCTTCTCCATCAACCCCTGTACCTTCTTGAATTGGACCAATCTGCCAACCATTATCGAAACCAGAACAACCTACGTTATTGAAGGTCATACAGCATGCGAGGTGGCAAGTCCCTTCTCTACCTAAGCCCCAAATCCCGAAGATCGAGGTACTGATATCTTATTGGCCTTCCTCTAGCGTATACCGGTCGAGGCGGCTCTTACGGTCAGCGAGGAGGACATCCTCGGGGACGAGGACAGCGAGGGGGCGGAGGCGGTGGCGGAGGAAGAGGAGGAGGACGAGGAGGACGATGTCGGAACTTCTGGTCTACAGGACAGTGCGAGTAAGTCCTTCACGGCAACATTCCCAATGCAGTTATATATCCATGGCAGAAACTAATCCTTTGATCGTCCCTGAATCCTGGTCTGCGCCCGACGTATCTCGTATGATATATATCGCTCAAGATTCGGCTTCAATTGTCGCTACGAGCATCATCCGAACTATGCTCATCAGGTCAGCATCGACGAGCTCGCCCAGCAAACTTCTCTTCTCGCGGTCGACGACGGACCGGCGTTCCAAGCTCGAGACGCCTACTCTGCAAGCACCGACTTGGTTCTCTTTCCGCGAAAGTCTCTTCTTCCCTCTCAGGCTCAGAGAATCCTCTTCAACGCTGCTCAGGATGGCCTGAGGCTCGAATCGTCCTCGAAGATTTACGAGCTCGGTGAAGTACTCATGGCCGGACGGGAACAGTGCGAGTATTTCACAGACGAGGATCGAATCCTTCAACTCGGCAGAATCGCGCAAAACCCCGGAAATCTCCTCCTTCGGCTGGGCGAGATTCTCCGTCATCGTAACGTTGTTTTCGAGTTTACTTCGACTGGACCTCTGTCTGCCTCCAGCCTTTCCTTCCAGAGAGGTTATCTCCCTTTCTTTTCTGTAAACAAGTCTTCCTCTTGTCTCGTCATAAGCGCCGCTGAATCTGAAGCTAATCGCGCTTCACATATATGTCTACAGTACCTTTCATCCAGCCATGTTCTCAGCACTACGGTTGAAAGAGATGTCGCGTCGCTTTACTCACTGCTTCAAGCCAACATCACGATCGTCTGCTCGAACCTTACCTCAGTTCTCGATAGCATCGTTCGAGTGAAAAGGGTAGAAAGTGCCCGAGCATCGGCTCTCAAGGTCGAGCTATCGAGTCTTCTCCAGATCATCAAACCGCTTGTTACGGTTTTCTCCGAGTATGTCGAGGTCCTTTCAACCTGATATAAATGAGCCGGGCTGATCTCTCTGTGACATAACCTAATTCCTTCTTATTTCTTCGACTTAGGTATCTTGCTAGACATCGTAACGCCGCTGCGTCCTTCCCGGAGGTTCCTCAGCTCATCTACCACATCAGAAGCATCTTCTCCGTCTGGAATGACGACCTTCTGATGTCTCCTGCAAGCTTTGTCGACTCCATATCCCGGTTGCCTGACGAAGACCGAGACTTCGTCCTGAAGCAGCTTTCTCATCAGCTTGAGGCGCTCTGCTCGACCGTCGATCGCGAGACAGGCAGGGTCAAACTACCCTCTGGAACGAACGTTGCGATTTCGAATGACTCGCTTGGCGAGGGACAGATCGCAGCGTTGCAAAGAGTTTTCACGGGACCGGGAGGAAGGCACGACAACGATCGCCCGGCAATCCAGGATATTCAGATCGCACCTACCCATCAAGAGTTGATGTGCGACGATGTGAGTTCCCTATTCTGAGCTTACGCATTTTGCGCTCTGTCTCTACTAACAAGCTGAATTGATGTCTAACCTAAATCCACGCAGAAATATTTGCCTTACAACGTCCCTAACGCACCTCATCCAATCGAAGCGGGTCGAATTGAACGCGTTTTAGATGTTCAGGTACATCGATAGTTTCCGGCTTGTTATAGATCGCAATGCATATGCTGACAAGCTGCCTTTACTTGTATCTCACTGTAGTTCCGTTTGCTGAGGGAGGAGCTGATTGGTCCGCTGCAGGAGTCTCTCAAGCTCATTTTCGAGGACCTGAGAGCACCAAACATAGCTACTACTCATATCGGACGCTTAATAAGAGAGAAGGGAGGAGTGTATCGACGGGAAAACACCTACATTGAGGTGTTCACCAACACTGTCTTCGAGTCCTTCTCGCTTATTCGAGCTGGCTTTGCTGTGGGTCTCTCGCTCGATAAGCCGCCTTCATCTCGAGGGATGTCAGCGAAAGATTTCTGGGAGGGCAAGAAGGGTCTGTCCAGAGGACTTTTGGTCGGTCTGATCTTTCGAGGTCAAGTCTACCTCGGGGTAGTTGAGAGTGGTGAGCTCGATCTTACTGCATTTCGGGATTTCTTTCTTTACTTGTGCTCAATGCAATAACGGAATACGGGATCCGCAGACGTCCGATCTCGCGGACAACGAGGTACCCTTGATATCGTCTTTTTCAGGTCAAGCATTGCCATGAAAGCAGCCGAGGCCATCAAAAAACATCAGACACAGGAAGAACCCATGCTGCTTGTGTGTAGCCTTGTTGCAGAAAGCAAGATTCTACCTTGCTAGTCGTGATAGCTGACAAGATATATTTGCGCTCGCCGGTTGTAGATCAAATCACAAGTTCTTTACGCCTCCGTCGCACCTTACCTCACCTCGCTTCAAACAGCGAATCCATCCACGATTCCCTTCGCCGATATCATTGCCTCCCCCGATCTCGCCGCTTCTCCTCGAATCGCTTTACCAGTTTACGCTTCCGTTCCTGGTTTCACATGGGATATCTCCTCCGTACTGAAGCCAAACTACCAACCGAATGTGAAGCACACCTTCAATCCGGCCGATTCGACAAGCGTCCTCTCGGCTCGAGAACTCATGCGCGAGCATAGTGTTTTCGATGGGTCTCAGGCTGAAGCGGTGATCGATGTGCTTACGCGATCGGTCGCCTTGGTCCAAGGCCCTCCAGGTACTGGCAAGACATTCGCGGGAGTTGAACTCGTGAAGGTTCTCTTGCGAAACAAGGTCGGACCTATCATTCTAATCGCGTATACGAATCATGCTTTGGACAATATCCTCCACGATATTATCGAAAAAGGTATTACAAAAGACGTCGTCAGACTCGGCTCTCGCAGCAAGGACGATCTCGTGTCCTCCTACTCCATCGAGGAGCTCGAGAAACTACAGCCTCTCACTCGCAACCTTCAGCGGGAATCCGCGACTACTTGGCACCGGATGAAGGACCTCGCCAAAGAAATGGAGGAGATTCAAGCAAGGATCTCTCGTCGTGATTTGTCGCTCCATGAGGTGGAAGAATGGCTAGAACTCAACCAAGCTGACCATCACGCTTCGCTGATCGAAGATGCGCCTACCTGGATCCCCTATCTACTCGACCACCTCGCTGTGGACGAGCAGGACGGATTCGAGAAGGTACGACGAGGCAAAAAATCCTCGAGACTGGACGAGCCGACGACAGCATTCTCGATTTGGAAAGACTCGATCGATCTCGACACGATTTTCGCCCTCGGTCAACCGCAAACGTCGAAGCCTATCATCAAGCCGACACCTTGGAAAGCCTCAGATTTCGATCAGTCTAACGCTTTCAACCTCCTCGACGATGATGACGGGCTGGACGATACCGATGATGTCGATCAGGACTGGGCTTACATGGCCGCTTCTGCCGCCTCTAGTCAGACAGACCTCAGCTTGACTCCCGCCGACGACATCCCGTCACCTGTCTTGCCCCCTTCCAGCAAGCTAGACGTTCTCTCGTCCCCTTTTTCAAGCGCGTCTAGCTTCGTTGCTGCATTTGGACCGATTCCTAGGATTCCGTCTTCAAAGAAGTCGATCGAAACGCTCGAGGGAGAGCCGCTCTGGTCCATGTCGAAAGACGAAAGGGGCAGACTCTTTGCTCATTGGTACAGCCGAGCATGGGAGGAATCGTCCGAACGGCAATTCGCTAAGTTGGACAAGGCTAGGAAGGAACACGAAAAGGCTAGGCAAGAGAACGAACAACTTCGAACTCAGGTGAGCTTTCTTTAGGTTGTTAGACCGGTTCGTCTGTAACCACTGTGTTGGTTCATTGATAATGTCGTTCTGTATGAGCAGAATCGACTCTCGCACCTCTCCCGCTGCCAGATCCTTGCTTGTACGTCATCTGGAGCAGCCAAGATGGCACCGCTTATCAAGGTCAGCGTGTTTCACTCTCGCCGTTAAACTTACTTGCCTGCTGAGCTGACACGAGAGTCTTCCCACCCGGATAGGGATTCAAGCCTAAGATCATGATCGTCGAAGAAGCAGGACAAACACTCGAGTGCCATGTGGTCGCGACGCTGTCGAGTACGATCCAGCATCTCATTTGTATCGGCGACCCGCTTCAACTGCGGCCATCGATAAATGCTTATCGTGAGCCTTTTCCTTTAATCACATCCTCGTTCTCGTACATCGCTGCCATCAGGCTGATTGTGTTCAACTTTCCACCGCCTCTTCAAGATCTTTCCGTTGAGAACACTCGGGGTCTGGGTAACAAGCTGTATCGTTTCGACGTCTCGCTCATGGAAAGACTTGCCGATAACGGTCTCGAAGTAAGCTTTGTTTCGACGCCTCGTGTCCCAAACATGACGATCGAAGGATAAAGCCTGCTGACCTGCCTTATTGCCCAACCATTTACAAAAATGACCTATCTCTCATTGCGCTTGTAATCGACTCTAGATGTCCCAACTTCAAGTCCAACGTCGAATGGCTCCTCAGATATCTGACCTCATTCGGTAGGTCCTGTCATTAATCCTCGAAAAGCTAAGCTCAGGCTTATCCCTTCGCGTGGTACCTTAGCCAAACTCTTTACCCCAGCCTCGAGGATCACGAGACCGTGCTCGCCCGGCCACCTGTTCGAGGAATGGCTGAGAATGTCTTTTTCCTCCATCATGAGCACAGAGAAGGCGGCGGCAAGGCAACTGGTGATGTCTCGAAGCACAATGACTGGGAGGTGAGCTGGCTCGTCCTTTCCAAATTCCGGATATGACGCACAATCAATTGATGTGAGACCAATCTGATATTGATAGGTAAAAATGGTCGTGGACCTGGTCCGCTACCTTCTTGCTCAAGGTATATACAGCAAGCCGAAGAGCATTGTCGTCCTCACTATGTATTTAGGACAGCTTTCAAAGCTGAGGATGGCCCTTAATGGCCTTACCACTGTCGTTGTCGACGAGCGAGATGAGAGTGCTCTCGCAACATTGGAGGAGGATGCGCAACTTCCGGTCGACTCGCTTGTTCATCAAGAGGCCATCACATCTCAGGTCTGTCTCTATTCGCGCTGAATAGAACGTCCGGATATATCTTGTACTGATTCTCAAGCAACTTGAATAGGTCTTGCTCAGAACTGTTGATAATTATCAAGGCGGGTACCAATTTGACGAAAGGGTTATGCTTGATTTTTGGTCTCTAGCTGAATGTCTTCCTAATGGTGCTCGATTGGCCAATAGGAGAAGAAGCGGACATTGTTATTCTTTCGACCGTTCGAAACGCCGGCCCGGCAAGCCTGCTCGATGGAGGATCGCGAGGGATCGGCTTCCTCAAGGTCCGTCTTGTCCAGCTACTCTTCGTTCTGATCCATTTGGACTTGCTTACCGAGATTTCACATCGTCCGTTGTTGCATACAGAGTCCAAACCGAGTGAATGTCGCCCTCTCGCGAGCCAAGTCTGGCCTCTACATCCTCGGTCATGCGGAGGTCCGTTCCATTACATCGACTATTACTGGAGTGACTTGAATCTGACCCCTACGATTCCGTCTCTTAGCAACTCGCTTCCGCCACACCTATGTGGGAATCGGTCGTCAACCAACTAGACGCAAGGAAACAGCTAGGACCTTCGATCCCGATCCGCTGCCATAATCATCATTCGCAGGTTACGTGGATCCAAGAACCAGGGCAAATTGAGCTTGTGGCGCCAGACGGTATGCCGCTCTCGTCACGCAACGCTCGAATGTCAACCTGAACCGCGCCTGGCCGCCTTTCCTGTTCTGTTTGCTTGTCCTATTGGTTCTGCAGGAGGATGCCTTCGCCCTTGCGGCTTCAAGCTTGATTGCGGCCATGTTTGCTCGTCCTGCTGCCATGCCGATTCACACGCCGCAGTCCAATGCCGCCGGAACTGCTCAAAGCTCTTACCTGCTTGCGGGCATCCCTGTCTTAACGTATGCTCCGATCCTTGCGGTCCATGCTCAATTCCGGTCTCGGACGTCAAGCTACCATGTGGACATGTAGTCTCATCCGTCTCATGGTCAGTCTCACATCGAAGCGCAAAACATGCACGTTTTCCTGTTCCCTTACTTCATGAGACTAACGAAAAGCTTTTCGCGTCTCGCTGTCATTACGATGGACCCCGCCCATCTTAGCTCGCTTGCACAAACTCCCGACCGGATCGAGTGTCAAGTCCCGGTAGTCAAAAAGCTCATCTCGTGCGAACACGAGGCCGTCGTATCGTGTTCAACCGACCCCTCTACTATCACTTGTGGAGCCATCTGTGGGAAGGGCCTGGGGTGTTGCTCGAAGACCTGCAAGGCCACATGTTCGACCTGCTCCTCGCTTAGGTCAAACGTCGCTCGCCGACCCGATGGAACCGATAGGGAGATTCCTCGAGTTGACCACATCCCCCACAGCTGCGGAAGGTCCCTATTCTGTTCGCACGATTGTATCGCCAGCTGCTCGTCCAAGCACCGCTGCGGTCCCTGTCAATCGACCAGGCTTCGAACGTGCTCACACGACGCGCCCCTGCGCTGTTCGGGTCTGGACGCACCTTGTAAGTAGTCTCGGTTGTTCTCGATCATCCTTTTGTGGATCATAGCCGGAGCTTCCTCGTTTCGTATTTCCCTTACTTCTCTTTATCTCATCCTTGACAGGCAAGGAAACATGCTCCTGGAAAGCGTGCGAGCACGGTCGGCCTGCCTGCCCTCTGCCTTGCGGGTCGGTAAGTCAACAATTGATGACTCTTCCTATTGTAACTTGGATTGATTATCTTCTCTCTTCTTCAAAACCGTCCTTCAGGCCTGCTCTCGTCTTCCTTGCGACGAACGTTGCTCTCAAATTTTAGATTGCTCTCACCGATGCTCAAGTGGTGCGTTCACACGGACTTCACTTTGGATACGACTCAGTAGACATCCTTATCGACATCACTTTACTCCTGCTTATCTCTTCAGTTTGTGGCGAGATGTGCTTCTGCGCCGAATGCGAACCCTCTTCTCGCCAGGACGATGTAGTGGACGTTTTGATGCAACGGACTCTCGAAGATGTCGTACAGAGCCAAGCCGGTGGAGCAGGCGACATGGACGACCTGCTCATCAAGCTCAACTGCAACCACGTGAATAGAGCCTGCGTTCTCAGTCGGTGCTTCATTTTCGCTGTCTAACTGTTGTTCCCTCTTCTCAAAGATATTCACGGTCGAAACTCTTGATGGAGTTACCGAGTTGGCATCTCACTACGATATCGATGGTCGAGGCAAGTTGATGGCGGCGAAGATCAAGGACGAACCATCGGATGTACCAACTTGTCCGACCTGCAGGGCCTCATTTTTCTCATTCCGGTCAGTCTCAATCAGCACGTCTGGCCTCTGCAGCTCCGTCGCTAAAACTCTGCCTCTTGTCCAGCTATTCGAGAGTCGTTAAGAGCTCCATTCTTTCGGTCGGGGAGAAGAATCTCGTTGCCGTTTCGTCCGCAGGCATCGAAGAGGTTGGTCGCATCGCTCAAGGAATTGACGTCAAGCGCATCGCCGCTGGCATATCGGAAGCTGCTACCAAGAGCAGCGCTCAGCCCTCAACCAAGCGCCAATTCATGTACAAACGCTGCCGCCAATTCCTCCAGGATGCTCAGCGTAACCAGACAGCTCTTCCCAGCACCGCCTTCTCGTTGCGAGTCGGTAATGTTTTCGGCTTCAAAGACGTCCGCGCCGCCGAGTGGAACCGACTCGCTCAGCCACTCATCCGAGCCTATAAAATCGCGGTAAACATCCTCGAGAGACCCTCTCCTCACCTCGATGCATACCACTCAGCCCTGAACGCCGCTTTTCGGGCCGTTCGGTCCTCGTCTCGAAACGACCATGCGGCGATGATCAATGCGAAGCGTGCTGTCGGAGCTCCACCCCCGGGAGGGAAGCAGAAGTACGCTGTCCAGTCGATGGCCCACCTTGTTCGCATAAAGCACCAGCTCGCGGAGCTTGCAAGCGAATTCGCTGCACAGGAGCAGACCCACGGGGACGCCGAATTCGCCTTTCGATTCCGCTACCTCGGACACGTCCTCCTCCAGTCTGCTTTTCAAGACGCCCTGATCGCTCGTCACTGGGCCGCTGAAGCAAGCCTTACTCGACAGGCCTTGCTTGGCAACGTTCTCGTCTTCCGCTCTCAGCTGTTACTCTTCCGACATGACTCTGTCTCGGAGTCCAAGGTCATTGGTACCAGTTCTGATTGCCGACAAGCTCTTTTCGAGCGTTCAGAGAGAACGATGGAGAAGTCGTACCAGGAGATCGTCGGATTCATCCAGAGCGAGGTTGATAAGGTCTTCCTTCGAAACGAAAACGAAGTCGACTGGCTCGAGGACAACGTCAATACTCCCCTCAAAAACCTTCGAGAAGACTGGTGTTAGTGTTCTCACCGCTTGTCGCACCGTTGCAATAACGCATTTTGGCTGACCGAATCCTTCCCTTAGCTGCTGTCTCCAAATCGATCCTCATGGGTACAGTCTTCACCGAAGTCACCAAAGAGGAGAGACTCGAGATCATCAAAGCCCTTGACTTTGGGTACACAGGTCACTTGTCAGTCTCACCTTTCTTTCCCGATTTGAGAAGAGACTGCTCATTAATGCGCACCCATCACAATTTCCGCGATCGTAGCTACACCTGTCCTAACGGACATCCGTATATCATCACCGAGTGTGGAGGCGCCCAACAGGTCTCGCAATGCCCTGACTGTGGTAGCCGAATCGGGGGCTCGGGTCACACTCTCATCGGAGACAACGCCCGGGACACGGTGATGGAGGATCTTGCTCGGCAGACTGGAACAGCACGAAGCCCTTGGGCTTGGGGTCAGTAATCCGCAAGCGTACTCATATGTGTTTTGGATCGTCAGCTTCCTAGATTGTCTCGCTGGCTTTTTACTATGCTATCGTTTTATGCCATACATGCCTACGACCTCTTGACAAGACGACACGGACATGGTATGATTTGCATGTCCTCGAGAGATCTCGGACATCCCCGTCTATCGCATCAGTGGTGCATCAGTCGATGCCTCACCGGTGCTTGTACAGTGCAGCCAAACCCTTCCTCGCAGTCTTCAAGTCAGGAAGGCTGCATCTCCTGCATAGACAAATCTCGCAACGCAGCAACAGTTCCGGATCGCCTAGCTTGTGATAGGGACCGAGTATCATAGAGATTCCGTCGCACATCCGTCACGCAATCGTGGTCTCGACCCTCTCAATCCGCTCCCAATTGACTCGAAGCAATGTCCAGCACCAACACGTCCGTCAAGAAACGACGGTATAAGAAGTCACAATCGCCAGAACTAGAGCCGACCCGTTTCTATGTCAGCAAAGCTTGTGAAGCGTGAGCTCGGAAAAGAGCCTTCAGCGTGGCACTTCGTTCGCCTGATTTGGCGGCATGACTCTTCAGATGTCGAAAGCGTAAAGCCAAGTGTTCAGGTGTGTGGGAAGAAAAGAAAGTATTTGGAAATAATATGCTGATAACCTTTTGTTACGACTCTTGCTGCAGGTGAAACACCGATTTGCGCCAGTTGTCAAAAGCATGGTCGGGAATGTGTCTACCTCACCCAAAATGACGGTCGCAAATTGTACGTGAACCAATTCCTCTTTCCAGCTGTGACTTTGCACTGAGTCATTTACACCCTTTACAAACATCCAGGAGAGCCAAGGCTCCTTCTAGCCAAGTCGAGCAGTTGCAAGCGGAAGTCCGACGATTAGAGCAAGCTTTAGCAGACTCGCATGATCGGTCAAGATTGACATCGGCTCGAGATGTGGCACTGATAGATGGCATAACATACCAAGCGGAAGGTAGTGGATCGCAAAACCTTGATGCCGGTGGATTCGGTGAATTTGCACACCAAGACAATTCAATGGAGATCGAGAATTCTGAGAGACAAGCTGGGCCAATCAATCAGGCTGTTGCGATCGACGGACCGCTACCGATTGAGCCCTTCTCTACTGGAGGCACCTTTCTGTGCCCAAATGGAGCTCTCCATCTACATGCACAGGCGACTTTCTATCAGGGGCTACACGTCACTCCCGAAGAGATGGCGAGTCTCGGCCATCGCCATGCCAACTTGCCCCGGTGCGGTCCCATCAGCAAGCCTTGGGAAGCGCCATACCTCCCGTTCCCAATGACGGAAAAGGACCATCAGACCATCCTCGACCTGGGCTTCCAGGCCGTCTCTTTCATGCTGTCTTCGGGGTACAAGAAGAGGTTCATCTCGCACTTGCTCGACGATCCCGAGAACCGGACGGCGACCTATTCTCCCTCGATTCATCTGGCCATCTTAGCCTATGGTTGGCGATACTGTCGAGATTACCCGATCATCGCTCGGTATACGCAGCTAGGTCATTCGTACGACGAGAGAGGGTACAAGTTTGCAGACAAGGCGAGGGAGATGGCGGAAGCGGAGTATAGCTCGCCCAAGATCTGTACGGTCATTGGGTTCGACATGTTGGCTTTGTTCTTGGCGGGCACCAATAAAGGGTTCGTCGATGGACAAGTTCGCAGACGAACAAGTGAACCGAGCTGATTGCACATTCACTTTCGTGCAGCATCTTCTGCGGCCCCTTTCACAGTCAGTCCTCTCGCCACGGAGAACCCCGTCCCCGAATATCGGAGCTTACTTCGATTCGACAGGTATCGCTACTCTATATACCCAAGAGTGTGAGTCCGATACTGCGGCTCGGCAATGAGGACTGCGGTCCCTAAGTTCCCTCTCAACGAACAGTCCGCCTCGAAAGGAAATGCGATGATCAGCTGCTCGGCACGGAGTCAGGGCCAGAGCTGGACATTGCTCGTCGAGATGCCTTCATGGTCAATCGGATAACCAGCAGGTACGCTATGAGATTCGCAAAATAAAAACAGTACAGGATATGTGCTGATGTTGTCGATCGGTTCAGCTGGTGGACGAGCAACTTTGGAAGAGCTGACCTAGATTTGACGTCTTCCGCGGATCAAAGACCGCCCCAAATCGAATGCAAACCCGATGGCGAGCCATTAGACATGGACGGGATGGTCTTGCAGTGGTACTTTGAGCTAGCGACCAAGACACATACGATCTATGATGCGCTTCACGTCGTCTCGCTTCAACCTGCACACCGAATAGAGGTTGTGTTACGGCTGAGTGCGGATATGGACGCTTGGTACGTCTGGAAAGATGACGTTGTCCAGAAAGGACTACTCCTGATCACACGCTTCTTCGTGACTGTCGACAGGTTTGATGGTTTGCCTATGAGCGCCCGGGTCTTGGCTTCGTCTGCTGTGGCGAAACCATCCGTCAAGCAAGTATCTCGATTCGCAGCATATAGCGCCGCTCTGACGTACTGACCCGATACTTTCCTGGCAGTCTGCTCGCATTACTCTGCCTATACCAAACTTATCGTATCCTCATCTATCGTCCCTTCTGCGCTTGGCAACCGGGTCTCAGCGACTTGCTTCCTCAAGCGATGGATGAGTGCAAGACCGCCGCGGATCATGTCATGCGATACGTCAGAATTTTAAAGGACGGCGACGACGTGCGACGAGCGCCTTATACCCTACATTCGTGAGTGACGTTGGGGAACAGAAACGAAACGAGAGACGATCGCAATAATAACAATCTATTATACCATTTCACTTCAGTGCGCTCTACGTAGCCGGTACAGCGTTCCTCTTACAATGCTCGATGATAGGTCATCCGGTCTCTGCCGAAAAGAGCACGCAGGCGAAGTCGGACCTCGCCGAGGTAATCGAGGTACTGGAGGAGGTGGGCGAGGTGTGGCCTTCGGCTGCGTCTTCTGCTGGAGCTCTGAGTAATCTAAGGGGTGTCTGGGCTCCTGGATGATCGGTTGTCGATATTTCAGGGATGCGCCGCAAGCGGCAAACGCTGACACGCGGATTTGGCCACCCACTAACCTCGAAGCGATAACACAGCGGTCGCGGGGCGCAGTTGAAATCAGGTGTTTACGGCTCCAAGTCTCGGGATGCCCAGATGTCGGCTCAGTGTTAAGATGCGAGACTGACCCGACTCGTGAAGACGATTCCTTTTATCGAACGTGGGTTCATCGACGAAAACGTCATTTCCACGCGGTATCTCGCTTCGCCGCGACGCTTTCTCACGCGAACAAGCGAAACTTTCCTCCCAACTCACTCCTTCGCCCACCTTCGCCTAGTCAGCCAGCGATGCGATGCGATGGGCCAAGATCGACCGATCTCGATGATGTCAAGGGTAGATCTGATAAATGCGCATAGGGTTGTCTCCTCACCCCTCCCCCCCCTCCCACGTCCATACGACACCAAGCTTTATAGACCGAGACCACTTTCACTAGCGATAGTGTAGGGTCGAAGGGATATAAAACCCACCACCTTCTCCCAAAAAGAGAGATTCGGGCTCGCTTCTTCTCCCTTTTTTTCGGACAGCGAAAAGCGACGGGGAAATCGACAAAGCACGTACCATCGATATCGAGATAGTCAGACTAGACAAACTCTCCAGGTCGTACTTTGTTCGTCTCTCTGAGACGTTCAATTCCGCCCAGGACTTGCCTGTCATCTCGACCGACTCGACGGCTTTTTCCCCGCGTCTCTCGCTCGTTGCCCGTTTTTCCCGTCAAAGGGGGAAAAGGCGACCGATCCCCTCTGTTTGCTCGATTAAGTTCGAGTCGAGCCACCCATCCCCACTAGAAAGTATCTGGGGAAAGAGAGAGAGGAATCTTCCGGTCACAAGAGTAGGATTGCAGAGAGGAATCATAACGAAGGAGTACGGAAGCAGGACACGGATCATCATCGATCGCGAGTTTTGAACTGCGGAACAGGAAACCCGGACACTTGATCAGATAGACAAGTCCCGCCACTCGCCCGCTTTTCGCCCTCGTCTCTTTCATCATCACAAGGTCGCCCTAAACTTCTCCGATTCGACATCGTCGAGTCGTCTTCATCCCCTTACGCCACCCGGAACCCTTTCAACTTTCACCGACCGCTTCAACCCAAAAGGTCCACCCCGTCGTACTTTTGCCTCGTATCAGTCGACGTTCACCAACCAACAACTTTTCCCCTGACTCACACTCGACGGACACCTTAATTGGTCGTACCGCCGCCTTCTCCATATTCTACACACCCAACACCCCCGTGCGCCTTTTGCAAAAGACAGCTCTTCATTGAGTCTCGTTTCGAGCAGGGATCGCCCGTTTGCTGCAGTATTCGACCCATCAGAAGACTCCAGCAATCGAATAATACCCATAAACTACACGGAGAAGAAGGAATCGATTCGAGTCTTGCCCAACAAGAACCGAGCTATCGATCCACCCACTCTCTGTCAAGAAGAAAAGCGCCGAGAAATCTTCACGGCCGGATTAGATCCAGACGGAAGACTATAAAGTCTTTAGCTTCCGCCTCTCCGGATCTCTTTTCGGTTTCAACGGTCTTTGGAAGCCGAGGAAAACACCTCTAGAGGAAGACCCGACACCCCAGATCCGCTTATACTCGGATCACAAGGCGTCGATTCTCTTCCCTCTCGTCCCGTTTTCTTTCAACTTCCTTCGGACCGCCACTCGCGCTCTTCTTTGCCTTTACGCATGGCCTACACTCAAACTTACGCATATCCCGGACGGGAGGAGAGGGAGGGAGCAGGAGGATATGCCGATCTGAGCGGGAAGAATTCGTTTGAAAACGGTCATCAAGCGATGTTTGGTAACGTCCATCATCACCAACAGCAACCTTACCAGCATCAGCAGTACCAGCACCAGCAGGCCGAATCGAGGGACAGGTTTTACGATCAGCGTCAGTACCAAGCTTCGCAGCAGGCGCCGGGGTACCCTTCCTACGCGCCCTACGTCTCGGACGAAGAGAGAGTCCTCGCTCTGCTGTCGTCGTCTTCGTCGGACAACCTTCGTGGACTCGAGTCCAACCTCGGCATGATGTCGTCCTCGTACAAGACTCAGTATTCCGGCAATGATTCGGTTGATTGGTACGGTAGCCCTTACTACGCCTATGCCGACGAGCAGGACAACGAGCGTTACCTCGACCAGGCTAGAGAGGTCGATCTGGACATCTACCATCCTCGTCAGCAAGAGCAGAGCCCCGCCGCTGTTGTAGAAGGTTACCGAAGCTGGGCGGATCTCGGGTATGGTCAGACCGCCGGGTCGTTCGGCGTCGCCAGTGAGGAAGAGGAGAACGACTTTCCTTCGGCCTACAAGCCCGCCGCCGCGTTCCAGCCGTTTGCCGAGGAAGAGACCATCATGGAGGACGATTATGAGTACGGCGAAGACGAGTATGACGGCCAGAATCAGTTGAGCAGGTCGCAGACTCTGCAAGAAGGGCTCGGCTCGTTCTCGTCTGTTCGTGACTTCGTGGTCGAGCCCGTCAGGCAGCCACAACAAGAGGTGGGTACCACACACGTGACGACGGTACCGTCCCCGGACGATCCTTTGTCGGGCGAAAAGCGCGACTCGAGACTGACACAGGTGGTTCCTTTCACCTCGTTCTCGCTTGCTGTTTCCGATCGTGATCTCAAACTGGATAAATACTCGACCTTGTTTTCTCTCCTGCCGACCTTGTCGACAACCAACGCGAATCGGTCTCGAACGTCATGCGCGGCGACCGGTTCGTCCAACTTGGCTCTTGTCGCTGCGGGACCGCTTGAAACGCTACAGGTGGCTGCCCCGAACTCTCAAGCAATGCCTTTCCAGCAGCAGCAGCAGCAACAGTACGGGGGAGAGTACTACGGAAACGACCAATACCCGTATACCAAGGCAAGCCACCTTCCTCGTGGAGGCGTTGCTAACCCCTTCGGAGCAGTCGGTTCTGAAACCGTGCGTTTCGATTCCGTGCCTCGACAGACCCAGGAACAGGTTTCCATGGATCAGCAACAAGCGTACTCTCTCGGCGCCCAAGTTGGAGGAAAAGCCGGCGCATACGAAGTCTCTGCTTACGGTCAGGACGCAGCTGCCCCCTACCAGCAACAGAACATGCAGGTCGAACAGCCTCAGCCTGTGGCCGAAGAGGTCGCCATCACCTCGGGCGTTGGTCTGAGCGGTTGGTTGGCGGAAGCCGTCTGGCAGTTGTGCACGGTTCCCTTCGAACCTATTGGAGGCAAGCAGATGCCTGCAGAGTACGTTGTCAACGAGGCAACACGTACCACGGTCAACTCGGTCCTTACTTCTCTGTGTCCCGACTATAGTGCTACCTTTGGAAACGACGTGGACTTTACTCACTATAGTCCTCGCAGCCGAAACTGGAGCGGTTTCAGCTCTCCCGACGTCGTCTCGTACCGAGAGCTCTACGACCCGGCTTCTGGTTACGCGTCTCCTATCGTCGGCTCGCCTTCGAGCAGGTTTGCTTCCAACCCGTTTGGATTGCGCTCCAAGCCGTCCCAGGCGTTTGTCGAGTTTGTTCACCGAACGCTCAGCCAGACCCTACTCTCCCCCACCGCGGTCGTCCTGTCTCTTTGGTACATCAAGAGGTTGGCGATCCACTCGGGCGGAGCCGCCGACGGGATCATGCTCAGGCAGATGCTCCACCGATCCGTCTCGGATATGAACGGATGCGGCGGAGAAGAAGCTGTCCAGAGAATCCTTACCTTGGGTCTGGCTTGTAGCAACAAGTGGCTGGACGACAACACTTTCACCAACAAGTCTTGGTGAGTCGGGATTGACCTTTTCGCTGTTTCGCGTTGACGGTAACTAACAGCGGTCTCTTTCCTACATTACCAGGTCTGATGTCACGCTCCTCCCTCTGGCCGAGATCAACAGCCTCGAGCTCTATGCTCTGGGTCCGCTCAAGTTTGACCTCTCGATCAGCGTCATGGAATGGGACGAATGGCTCTGTACTGTCAATCAAGGCTTGACCCCGTTCGTCACTGACGGTCTCGCCGTTGCCTCGGCGATCAACGCCATGCGACAGGCCCTCGCTCACGGCAACGCCAAGTTTGAAACCGACATTGTCTCCCGTCGTGGCTCGAACGTCTCTGCCGTCATGAATTACGAGACCGCCCATCCCATGGTCAACAGCCACAGTGACTCGATGGTCTTGCCGCCCATTAGCTCGATCGTCGACGCCCGACACTTGCGCGGCTCTGTCCCGAACGCTTCGAGCTCTTACGCCATGGCCGAGTACGGATCTTCCGCGCTCGACTATGGTTCCCAGTCGTACGGGCGGGTCAACAATGACTACCCCGAGACCCATTACCCTGGTCAGCACAACGCCGGGTATGGGTACCCTTCGGCCCCGCATCAACAACAGCGTCGAGGGAGCGCACTCCCCCCGGTCGCTTCTACGCTCCCGCCGCCCCAGATGGCTTCGTCCATCTACCCGTCCTCTTCCGTCCGTGGTCAGGCCAGACGTGAGAGGCACGTCGGTAGTGTCTCCAACACCGCCAACAACAGCAACGCGTCGACCTCGTCGGCGTCGTCTTACAACAAATCGAACTCGGGATCGTCCGCCTTTGTTGGCCAACAACAACAGCAGCAACAGCAGGACGGTTCGATCTACCCTTCCTACTCGGGACATCAGTACTACCTGTCCCATTTGGCGAGCAGTCACCAGCCCCGTTTCATGTCGGTCATGGCATAAGACGGCCGGCGGGATGTAGGACCCGGTCCGATTGACACCCCCAACCCCGCCTCGACTACCAACAAACCCCACTTATTTTCCCTGTTGTGCTTCAAAAAACGTGCTTCTTCTTCAAGACGAACGCACTCACATACACGTGGTCGTAGCCCGTCTCCTGGACCGCTCGGCGGAGGAGGAGTGGCGTACTACCGGAGATGGAGAAAGAAAGAGAGGACGAGGGAAAGGGAGGGAGAGCGAGATGGTTGGATAGTATCTTCGCGTCTTTTCGTCTGCACCCCTGTTCTTTCCCGATCTCGACTTTTCCTGTTGTTTGTCAGCTCTGTATTTTTGTGTCTGTAGTGTGACCCCTTTTTCGTCTTCCTTTCTCGAGAGAGAGTCGTGGACACGGACTGGGAGAGTCATTCTGTTTGATATGAATATTCTAATCTGGTGTTTACAAATTCACGTAATCGCTCTCACTTTGTTGTTGTTGTTGTTGCTTTGTTTGTCGACGTTTCGTCTCGTTTTGATGCGAATTGATGATGATCGATGATGATGATGTTGATGATGTTGGCGATGATCTCGTAGCCATCGACAATCGACCTCGAGGACAATCTCGAGTGTAACTGGACGACCGAGTGTGGACTAGCTACAATGTCAGCTCAGGGATAGTCGACAAAAGGCGGCCACTATCCGTCGAATCTAGCGACCTCCCCATCATCAACATGTCGTGCCGCTCTTCCTCATCGGCAACGTTGACGACGAGCGAATTAAAGCCACGACCCAACCTCTCATTCTCTACCGATATGCCCAAGCAGGCAGAGACGATACCACGATCGGTCAGCTTTGAGCGGCGAAGAAAAGTGATTTCGGACGAGAGTTTGCAAAAAGGTCGGTTTCCGCCGTGTGGGGGGGCAGCAGCCTGATCTGATCAAAACCGTAAAACGCTTTCATCATGCCAGCACTGAGAGCAAAGAGCGTGCTATGTCCCAGCCGGATATCTATCGACAACGAACCCCCTGCACCGACGGAAAAGATCCAGTCTCGAGCCTTCACCTCGACGACGTGCGACGAAAACCACCCGATCAAGGTAGAATCTATCGACGACATGAACTTCAAGAATGACAGAGAGCAGACCGTGCCGAATAGGGTTCCATCACCATCGCTGGTCTCTCCTTCGTTGGTCAGGTCGCCCAGCCTGATTCGCTACAATACTAGCCCGGACGTTCATCGAAGGACAGTAGGGTTGACGGGAACCCAAGCTTCACCTGGGGCACAACATCAGCTGTACGGCGGTTCTTTTCGAGCCCGCATCTCCTCCATGTCTTCCTCGCCCCAGTCATTCTCCCACCCACTGGCCGGTTCCCCCACCAACTCTTTGAAGAATCCTCAACAGAATCCACCCACCATCAACCCGTATCATCATCGTACGGATACCGAGATAGATTGGCTGTACGATCGCAACGCCGAGCTCCAGCTCGAGATCGACAAACTGGCCCGGCAAGTCAAAGTTCAGAATATGGTCGCTCGGAACGAAGGCCGACGAGCTGCCGCCAAGATTGATGCGCTCGAGGCGGCCTTGTTGGACATGGAGAGGCAGAATGCCAAGTTGGTCGCCGAGAGCAAACGGGCTAGGATTAGGGAAAAGAGGGACGAGGGTTCGGAAGGAGGACAAAGAGGATCGGGAGTAGGGTTGGGATTTGGGGGAGGACAGCGGTACGGGAAGGAAGGGGTCTCTTCCACTGACTCGATTAAGCTCCGAGAGCTTTCGGAAGGGTCGAACAGGAGGAGATCGTACCGTTCCCCGAGCCCCGAAGATGACTCTAGGACGACACTCTTGCCCCGACGACGTTCGATGCGACCGCACGGTCGGAGCTTAGCTAGCGAACTCGAACTGAGTGACGATCAAGAAGAGTCGGGTATGCATGGTATTCACGGGAACACTGGGACACCCCCCGTGAACGATATCCCCCTAGTCGATCTTCCGCAAGAAGAAGAGCCAGCATCGTTACCCGCTCCGGCAACCCGGATCTCCTCTACTCCCGTTGCATCCCAAACCTTGTCACCAGACCACATCCCCTCTAACATCACTTCAGATGTCTCGGGTCTCCCTCGTCGGTCCAGTACCTATCTCACCCCGTCTCAACCAGAAGGGACGCCTCAGACATCCCTCTATAGTCCCAACTCGTTTCCCACTAGCCGTCTAGGCGTACGCAACCGCAGTCGACTTTTCCCTTCGTCCGCAGGTTCTCCAAACCTGCCATTCCAAGTCTGGGCCTCGCCCGGATCGCCTTATCGTTCCCCAGGGTCGACGATCGAGATCAACTCCCGGTTCTCGGGTGGAAGAAAGACACTGGCGAGCGAGTTGGCGAATTGGGCAATGGATATGGAGGAGGATGAGACATTGGAGGAACAAGAGATCGAGGCCGTCTTGCATGAAGCCGAGGCCAGAGCCGAAGCTGCGGGTGGGCAGGATCATTGGAGGACAACGAGGTCGGGAAGGTATAGCTTGCTGGAGAAGGATCAGCGTGTATACTCGTTCACGTCTGGACAGGAAGTCGACGGAATTAGGGACACGACTACAGAAACGACGACACCGGACAGCCCGAACCCTACCGGCAGTTTCTTGGGCCGCATTTTCCAACGCATCAAACGGTTCTACCAGTCTACCTGGCTAGAGATCCAGTTCATCTGGGTCGTCTTGATCTTCCTTCGTCGCGTCTGGATTGAAGGACGACAAGGACTCGTGTTGAGGTCCAAGGTCAAGGACAAGAAGTTGGAATGAGCCTGTTTGTTTTACGAAAGACTTGATCTTGTTTTATTCTTGTAACGTGATGTGGTTGCGCTTCCGCCAGAACTCGACGTGTCGCTGATGTACATACATATACCTCTCGATGACAGCACGCATGACGATCATGATGTCCATCGTAGCCAGCGTCATGCAAGTCGCCACGTTGAACGATGACGCCCTGTTTCGAGATCATCTCGTAGCGCTAAAAAGGCGTTGGCAATTTGGCGAAGGGAGATCGCGGTGGCTCGTTGAGCGTTATCCAAATTGTACAGGCTGGACCATCTCAGGCGTTCGATCCGAACGAGACCCTCCTGCACGGCTTCCATCTCGGCCAGGGTCGTGTAAGCCTTGCGATCCCGTGGCTGACGTAATACCTCGAGGAAGGGCACGGTCACGACCAACGCTCGATCAAGGCAGATGGCAAAGTCGTCGTCGGAGTCTTCCAGCTCGTGCAGGGCTTTCAGAGTTTGTTCGAGATGCCTCGTCAATTCCGCGGGCTCGAACCTGCGGCATTGCGAGATTCAGCTAAGAGTCGTAGCAGATGCGATGTTTGGTTCACTGACCCAGTAGTCTTGCGTCGGCATTTGATAGCAAGGAATTTCATTGTCAGGGGTAAAGGGTATCGGAAGGGGATGTGCGGAAAACAAGAGGGTATCGGAGAGGGATAGTTATGAGAGCTCTCTTGTAATCTGTGCCCCGCTTTTCGCTACAAATCGTGAACTAGCAGAGACTTGTTTATAAACATGATTTTCGCTTCGTGTGAAGCACAGGCAAGCCCCTGCAGGGGTAACGGACTTTGTCCGTCTCGCAACAAAGGAGTCTCGTATGGCGTCTCGCCGCAGCGGCTGCATGGCTCGAGTTGCCTTTGGTTCAGGTGTGGTATAGACAAGCGTGGCCGTTCGCCAGCTCACCACCATGTATCTGGTGGCATGTCTTGATCTGGTTGAAATTCGCCTAGCTGGCTCGCATTAGACGCGCCAAAGGCGTTCAGATCGAGGAAGCGCAAGTCGACGTCTGCGGGGGCGAACATGACTTTAGCAACCAAGAAATCGGAATATTCAAAGGCAGCACGCTTACCTGGTGGGAGGAAGAAACCCTCGAGTCCCATCATCGCGTTGTTGTTCTCCGTCGTCTCTCCAAGCGATTCTCCATTCAAAAAGCTGCCGAATCAACCAGCATGTTAGCCAAGTACAAGGACGGTAGTCCGTTATCGATACTTACAGAGGCAGGTTTTGATCGTTACCAAAGGAGAGACCGGCTCGATTGACCAGATCCTGCATGAAAGTGGCATCAAATTCATAGCTTTCTGGATTCGAGCTGGGCGACTCGTTCTTTCCAGAAATATTCGTCATGCTCATCAATGGTGACGTTTGGGTGAGCATTGGGGCCATGCCGGTAGAATGACCCATCGTATGCAGAGCAGGTGTAGGCATGTCTGGATGCGCGAGACCCGCCCAAGGGCTCTGGGTACCGATGGGTGTACGGTTCTGAGGCAGTTGAGCGTGCGTTTTGTTGGGTGATCCGGGCATTGAGGGTGGAGGTAGATATTTGCTTTTCCTGGCTCGACGCAACAAGAGGCGCAGGGAACGAGCATAGCGACCGGCGGGAACTGTGAAGCGACATCGATTTAGCCGAGATATGAGCAGGTCGAGCGATTTCAGCTCACCCTGTTCGAGGACCGACGCCAACTCCTCGACATCTTTGGCTGTCTTGCGAAGGTTGAGCTCGTGAGGAAATAGGCGGGCGATACGAATAAGGAAGGATGCGGCGAACGCGGCCGAAACGTCTGCAATGGTAAGAAATGGTGTCAACCAAGAGATCGCAAGTTGTTTACGATACCCGACTTACGCGTATAGTGAACCGCTAAAACCGGGAAAAAAAGTCGATCGAGGTTTAGATTAGCACCGAAAGGGCCGCCTGGCGCAGTTATCCTAAAGACACACCGTATTTCAAGCCAGCCCGATAATTCTCGCCGCGAATCGCAATCTCGAGACAAGACTGGGCGTTGCGCATGGCCTTGATCGCAAGATCCCTCTTGTCCGGGGGCATCTTTTTGACATCGGCCGCATCTTTGATCCCCCTGAGTAATTGCGAGTTGATGAACAGCGAGGCATAACTTCGTTGCGCCAAAAGGCTCTCCATGAAAAAGTCGTTTTGCGCTTTTCCGTAGCGTTCGATCATGACCCGCTCCCAGTAGGTGAGCCAGCGGTCGAACGCTCCATTAGCTTGTTGTAAGCGGACGACAGTCTCTTGGCTGACGGGCTCTTCTGGCGATGTGGTCAGCACAATGTGCAAAGGTGCCCTCAGAGCGATCATCTCGACTGTGCTGATCAGCCGGACGTCTGTCGCGATTGAGAGAGGATGGTCGAGGAAACGCCGGCACTCGGCGATGGAAGCGTCTTCTCTCAGGATCGCCGGTCGACCGGTCCCGTACGACATCTGATGTTCGATCATGTAGAGCGTGAACCAGCATCTCGCCTGGATGACTAGGTCTCGTTCTTCTTCCAACTGGGCAGCCGACTTTCCCGCCCCCATTTTACCACGCAGGAGTTTCATAAAAGAATGGTTGATCTCCATATCCAGACCGAGACGCACGGCATGACCCGAGGGTAACCATCCGTTCTGACTGAATCCCGCCAAGACGAGCGTAGCCTGGACCGCCTCGATCCTGGCTACCGGGGTCCACATCGTACCTAAGCCTATCTTCCGTGCGTGCTCCGTCGACGCCCGCTGGACCTCGCTGATGGGTCCACCTCCATCCCGAACTCTTGCACCCACGGCAATGATTGCGGAAAGACTAAATGGCGACCGTAGCCTTAAAGAATCCCAAGTATCGTAAGAAGGATCGTAGATCGGCAAAAAGGCGTTGCTCCCGCTGAAATACAGGTCGAACAGCTGTCTCGCCTCTTCCTCTTGGACGATGCCGAGCGAGACAACATCGGGAAACGCGTGCACGTGTTTTCTCGTCTTTTTCCCCTTGCCCGATCGGTGGGACTCGACAATGATTCCGGGAGGATTGAGCGCTGCGGCGGCTCGTTGTATGGGGTCTTTGGGGACGACGAAAACAGCGTCATCCGTCGACTTGTCCGTCTTGCGTTTTTTTGTCTGTCGTCCGTCATCCGTTTTGCCCTCTACTGTCTTGATCGTTGCACTTGCCCCATCATCTCCTTCTACTCCCCTCTTCCCGCCCCTTCCCCGCGAAGCTCCGGCCTTGTTCTCCCCCTCTCGTCCGTTTTCGTTATCAGCAGACGCTCCTGCCACACTCTCATTCCCGACCTTGCTGACCATCCTCTCCGCCCTCGCCCTCTCCACGGCCGCCTCAGCCAACCCAGCCATACTGCTCATGTTCGCCAACGGAGCCGTAATCATGCTGGTGGCCAGACCATCTTCTTCCTCACCGTCCGAGTTCATAGGCGAAGCGTTGACCGAAGTCGAGTTTGATGTCTTGAATTCGGTCTTTCGCCTCGACCTGCCAGGGGTCAAGCTCGTGCTCTGTCCTGGATGTTGTTGATCTTGTTGGGCGTCTCTGAGAGCATCTCCGGGGAGTAAAGACCCCATACCGGAAGCTTCAAACGGATAATCCCAGCCTGTAGTATTCGTATACTCTCCGAAACTCACACCGGTCACCGGTCGAGTGGGGATGGCGAAACCGCTCTCGTCCCACATCTGCGTGGATGGGTTGAGGTTTGGGTTAGGGGTCGATCTGGGATCCAAGGTGTCTCTCTGACCACCAACACCGGAAAAGGAGTCGAGCCTCATCGAACCCCTCGCATTCGATGTACCAAAGCTTGTCCGGTAGTCTGACGTGGTGGCCGAACTTCCATAGTTGTTCAACCTCATTAGCGAATCTGGTCGAGGGACGACGATGTTGTTGACATTGCTTGCAGGAGCGGTATGGCTCGGATGCGTCGAGCTGGAAGGCCCAAATCCGTCCAGGTTGGGTACGATCACCGGTTCATCGTACACACCCATACCGCCCGTCCCTGTGACACTCAATCCATGGTTGTGGTTGTGATTCTGGTTGCTACCGGAAGAGATCGGTTTGCCTGGACCATCCCGTTGATGGGACGAAGCTGGGCTAGGGTAGAACCCTTGAGGGCTGACGCTATTGCCTAGCTGTTGTTGCTGAGAGGGTGTGACCATGCTCGATGACCGGATAGCGGTGACCAAGTCGGAAAGGGTGCTCTGGATCGAGTTGACCTGGGATTCCAGGTGTTTTATACGACTACGGTCGAGGCGCGGGTCCACTCGATTCAGTGGTCGACAAATTGGAAAGCCGATACACGAGATGGATGGCAAGACTCACTCGTCACCAGCCGGAGCATCCAGGCTACTAGTCCCCTTTCGTGGTTTCTCCATGACACAGTCTTCGCCTGTCACCCGGCAACGCTTGCAAGGGGGGTCGTCCGCGCCAACACACCTCATCTTCATCCGACGACAGTGATTGCAGGCTCCTGTGAACATCATAGAAAGGTCATGCGTCAATACCACCGTACGATCGACTTGCTGAGGAGGCCCTCGGCGATGGTGCTCTGACCCGAGTGCTAGGCTATTGTTCGGCGTATGCGGACCGTATCAACGATCGAGACTCACGGTTGACCCTGTTGATCCCACTGCCACCTTTCCCATCCGTCGCGAAATCTCGAGGAGACTTGGCATCTTCATCGAGTACCGTCTCTTTCGCCTTTCCCTTGCCCGACATGGTATCGAAACAAGGCAGCCCACGTCGCAACGATACGCAAGTCGTGAACGCGTTCTTGACCTAGTCACCGAGAGGTTCTTCCCCGGCTTTGGCGAGTTCCTAAGAGAAGGAGACCGGTGTTTCGGCAGTTCCCGCTCCAGTCGACCGAACTCTGAGCCAGAGCACCACTTGTTGTGGCTTCGATGAGTCGTTGTCGTGGATGGTGACGGGAAGAGGTGTGGTGGTCGACCTCATGGCCCTCGTGTCGTCGTTTGAAAGAGAGAGACTGTAGCTAGGTCGAACCTCTCGAGCCGGTCCGAACGAGTCCGACTAGGGGGGGAGAGGAGCAGAACAATCACTTTTTGCATCCGCGCGCGCGCGTCCTCTCTCTCTCGTAAACCCCTGGCTCCCTTGTGTATTTCCAGCATGAAACACCATGACGCCAAACGTTTCATCAGTTCTCAAAGGGGGAATGGCATGGCTCGAGAACCTGTCATCGAGTCGATGTTGTGCATATCGACCTCGTCTCTACTTTATCTGGATGAGCAGGCGTTTCTTGTGCTTCGACCTCGCGTAACGTTAAATAATCGCAATGGGCTGTTGCGGTCGAAGATCCAAGGCGGAACGCGACGAAAGCAGACCTAGAAGGGCCCGTCGGAGCCGTACCAAGAGGTTCCTCCGTAAATGGGTCTTTCGCTCGCAGATCTGGTCGGTCGTCCAGGGTTTCTTTTACATCGCCGTACACATCGGCATCTTGGTGGGTCCTGATTTGATTTCGTTTCAATCGGGCTTGGTTGTCTCACATGATATCATTCCGTGTCGGTTGTTTCGGTTTAGGTACACGATCTCAACACTCCCGAGGTCAGTAAATTCACTGCTCTTGACTTCCTCTTTTTAACGTGGTACTGAGTACGAGAACGTTCGCGAGCCCATAGATGAAAAACTTTCTGGAGATTTACTGGTCAGTCTTGCGATCCTCTCTGCTGCATTCGCTATCATCTGACGTAAACCTTGAAAACAACTCTCACCTGTCAATTTGGTTTGTAAACTGACCTGATCCGCAGGTGGGGTACCGGAGACCCCGAAGCAGACACCCCCGCGGCCTCTTCATGGTCGATTAATGAGCTGTGTTCCTACTTTCCGAACACTTCGATCCCCAATCAGGGACATGGAGCGGAACCGTTCTTGTACTTTGGGTTCCACGAGACGGGAATCAGTGAGTTTAAGACGGCTGCCCGTCCGGCTGTGGATGACTTGACTTCATCCTTGTTCTCGTCTGCAACCCTGCTCCAAATCTGGTTGGCTTGCCCGAATTGCGCTCGAGTTGCTAGTCTTCCTATCCATCCTCTTGATAATCGACGAGGCGACCAATATTCGGTTCGGCATCCTCGGTCCCCAGGAGAGTAAAGGTGGTGCTGCTTGGACCTGTTTCTAGTGAGTTCCCATGTCCCCGATGACGGGTCTCTTCCTCCCATCCGTGAGAAATCAAGGCAGCTCATGGCAGTATGGCATCATGAAGCTTGTTCACGGCGACCATGTCCCGTTCGTTTGCGTTCAGTTCCAAAGGGCAAGTATCCCCAGCCTCTGTTCTTCATCTCTCACTCGATCTAACTGATGTTACTCCATTATTCATACCTGATAGAGTCACCCTCTTTGTCACCTACGCCTGCTTTGGCTTTCTCTGCATCAGCATCTACAACATCATCTACGCCATCACCGGTCGTCTGATCGACCACGGCCCGGGATGGAGCGGATACCGTAGTTCCGCAATGATCCGGTTCGAAGACCGATGGCACGCTCTCGCCACCAAGGAAGAGCAGGATGCGCTCGATCCGTTCGAGGTCGGAGGGAGGACGGCGTTGGGACCGAGAAGCAAGATGTTTAGGCTGAGCAGGTGGTTGAGGGATTCGGCGGTGTGGAGGGACGAGGAGAATGCCCACGTCAAGGGAGTCAACAAGACGTAAGCAGGCGGATCCGTTCTGTAGAAACTATCGTCGCAGCTGACTTTGTTCCGGACTTGGGCGCCCGCCCTTCTAGACTGATTCGAGGGAACCCGGTAAATTTCCGCCAGAACCGTTCGGCTTCGATCTACCGGACCATCGATCTCCGCCGGTGGTGCTCCCAAATCGCCGGTCTGTCCATGATCCTCCTTCACGTCTCGCTCTTTCTCAAGGACGTCCAGTGGAAACAGCGTATGGCCTACATCGCTCAGTACGCGGGGATCAAGGAGACCTGGGACGGCTTGGACACGTTTGGAAAGGGCATGCCGACGGGGTGCGCGTATTATGATCAGAGCAACGTGCCAATCAGGATGTACTTGGATGCGAGCGATAGGTCGTCAGGTGGGTCCAGGTCATGCGAGGGAGTGCTTTGAATTGAAATAGACGGCTGACCCAATGATCCATCTTGATAGCAACCACAAACTCGGCGCTCTTTGGATTGAATCAAGCGTTTCTTAGTAAGCTGTCTTGCCTGTTCCACGTCTTTTTGGAGAGCCTCCGGGGACTGATACCATGGTCCCACTCCGCCAGTCATGTTCTCCCTATCCGTGACACTGGTCTCGATCACCAACCAGAAAGAGTATGGCAACATTGGATGGGGAATCTCGTTGATCGGCCCTAGGATGAGTAGCGTATCGATCGGGTGGATGCTCTTGCAGTGCGTACGGAGCTTCTCGCCTGTAACAAGAGCTGGCAAAAGAGACCAAGCAAAACCAGGATTGATTTTTTTTCGTACCGCACTTTATCTGTAGCCTGTGTTTTGCTACCTTTTCCCAAGCGCTGTTCCCTGACACGCTCTGGTTGTACTACGTTTGCAAGGGGATCATCTACTTTACGGGAATCATCGGGTGTACCCATCTTATCGTAAGTATCGTAGCCTCCAGGACCCGCCTCACCTACACGTTACCAGCTGATTACGATGACGTGATCCCTTCCTCAACCTTGTGCCGCATCTCACAGCTCGCCGAAGACCTGACCGAGGAGAATCACAAGCGCCACGAGTTCGGCGCTCGGCGACCCTTTTACGGGGGGTTCTTCAACTTTAGAGACTTTGAGCGGAGTGACATACCGGTCACCACGATTGAAGTTGTGCCGGAGGACGAGAAGGATTTCAGATGACGGTAAACAGAGGGACGTTGTTGTAGTGGTAGTGTGCACAACGGGATTGCCCTGATGTACGCCTGCTGATGGATCCGTTTGAAACGCGCGCATGGCAGAGCCGCGCTTCAGGCCCTGTTGTCGTGGGAAATGACGTAATGCTCTCGCCTCTCTGCCACGTCGTCATCATCCCCAGTTACCCTCCCTCGCTTCCGGTAGTGTGGGTGGATGCGTGTGGATGTCGTCACATTTCTCGTTCCCCTCCCTCCACCCCGTTGGCGTTGGTCCTACTTATAACGAAAACCGACGACGACGTACGTTCGTTCCCTCGTGCGCAACTTTGGTAAAACTCTCTCCCTCTCTCTCATACAACTTTCTTTCATCGTCCCACTGAACCCACAATCCCCTTCACAACAACCATGTCTTTCGCTCGAACCTCGACCCAAGCCCTCAGGCTCCGTGCCGCCCCCGCCGTCCGTTCAAACCTCCGAACACGAGGTACCGGATACCGATTCAACTCGTCCAATGCCGGACCCAACGCTCAGGCCAACATGCACCCCGCCGTCGCTGGTGCTGCTGCCGGTGCCGGTGCCGCCGTCTTGATCGGATACGGTGCCTACAAGTACACGGTGAGTTTGGACTTGTTGGCGGCGATGGTTTTGGCTGGTCGCTGATTTTACATTGCTACACCTCTATTTCCTGACCCCCTCTCTGAACTATGCTATGCTATATCGAACCTACTTGACTCTCGCAGGGTATCGACAAGGCCGTCGAGACCTACACCACCACCAAGTCCTACTTCAACAGCGCCACCGACAAGCTCAAGCAGGCCACCCCCGAGCCCAACCAGGCTCTCGAGGCCCTCAGGAGCCAGGCTTACCACTATGCCGCTTTTGTCCCCGGTGGACGAGGATACGTGGACACTGCTTTCAAGGACATTGACGCTATCAGGGAGAAGCACGGCGAGGTGAGTTTGAGACTCGACCACCTCGTATGATCAGCGGCTATATGAAGCTGACCGCAATCTCGATGTCGTGCACCGCAGGAAGTAAACGCTATCGTCTCGGACTCTTACTCTCAACTCAAAAAGGTCGCCGAGGAGAAGGGCTTCTCGCTCGACGCCGCCTCTCGATCGTGGGAGATCCTCCAATCCTCGCTCAGCAAGATCACCGACCTCGCCGGTGACGCCGCCGACCAGATTCTCGACAACCACCCCAAGCTCAAGGAGCAGGTCGGTGGCTCGTTCACCCAGCTCAAGCAGATGGGAGAGCAGTACGGTCCCGAGGCCAAGAAGCAGGTCGACGACGTCTACAAGCAGGTCACCGAGATTGTCAAGGGAGGCGTGTCGTTTGACACTGTGAGCAAGATCAAGCAGCTCGTCGAGTCCAAGCAGAAGGACTTGGCCAAGTTTGGCGACGCCGCCTGGAACAAGGGACTCGAGACCGCCAAGCCTTACCTCGACAAGACTCCCCAGATCAAGGAGCTCGTAGAGAAGAACGCCGACGCCCTGAAGTCGGGCGACATGGCTCAGCTTTGGGAAAAGATCAAGGGTGGAGATGCCGGGGACATCGAGTCGTTCGTCAAGAACGCCGCCGACCAGGCCAAGAGCAAGGCCAACCAGGCTACCGGAGGTGGATTGGACAAGTACTTGAGCATGTTGCCTGGGTTGGGCGCTATCGGACCCCACCTCTCGAAATTGAAGGAGGTGAGCATCGGCGTCTCTGCTTCGTTCGACACGGCCGGACTGTTCGCTGACCTCATTTGAACCTTTTCTTGCACCGTAGGTCGCCGACCACAAGGGTGACGATGCCAAGGACCTCTTGGAGAAGACTTACAAGGATATCGAGGAGGTGCTGAAGAAGCGAGTGGGCGAGGCCGAGAAGCTCGCCAACGAGACCAAGAAGGAGGCCACCAAGTAGATGCGGGAGGAATAATGAAACGCAAAGGGACCCTTATTTGTATCACACGTAATGAACCGAAACAGAACAAGTCCGAGCAAAAAGAGGGACAGCGTGTTGCATGTCACAGTAATAGTATTTGCATGAATTCGAGCTACGTAGGCTGTGACCGTGACCCTTCGTCAGATCGTGCGCCTGGTGTCAGGATTTTTTTCCGTTCCGGCTTCAAGTTTCGAGTTCGAAAAAAGGCTCCGTTCAGCTAGCTCTATACGCCTCAGATTGGTCAAGCTGTAAGGGGATTGGCCCAGTGGGCCAGTGATGTGGTTTGTAGGGGTCGAAATGCTGAGATGTGGGAAGGGAGTCGCCCGTGCGGATTGTGATCTCATGCGATTGGAGACGATGTGAAAGTAGGACAGCAGGTTGGCGCATGCCCGAGACGCCGATAGGCTTTTTGAGTCTTGTCGAGGCGTACTCGTCGGTTGCGTGTGTAAATCGCAGGAATCGTGGGAATGAAACCTGATCTTCTTGATAGCGGGATCTTTGTATCCAGGAGTTGGAGGGAAGAGAAAAACAATCGCAAGTTTGAGGCCGGCACATCCAGGAAAGATCTCGTGGATCTTTAAGATCGAAGGCGGGACTGGATACCACCTACGGTGTTGAGCGTGGACCGAGTGGATCGGGGACAAGTCATCGCTAAGCCACGAGCAGTCGACGATATAAGTCGGCTCCGCAATGCGCCTTTATGTGAGCCATAAGCATTCGAAAGATTCGTTGGTGATTTGCTGAGAAACCGACCTGCTAAGTCAAGGATCGATGTTTGCCCTCGCTCCTGATGCACTCTCGCCTAGATTGACCAAGTCACCATACATCATAAATCGCCTTGAGACAGAATACAAGCTTCCTTTTACAACTCTTGCCTTTCATCAGGTTACAACGGTTCATCCGATATCCTTCTGATGTGAGAATGCTCGCTGGCCGGGAGCGATCACCAGGAGTGGTGACCACCAGAAACGAGAACTGCATGGAGCAGGACATGATCAGCTTGAAGCGCTCGGTGGTCGCGAGACACGAAACACGTACTGTCGCTACCCGTACAGAAAGAAGAGGCGTCAGAAGCTAGCCAGGTGCTGCAGCGAGAAATCGGGTGGATCAGCCACCTTCGGATAACTCCTTAAGCCCGACCTCAGGCTTACACAACTCCCCGTAGCTCATGGACCTAAGCGCAATCCGATAGTCGTCAATTCAGGCGCCATTACATTTATGGCGCATGCGACTTACTTGACCCAGCCTACCCAAGGGGTTCGAGTTGGACCACAGATCGCCAGTTTCAGGATGTACGTCCAGTAAAGCCGCCGTCATCTTCAAAGTGGCGGAACCCGGTAAGGTCCTGTACTCTCATCAACGCACGTCACGATACCCACCTTGGTATAGATATGGCCTGAAACGCGGGATAGTTCGCTTCAATGACTTCAATGACAGTTCACGCGACATCCAAGGGGAGGTCGCCTACTCACCCGGAGAGATGGTGTTGACGCGAATGTTCTCCTTGCCCAGCTCACACGCCATACTTCGTGCCATCTGCAGCACGCCCGATTTGGACGTGTTATACGCGACCCAAGGTTGATCCTGCATGCTTGGCGAGCCGTATCAGCCTATGCATTAACGATCCTGAGGCGGGCCCGTGCCTACCTTGTTGGTAATGCTTCCGCTCATACTGGCAATCATGACGATGCTCCCCGCCTTGCAACCGGTCTCGACCATCCCCCTGGCCGCAGCTTGACAGGTATAGAACACCCCGTCCAAGTTGACCTTCATGACTCGCTCCCAATCCTTCTTGCTGTACTTTAAACAACTCTCTCCCTCTGCCGGTCCGAGGATCCCGGCTGCGGCCACGCAGAGGTCGAGTCTCCCCTCTTCTCGGGCGATCTGATCAATGACGAGTGAAGAGATCCGGGACTGATCGGTCACATCGGTCGGATGGTAGGTGAGAGAGGAGCCGTTCTTGAGCTTGTCGACGTAGGCCATGCAGGCATGGAAATCAGAAGAAGGTTGGGCAGGGAGGTCGAGCGCGTGGATCTTGGCGCCGGCTTCACACAGCGCGACGGCCATCTCGAGACCCAGCCCGCCGTTTCCTCCAGAGACCTGCGAACCATACGATCAGCGAGATCAGATTGAAGCCGATCGTCAATCGGACGTTTCGCAAGACTCACCACACCGACCCGTCCTTTCAAACTAAACTCGTCAAAGATCTCGGGCTTGACCTGGAACGCATCGTCCTCTTGAGCCTTTAAAGCCGCGGCGACTCCCAGCACCTTGTCAACCGTAGCGGAGGACGCCCTGGAAGAGCTCGAGAAGAGCCTATTACACTGGAACGCATGCAGAGCCTCGACGTTGGGTCGAGAGAAGACGGGAGAGAGGGCGATAGGGATAGGAGGTAACGCCGGTCGGGGACGGGCGTGGATAGATGGGCTCGAAACGTGACGAGCCACCGATCGCAAGATGGTGCGAGGCTTGCTAGGGAGCATTGCGAGGAAGGTTATCGGGGTCGATGGGTTGACTCTATTACTATTATTTCATTATCTTCCCGAACCGCCAGTCCGGGAGGTGATGAATTGATGAAGAAGCTGTTGTGCCATCATGTTCAACACCGACGATGCGACGGGATGAGATCATCTGATTCCGTCCAACTGCTACTTTTGCTTCCGAGACACCTTTGTGTCGGAAACGCCGACCTCAAGGCTATTCGCTATTCGAAGGGTATCGAGGTATTTTCATTTCGAAACGAGGGATACACGAAAATCGGTCTGGCTACATTCAGAGTTTTACTCTTCTTCCTTTAGACAATTAGACATGATATCTCGTGCTGAACACGAAAAGCAGGAAGCTGGGAACGCCAATCTACTGCTTGTCCTTAATGGGAACGTCTGAGAGCGTATCGGACGTGTCAGCCGATTTGTAATAAAGAGGACAGGGTCGGACGACCCTCGACAGCTCACCCTTGCCGGTCATCTTCTTGAATCCACTTCGGATACCGTCCGAGATTTTCTCGCTACGGTCCTCGGAGAGAAAGGAAAGAGCAGGTAGAGCGGCGAAATAGGGACGAAACGGACAGGTGAAGAAGGATCGAAGGGTGAGCCTTTCTTGCTCTTTGAACCCCATGAGATGAAGCTCAAACGAAACTCACGTGGTGCTAGCGTTCTGACCGTGTCCGGCTCGCTTGAGACCAGCATCGACACCCTACAAGAAGAACAACAAGTCATTGACGAAGGATCAGCCTCGAGAGACTTGGAAAGGCCAGGACGACGGCGCATGACGCTCACCTTGTCCAAAAAGTCTTGGTTGCCGGCGGCACCAGTGTTCTGGCCCATGCCGGTGGTGGGGGAGACTTGAGGGGTAGACATTGTGTGGTCTGGAAAGTACGTGTATGTGTGGGTGATTTGATTCGAATAGGGATGGAGTGGGAAGACGTTATCGAGAGGGGGAATGTGGCGATATCCTGTAGCGTGATGATATATATGATCCTTCCATCGACCATCTCAGCTATTCTCGGGTCAGCATTCCATCATTCCACGTGATGGATCTATGACGTAGGGATCGACCGAGGGGGAGGGAAAGGTGTAACGCTCTAGCGCAGAGATAACCGGGTCGGAGATCAAAGATCAAAGATCAAAGAACATGTCACACCGCGGATGCCTCTTCATCTTCCCCCTGGCACCGCGGCGGATTTGGCCGAAGACCGAAGGGCGGGGGCGTTCGAAAGAAACCCTGATGGTGTTCAGGACAATGCGAGTCACAACGTTCGCTGTTCACTACATCTTGCATCTTGGAGATTCGATGCAACCGTAGCACCTGTGTGTGCCCGTCCTGAGTGGGGAAAAACAACCTTACAGGTGAGTCACTCTAGGGACTTTCACCGATAGAGCTCGCTCGCTGAACAAGGACTTGGATCTCTCGCATCTCGCCCGGGATCGTGCCGCCAAAATAGCAATTCACCCCGAACTCGCAACACTAGGTCACAAAGATGGCGGTGTAAGTGTCGCACTATCCAATTGTCAACCGAGAATACCAGTTCTACGTTCTGAATCTGCTTGTCGCGATACTTAGGACTTATGATCACATCCCACCCAACCTGATGGAATGGATGGTCAAACAATACCTCTTTTTCGTAGCCACCTCGGCTTTGCCCTCGGCTCCTTCCGCTCTATCGGGAAATCCGACCTCGACCGACGGGAAAGAGGATGGATGGAAGAAGAATGAAGAATGGGGGTACGCAAACGTCAGTCCGAAGGATATGCAGGGGTTCGAGGTCGTCAACGATCGGTGTGTCCGATGTGAGTCGCGGCATTTGATTGCGATTTTTGAAGGATATCGGCGCTGACTTGTGTTTCGTCATACAGACCAAGACCTGACGGGCAGCGGTAAGCGTTCTGAATCCAATCGGTCTTGTGTAGGCTCACGAAGCTGACCATCTTCCCTCTGACTGTTCAGGCGTGGAGACGATCGCTCACTTGCGTCAACCAGGGAACGGGAAATTGACGATCATGTTCATCGCCTTTGAAGGTGGACCCAGAATCGTGCGGTTGTACGGCAAGGGTGGGTCTCATGGATCGGCTGCGTGAGAAGAGGTTCGAGTAATGCTGATGATCGAGAACCGGATAGGCAAGGTTTTCGAGCGGGCGACGCCCGAGTTTGAAAAGGTGAGCTTGAAGTGTTAATCTAGCAGTCCCGGCGTGTCTGAACAGGTCCTCCTTCGGCTGTCTTCTAGTTGCTTCCTACGGGTGATCCGAGGATCGTCCCGGGTTGCCGAGCGATCATCGAGTTGGAAGGTGAGCCTGATCGTGCCTTGCATCGTGGAGTCGATCTGAATTGGACGATGCTTGATTCCCAAACAATCTCAGTCCAAAAGGTTGGCACCGTGAGTCACATGCATTTTGATTCAAATGGAGATCTTCGAGCTGATTCCATACTCTCAGTCATGCGGCTTCTCGATACCATTCTTCAATTACGTCAAAGAGCGTCCTGTACTAAACGACTGGGCCAAGAAGCGCGTCAAGGCCGACCTGGAGTTTATCACTTCCACTCCAACGGACGTCGAGGAGGGTGACGAAGAAGCGGCATTCTCCAGGCTCATCGCTGCGCGCTCGACGGACGGTCTGAGAAAAGAAGACATGGGTTTCAGAGCCTATTGGAACTACAAGAATGCCCGCAGCCGTGATCGACTCCCGGGTCTACAGGTCCTCGCCCCGGCGAACGACGTCACGGGCGGCGCCAAGGTGCAGACTGTGAATATCGGCGGGGACGAGGTCGAGCTCCTTGTGAAGCCGGGCGGCACGGTCGAAAAGGTCGGAAACGAGGGCGAGAAAAAGGTCGATGAGAGCAAGGAAAAGGTCTCTGCTGTCTGGGCACGGAGAATAGGGAATGTCACCAGTGACAAGGCGTTGCTCGAAGGGGTCGTCATCGACGAGAGCGGGACGTACGATGGCAAGACGGTCATGAAGCTGCTTCGGAGGGAGAGGATGAGGTCGGTGAAATCGGGCTTGGGCAAGGACGAGATGGTGATGGGTCTATGTCTGATCGTGCTGGGGTTGGCCATGGGCGTGGCCGTGTCGGGAGGGTTGGGAAAGATTGGTGGGATCGACTTGTAGTTTGTACTCAATAGACCACGGGCATGGGTATCGGCATGCGTGAGATTTGGATCCGCTTAGCGCCACCGTCCCCGGAGCTCGGGGTTGAGCGTCGTCGTCGTGTTGACAACGATCACAAGAGCTCATCAATTACCCTGTACGACGTACAGAGAGCTGAGAGACAGCACAGCAACCGACCTGGCCACTACAAACTCCAGCGGCATAGTATCGCTCACTGTTATCAACCTCGACGTAGTATTTACGACGCTCTAACGACCTGACCTCCGACCTCGACCATGTCGGACGGTTTCATTCCGCCCATCAAATCGAAACGACCTAAAAACACAAAGGGACTCTCGTTGACTGCCGAATCCCTTGCACCACCACCTTCGAACGCAGACGATGGCTCGGATCAAGACTATGATCTGAACGCATATGTCACGCAGCCCACACCAAGAGCTCCGGCCGCCGTGCTGGCAGCAGACGAGGACGGGTCGCGGCAGCAGGACAATGGGCCGTCCTCGGGACACACGCTGATGCTACCCAAAGTGTCCAAGGTGTCGAAGAGGAAGCCAGCCGGGCTGGGCATCACGTCGACACGGAATGCTCCGGATGCTCCTGGAAGTTCGAGAGCGAGGGATGGTGACCTGTCCAGCCCAGGATCCTCGCATTCCATGTCGAGCCGAGCCGAGATGGAGCGAGAGCTCGCGAGCATGGAAATCTCGTCCTCCTCCTCACGCTCAGGTAGCAAGCTCGATGCGAACGGAAGCACCAACGGATCGTCCAAGTCGACCGTCAAGAAGACGAGGAAAAAGTCGGAAAAGAATGGGAGCAACGGGTCGGATTCGGGTCATGGGTTCCCCGAGCTCAGGGACGAGGATCTCAAGGTCGTCGGCGACCTAGGCGCCGGAAACGGAGGAACCGTAAACAAGGTCTTGCACAAAGAGACCGGCCTGTACATGGCCAAGAAGGTGAGATACTCCCCGACACCACTTCGAGGTCTGAACATACGCTAACCTGGATTGTCTTTCACGCTATGGCGACCTCTACAGCTCGTACTGATAGATGCCAAACCGGCGGTACGGAAGCAGATCCTGCGAGAGCTCCAGATCATGCATCACTGTTCGTCCGAGTGGATCGTCTCGTTTTACGGCGCTTTCCTTTGCGACGTGCACGTGGGGATCTGTATGGAATACATGGATCGAAGGTGAGTCGGATGAAGCCCACGCCGTGGCGCCCCGATCTGATGCTGATAGATCGTCTCGCGCTCGATAGATCGCTCGACGGTATCTACAAGAAGCATGGCGCGGTCCCTATCGACATTGTAGGCAAGATCTCCGAGGCCGTCCTGAGGGGTCTCACGTATTTGTATGATGAGCACCGGATCATGCATCGAGGTCAGTCTGACTCGGCAATACCGATGTCAGCCATCATACTGTTCACCAGCTGACAAGACCTGCGCTATAGATATCAAGCCGTCGAACATCTTGGTCAACTCAAAGGGAGATATCAAGATTTGCGATTTCGGCGTGTCCGGCGAGCTGATCAACTCCGTCGCCAACACGTTTGTGGGTACGAGCACGTACATGAGCGTGAGTCCGGGGTTGGAGCGTAGTAGGGCAAGACACGGAGAGCTGATCAATTTGTTATGCTCGAACTCGTAGCCGGAACGAATTCAAGGCGGCAACTATTCGGTCAAGAGCGACATCTGGTCTTTAGGCATTTCCCTGATCGAGCTGGCTTTGGGACGATTCCCCTTTATGAACGACGACGACCAGGACGACAGCGACAACGACTCTGACCTGGAAGAGATGAGGCGGACGATCACGGGACGAGACGACGGGCAAGGGAGGGTGGTGGAAGACAAGAAACCGAAACAGGACAGGCCACCGAAACCTCCTCGGCAGCACCAGCAAGCTGGAGGTGGAGGGATGAACATGAGCATCCTGGACTTGTTGCAGCATATCGTCAATGAACCCGCACCCCGATTGGTACCCGCGGGCAAATATCCCGTCGAGGCGGAACAATTTGTGGAGGATTGTCTCCGCAAGGAGCCGGGCGAACGCAAGTCTCCAAAGGAGCTATTGGTGAGTGCTGCGTCGCGACTGGTGTGCATCAGCATCGTGAGGGACAGAAGCTGAGGAGGGTATCCTGTATGCGTTGCTAGCTTTACCCTTGGATAGTGGACAGTCGGGTTACCAAGGACGATCTCGAGAGATGGGCCATCTCGGTCGACTAGGGATCTCGACCCATTCTTTCCACCGAACTTTTGCCACCCTTTACGACCTAGTCTTCTCTCCGTTGGAAACGTATACCCCACCTCATCCTTTTGAACGTGACCCGCCTGACGATCAGGTGGAACGATGACGAATGAACGACCTTTTCCTTTCCCCACCTTTACAAGCGATCGCGCGGTATCGATCCCCCTCCATCATTGCCTTACTGAAGGGATTGCACGACGACGGAATGTATCATGTCATATTCTCTGCACGCACTAGTATTGTTTATGAATTTAGTATGACAGCTGATTTTACCATATTCGACGTTGGGTGCGAGCGTTTCGAGTTGCAACTCTTGGCGTGTCTCAGGGATAGTACGGGTTTGCGGGACGCGAGATTGAGGTCAAGAGGTACAGGGGTCGTCGGGCAGTATCGGCGTTTACCCTTCAACTTACGGAAAGAGGAGGCGTAACGGGTGACGGCATGTATCTAGCGCAGGTCGTCCCCCTGTCGCGCTTCTACGTGATCCCCGCCCGCTGTTGCGCGCGCAAGACAGACCATCGTGTGTGGGTGGGCTTCCGAGGTGAGCTTGGACTCTGAGTCGACCTGAGGTGGGGGGCAGCCAACCCTTTGGGGCTTCGAGGGGGAGGAACCTCGACCGGGTGGGTGAGCGAGTAGCGGGCGACCGAGCAGGGCGGCAGAGCCAGGCGATGCAGTGGCAGGAGCCAGACGATCTCGACGTCGACCTCTGAATCTGATCAAGCAAAAGACATTGTTCGCTCGCCCGCCCGTCTCTTCTCGGTCCTCCTCCCAGCAGCAAACTCTTCTCCACCAAAAAATAAAATAGGGACAGGGTGCGTTTCCTCGCCGGATCATCTAGCATATCCTTTTCAACTCGGGTCAAGCTCGAATCGGTCGCTAAACTCTGCTCGTCAAATTGCCACTCTCTGTCTCTCGAACGAATTACAGGAATTTGGAAAGATGGTTCGATACGCCTCTGCTCACGTCGCCGCCGGCAACCCCGACCAGTGTATGTCGTTCAAGATGGGATGCAGAGTGAGCCGAGAGAGGGATAAGAGCTGATACAGTTGAAATTTGTTTATTATGGCTCGGTTATATGATTTTCGGGGGGGACGGGACTCTATCTGCTGGAATGAACGGAAATTGATGGAATTATCTTGGCGGTGGATGCGAAATTCACGGTGGTGGTGGAAATGGTGGACGAAATATGGATGGGATTATCCTGCCTGGCATACGGGATGGACGGGGATGTCGTGTGGCTTGGATCAATCGGAAATCGATAATCAATCGGCACGCCTGCACCGCTGCCCCACATCTCTCCATCGCTATCGACATTGCCTTCAACCATGACTCGCTCTGCGTTCGAAATTCGAATCGACACGAACAAAACTCGTGTGAACGGGGACACCTCTTGCCATCACTACACAACACTTGACCGACACACAGTCTCAAAGTCCAGGGGTGAATACCTCTCGACCCACTTCAAGAACATGCGAGAGGTCGCCGCTGCCTTGAACGGTAAGCATGCGATCGACGAGGGGAGAGACGAAAGCCGCGGGGATCTGCCTCTGAAAGCCTCCCGGTTGCTGGCTGTATCGCAGGTATGAACCTCCAGAAGGCCTACACCTACTTGTCCGATGTCAAGGACCACAAGCAGGTCATTCCTTTCCGACGATTCGCTGGAGGAATCGGACGTGCCACCCAGGCCAAGCAGTTCGGTACCACCAAGGGTGAGTCCAGGGTCGGGCGAGGATATTGTGGTCATGGGTTGGTAAGCTGACGTACAAACGCTTCGCCCTCGACAGGACGATGGCCCGAGAAGTCGGTTCGATTCATCCTCAACTTGTTGAAGAACGCCGAGTCGAACGCCGAGGCCAAGGACTTGGAGAAGGACGAGTTGGTCATCAAGAACATTGTTGTGCAGCAGGCTCCTGTGAGTAGCGGGCGTGGGAATCTAGCATACTTGCCGTCATCGAGCAATGTCTGACTGATTCGCATTTTGCATTGCCGTGTCCCTTGTAGAAAACCCGACGAAGGACTTACAGGGCCCACGGTCGAATCAACCCTTACCAGGGACACCCCTGCCACGTCGAGGTCATCCTCGCCACTCCCGGTGCCGAGGTTCCCAGGGCCAAGGACATGGACGACGTTGTCATGACCGACAAGAAGGGCAAGGGCAAGACTGCTCAGATCGAGGCCTAGACGGGAGGGACGTTGCGGGTTAGACGGCGGGGAGAATTGGGGGGTTGAGGGAAGAGACCTCTTGTTCTCTCTCGAATGACAATGTAATCCGGATACTATGGATCATTGGCGGTTCCTCTGCGCGTGTTTGGTGACACAAGGCGCTTGACATCGGGCGCTGGGTCGGGTATTGCAATCCGTGGATTCCAACGGTCTTTTGTTCGACGACGGAACGTTGGTCTCTGGCCGAGCTGTTGTCGGGTGTGTGAGACGTATCCAAATCGTTTCAGAGGTGCTTTGTTGCAGAGGCCGGATGTAAAACAGCAGCGAAACCGTAGCAGACAGTTGCAGAAGTCCGTCGGGGGACGGCATTGCGCTTGCTGGTCAGACCGATAGATAGATTGACTGATTGATGGTTCAGTCGCAGTCGCGTTCAATTGCGAGATGCGAGAGATAACAAGATCGAGCTGTGTTGTCGATCAAACACTTGGGACGCGTCATCATCGCGGATGCTCTTCCCTGCCCTCGGCCTCCCCTTCCCTTCCCACCACCGGGTGCATGTACATCTATCAACCCCGTAACCATCTATCGTACTTGTCGAGCCTGCCACACTCCTTTCGAACATCCCCGTATCAAAGTTATACAGTCCACCATGATCATCCTCACCATCGTTCGTCACGGAGAATCGACCGGTAAGTTTCCGATCACGGCCGGCTATTGGCAGATCGGTGACCTCTCGATGCGTCGCAAGCGGTCGATGTCGGCTGACGAGTCTCTCCATCAAAAGACAACCTCAAGGCTCTCTGGGCAGGCTCGTCCGATGCTCCCTTGTCAAGCCATGGTCAGTCAATGCGGGATTATGGTTGGTCATACGAGGAAGGCGAGACTGACGGCGGCGGATCGACTCTCGGGGCGACACGACAGGGATGAACGTGAGTTACAGACTTGCAGGTCCAGGGTCATGCAACAACCCAGTTGACTCTGTCCATATCTTCCGACCATCTCGCAGCAAGCGAAAGCACTTGGGAAATCCATGGAGGACTACCACATCGACGCCATCTTTGCTTCGAACCTCTTGCGAGCGACGTGGACCGCTCAACAGGTCCACCGACAGCAAAAGACGGATCCGAAACCACCCTTGACTCTCTCGCCTCTGCTTCAGGAACAACACTTTGGCAAGGCCGAGAGACAACCTTGGACGGGGACCGAGGGTGGCAAGGGTTACTACCGACAACCGGGGAGGACGTTCAAGTTTCCGAACGGAGAGTCGTTGAGCGATGTCAGAGATAGGGCTGACGAGGCGTGAGTCTTGTAAAGGGCTACGTTGATTTCTGGCGGGAAAACATCCAGGCTGACGGATGCACGCCATCGATCGGGTCGCAGTATCGCTTCCTTTATCGAACCCATCATGCGCCAGGCTCGGGGCAAGGGCCGAGACGAGGCGCCTCGCGTCTTTGTCGTCGCCCATGGCATCTTCAACGCCGAGCTGCTGGGCGCTTTTTTGGCTCGACGAGCACCACACGAAGAACCTGTACACTGGAAGGGAGGCGGGATGACGAACACGGGATGGACTCGGATCGAGGTCGGGTACGAGGACGAGGACGAGCCGGAAGAGACGAGCAAGGTGGCTGCCATCGCCAGTCCATCGAGCGGACCCGAGACGAACCCGTCGTCTACCGAGCCCGGAGCGCCCGCGCTCAGGAGGACCGAGAAGAAGCCTTACCTGCGGGTCAAGATCTTGTGCACCAACGTGTCGACCCATCTTGACGGTCTCAAGCGACAGGGAGGCGGAGTCGGCTCGGCCGCGTACGACGCCTCGCAAAAGGGGATCAGAGAGTTTTTCGGGGGTGGGGGGACGTCGTCGACGTGAGCGGTGGGGCGCGCAGTTGGGCGAGAAGAAACGATGCAAACTGATTGATCACAGCGCTAGCAGCGGACGAGGTCGCATGTATATATACAGACGAGAGATGCTTTATCGACATGCTTTACAGACGAGAGATGCTTTATCGACATGCTCTCAATGGGTCAAACGCGACATGATGTATGTCTTCATGCGGAAAGGATGGATCAATTGCGTGAGGATCGGCGCCTCAGATCGTACAAGTTGGACATTATTGTGGGTCGCGCGGGATTTACAGATTGGGTTTGGACATGTAGTGGTCGTAACGGCGGTCCCGGTGTTGTGTATATCGTAAAGAAGTGGTTGGAGGAAGTATTTGCAGAATCACATCGCTTCGAGCTCTTGTACGAGGGCTTGCATGTAAGCTTGCACTACCCTCTGTCGGTATTCCGCCACTGGGATTTCAATCGCCATGGCCATGCTGTCCTGATCGTCGGAGTCGCCGTAATCATCTCGAGTCGCAGTCCCGATCCTTTCGATATTGTCGGCCCGTTCAAATGGATCGTTTCTTTCTACCATATGATCTTTCAAGGTCCAACATTCGTTTTTGCTTCGGGTACGCATGGCATACGTATACTGGCTCGCTTCATCTTTTGCATTTGCAGAGCTCTGCTGCTGAATGCTGGCGATGCGAGGGAACCGAATCCGAACGTCTGCGTGATCGGCGAGTTTCAGATGTAGAAGGGACAGGAAGTCTTGCCGAGTGTTTGGCTTGTTCCGGAGCGATCGGACCGTCGGGGGACTTCCTGAGATTAGCTCCTTGAGATACCACGCGTTCACGTTGTGGAGTTCTCCGAGGTCCTCGAAGGACATTCCCGCCTTGTACTGATTGTAGAGAGTCGGCAGATCCTCAATGGGAGGCCTGGGGAGGAAGAGCTGATCGATAATGTTATGTTGGCTTTGGCCTGGCCAGACAACCGCGCTGCCATGGCAAGCGATGACAGACGTCTCGAGGGCTGATAGAATTGCCCACGGGGGGGAATGGGTTGGGGGGAAGCTGATCAGGGCTCCGCAAGTGTTACGGCGGAAGTCGCTAATGGGCGATAGGTCCTAAGTCGTAAGGCGTAGGGTGCTTAAGGTCGATCGCAGGTAGTCGGGAGAATGTCGCAAGTTCGCTTAGATGAAGCGGGTTCGGGTGCGGGATACGAATCCAGAGATGTATGGATAAGGAAGGTGATCACTCGGTGTGAGGTACCAGATTCGGTCTAAGGTAAAACGATGAAGCGTAGATACTTAGCGACGTCCTTGAGTTGTGACCTCTCCGCAACACGTCTTGAAGATGTTGTAACAAGTCAGATAGGCGTGTATTGAATGTGATATCGGAACTTGACCTCTAACTATTACAGAGCGTCCTCTATCGAATTCGGTCAAGTTCCTCTAGCTATTTATACGGAGACGAGTACGTAGACGGGCTGGCAAACACTGAAAAGACCCAAGAGAAAAGAATGGCGAGAGATGGCGAAACTGGAAGAACGAGATGGCGAACAGACGAACCCTGTCGAGAGCAGCCGGATTCGGTAGAGGAGGCGAGTTTGAGTTCTCATTTGTCCCTAGGTACGTCGAGTAAGGTTGTCAAGGTCCTGAGTAGAGTGTCGTGTACCTCGAGGTCCCTGTACCTGTTTGTGATATGTGTCGGGAAGGTTTGTTGTTTCGGTGAATGGTGAAGGCGAATGGTAGGGGCGACCGAATCTGCTCCGAGGGAATCGGATTCGCCTCGTCGAGCCGGACTTAGGTGTATGCTGATGTCCGTAGATCCAACCCGTGTGTCGGTAGTCGACTCACGTGATGATCCCGTAACAGTATATCCCCCTCCGGAATGGCGCGCCCCGAGCCATCGTGTTTCAAGTATTGATCGCATCAATTTGTTTGATGATTGTCTACGACGCGTTTGTTTTGATTTGATGGCGACCGAATTTTCCATTTCGCTAAGGCCCATCGACTCGCGTCGAGTGGGGGGTATAAGCCGGATCCGTTTCGATTGAAGCGAATTGTGCACTTCCTTTCTCGAAGATACTCAACGATGCCGTCTCCTGCCGTATCTCCCAAGATTGAGGAACGCTCGACTCCTTCTCGAGCCTCGACCGTAAATCCAGGAGACTCGGCTTCTCGTTTGTGCGATTCGAGTCGATTCGGTTCCTTTGCGTGCACTGATCCAGTTCCGCTTTGTGTGTAGAAGTCAACCAGGTCTTTTCCGGAGGAATTTTCGATTTCGAACAACTCCTCGATATGGACGACACGGACGAGGTCGACCAGAACCTGGCCTCGAATATAAGGGGGCTGTCGGTGACCCGATCGGGGTTGGAAGGTAAGCAGATTCGGTTCCGAAAGGCGGTTTCGTTTCGCTGAACTTGTTGAGTTCTTCGCAGGTGGTGAACCGGCTCGTCGGGAAGGGCTCTACGGGGAAGCTCGTAGGCCAACTGGGCGCCCGATATCGGGCGAGGATGTTGCCATGACCGGGCAACCTTTGGACGTGGTCGACGAGGAACCGGTTGCGGGGCCGAGTGCGGGTGAGTAAAGCGAATCTGCTTGGATCCTGAATTGATAATTCGTGACCTGATACTATGTCTATTCTTGCTCGATTGTAGCTGTCGTGTCGCCGCCCAGGACTCCTCGAGGGAGGTCGATTCAGCGGAGTCGACATGGCCGACACAGCGCGAGGTCGAGTCGAGGGAGAGGGGCCGCATCGGCGGGTGCGAGGGTCGATGTCGAGAACATCGATTTGGGGGGTGCTCTCGTGCGCCAACGGTCGTCGAGCCCGGAACCTGGTAAGCGTTTCTGTTTGGTTTCTACCGGATCCGGTTCGACGAAGCTAATTTGGATAATCGCGTTCCAGCTCGGCCCATCGACTTCGAGGCCGTACAGCCGACTCGGCGAACGGGTGCAGCGCCTGCCAACTTCTTTGACGACCTGTCGGAGAAGAAGAAGAAGAAGAAGAAGGTGGCGACGTCCGAGGATGAGGATTCGGACTACCGCGACAGCGGTGTACCGGGTGAGTCGCCCGACGCGTCTCCAGGGTCAGCGTACGAACGGCAGATCGAGAGTTGCTATCAAAGAGCGTTCGGGACTCCTGAAGTTGCTGGTTCGTACTCGGTACCCGTCGATCGAACTCGTTTCGCTGAACCAGATTTGCTTGATTTTAGCCGAAAGCGAGGGGGTCGACTCGATCATCGACATTGGGGACGATAGCGTGATCAACATCGGTACGGTCGGCACTGAGGGAGACGAGTTGGCGTCGACACCTGAGCCCGAGTGGTGGGATAGTAAGTAATATTCGTATTGTTTAAGCGAAATTGTTTGCTTCGAGCTAATCCGCCTTGTAGCCCACGCTGGTATCGTCAACGCTACCGACCAAGAGATCATCGATCACGAGGCGAGGCCCGGCGAGCCTCCTTTCTCGACTCGAGTTGGGACGGCCAGCGAGGTGAAGACCAGGAGGGCGGTGGTAAGCTCGTTTCGCTTGCGTTTGAGCGGATTCGGCTAAATCTTGTTCGTTTCGGTAGTTGCAATCACGTCGCCTGGCTCGCGCTCAAGCCAAGGAGGGTATCGTGAACGACCCTAAGTGCGAGGACTGCGAGGGCCTCGGGGACGAGGAGTTGAGTTGGGGATGTCGGTCCCGTACGAACGACAAGTCTGGGACTTTGAAGGGTTGTGCGGAGTGCACTGGTCGGCGAAACACGTGTTCGCTTACCGGGCAGCCAATTCCGGAATCTCCCGGCCGAGTTCCCAGCCCCGACACCGCGGCTGCTGCAAATGCAGCACAACTGACTACTCCTCCGGCGACGAGTAGTTTGCTTCCTCGAGCTCGATGGGAAGCGCAGGTGGTGAGTCGAATTTGTTTCAACGAACCGAATCTGTTTTAACGCAACCGAATTTGACAGCAATCGGCCAGAGACCGTATTCAGGTCTACGCCGACATGCTCGAAGATGCGGGCATCAAAAAGGGTCTCTCGAAGGCCCTGGAGGACCTCGACAAGGTCCGGGAGGCGATCGCGGCGGAAGGTGACGCGGCCTTCAAGAGGGTTATCAACCCGTTGCCGGCGCCCACGCTCAAGAAGAGGAAGACCGGAGTCGTGTCGACTCCGAAAGGTTCGAAGACGTCGGGGGATAAGTCGACCCCGACCAAGGATAAGGGTAAGGGGAAGCAGAAGGAGAAAGATCCGGATGAAGACGAGGAGGACAAGACCGAGGATCGCCTCCCGAAGCGACCCCGGAGGAATTGAAGCGGTTCCGCTTCGTCTATAATTTGTTTTTGGTTTTTTGTATTTTCTTTTCAATCCGAGTCGTTTGATACGATGAGTCCTATGCGAGCGAGAGTCCAAAACAAGATTCCAGAAGAATTCAGAACATATGTTTATCCGTATCTCGGTCCAGCGAAGCGGATTCGGGAGAGCTACGCTTCCCAACCCGGAGGCTTTGGCTTAGTCGGGAACCGAACATGGAACTCCTCTTGTGCCTCTGCTGTGTTGTTGAGATCTTCGAGGGGTACCCAATCTTGTCCTTCGGGTCCCGAATATCCTTTCCATTTGATTAAGTACGCGAATTGGCGTCTCCTGATCCGGCTGTCGATAATCTCTTCGACCTCGTACTCGTCATCGTGAGGAGATTCGACAATTGGTCCAGGAGTCTGTACTCTTCCACCAAATGGATTCTCGTAGTGTGGTTCCAACATGTCGATGTGGAAGACGTTGTGAACCTTGAGTGTGGCCGGCAAGCGGATCCGGTACGCATGAGACGAAATCGCTTCAATGATTTCGTAGGGACCGTATCGCTTGTGATCCAGCTTCTTGGTAGGTCGTTTGGTTGCGATGTATTTCGATGAAACATAGACCTTCGATCCTACTGTGAATTCGGGAGGGCTTTGGTGTTTCTGGTCGAAATACTTGGCAGCTCTTTCATTAGCTGCAGTCATCTGTACTCGCATCTGTTCCCACACTTCTTTCATATCTCTGGCTCCGATCCTTGCGACGAGAGATTCAGCCCTGTGTTTGTCGAGACTGACGTCGAAGCGTGGTTCGTAGCCGAAGGTTGCCATGAAAGGAGAGATACCTGTAGCGCTATGCTTCGCGTTGTTGCAAACGAATTCGGCTAAGGGAAGCAGATTCGCCCAGTTGTCTTGGTGATAACTGCTATAGTGCCGAAGGAATCCCTCGAGGGACTGGTTGACCCGTTCAGTGGCTCCATCACTCTGAGGGTGGTAGGCTGTAGTCAGGTCGCTCGAGATATCGAGAAGCGCGGTAAATTCTTTCCAGAATTTCGAAGTGAATTTGCTTCCCCGATCCGAAACGATCCTGTCGGGTAACCCATACTGCGTAAAGACCTCTTTGAGGAAGACCTTGGCTAAGTCCTTAGCTGTAGAGGTTGTCGTAGTAGGGACGAACTTGACTCGCTTGGTGAATCGGTCGGTGATTACCAATATCGAGTTGAATCCTTCCGAATTTGGTAGTTCTTCCACGTGATCCATGGAAAGATCCGAATTC